GGCGTACCATTCGTCGTATAGTAAGTACGGACACAGCTTATTATCTCGTCCATGTTGTAGTACATCGGCAAGAGTCCAAATCCCTGGGGTAATCAAGTTTCCTGGTTCAAGTTGTCCTAAGTTCTAAGCAACAATTAGTATTTGCGCTGGTGAATCAACGTCATTCACGGAGAGCTCACTTCATGCCAGTCGCATATATCTACAGAACCGGGATCTTGTCGCGCCTTCTCACATACAGCCGTATTGGTGAGATCCCGACATCGAGCATCAACCACCTTTCCTTTCTTTTCTTTTGACACCTGTATGCTCAATATCCTTCAGTATTTGCTCCAACAGAATATGAGAGCTTTTATATCTCAGGGTATAACTTGCGGAGACCCGAGTAATAGAGCCAAACTCACCTCGGGATGTATGCACAAGTTCTTTCGGCTCGTAAGACCCAGTCCTGTGAAATTCTGTTCTTTCTCCTTCTCTTCTGGTGTTTCAGCACACGATATACGATATTCAACTAGTCTTTTCAGCTCCGCCAAAGCCTTTTCAATTTCAGGAACCGTTCGAGAACAATATATGAGTTTTCTGCGTGTAGGATAAAACTGACATGTTTCGATGAAGTGTTACAGCCAAGCAAGCGAGCAAGAAAGCGAACCTGTTGGTATGAAACAATGAGAGACAGGAGCGACACTGTTTTCCCCGTCCCTGAAGGCATCTCGAGCACACAATGCCCCTAAACAGCATTCCTTCATGGAACATTATTTAACGCAGTGAAGTGAAAGAAATACCGTAGCGTCTAGCGTCCGTTTTAGATCACACATGTAAGCATATTGTTCTGTTTCAGCACAGAGTTAGTGAATGAGGTGCTTGAATTTGCAGAGCTCTAAACACGCACCAGGATATATTCGATCGTAAGGAAAAATGATCTACTTGCACCTTTCAGTACATGCAGCAGATATTTCATACAAGAGGACACATATAGAAAAAGGTACAGACTGGTAGATTGTCAATAAAAAACTTCATCTTGACGAACACACCAGAGTACGGTGGGGGAAACAGATTCAAGTTTCGGTAGTGCACGACAAGGCCGCGCCTTCAAATGAGCCCAAGTAACGCGTCACGCAAGCAATCACGGTCACGTGACACCGAATATCAAGAATGAGATTCGCGAATTCGAAGAACAATGTACGATACATGTAGGAGTTCATATGTAACAACAATATGTTTTACAATAAATCAATCTAAATATCGTATATAGATACTACTCATTATTCGAACCAAAACGCTGTTCAAGATAACAAAATTACGAGTTACAAATTCACTCAAACACACGTCCACTCGTAAAAGTCCATAAATTCGTAGATAAGATAAAATCGACTAGATCGTGATTCGAATCTTCGCATTACTGTTTCAAGGGTCCTGTCCCATTTGCTGTACCCCATTTTGAAGAGTCTGTTGTACACCATTGCTTCCGTAGCTGAACGAGAATCTTTCAATGTGTATACCAAGTGTAGAATAGAGTCGATACTCACCTGGAGTACCCATCGTTGGGTGACTGTCCAGTTGTGTCAGTATTCCCAGACTGGCCTGTGCTTCCTTGGTTCGACGATTGAGTCGACGTGTCAGGGCTGATTGCAGTTCCAGGTTGAGTCGTCAAGCCGCCTTGACCCCACTAAATATAGCTTAGGAAAACGAAATGCATAGAAAAAGACAGGGACTTACTTGGTATTGCATGATTCCGTTCACACCAGCAGCAATTCCCGCTGTTAAATTGATAAAAGTGAGTATGCGACTTAACAAAGATAGCAATTTACGCACAATCCAGCCATTGAGAATAAGCGTCTGTCTGCTGCGTAGAGGTGACACCGTAAGGTTGAGAGGTGTTGTTACCGGTCGCTGATACACATCATATCAATACTGTCACCAAACATCAACCCATCAGAACTTACAAGAGCTGGAGTCAGGTGCATAGGGAGCAACAGTTGAGTTAAACGGTACAAAAGACGCGGAATTGTTTTGCGTGACCAGACCAAACCCTGAAAGAGCGACAGGCTTGCCCACACTAGAAGAGCAGAACGAGTGGTTTAGATGGATAACAACGAAAAGGAGCGAAAGACAACTTACGCTGCAGCAGACTGCGCCTGCTGTATAATCCAAGCAACGCCTTGGTTAACGATGTTTTCGTAGGGTGACAAGTTGGGATCATTGGGCTCGTACTGTTGTTGATCGGGGAAGAGCTGGAACGAGCCAAAACCGATTTGAGGGATGTTCAATATATCCTGGCTATCTACACCATACGCTCCAGTATACGTGGGTCCTATGTCCTGAGTTCCTTGGCGCTTGGCGGCTGAAGGTGGACATTAGCAGGCGTTTTCAACATAATGTTAAGATTTGGTGCATATAGGGGCATACCTGTCGAAACCCAGCGGCCCCGAATTTTGACTCCGTCTTCCTTCAGCGTTCCAGCAAGCTTCGCTGCTGCTCTGTTATGGCGTCTAGCTTCGGCACGGTCTCGGAGAAGCTGCTCTTTCGTCAAAGGACCTCTTGGTACAATGCTTCGACGCTTTTTGGCAGCAGGGCTCGCAGAAGGTGCGGGTGCAGGAGCGGGGTTGAGCGGGTAAAGTTTGGGACAATCTAAGCATATGAACCCGGAGGTTCTGTTGAGAGACATTAATACAGAAGCAGGATATATGTAGTAAAAGTCAATACGAACCCAGCAGAGACAAGATGATTGGGATCAACGGTCTGAACATGAGTGGCCACTGTTGCGTGCCAGGTCGTAACCGTTTCTGTTGTACAGTTGGCGGTAGAAGGTAGCGTAGAATTACATCTAGAAAAAAGTCAGCTTCAACGTGATAAAAGATTTTAGCACCTGATACATACCTGGGGTCATTAGCCAATTCCCAACTGAATATAGCTGGACTGTTCACGTAGCGTGACACCACTTGTGTCGTATAATTCAAGAAGGAGTTCAAGATCGTAGGATCAGTGTAGAACTGGTCGTGTTCCGTGTAGCCGTACTGGTGAACGTATAGATCCATACCACCTGTGATACCTTTGAGAACAAGATAGAAGGAGCGGCGTGGAAACTTACCGTAGTCGTTGGACAGGTAATTGCGTGGCAGGGTGTTATTTGTACCCTGTACAACGGCACGCTTTTCTACACCCGAGTCGAAAATACTGCTGTTAATAGGTGCGAGGGGACTGTCCAACGATGGCTGAGGGAACCAGTTGTTCGTAAGCGACAGGATAACATATAAACCCAGTTGCTCTGCCATCTCGATTACTGTATCCAATTTTTGAAGACCATTTGGGCCAGTATTGACCGAAACAGTGCCGTTGCGCACCAACTGGAACCAAGTTCCGTTCTCAGGTATCGTGTCGACATCTGAAGAATCAGAGCAAGGTCAGAGACCAAAACAGAGCAGAGAACAGTTTCTCACCGTTAAACGCCCAGATTCTGACAACATTGATACCTAATGCTGATATGTTGCTGAGCGTATTCCACATGTCCTCGTTAGTATTCAAGGAGGGCAGCCAGTAGACATTTGTCCCAATGAACTTGAAGTTACTGCAGTACTGGTAAATTGCTAAGGCGCTAATTGAGCAACTGAAGTTTCACACCTTCCATTGACCATAAACTCTGCCCCCTCTGACTTGACGAACGAGGTATTCGCTCTTTTATCGAAAGTACGCGTAGGAATGGTCGCAGACACAGACGCAGAAAGTAGCAAAGTGGAGAGGAAGAGAGGTAGCCATGCGAAGAGAAACATGGCGCCTACGCTAGCCAAAGAGTGCGAACAGAAGAGAAAGGGCAAGAGGAAAGAGAAGGATCATCATCGGGCTATAAGTAGGGCCTACAGGACGTCAACACATTTCTGCCACACGTGCCTGATTTGAAGACGGCTTAGAAGACGCTGAACATGTGTTCGAGCTGGGCGTTTAGAGTGGGTTGATTCGTAAAGCTGTAGCCTAGCGCAGTCCACCGGCGACAAAGACCGCTAAAATGGACCTAGCATTGTATGAAATTGGCCAACAGCTCGATGCCACCTGTATAAACGAGATATAATAGCAGCATGGTACCCTCGCAACAAAGGAGACAAGGCAGGACTGTAGACAAAAGGATACCTTCCAGAGTCGAGGTTGGCTTCGATTATCGTCAGTCTGAGCCGGGCCAGGCCGGTCCACAGACGAACCGTGCCTGCTCATTTCAAACTCCGCACAAGCTGGCCCGTTATTCTGTACCTAAAGGCACTGCGATTGATGATGCATTGATGATGCTGTCAGTATGATATCCTTGTAATCGTGGGTCTTGACCCACCACACATTCTATAATAGCCTCTAAGCCCATTGACGGCAGAATACTTAGGCTGCATTCGACACCGGGAATTGTGAGTGCCACTCGTACTGGAAACAGCAAGAAAGCCAAGACAGCACTGCGGACAGCAAGCAAAGCGACCTAAACCACTTCCAGGCGTCCCGCTTCCCGCCTCGATTATAATCACCGTTGCAGCGCCACCTGCGGCTGGACGTTGACACCATACAACCGGGTACGCATGGTGAGGAGGTAGGGAACAATACACTGTAGCGATCATTGCTGATCGAAATGAAACTGGGGATGCTATGATACCATACGAGCATGGATTGGGACTGGATGGGGGCCCACTTGCGCAAAAAGTTGTTTCACCTGAAGATATGTCGAGGACGCTATGGCGCATAGAAGACGCGCTTTGGGTCACGTGCACTGACTTTCTAATCTTTTGCAACTGTGGCTACACTGGTTCACCTTACACCACGACTACATCGGTGTATGCAAAATATTACAACACAAAAACCAGACCAGAACTTGTTCTAAACCATCACTTACTACATCTACGGTGGTTTTGCGAGTTATTTATGAGCCAGCATCAGGTTCCGGCTACTTAACGTATACTCTTTTCTACCGAATCTTCTCGCCAGTAACGGAAAAGCGCTCTGCACATTTGCTCCATGCTCAAAACACCCCTTAAACCATCGCTCTTCAGATTTCGCACTGCCTCGTGTCGCTCTCAACATCTATGCAGACGTTATGAATCTCAGGATAGCACCCGCAGACCTGTACCATGGAGGCAAGACACAGGAGTAGACCAACCCTCCGTGCTTATCGAGGATCACTTCACAAGATCGACTCTATTCACGTTCGACTTCTTCAAGCGCCTCGCGAAATTTTCCCTAGTGGGTCTTTTTGCGCTTGGCATCACAGGTTGGACAGCATTCGAAGGTGTACACATGTGGGTTGAGAAAGTGGAGCTCGCAGAAGACCAGGACAATGAAGTTCGCCGTTGGGAATGGGATCGCGATGCAGAGAAGTGGTCAGGTGGGAGTATAGGGGGGACAGACTCAGCATTAGGGTTCAAGGCGAGGCATGCAGTGCGGAGTGCATGGATAGCGCAAAATTGGGGGACGGGGTCGGGTGCGAGCGTCATTGGTTCCAATGCATTCACGGGAAGAAACCCGTCCACAGGGAGTCTCAACATCATCGAAGCTCGGTTGGAGTTTGCGCAGAATTTCCTTGCCATAGCTGTCAAAATCGCCGAGGAGAGAATGTCAACTGGCTCTGTCCGCCCACAGACAATGGTCGAACTTCTTTCCCGACATGCTGGAATCCTCGAACGCATGGGTACGCGGGATGCACTATTCGAGTCCAGGTCGCAATATGAACGTGTCTGGGCTGGCCTACCTGGGAAAGGGATTGAAGCTGCGCGGACTGCTCTGAAGGTTGGAGATCTCAATTATAGACTCGGTGATAGCGAAGATGCATTGACATGGTGGGCACGAGCTATAAATCTTACTCAGGGCGACGGGAACAGACTACCTACGATAAATGAAACACCCACGGTACCGGAGTCGGCACCATCATCTCCTTCCGCTCAGCGGACCCTTATCTCTACTCTCGTATCGCTCTCTGCCTATTATTCGACATCCGGTCAATTGAAACAAGCCCAGTCGGTGCAGGAAGCTTCCCTCAGTCTCCTACGCTCAGTTCCCTCTCCCCAATCCCTGGCTAGTGCATCGCACCCTCAGGCACTCCATTCTCTGTATTTGCTTCATCGCTCATCGCTGCTCTCCATCCATCTCGCAGAGGTTCTGTATGCCTTACGCTCTCCATCTCAGACGTCTATCCAATATCTCCAGCGAGCCGCTGAGTCCTCCGAACGTGTTGCACTCGCACTGACGGGTCTCCCCTTTTCACATCCTGATGCACCCGGCTCCGCGATTCCACATCCACCAGCGTCTGAGGCGCCGCTCATGTCATCGTTTCAAAAATCACTTGCGATGCGCAAGCCGGCTAAAAGCCTTTTACGCGATGCGCGTCGTTCCGCGGCAGAGGCATGGAATCTCATAGGGATTCTTAGTGAAGGGCCTGACTCAGGAAAGGCTCAGGGAGGAGAAGGCATGGAGCGTGCGCTGGAGTGTTATGAGCGAGCACTGGGATGGGCAGGCGTTGCTGCAGACCAGGTAGGCGGCATCGGAGAAGCAGGAGAGGGTACTCCAGAGGCAGAGTGGAAGTTGATTTGGGGTAATTATGTGAGGGCTCGAGAGGCAGTACGGAAGCAGGTGACGAAGGAATGAGTAACGGTGACTTCAGAGTGTGCCCAAATCTTTGAGCGTTTACCGGTATCAATATATTTATCTACTCTCACACCTACATATAGTTAACGCAGAAGTCATTGACTGTTCTTTAATTCATCAAGAATTTTGTGTCATGTGGCGATAAGACCCCACTGTCAGCATCTCGTTGACGGAGTATTCGCCATACTTAGACCAATACTAACATCAATATGACTCGGTTGGTATAAGATGAACCAGTTCGCAGCTCATGATCAGTTGTGGTCTGTAGGTGTGAATACTGTTTATACATGCGATGGTAGAAGTACAGCCTCCAACATGAGATGATGAAATATATATTGCACATACGAGACCCTGAAACATGCACCTGGAATGGCGTCCCCGGTGGCGTTGAGCGCAGTTCAGATAACCTATTCAATACCATGAATGTATTTCAACACCAAGCACAAGGGATGGGCTTCCCTGACCGACACAGGAGAAACGGCGATGTGCTCACCTACAGTGTCTTGTGCAGGGGCATGGAACACCACAGAATATGGTTTGTGCACACATGCAGGGAACGAGAGCACGGCAATCGCGACAGACTCGTGGTGAGCGCGTTTAATTAAAGGACACGTGACACGCTGACTTTTTAACAGGTGCACTCGACCTGCGACTGCCAGTGAGAAGATCAGATTAATCACGGATGCTCCGAACCGGACTCAATCGCGTCCTCACGTCGCGATCTTATCGTGCACTTGCATCTCCTATCCAAACATCACTCAAACCATCATTTCTCTCCAGTAGAAACATGTCTAACTCGGCAGCAGAGCGCTTTCTCGCAGACAAGGCACCCCCCATTTGTGGTCTCGAGGTTTCAAAATCTTTTGGGCAACTCACGTATGGTTTGCATTTGATACGTTGCATGAGATGATGGTCTGACGAGGGGTGTATAGGTCCAAGGAGAAGAGATATGCGCATTACATCGGTCAGGCAGCTTGGGCAGGTGGCCGCATCATCCAAGGGCAATGGACACCTCAGGCACAGCAGCTCTACGACCTCCTGATTCTGACATTCAGCAAGAATGGGAAACTTGTGGACCTAGGCGAATTGAAGAAAACCTCTGGCCTTTCATCGGAAGAGTTCGAAGACGTTTTGCAGTACGCTTCTCAAGTAAATCTACTTAACATGTCTCATTTGTGCAGGAACGTTAGCTGAGAGTTTCTCATTAGGTCCTAACCAATCTCGTAAACTACAAGAGCTTTGGATTCACAAAGATCATACCGCGTGTTCCTCAGGAGACGTTTGCGGCTGTAATCCAGGCTTCTGCTAACGCTTCCAATGCTGTTGCACTATGGAACGAAGTAAGTTATCTGAAGCAGGTGCACTGGCTGCACAACTGATCTATTTGTTCAAAGCTTCGAGAACATATCTACTCTTTGTCACCAGAATCTTCGCTCTCCATTGGCAAGCGAAGCGAAGGCCACGTGTCAAATTATTATCTTGGTCAACCCATCACAGATGAAGAAGTCGCTGCCGTCCAAGAAGCGGCAGAAAAAATCGATGTCGATGTCTTGAATACTCGGTAACTTAGATTCTGGCGGCTCACTAATTTGTGTTGTCCCTCATGATGTTGGCTCTAGTGTAGTCAAAAACGGTCCGAACGATTTCAAGCTGCTCGTTGCCTCAGCAAACAGTAATTCTTCGATTACCCACGATATTACCACTCCAATGGGCAATGCGAAGCTGACTGTAGAATACGGTGATTTTGCTGACGCCCTGACGAAGGCTGTTACCGCACTTCAAGAGGTACTTTTTCTTCCTAATTTCAAGATGCCAAGTTTAATTTCGAATTTATCTAGGCCAAGAAGTATGCTGCCAACGAGAACCAGACTGCTATGATTGAGGGCTACATCAAATCGTAAGCCCATTGCTTCATAGAGCCATTGGACCTATTGAACTCGGAGATTTACTAGGTTTGAAACTGGATCTATCCAAGATCACAAAGATGCCTCGAAGTACTGGGTCAAGGACATAGGCCCTGTTGTCGAAAGTTACCTCGGGTTCATTGAGACATATGTCGACCCTTATGGTGGTCGAGCTGAGTGGGAGGGTAAGTCATATCTCTTCTTTGTTGAGACATGCTTTATATCGTCTTTTCAGGTTTCACTGCTATTGTTGACAAACAACTTAGCGCTAAATACGACATACTTGTTAACGACGCTCCTGAACTGATCAAGGTACTCCCCTGGGGCAAGGAATTTGAGGTTGACGTGTTCAGAAAGCCCGACTTTACTGCGCTCGAGATTGTTTCATTCGCGACGGGCGGTGAGTAGTTGTCTTTCAACTTTCTTTCATCATTGATTGAGTGTTATCATCTCAGGCATCCCTGCCGGCATTAATGTAGGCTGTCGTTCATATCTGTGGCACTGATCATAACTGACGCCAGCTTTGTCTACATAGATCCCCGTGAGTCGTCTTTGAGTACCTCCCTTTCCATTCTACTGCTCATGCATCCATAGAACTATTACGACATACGAGAATCCACTGGTTTCAAGAATGTATCTCTTGCGGTCAGTATCTACTCATCGAACTCTGTAAAACTAGCTATCTAACTTCTTCATTAGAACATCCTAGCGGCCAAAGCGCCTAGTAAGAGACAGACCTATAGATACTACTCTCCGCTGACCATACGTACATTTTAAGACGAAGAGCTAACGTTCATCCACCCTGACGATGTTGACCTTTATAATGAGTGGGACTCACGTGCATTCGAGCTACAGGTTGCGAACCATGAACTCCTTGGGCACGGTTCAGGCAAGCTCTTCCAAGAAGCGGCAGATGGTTCTCGTAACTTTGACTCAGAAAAGGTATGATGCCTGTTGTTTTGTTACCGAGTTCGATCAGGACATGGTTGCTTACTTATAATGCACGACGTTCAGGTCATCAATCCACTGACTGGAAAGCCGATGTAAGTCCTGAATTCTGCTATCTTCACATCTTTCGTCTCAGGTTGACTTTACTTGCAGCACATCGTGGTATAAACCCGGCCAGACAGCTGATTCTGTACTTGGCGAGGTTTCTTCTTCAATGGAAGAGTGTCGTGCAGAAACTGTTGCTCTATACCGTATGTCGTCACCCAAAGGCATCATTCCCAGATATCCCTCTAATCAGTCAAATTTGAATTATAGTTGTCAGTAACCCTACAATCCTCAAAATCTTTGGTGTAAGTTTCATTACTGCCTGCCTTTGAAAGACAACTCATTAAGCAACGTTATAAAATCAAATGTTGATCAGTACACCGATAAGCAAGTGGTCGAAGACGTTCAATACATCACTTTCCTTCTTATGGCTCGCGCTGGATTACGTGCACTCGAATATTATGACCCGTCTACAGGGAAACATGGTCAAGCACACATGCAGGCAAGGTACGTATATCCATATCATGTCCACCCACAGACCACACTGATCATCATATACCCCCCAGGCTTGGCATTACGCAATTCTTGATCAAAGAAGGCATTGCACGTCTCGAGGAAATAAAGGGAGCGGATGGCAAGCTTGAAAATCTCTACGTCAGGGTAAGTGGCACGGCTGTGATCGGAGCCAAGCTATTACTCAATCGATCGCCATTACACTATTGGATTAGGTCGATCGCGAGAAAGTGCTCTCTCAAGGTCAGACTGTTGCGGGGAAACTACTAATTGAGCTCCAAGTACGCAAGAGTACCGCTGATGGCGCTGGCGCCCGAGCATTCTACACAACATTGACAAACCCGTTGGACGGTTGGGATAAGGAAATACGAGACATCGTGTTGAAGAAGAAACTAGTAAGCTTTTTAATCCCATAGTATGATTTATGGGTTATAAACGATATTTATACTTTCTCCAGCCTCGCAAAATCTTGCTGCAACCTAATACCTTTGTGGTGGATGGTGAGGTGCAGCTGAAGGACTATCCATTAACACCCGCGGGTGTTATCGAGAGTTTCATCGAGCGAGGGTTGTGATATAGTATATAGGCGGCTTCTTGCAGGTATCATAGGATACGCATTGCATCGACTGCCTGGTAATACGATGGTTTGAATTTCACGTCGCCAGTGTGAACAAAATGTAATACACGCGTTAGTGTCTGATCACGTGCCTAGAAAGTCAGCTTTCAAAGGAGCGAGCCAAAGTTGCGACTGGAATTATTACGGTATAACTTTATAGGAAGTTTATATTTTTCATATCTATAGCACCGCGTCGAGTTATGTCTTTTACTTTGCTGCAACGCTCGCCTCTTTCCCCGATGTCTCGCTTGATACTCAGAAAGAGTGGACGCCTTCCCTCACCTCTCCATGCTTGGGGCCATCCACCAATACCCCAGCTTTCAGCGGTTCGCTGGACTTCCTCTATCATGTCACGCCCGTACAAATTTCACATTGGCGCCAGTTGGGCCGGAAAGCCAGAAGAAGATCCCCAAGCAGCGCGTTTGCAAGCTCCATTCCCTGCTTCGAGTGTGATAGGCAAGTGGAGAAATGAGATGCTTGCTCGTCCAAAGGGTGTAGTCAGCAAAGACGCGGGGGAAGATTTTTTCTATATCACAAATGTACGTCTTACTCACTCCTCCAGCTGAAGCTATGCTAATGTAGTTTTCATATCTGCCCTATCAAATTTGTTGCGACTTGTGTCGTCTCATCCAAACTACATGATCCGGTATACTGGCCTTCCCTTTGCAGATGCGCAATAACTCGGTAGGTAAGCTTATTCCTTCGTGAGCTTTGTCTGGGACCTTACTTGTCGTTATTCCCGTCTCTTTTCGCTATCACAATAAAGGGCGTTTCTTTCGGAGTGGCAGATGGTGTTGGAGGATGGGTTGATTCTGGGATCGATCCATCTCTCTTTTCACAGTCGCTCATGTATCACGCCGCTCGTTACTCACAAACAGCATGGGCGGGTGAACCCGAAATTGATCCCACTCAAGAATACGAGGAACGCGAGCAGGTGGAAGGATGGGAGATGACCCCGTACGAATGTCTTCAACTTGCTTATCATGGAGTTATGAGGGAGCGTTTTGTACAGGCTGGTGCGTGCTGCAACGCGTTGGCAACAACTCTCATTGGTTTTCGTTTAAACCTGTTACCTCTATTTCCATTTTCAGGATCGAGTACAGCGTGTTTGATACATCTCAATGCTTCGTCCGGTATACTGCGTTCAGCGAAGTAAGTTAGTCTGTGTGGACTTTTCTTCTCCTTCTAATCATCATGTGCTTCGAAAAGCATAGGCGATAGTGGATATTCTATCATTCGCTCTTCATCAATGAGCTATAAGGAGCCTGTTCAAACCCACTTCTTCAATTGCCCAAAGTGAGCCGTTTTCTTCCTGTCGCTTTTTCCTCCGTTGAAGTCTCAACCTTACATTTAGGCAGCTGACTAAACTTCCCGGAAATCCGAGACGCTTTTCTCGAACATCTGTAGATTCACCGAAGGAGGCCGCAATACATGAGACGAAGCTTAGAGATGGGGATATCGTTATTGCCTACGTATGTATCTCGTCTCGCACAGGAATCGCTGGTTGATCACTCAAATCTGAACAGACCGATGGTCTCACCGACAATGTCTTTCCTACTGAAATTATCGCAATTTGCTCGCTTGTTGCTCGCTCGGGGGGTTCAGAGGACGAACAAGTCCAGACTATGGCAGACCGTATCGTCGAATACGCACGACTATCTATGGCAGACAGGAAGAAAGTTAGCCCATTTGAACGTAAATATCTTGTCACCGATAACGATTATACTCTCCCTTGACGAGTTCTTACTTCATAGGTGAAGCAGCTCGGGAAGGGATGTTCTACCGCGGTGGGGTATGTAACCAATCATTTGATACTGTTTAAGAGAAGTGTTCCTAATCTCATTATGTATTTGATGAATATAGAAAGTCGACGAGTAGGTTACATTTCCCCCAGTTGTTCCACTTTGTGCTAATCTTCAATTCAAATTCAGTGTCACCGTGGTTCTTGCTTTAGTCCGCGAGACTATATAAACTCCACATCTTTCGCAAAAAAAATACTAGACAACACGTACACTTCCAGTCTGTTCATGGACTTCAACACTTGATATCCTCGCACATTATATTTCTACTTACTCACCATATCATTTTCGGGGAACCATTAGTCTGCTCCATCTTGCATGTGTCTCCACTGCGCTTTTGGTTGGTGGGCTTGCTCTAATTCAAAATTTGCTATACCGCATTCCATTTTTTGTTAATCAAATCTACAATTCTGAACTAGTTTTGTGGTCATCTCTGCTTCAATTGCAAAGAAGTTGACAAGAGGCATAACCTAGGTTGGGCTTTTGCTGTTTCTCACCTCCAATTCACCAGTCAACAGAACATATATGTAGCGTTATCGAAGACGTTATCATTCAAAGATATTACATAGTTTACAAAACAGATGGTAGATACACAAGCCTACGTTCATGCGGATACAATACTTCCCACCCACTTCTCGAGTTCCTCATTCACCTTTGTGGGACTTTCCACATGAGCCCAGTGTCCAGTGTCAAAATCTACCAACGTCAAACCATTGGTTGCGAATTTCTCCATTATGGCCTTGCTCATCGCGGGGACGCAAACATAGTCCTTTAGTGCACAGCCATAGAAAGCTGGCTTCTTGATTTGCAGACTTTCTGGGGCAATAGCTGTAACATTGTTCAGCAAGTGATGGTAAGAGATGGTAGAAAAGATGTATACCGAGAACGTCCTCGCGGTTGACACCCTGAATAGCGGATTTATACCAATTCAAGGGACTGGTCAATCCGCCTTTCAGTAACGATGATCGTATGTGAGTATAATGCTGAAACAATGACTGTTTTAGAACGCGTATATAGAACTTTTATAAGTCCGTGTACCTCTTCGCTCAGATAGTCAGCCTTCTTGTATTGGTCACCTCGTTCAACAGATGGTTGCAGATTGCCTGGAATTCGCATCGCTGTCTTCCACAATTCGGGATCATGGGGATATAGCAAATTAATGAAAGTATCAATCTGACATAGAAAAAGATAAGATATGCCTGTTAACCTTTGACGGATGTAATAATTACGTTGTTCTCAATAGTTGTAGCGGCACTGTCTTGCTCAAAAAACTTCCAATAGCCCATGAGGGGTACACCTATGGCTTTTGTTTGCATCTCCAAAATGAGATCTACATTGTAAACTGAGACCGGAGGAACGTAGGCTGCTGCTAGCCACGCAAAACCGATAAAACGGTCGGAGTGCCGTATCGAAAGGGATGTAATCAAAACTGACCCCCTATTTGAGACTCCTTAGTAACCACAACTGACGCTGTGCTTTACGGTATACACACCAATCGTGTCCGATGGCAACTACCTTTCCTACGTTCTCGGCGTCCAGGATGTCAATAATGTCGTCGGACATTGCAAAGTGGTTGTATGCTTTGACATCCTCTGGTTTGTCTGTTTGACCATATCCCAACATGTCGGGTACAATGAGGCCAAAGCCTTGAGCGGAGAAGTATTCGATCTGGTAGTGCCAGTCGTGCGAAGTAGAAGGAAAGCCATGGACGAGAAGAAGGGTTGGCTTGGCTCCCTTTGCTGGGATTGACAAGTAGTGATAATTGAAGCCTCTCTTTGACTTCAGAGCTTTGTAGCTGGACGCGTCGACCATGGTAGTTCCACTGAGACGTGAAACTGGGAAGCGAAGATGATGATTATCTTGGAGACTTTTATAGCCACCACGGGGCTAAGCTGCGAAAGGCTACTCCATCACTCCCTGATTGAAACATCGGTTCTATCTGGTTATCTGAGTCTTCGAATAGGCGCACGCGCAATGGGATGCTTCAAGCTAGTGAAATCATGGACAAGGCCTGCAAATGTCGAGGGCGCTGGGGGCTTTCCACAGTATTCGAATACGCATGAACATTAGTGCAATGTTGAGATAGCCAACTTGTGTCTCAAGAGCGAATTAAGCTCCGACGGAATGACCCGCCCCACTCTATCTGCTGCAGTCTATCATGATTCCTCCGACTTGACTTATCTTGCAGACTGCCATCTAACAAGTAAAATGTCAAATACCGAAGCTGGAACGTCCTCTTCTCCATCTAGGAAACGTTCCCGAGCCACTGAGACACCAGCCAAATCCCCTACTAAACCCGAGGCTGAGGTCCGCCCGTCTCCTAAAAAGGCTCGTAGAAAGCCAAAGTCACGATCAGAATACGTTCCTCCAGGGTGGACTGACATCCCCACCTGGCAGACTAATAAGTCTTTCTTGATGGATTTACCGCTCGAATTATGGGATAAGGTATCACCTATCTGTCAATCTTTAAATAAATTCCTAGTCCATCAATTTCATACAGATATTTGGTCCTGCAAGTAGCTTAACGGTGAACCTATCGCATTTCATGTCGCTATTTAAGGCCCTCTGAATACTCGGCTTGCAGCTTCAAGATCACTTGTCCTTCTCAGGAACGTGTCGACAAATCAGACGAGCCTACACCGAGGATGTTTGGAAGGTCTGTACCTACAGTATCTATATCACAGTCACGAAATAACTCACAATACTTATAATTTACCTATAGACTTTAAAGATTATGCACCAAGCCCCGAATCATTTATTTACTGACATAATTACCCGCAATCCTCAGCATGACGAGAGTCCAGACGTGGTCTTAGGTTCACTAATACAGACATATAAAGCAAATGTCAGTAAGGCTTGCGTACGCCTTCTTGATCGTAGGCTCATCGATACACCAAGGTTATTATTGAAGTTAACTGGCCGAGAGTCACAACGGTGAGCCCAAAGAATATTAATCCTTCCACCAGTCCCCACTCAACGTTTGCAGGTGGCAGCTCGTAGTGAATTCAAAGTTAGTCTTTTTTCCTATATTATCCACAGTTTGGCCTTTCTAAAGCACCACATAGTTAACTGAAAAGGAACTTGTGCGCTTCTTCGTTTTTTCTTCCCGACCATATAAAAATAAACGTCTCTTCTTCAGCTCTCTCTACCATATACCACCAGGCGAAATCCTCAAGGTCCAAATACGTAATATTATACAGATTCATTCGGCGATATGTGATATGCACTAAACTACCCTTCAGCCCCATCAGAGAGTTCTATCGCGCCAGAGTCCGTGCTCTGGCATATCGAATCCACGGCGGACCTCTAGGTCACATAGCACACCTCAAAAAAGTGGCAGAAAGGAACAAGAAGGCTAAGGCAACCAGGGAAAAGAATGGGACGCTTCCAAAGAAACGGGTGAAACCGGCATCATTCTGTACGAGTGGTCTGGAAACAGGTTCCTGGGAGGCTTCATACGATGTTGACGAGGAGTGGTACGATGACTTCTGATTGTTAAAAAAAATAATGTTGTTTCATTTGGTTGATGTAACTGTGCTGTGACTGATTCTGTTTTTGTGATTTATAGGCGCACTATATTTTTCGTGTTCATGCCTTACCTTAGCGCTTGTACTAATCTTTGATTTCGTGAATTAAGTTTCTTTGATTCTTTAGACTTGGCCCCTTAAGTGCTCGAAAGATATGAAAAAGACTCTTGCTCGTTCATACAGCTCATATAATTTATGCAGGAGGCCTCCAAAGAATGGCCCGATCGCAGCACCACTACCAAATGCGGTACTCGTAAGATAGTGATAAGGGGGGTCAGACAGGGGCACATTTGTAACTCCTCCTCTCATCTTGTCGACAGCAACAATGTCACAAACTAATGTCAGCCAGGGAAGAAAACGTCGTCGTATGTCCAAGTATATGAAGGCTATCGCTCAGCCAGATATCGTTACCCCTGCTACCCCTACTAGGGGAGGTCCATCCTTAACAAAGAAGAGCAAAGTCCAGTCTAATTATGTTCCCCCTGCATGGAGTGATATACCGGTTTGGAAAACGAGCATTTGTCCCTTCATGGATTTGCCAGTGGAAATTTTGGACAAGGTGAGAGAGCATACAATGTTCTGGCTCGAGTTATAGAGGAGCCCGGTCACTGATCGTTCGGCGCAGATTTTTGGTCCTGAAAGTGGGCTCAGGGTGAGTTGAGCTTTATATTTCCTTTCGTCCTCACAGTGTTTCTCAGTCTTGAGACATTCAGCTTCAGGATCATTTAGCGTTGTCGGGGACGTGTAGCAAGATTAGACAGGCCTACACAGACAATGTTTGGGCTGTAAGTCTGGAGGTTCCGGTGTGGATGAATAGGCGTTTCTAAGTTATCTATAGGCCCTTAACCCGATTCCACCACGTCTGTTTGACCCTCGAGACACGCGCCTAATCCACATTTTCTCTAACGCAGGGGACCGTAATACGGACAATGGTGACTCTGAAATCACCCCGTCTCCTCTTCCTGGCCCAGGTGTTTTCCCCCTTAGTTCTGCTGAAGCTGCTTTGAGCAGACAAAAGGTTCGTTTCGTCTCGTTCACGATGATATGATACTTACGATTCAAGCAGGCCATTGATAGTATCAACAATTCAAGTGTTACAGCTGTGAGTGAAAACACACTTTTGATGTTCGAACACGGGTTCATCGCAATCAACTAGGCTCAAACAAAGTCTATGTATAAGGTAATATCACACTATCATACTTATTTGCTCACTATTTCATCATTGACATTTACTTCAAGCTGAGCCAGAATCAAGCTGTAAGCACGTTTGATGCGACGTCACTGACTCGGACGCTATTGATTTTGTATGTTCCAGCTGAGTATACCTTACACAAATAGGCACAATCCTCATGGCAGATACGCGTAAGTTCTCTCATCGTGACATCCCTTTGATCTTAAAAAGGACATCTCAAAAAGCGCGCCTATACGATTGTTTGTCGAGGCAAGAGTTCGTGCTCTGGCGTTCCGGATCCACGACGGGCCTCTTGGTCATCAAAAGCATATCAAAAGGCTAGAAACCATGGCCGAGAAGGGCCGTGCTACGAGAGAGAGAAATGGAACTGTTCAGGTCAAGAAAGTCAATAAAACTCGGTCTTACCTTCCGTCTTTCATGTGTCTAGGGGCTTCCTCCGACACATACGTATCAGGTGAAGAAGACTATGCAGAATATTTTCCTCGATAATAGTGGTCGTAATATGAGTTGGATGCTTTAAATGGTTGTACGATAATATGATGTATCTCGAAAATATCCATATCCCGCTTGTACTGTTATATAATAGCAGTATGGTATATCATGGTATATGCAGTGCGATGATAAGATCTGTTCATGAATATTGAAGTCTTCTTTACGTGGTCAGCTTTTTGGGGTTGGTTTACTCCAACTTTTCCAGTTGAAACCAACCGCTGCTTGAGGCGCCTGTCCTCTCTTATGCTTTAGGTGCCCCTTCTCTTCACTAATGTCAGTCCAATCAATATTGTCCTTGCCTCCAGGTGGTTTCTGCTCTCGAGAAGTCCGCGTAGAGAGAGACAAAGTAGATTGGACCTCCTTTTTTCTCTTCTGAGCCACAATTGGCTTGGGACGTTTTGCTTTGCCCGAGCTACTTGGGTGGTTTGCCTGATATTCGGGCGGTAGTATGGGCACGGGGAGAGTCGTTATAGGCTTGAGTGGTTTCACCGTAGACTTTGGCTTTGTAGCGTGGTGGTCACGTTTTGTCTCATGCTTAGGCACGCCAGCGCGCGCACTATTATTCTGCCTTTCTGGGATGAGAAGTTTCTCCTGGCTTGAAAACGAGGTTGCTTGAAATCGTGAGGCACTCGAAGGTGCCGGGGAGCTTATGCTACCTGTTGTTTGGGGTTTATTCTTCACCGAAAATGGGTTACGCGCTTTCGAAGATGCGGAGAACCCAGACGGGAGCCTTGAGCCATTCTGTGGGCTCTCGAGAGACTGACCGACATTGGTACTGGTCCGCCTTCGTTTGCTAGCGACCATATCGAAAAGTCGCTTTGCATTTTCGCCTCCATCTTGCTTCAACGTCGCATGCTCCATTCGTCCCGGGCCGCGAATTGGGTTGGGTTGGGCCGGACCAAAGCTGGGGTCGTCGAGAGCAGTGATTGGTGGCGGGGGTCGTATTAGTAGAAGTGGATCGACATCGAACGAATGGCGAGAGAAGCTGGCATATTGATTGGACTTCACGCCGAGTGTCTTGGATTTGCCCTGTGGGCGGTGCTTGAGAGGAAGGTAAAAACGTTCAATAGCAGTGCGTGAGGTAGTTAGAGAAGCCTCCAAGGCTGCTATTGTATTGCGATTGTCGTGTTCCTCGGTAGCCGATTCGGGTTGTAGTGATGGTCCTGAGGAAGATGTGGTTGGGGAGGGTTTGGCAGCAGTATGCTGCAAGCTGGTGGTGACAGCAGGAATAGAGAGGAGTGGTATCGTAGACTGAGAATATAAGGGATGTGCATTCTCCGATAAGGGTAGTATTTCGCTGTTTTCGTCATCATTTATGCCGTCCTCGTCTTCACTCAAGCCTTCCTCACTTGCGCTCTCACTCGAGTGTACCTCTTCTGTCAGGCTACCATCCGAGCCGCTCGTATCTTCATGGTAAGAATCATACACATAACCACTTTCTCCAAGATCATCGTAATAGATGTTGGAATAGCCATCTCCATAAAAATCCCGCTCTTTTTGCTGCATTCGTCGTTCTTGCTCCCTTAGAACCCATGGTTGCATTGGCCCTTCAGACCTAACATGGAAAACAGATGAATGGGCAGCATGACGAGCGTCTTCATTTCGGCCTACAGTATCTGAATGCCAAGGCTTATGATGTAGTGAGTCGACGTGTACTTTGAATGTTGACTCTCGTGGTGCTGGGTATAGCGATATACCAAGTCGTTCGGCGGTGTTTTCGAGAGTGGAGAGGGCTTGACGTAGGGGAACTGGGTGAAAGAGAGCTTCATCACCTGTCGGGTAGAATTGATGTGGGGAACGAAGGTGAGCTTGGCTATCACAGCTAGTTTCCCGAAGATCTAGATTAGTCATAGCTCAGCAAGAACTATACATAGGAAAGAAAATGAGACTGTTAGAACGTACCTACGGCACACAGAAGCGGAAATTTGGGGAGAAGAGCAAATACGTCATTGTCTATGTTGTAACATTTCTGGAGCCTCAAAATTCGCAACCCCCCTGGACCCCTTCTGCTCAGGTGTTTCTGTTGGTGTGAATGTTTTCGATTTTCGTCGTCTTCTTCCCTCCAACCTAAACCTCTAAGCAGCACCCGGATACCATATGTTCCCAGTGCGGTGCCGCGCACATCTAGTGCAACAAGACTGGTTAACCTGGCCAATACGCCAATGGTCTCGTCACATAGCTCTTCACAATGCGGAATTTCGAGAATTGTTACAAGGGAAAAATTTGGACCAGATGGGATACGTTGGAGTAATGGAAGGTGAGCATCACTGAGAGGGAGTGAGAGCGTATGTAGCCACGTTGGTAGTGGACTGAGTGTTTGAGCAAGAGTAGACCAGAGTCTGGGATCAAGGGAGGATATATCAAATGAATATGGATTGTGTGGATCTATATCTGAGCTAGAGGATGAGGGAGGAATGAGAGCGCGGAGGATATCGAATGATTCGGGAGAGTCAGGTGGGTGGTATTGTAGTCGAGTCGGACCAAGAACATGAAGTTGATCTGGATATCCGGAGAGAACTTTGATGCAGAAGTAAGTGAGGGGAGGAACGTATCGCAGCCCCTGAGAAGTGTTCTGGATGTATTCTGGATGCTCGTACGGCCCTCGTTGCACAACGGGGGGTAGCGCATATTTCTCAATGGATGTTCCAGCATCATCTGAAGTACGGGTAGCATGACGCTTTTTATTCCAGAGGATGAAAGGGGCAGACATCGAGTCCTCTATATGCACCTTTCGCAGATACGAAATATGGTAGGTTTTGCTGTTCCAATGGTATGTTTCGTAAGTTATTGATATACAATGGTATATGGGTATTACCTTTGCTATTGTGTGGGGAATATGGTCAATGGTCCAGCAGGAGTGGTTTTTATCCATTGCGAATGATTTGTCTTGTTCTTGCGACGCGTAGATACGATCACGTGAGTTGGTGCTTATTTGCATTCAGGGTTAGACAATAGCGGAAATAATAATAAATGAGATTTGGAGTAAAATAATTATATGAAACAAATGTATATTCGAAGCTCTTCGAACTCGCATATAGTCTCAGCATATATAATTCTCTGGCAATTTTTGTCACCCCCAGACCGCGACTGACGACCGTTTTTGCTGGTAAGTGTTGTTCCGTTTGCGCAGTTTATTTTCTATTTTCTATTTTCTGGTTGCTATCCGTCTAGTTACGATGTTCCCACGCTACCTCTTACAGGGCTCGTCTCCATCGCTTTTCCCATTTCTTCAGCTTCCTCTTACATTCCTTATAACCGCTGGCGCTGACTTTTCTTTCAGTTACTTCAGTCACTCGACGTAGCAGCGCACAAGCTGTTGCGTTCTTTCACTCGTTAGACCATCATGTCTCAACAAGCTCATGGCCAACAGGCCAATCCTTTCGCTAATCCATCGTATGCACAGCAGCCGATCCAGTACGCCCGACCTAGACAGGACTATGATAATGATTCAGAAAGCGGAGACCCTTATACCAGCACTACCCGTCTTGCTACCAGCAGTCCAGGGTATTATGATCAGAGCCCGAGCCCGTATGGAGGTGCGTCGTACTACCTCATCCGCTTTGTCACCCCGCCTTTGCTGACGATCAACTTATTTTAAGTTCGCGACTCTGCCTCTGATGCAGGACTCGGCAGTCGCTCCTACGCCCCTTCAATTGTCTCTCAGGCAAGCCAGCCGTATGGCTCGCCTTTTGCTGACCCGGGCCAGGGCTCTCAGCCTTACCCAGCGTGGTCCCAGGAACGCCAGATACCCATATCCACAGAAGAAATAGAGGATATTTTTCTCGACCTCACTCAAAAGTTTGGGTTCCAGAGAGATTCTATGCGGAACATGGTATGTTTTCGAGCTATTCCCGTTTTGGATCACGTTGACATGACTTCTAGTTCGATTTTCTCATGCAACTTCTTGACTCACGAGCATCTCGTATGAGCCCAAATCAGGCTTTGCTCACAATTCACGCCGATTACATAGGCGGACAACATGCCAACTACCGCAAGTGGTATTTTGCTGCTCAGCTCAACCTTGACGACGCTGTTGGACAGTCACAGAACCCTGGTTTGCAGCGGCTCAAGAGTGTCAAAGGCCAGGTGAAAACGAAAGGTTCAAAACATCTTGACAGTGCACTCAACCGATGGCGGAACGCCATGAATAACATGAGCCAATACGATCGTCTGCGCCAGGTAGCTCTGTACCTACTTTGCTGGGGTGAAGCTGGAAACGTGCGATTTGTACCAGAGTGCCTCTGCTTCCTCTTCAAGTGTGCGGACGACTATTACCGTAGCTCTGAGTGCCAGAACAGAGTGGAGCCCGTTCAAGAGGGACTGTATCTCGAACTGATAATTAAACCGCTCTACAACTTCATGCGGGACCAGGGGTACGAGGTCGTAGACGGCAAGTTCGTGCGTAAAGAGAAGGACCACGAGGAAATCATTGGGTACGACGATATCAACCAGCTTTTCTGGTATCCTGAAGGCCTTGCTCGAATTGTTCTGGACAACAATGTAAGTACTATTTTATTTCAAATCCTACTGCTGCTCATTATTCCGTAGACCCGCCTTGTCGATGTACCACCTGCCCAACGTTTCATGAAACTTAGTCGCGTTAAATGGGATCGCGTGTTCTTCAAAACATACTTCGAAAAACGATCCACTGCACATCTCTTAGTCAACTTCAATCGCGTGTGGATTTTGCATATCTCCATGTACTGGTTCTACACAGCATTCAATTCCCCCAAAGTCTACGCACCCGCTAATAAGAATTTCCCTGCTCCCGCTATGGAGTGGTCCGCTACCGCGCTCGGTGGTGCTGTCGCAACGCTGATCATGATCTTTGCCACTATTGCCGAGTTTATGTATATTCCGACTACTTGGAATAACGCGTCCCATTTGACTACACGGTTGATATTTTTGCTCGTAATCCTTGCTCTCACTGGTGGGCCAACGGTTTATGTCGCCTATGTGGAGACTCGACCGGTTGTTACGACCTCGGCAGTTCCTCTCATTGTCGGTATCGTTCAATTCTTCGTCTCTGTTGTGGCTACCGTTGCATTTGGTCTTCTCCCCTCTGGACGAATGTTTGGCGATCGTGTGGCAGGCAAATCACGCAAATACATGGCTTCTCAGACTTTCACTGCATCATACCCGGAGCTCACGCGAACGGCTCGTTTTGCCAGCATATTGTTATGGTTGCTTGTTTTTGGATGCAAATTCACCGAGTCGTACTTTTTCCTCACCTCTTCGTTCAGTTCGCCGATCGCAGTTATGGCACGCACGACTGTGCAGGGATGCAATGATAAGATTTTTGGTAACGCATTATGCAGTAATCAGGTTCCTTTCACCCTTACCATCATGTATGTTATGGACCTCATTCTTTTCTTCCTCGACACGTACCTTTGGTATGTCATCTGGAATGTTGTGTTCAGCGTGGCACGATCTTTCTCCCTTGGTTTGTCGATCTGGACTCCTTGGAGCGAAGTGTACACTCGCATGCCGAAACGAATCTACGCCAAACTACTTGCAACCGGAGAAATGGAGGTAAAATATAAGCCCAAAGTGCTTGTATCGCAGATCTGGAATGCTGTCATTATATCCATGTACCGCGAACACCTTCTTTCCATCGAGCACGTCCAACGCCTTTTATATCACCAGGTTGATGGTCCGGATGGACGCCGTACGCTTCGTGCACCGCCTTTCTTCACCAACCAAGCTTCTGGCCACAAGAATACCTTCTTTCCCGCTGGTGGTGAAGCCGAGCGCCGCATCTCCTTCTTCGCATCATCTCTCACCACCGCTTTACCTGAGCCGCTGCCTGTGGATGCAATGCCTACGTTCACTGTCCTTGTTCCGCATTACTCGGAAAAAATTCTTCTTAGCTTGCGTGAGATTATTCGTGAGGAGGATCAGAACACCCGTGTCACACTACTCGAATATCTGAAACAGTTGCACCCGGTCGAGTGGGATAATTTCGTGAAAGATACCAAGATTCTCGCAGAGGAGTCCGATGTGGTGGACGGCACAACGACCATAAACGAGAAAGGCCACGGGAATAGCAAAGCAGATGATCTTCCGTTCTATTGCATCGGTTTCAAAACATCGTCGCCCGAATACACGTTGCGCACCCGAATTTGGGCCTCGCTGCGTGCACAGACTCTTTATCGTACGGTTTCTGGTATGATGAACTACTCCAAGGCGATCAAATTGCTGTACCGTGTGGAGAACCCCGACATTGTCTCGATGTTTGGAGGCAACACAGAGAAACTCGAACGCGAACTGGAAAGGATGTCGAGGCGAAAGTTCAAATTCGCGATCTCTATGCAACGTTTCTCCAAGTTCAATAAAGAGGAACAGGAAAATGCAGAGTTCTTACTACGCGCGTACCCGGATCTACAAATCGCATACTTGGATGAAGAGGCAGGTCCCAAGGGCAGTGAACCAAGGCTGTACTCGGTCCTTATCGACGGGCACTCTGAGATTGATGAGGTGACAGGCAAGAGGAAACCGAAATTCCGCATCGAGCTCCCTGGTAATCCTATTTTAGGAGACGGTAAATCGGATAACCAGAACCACGCCATCATCTTCTATCGTGGAGAGTACTTGCAGCTTATCGATGCCAATCAAGATAACTACCTGGAGGAGTGTCTCAAAATTCGTAACATCCTGGGTGAATTCGAGGAGTACGCTATATCGAGTCAGAGCCCATATGCGCAATGGGGTCACAAAGAATTCAAGAAGTCTCCTGTGGCCATTGTTGGTACTCGCGAATACATCTTTTCAGAGAATATTGGAGTTCTTGGTGATATTGCAGCAGGAAAGGAGCAAACATTCGGAACGATGACTGCTCGTGCGCTTGCATGGATTGGAGGTAAACTCCATTATGGACATCCAGATTTCTTGAATGCTCTCTTTATGACCACTCGCGGAGGTGTCTCCAAGGCACAAAAGGGCCTGCATCTTAACGAAGATATCTTCGCGGGTATGAACGCTTTCGGACGAGGTGGACGTATCAAGCATTCTGAGTACTATCAGTGCGGTAAAGGTCGTGACCTTGGTTTTGGTACAATCTTGAACTTCCAGACCAAGATCGGTACTGGTATGGGAGAACAGATGCTCAGTCGAGAATATTATTATCTCGGAACACAGCTGCCTATTGATCGGTTCCTGACATTCTACTTTGGACATCCAGGTTTCCACATCAACAACATTCTCGTTATCTATTCAATTCAAGTATTCATGATCACTCGTAAGTTAAAGCTATACTCGCTCATTATGCGCACTCTCTAACATTGTCCCAGTTCTCTACATCGGTACACTCAACAAACAACTGGAAATATGTCAACTTGACGCGCAGGGTAATGTTCTCGCGGGCCAGCCGGGTTGCTACAACCTTATCCCTGTGTTTGCTTGGATTAAACGTTGCATTATCTCTATCTTCTTGGTCTTCTTCATAGCCTTCTTGCCTCTTTTCTTACAAGGTAAGAGTCATGTTATTTCTCTATGGCCATATGCTCAACGCTGTGATGACAGAATTGGTGGAGCGTGGTACTGGCAAAGCTATCCTACGTCTCGCCAGGCACTTCATGTCTTTGTCCCCTATATTTGAAGTGTTCTCCACTCAAATCTATTCCCAAGCTATCCTCAGTAACTTGACGTTTGGTGGTGCGCGGTACATTGCTACGGGACGTGGATTTGCCACGACTCGTATCTCCTTCAGCATCCTTTACTCTCGCTTCGCTGGACCCAGCATCTACATGGGGATGAGAAATCTTCTCCTGCTTCTCTACGCTACTCTGTCTATCTGGATACCACATCTCCTTTACTTCTGGTTCTCGGTTTTGTCTCTCTGCATAGCGCCATTTGTCTTCAATCCTCATCAGTTCTCTTTCGCGGATTTCATCATCGATTATCGAGAGTTTTTACGCTGGATGTCCCGTGGTAACTCCAGGACGAAGGCCAGTAGCTGGTATGGGTATTGTCGACTCTCGCGTACTATGATAACTGGGTACAAGAAGAAGAAACTGGGTCATCCTTCAGAAAAGTTGTCAGGAGATGTTCCTCGAGCATCGTGGCGTGCAGTCGTGTTTTCGGAGATTATCTGGCCAATTTGCATGGCTATTATTTTCGTAGTGGCTTACATGTTCGTGAAGTCATTCCCCAACCGAAACGGCGAACAAAATCCGAGTGCGTTGGTTCGTATCGCTATAATCGCGATTGGTCCAGTGGTGTGGAATGCCGCCGTGCTATTGGCGTTGTTCTTTGTATCTTTGTTCCTGGGCCCCATGCTCGAGTCTTGGGGGAGGTTTGCGTCATTTATGGCCGCTGTAGCCCATTTCCTCGCTTTAGTTGGGATTGTCGCCTTCTTCGAATTCTTCGTAAGTAACCCACTTTCATGGTCACGGTGTAGCTGCTTAGTCTAGTCACAGTGGTTCTTGGAGCTTTGGGATGCCTCACATGCAGTTCTCGGTGTCATCTCGATTGTTGCCATTCAGCGCGCCATCCAGAAAATCCTCATTGCCGTGTTCCTGTCTCGTGAGTACAAACACGACGAAACCAATCGAGCTTGGTGGTCTGGTAAATGGTATGGACGAGGACTGGGGAACTCCGCTATGTCGCAACCTGCTCGTGAATTCATTGTCAAGATCGTGGAGATGTCGCTCTGGAGTTCCGATTTCTTACTCGGACATATTTTGTTGATAATTTTGTCGGTGCCCATCTTCATTCCCTTTATCGACAGGTTGCACTCCACCATGTTGTGTGAGTTTTTATCGCTTTCTTGTGCTTTGAATGTATGTTAACGTACTCCATGTAGTCTGGCTTCGTCCGTCAAAACAAATCCGCGCTCCCTTATACTCGACGAAACAGAAGCGACAACGACGCTGGATCGTGAGTTGTTGAGTTTTCACCTTTGAGGTTATCCTTTAACCGACCATACCCCATCAGGTCATCAAATACACTCTACTTTACATTATCGTAGTTGCAGCATTGGCGGCATTGATTATTTTGCGTGCGTACTCTACATTGGACTTGTATTCCGTAAAGAATACTGACATCACATCTTCGTAGCTGCCATCTTCCGGGATCATATCACGTTCCATTGCACTCTATGTCAAAACATTTAATCACTGAACAATGCGCTAGATACTGTGGTTCATTGGGTTGGATGTTACATTACCATCGACTCATCTGTTCTTTCATCTACATCCCTTGGATAGTATGACCTTTTTAGTTATCGCTGTATATGATTTTGCTTGCTCTTGTAATGTTACACCCCGAGGATGGATATTGAAGAGACTCATCTCGTGAAACGTTGCTTTGATCTTACACTACGTAAAGTTACCTCTGAGATGTGCTCGGCAATCGTGATTTTTTAACCCGCTATAAGGTACCGGGTCAGGTGCTCAGCGCTCAGCCACATGGTGTATTATTAGGGCAAGTTCAAGTTACCGCGATATCATTCAAGTTCAGGCTCAAGAGTGCACAGGGAAGTCCAAATGGACTATTTCTCTAAATTTTTACGAACTGGAAGTCAACCTCCACCAAAGATAGTTCATGACCATGCCTCAGAATTTCATCAATCATGGAATCTAATCAAAGTACGCGTTTCCTGCTGAATTTGATCTCAATTCTTATCCTCGCTTCAAGAACACCTTACAACACCCCGACGAACGCCAGTTGACCAAAGGAATCAAGTCTACCGATGTCCCTGTTCACCTTCAATCTATGGTTGATTCATTAGTATGGGAATCATCGCGTACAGAAGAAGGGTACGTATACTTATCCTATGAACATGCATGATGACTTGACGTTCAACCATTCAAAGGGCAACGGGTGCTTGCTTAGAGTATTTACTCAAGAATGGTATGTCGTCTTGTACACTACTCACTAGTCGTCTTCTTGAAAACTTCGTGTCCATAGATGTATTGGGTACTCTTGTCAAGCTCAGTGAACCTGATCGGCCTTCTGGAATACAAGCCGAAGTCTTACGTGCAGTACAAAACATGGTGGTTCTTATGGACGAACAGTTCCTTGTTCACTCTGCGGTTCATAGAGCTGTGTTGAGATTACTCAGGAACTGTGTCGGTGATGACATTCAGGAACAGTTGGACGGACGGAACAAGGTTATGGGTGCAGCAAAGGATATTGTTCGTAGCCAGCCCTCAGAGTACGAGTTAGACTGTAAGTTTCGGCTCTTTCCCGCTGTCTTATGCTAACTATGTTTATAGTGGTGAACTTACTTTGCATCCTTTGCAGTCGGATACGGACATATCGCGAACTATTAATGATCTTTTTCCACGATAAACACTGGTATCACTCTGAGCCTTTGTTCTCTGTTGAAGAGGAAAATGAAGAGGATGAAGAGGAGGACGAAGAGAAGCAGACTCAAGATATTCATGGAGAGTCAGATGCTGTGCCACGTACACCTTCTCCATCACCTTCCCAAACCACAGTAACCTCCAGTCCAGCCTCCTCTCACGCTCGGAAGCCAGAATACGAGTTTCTTCTTTTCAATTACCTCCTCCGATTCGTACATCGTGAGGGTCAAATTGGCGATTTCGCTCGAGCAGGGCTTCTCTTCCTGATGGACGTTGCTATGTCCCCTGGAGAGCCAGTACATCGTTTGGCTGGTGATGAACAAGCTGCATCCTCCACAACGACAGAATTTGCCTCTGCTGATCCGATCACCGATGCTGCACTTGCATTGGCAGAGTACATCGTTGATGGCGATTTCTCTGAGGTGCTCGGAGCTGGTTTGGGTGCAGTCTATTCACTGCTACCTTCTAAGCTGGAAATACGTAACCCACAGACAGTAGATCCTACTAACGTCAATGGCATGGTCATCGGGAGCAACGGGCCAGAGACAGAGGATGAAAAAGAGAAACTCGAGCTAGTTCGTGAGAAGAATAGAGCAATGGGCTTGGAAGATGCCTCAAATCCTGACTTTAAATATCGACTGGATCATTTCTTGAAGCTTCTCGAATTTCTGCAAGATGTGCTTCGTCGGAATGTCATTCATGACTCCGAATCTACTCTGGATGCTTCCTCACTCGTCGGGACCGCTATTGTACAGTCCATTTTGGATGCTGTTCGCAGAATATTCCTGGAGAATGTCCTTTATCCTTCAATTCTGGAGTGCTCGGACATGGATGGGAGCGCAGTCGCTGTTATGTCCTATATCGATATCATGATACGAACACTTGATACCAACGGCCAGCTATCTGACCTCTTGGTCGAGTTTTTAGTTAGCGAAGATAACGACGAAGTCACGCGTCCACGACATCGTCAATCTATGTTGACCCTTGGTGGTAATGCCCCACCTCAATCCAAGTCTGGTGCAATTGCGGACAGACAAAACAAGCTCCGAAGAAGAAAAAGCAGTGCCATGGTGCTGTTGGAGATGGAAGCTCCCGACTCGAGGCGACAATCAGAGTATTTCACCTCCATGGGTCGTTTCACTCTCAAGGACTTGATGCTTGCAAACCTGCGATCCAAACATCAGCAGACGGCTACAGCTGCTCTGCAACTCCTACAATCGATACTTGACCAACATTGTCAGCTGTGCGTTGATCGGCTCCTTGTTGTTATTTCTGATCCGCAGGCAACCAACTATCCTGAACCACCTATGATACCTCCATCACTAGATTCCCAGATATCCGTGGTAGAAGAGGAAGACGACGAGGAAGAATTTATATACCCTGGTGCAGAAGAGAACGCCAAGCCAGCCTCAGCCGTACCTCCCGGCCCTGTTTTCTTACAACCAGAGACCACCTATTCGACCCACGAGCGTGAGATGGGCCTCTATCTCACACTCGTTTCACGGGTAGATCCATCTCACAACGAAGATGCTTTCAGCACAGGCTACGATCACTACCTCCGGGATGCACTGCAATCGATTCAAAGTCAAAATTGTTTCCATCTTGGTGATGATATAGACTTGGTAACCAAGATGAAACATCGTCTTAATGTAAATGACCCTATTTTGTCACTTGTCTTGGAATCTCTTCGAGCATTTTTCTCCAATACACCCGAATTCAACATATCTCTGACAGGCTTGTTGGCTGCGCTAGCTATATGCCCATACCGTTCGCTCGCAGGCTGGTTGACCTGTGCCCCTAGTGATACACCTCTTGTCAACGAGGGAGATGACGAGGGAAATATTTCACTTGACGGCGATGGCGATGACAGGTCGATCGACTTCCAGATAGAGGAAAAACTGGCGCACGATTCTATTCTGTTACCCGCTTCAAGGCTCGATGAGCAATCACGGCCCGTGGTCCACTCTATTTTCCAGGGACTGGTAGGCCAACTTGAGCGGTACCGCCAGCTAGTTGACAACTTTGACAAATACCTGCTCGAGCGTCGCCAGGGGCTTCTTTTCTCTGAGAACCTGACCGATGCGCTAACTCTGACTTTGGAACCTGTGGCTGAGCCGACCCAAATGGCAAAACTTCAAGCATCTATCTCCGGAATTACCAGTGCTGTACTGGAAAGTCCTGGTCAGCGCGCGAAGCCGAAAGCAAAGGCATCTTCTTCCTTTGTATCGTTTTTGACACCAAAGAAGAATAAAACAGCTCCTTTGAAGTCATCTGACGCTCCAGCCAACGCGGATCCAGCTACCCCTCCTAGGCCAGGCAGCAAAACCGTTGCTGCCAGTCCTTTTGGTTCACATTATCAAAGTACTCGTGATATTGTGGTGGAACCATTCTTGGCCCCAGTTCCACCTTCGGGTCCCTGGACCCCTGCAAGGACAAAGAAATGGAATGCTGATGAGGAAGATGTGTTTACAGCAGGGGGTCAGTGGGGAGAAAAGCCATCGAATAAGCTTGACGATACCAAGGAAGAAGAGAAGGGAGAGAAAACAACCACTGTGACACTGTCGCAGTTACTAGACAATGTTGTTATACTGGAAGAGTCCATCAAAGAGCTGGTCGCTATTATCCATGCACGGCGGAGCCTTGGCATTGACTCTGTCCGGTATCTATAGGTGTAATGGTTTGATTACTGACGTTTGATTCGTGCTTTGCTCGTGTACTTTTTATTACCTTCAAAGACATGCTTTTGACAAGCATAGAAGATATACCCTGAATGACTCCTGAGGCCTGAATACCATTGTGTGACCTCACCAAATATAAAATTTGGCGGAACTAGACAATTGCTTTTCTGGACTTCATATGACTCTCCTGGACTAAACAATACGACAACATAGGAAGATACACTACATATTAAATATCGTAGATACAAGAGGACTACAATTACACGTGAGCTACAAATGATATCATAGAAATCTACTTCACTTCGCTCTCCTCGATCTCCCGGCCTTCTTCCCTCGTGAACTGGGAGGGGTGGTAGCACTAGAGGCCTTGGCTTTGTCACCAAAAAGCTTCGCCTGCAACTTCTCGAACTCAGCATCGTCGATCTCTGGCGGTTCCTCAACGTTACGTCTAGATTTTTTCCTAGGTGATTCCTCTGCAACGTCTTCCGTCTCCATACCCCTTTTTTTCTTGCCTTTGTCGGTTTTCTTCCCCTTTGAAGAGTCTGCTCCGGCATATTTGGCCGCAAGACTGTCAAAGAATCCGTCCATGTTTTGCTTTTTCTTCAGTATCAAAGCTTGTAGTGCTGAGTGATCCTCTTCATCATCATCGCCACTTTGCCCCTTCTTTCCTTTCCCCTTTCTCGACCCAGGCTTTCCATTCCCGTAAAATTCATCCCACACACCAAGCTCTTTAGCAAGCTCTTCTGCCTCCTTGGCCTCCTTATCGCCCTGTTTCTTCCTCACTAGCCTTGCTTTCTCATCCTTAACGCTGGATTCCCACTTAGCCAATTTGGCTAGCTCGCCATTGGCTATTAAATCAGATAAGGATTTGATAAAGCGTGGTTCATCGACGATAGTCGAGTGTGGTATGTGCATCATGATATCTCCGATTGAACCACCGGTTTCTTCATACGCCGCCTTCAAATCATCCAGCTCTTCTGAAGAGCCTGTGTGCGACTTTAGATTAACTACAGTTGAACTCAACAAATTTCTTACCTTGGTATTCCTTCTTCATTTCATCGAGTTTCCCCTTCGTGACGCGGTCGAACAAATCCTCGAAGTACGCTTCCCATCCACCTTCCTCTCCAGCTTCGATACCCAAGCCCTCGTCAGTCCTGCCCGTCTTATCATATTTTGACCTGCGGTTTTCGTCACTGAGGACAGCATATGTAAATCCTATCTGCTGAAACTTCGTAGACGCGGTAGCCTTGTCGGCTTCGCTCGCAGTGGCATGTTTATCGGGGTGATAAACGAGAGCGAGTTTCCTGTATGATTTTTTGATTTCTTCAATTTTTGCCTCTGGTTTCAGTAAAAGTACAGCATAGAGGTCAACATCTTCCTCTCCAGGGAAAAATTGGGTGATTGGGTCCTCATCGCTCATGGTTTGGTCTTGAAGTTCGCTGTTGAATGAGTGCGAGACTGTTACGGGATTACGCGTGTGACATGTGCGCGTCGCGTGACGAAACCGCGTGATTATATCTGTTTATGCTGTCACAGCATATGATAGGTCGAGTCTGCAATTCAGAACGTATTCAAGTACACATACATGTCGCATATGTCATCTATAATATACAACTACACAGCTATTACAATTCTCGGACTATTTATCTTGATAACCTAGCGGAAGTAAACAGGAGCGCTTCCATAGGCCTTAACAATGCGGTTCGCCTCGTCCAGCGCCTGAACCACTTCTTCGGGTAAAGGACCCTTCTCGCTATCTGCACAGTTTTGTTCCAGCTGCTTAGCGCTGCTTGCCCCCAAGATAATACCATCAGTAGGGAGGAGAGCCGAATGGTGCTGGCACCATCGTAACGCAATCTCAGTAAGGCGGAGGTTGTGTTTGTCCTATCATCCCAGTCTCGTAAGTTCTCCGAGATAACACCGGCAAAGATGATTATACGAACAGCGATTCCCTTAAGCAAATCAAGTGCCTTGAAGTACCCTTCTTTTAGGTATCTTGCTCGATAATTTTTACCCTGGGTTGTTTTGGGGTCAAAGCGACCACCTTCCTGCACAGAGTCCTCTACGGATGTAACTTTCCCAGCAAAAAGACCTCCTCTACGTGCCAATCGACGTCAGATAAATAGGGGAGCGGTGTCAAAACCACTCACGCTAGGGGGTTGTAGATAACCATTCTGATGCCAAATTTTCGACAGCAGGGTAAGAGCTCAGCATCCATTTCCCTTGTGATTGCGTTGTACATCCTATCGTAGGTGATGCATTTCAGAAACCATATCCACACGAAAAAAAAAGTGGTGAATACGAACACTTGATATATCTTGGGCTGCACCCAGCCATTCGCTTTACAGATGCCTACAATTTCTGCAACCTGACATGTCCACATTAACCTACAGTCCCGGAGGTTGATAACAGCAGCTATAAAACACTCACCTCCCAGGAAGTGTAGTTGCTCAGGCCGAAGATCTCGCTATATCGGACAGATTATGTACGTTTAAATCTGCAATACGTTTGGGAATTTATTTCGTACTGACAATTTACCCTCTTGGTATATTTTGTTGATCTCCCGCACAGTATCTTCGTAGGGCACGGTTCGATCGGGTGCATGCAGATACAGTACTCGGACCTTTTTACGCTGAAGATGCTGCAGACATGTTTCAAAAGTAGCCCGGAGCGACGCTGGCAGATGTCCAGAGTTCTGAGGTGGAACTCTTGATTATTTAGCGGACGAACGTAAGATTAGATTAGACATTTGTCCAGGACGTAGGGAACGCACTTTGTGTCAATGGTCGCATTTTTGAGATCAAGTTTGGCTAGCATCTACCAAAGGTTAGACGGTCAGATTTCCAAGTGTTCTTAAATAAATTACAAAGCGATGATACCTGCTGTGTTGTCCCTGCTCCATAACCCTTGGCTGTGTCCAGTTCTGTATGACCGTATTTGAAGAATATATCGATAATCTCTTGACATTCACTCTGGTTCGAGGTTCGTACACCTCCGCAGCCCTCAAAGCCCATGGTCATAGTGCCCTATCATGACATATCACGTTAATATACAAGACCATCATATCTCTAGGAACAATCATTGAGCTTCAGCACGTACAAAGATGAGGGGGATTCGGGTCGACATCTTCAAGATGAATTCTGTCCTGTGGACTTGGTACTGCAGTGAGTGGCGGGGGATTTGGTAGGAGGGAGATTCGCATTCACGTTGGTCATTGATTGCTTTTAAATATGATGAGTGAGTCTCTTCCGATGGTGGTCAGCAGACTCAGCGGCTGCAGGTCAAAAAATGTTTCGCCGAACCAAGATTAGATGGTGTGAAATAGTGGATGAGATAAGATACCATATAGTATGTTACAACCTGATTCTGTCGCTTGCAGTTTCATACCAAGCACTGTCACTCACTGCACCTCTCGAACCAAGACAAAAACAGGAAGTTTTCTTACTCAAAACCAAACATCACCACGAAATAGGTAAAAATTGTAGATATAATCTCACATCAAGCGATCTGTACAAGAACGAGTGACATGGTGAAAAAAAAAGAAGATTATACAAAACTACGTCCGTGGTAAAAATTTATAATAAGTTGCATATTCCACATCCAAATATTGAGATGCTGAGCAATAAATGAAAATCAGTATTCCGGTTCAACGATGAGCATATTACAGACGCTTACATTTCCGACACTCGTAATTTTATCGTTGCAAACTCATGATCACTCGATAGATATACGAGGGCCCAACGGAGCGCCACCCGTGAAATAGGACGATTGGCGTTCCGACATACCCCCTGGGGATTTGGGGGAAGATAAGTATTGCTGGGCGCCACGGATTTCTGAAGAATGAAAGTGGTTAATCACCAAGTTTGAACACATCTTTATGTATCTTGACAGGTCGATAAGACTGACCATTGACTTTGGACTCGTGGAGACCCTTGTCAAAGTCGAGGAAGCATCGAACTCCGACACAGAAACTTGCAAGAAGGAGTAAAAAGGCAACGATAGCTTTTTCACACGTTCGTCAGTACGCACTTTGGGAAACATTCCATAGTGCATAATAACTCACTAAATGTTGTGAGAGTAGCCCGTGTAGATGAATACTCTGCTTGTGATGATGGCTCATAGAACCGCACGAGCTTATATACTTAAAATGCATGCAAGTCTGTAAATGTTGCATCGTGACATAACACAAGACCTACCGACTAAAAACCAAATCAGTTAGAATTCACGCAGCAATCATGATATTAAAATCTTCTCACAATAAGTCATCGCTGCCAGCATCAGTGCAAGAGAGACCCCCATCAACCTTGGGTTTTCATCCACGTCAATTGGAAATACTAACTGTGCAATGCACTGCAACTCACCATTTGATTTCTCGCTGTACGGCAAACGCACAGCCACTCAAAAGGAACAAGACAACAGGTATGGCCGCGATGGTAATACCAAACTCGGCAGTATTATCTGAAAGAACGACGATGAGGAGCTGTGCGAAACGTAATATCGTGAGTAAAGGGAACAAGAACTACTATATAAAAACGATCATACCTGCATAGTGACTCCGACGAAGCAAAAGAAATCGAATTTGAGCAGGCATATCAAGATTTGGTAGTATTGGTACATAGCTAGAAGCAGCAGTCAGACAGTGCTAATGCTTAATATGAAAGGTTATACATACATTTCAGCTTAGGGTTAGCTCCCACTACATGGAAAATTACCCAACTAGTACGATCTGAGTTAAACGAACAGCAGCAGTATAGCTATGAGATGCTCACCCGAATTCTTCGTATAGTTGCTTGATCCAGAATATCAAAAACAACCAAGATGCACCGATGATGCAGGGTGCCACTATTAAAAAGGGTTCAACCTTCCTCCATAATGAACCTGGCCCGCCACTGCACTGTTTGAGATATGTTAAGCGCTCATATCGATAGCAGATATATCGCAGACATACCACCCATGCTGCTGTTCCCGGAGGGCAGTTTGTTGTTACTAGAGCGACCCGCGATTCATGCACTTGCAGAGCAGAAAAGACAATGAGAGCAGCGTGAAAGACTAGTGACGCAGTGCATGAGATAGATGAGTAATCAATATCAAGATATTTTCCATACATATTATTCCCAGAAGTTCAATGACATTCCGTAGTCGCAATGCGTCAAATGCCATCGCGAGCTCAAAAATCCTTGAATAGTATTAGGCATAGCAACTGATCACAAAAGAAGATCCGACGTACTCTGCTAAAATGAAAAGACTCAAATAACATGGCAAAGTCTTATCGTTTGTGTTACGTGAGCCATAAGCAACGACGATAGTAATGTAATGTATGTACCTTGTACTGGTTTGTGAAAACGACTTCTTGTCGAACCTATTTCCAATTTTGTCCCAAACCTGAATACAACGTTGCTTCAATTTCGACGAGAACCACTCACTCTGTTAAAAGTCAAGCCAACCATAACAATAACTACTATGGCCTCTATGGATCTGACGCATCAGAATAAAAACACGAGGAAAGTGAGGGGAAGTACTGACGAACTGCGACTGTGAGTCGTTGACAGGACTACATTAGATCCCATAACACACAAACTGATAAAACGGACATACTTGTTAAAACGAAAGCCCGTTGGGCGCGTGTACCCAGTAATGGTTCGACAGCCATCTTGGCGCCAGCGTCGAGCTAGAGCAGAGAGATGGAGATGAAAGTGAAATATGGAGAACGAGCGATGAGTGAGACGTCGGTTGTAGTTTGCCGCGCAACAGCCGCAGACAATATGTGGCTGTTGGGTGAAACCGCGCCACCCCAATGCCACCGTGGCCTATACCTCCAAGCAAGTTATTCTGGTCCACCACAAAAATTATCATTACGACAACCATGGCTATTCTGATGCACTTTTGATTGAAACAAACCGGTATGCCCCCAGCGCTTTTCTCGCAATAGTTAAAGGTATATGCAACATAATGATCACTGCAATACAACGTTTGAATTTGTACAGGGTTCTTCCCTGTAATTCTGGAAATACATCGACAACTACTGTCAGTATATGCATTGACATCTCGCTCTCGCTCTATTCTGACCATGGCGCTATGAAAGTTGAAAGGACTACTAGCGGAAGTACGTGCGCTCATCGGCGACCCAGATACGGCCACATCAAAGAGTATCATAAGCGTCGTTTGCGATAAGGCTAACTTGACAGCATGACATCTGCCATCTTGATTAAAACTCCCTTCCCTGCAAAACACTCTGCCTTACTGAGCGCGCTACCAACAGCTCTTCTCTCCAGAGCATCATGATACTTTTATCCATATAGGAGAACCATGGACACCCTTCCACGTCGATTGATGAGACCGTATTATTTTCGAAGACATTCTTAGCTCGTTTGATTATCGCGGTGCATATATCGACCAAGGTTTGACGCCAGCCCACTTCATTGTCTTCGGATATGATATCTCGGCGACCAGAAATTACGTCGCGCCAGGGTTGTAACACCTCGTCATGAAGTAAGTTTTCTTTGTTCCTCGTAGAGATAAGGTGATGCAACCGCAGGGCAGAAATTAGACGATATGAAGGATAAACATAGGTTGGTGAACAATGAAGCGTCCAGTCTCTATCGGCGTGGATGAGTTTAATTGACGTTTTCTTTACAAAGAGCACGATCTCACCCCCAATATCCCTCTTCCTCCAATATATTTTTTGTTACAAGATAATCCGAGGGAGTTACTTGAAGCACGCCTTCAAGAACATCTTGTACATCGATTTCACCGTGAAATTTGTCGTCGTCTATAATATCAATCACAAAGCCATATTCGACGAATAACGTGCGATTCGAGTGAGCTCCATACGTCAAGTAAAGTTCTTCACCCGCGCTCAATATGGCATCACTCGGTGAGAGGAACGCGAGGTCTTCTCCATGCATTTTCTTAGGAATGGTATTCCAAATCTCCGCCTGAGTTGGTACAAGTGTCATGTGAGGCAGATCTGCAGTATGATTTGCAAAGTCAAGGATAGGGCACATGGTCAGATTATCTGGATCAGACTTCGATGACTTCAGGCGATGATAAACGCTACGAGTGTTTACTGTATTGGCAAATTTACAATGAGTCTTCATGTCGGGGTAATTGGTGTGAAGGCTTACCATTGAGCCACGCCCAGAGAAAGTTCGTCAGTGCATCGGATATGTGGGATAAACTGTCAGAGTTCCTGGCCTTCTGGAAGCTGGGGTCTTGCTGTACGGAGTTTAGAAGTAGCTGGGTAAAGTGGAAGACTAGAAGCCGACCATTAGAGTAGATACTATGTTCCAATCCTCCCAGAATCGCGTGGACAATTTCTCCAAAGCAAAGTCCACGTTTGGAGGTAGTTTGTGGAGTAGTTCTTCCTCCTTCTTGGAGGATCCTGGATGCTTTTCCACCTTCGTCTTCCATGACAGCGGGTGGCCGCTAAAATCGTGAGGAAGTACAGAAATGTAAGGGCCGAAAAGGGGATCTAGGGAGTCCTGGCCACCATGTGGGCGATGTAGCATGAGGTGTAACGAGATCAATTGAACGGCCGTCAATTTTGCGAAATGTCGAGCAGGATAATGAGGTTTGAGGGTTCTGATGTTCAGCAAAGCGTTTGCTGGGATCGTGAACAACAGCGAAGACGGCTGTGACACGTTTAATGAAGATGAAGCTTGTCATTGAAATAAACCTCACTGGACATTCATTGACTGCAAATAACCCATTCCCAGCATCTTGGAGAGGATTCTGGTGTTAAACGGAGCAATATTCAGAGGACAAGAACGAAATCTCACTTGATCTTGCTCTACACTCGACAATTAATTTTCCTCCTTCTGTCTTCATGCCATGTGTGTCGCAGAGCCAGCGCACCAAGTTGTCCCATGTGTTTGCAGCATTGTTGTCAAGCGGGTGTCTTTGCATATGTCGTATACTTATGTTTGACACGGGAGTCTGGGATAACGTCACGGTATACTAGTACGCTTTTAGGGTTTTTAGTATGCGTGCAAAGTATATTGAACTTCCTTTCTTCTCCCCCCAACCTCTTGCTATCCCGTATGTGCTGCGTTCCCCTTTGCCATCTGTGTTTCGTCCCGGATTCTGTGTAGGTAGTTACTCCTATCGCGCACTAATAGCTGGATACTCTCCCCTAGGCATACCATTTAGGAGGAACACAATCATTCCTCCTATCAATAGGTTTCAGATGACACGCATTACAGAATTAATGCCAATATATTTATCTCTCTCTTTCCCTCGCCGAACATCTCTTTTGTCTCCACACGACACAGTCAAGTCGTTCAGTACTTATTTCTTTTTCTTGAACTCTCGAATTATAAACCAGTCTGTTCCTTATTTTCTTTGTGATTATCCGACACTAACCATTTCGTTTTCTCTCTCTTCGTTCAGTGCCCCTTCCTGCCGCATTCGTTCAATCTTGCATAGAGCTTGCTAGGGAATACGAGAGGACTCGCAGGCCTGCTCAACAAGGTGAACAACACACTGCCATCTCCCCAACCACCACTGCTTCGACGGGCTTTACTTCTCCTGACCAAAGCCAGTCCAGCGCTACTTCCAACACCGCCGATATTCACGCTGTCTCCGAAGAGGAGGCTCGTTCGTATTATGTGGGCCTTCCTTCTAAGCCCAGGCTGCTCTACCGCACGGGCAAAGAGTGGTCCCCGCCTAGAGGACCTGAGCCCTATCGCCGCTGGAAGGAGTTGCGTCCTGTTTTCAATCATCCCATCGTGGAACTTTGGGACAAGTTGATCATGGAGGTCGTGCCCATTTTGGATGCTCACAGAGTCAGTCAATCCTATCCCTCATATCGTAGAATTTGCTAACTGGGAGTTTTACTTAACTTAGATCCGCTTCACCACCATCGATGTGGTGCGGTTCAAAATGTTTGAGGTCGACGACGAGGACTCGGGTGAAGAAACCCATATGGGTCCTGTGACGATCTGGATCGGTGTCTCCCTCGATATCACCTCCGCCACAGCTGCCCATGACGCCGCTCAGGAGATTCTCGCTCTCCTTTCCAAGAACGAGATTGTGGACGTTGACATTGACTTCCGTGGTTCAATCTACAGGCGTCATGTTGGCCCTGTGCTTGTCCCGCCCGTCAATGATCTCGACCCACTCCTTGAGGTTGTCAGTCCAATCAATCCCGCCCTCGGCCTCTACATCTCTACCAGAGTTAGGCCCAATGCTCAGGGCACCATGGCCGTCTACCTCGCCGAGGGCGGCAAGGATAACCGCCTCTTGGGCTTGAGTTGCCGACACGTCCTCATATCTCCTGAGGAGCCCAACACCCCCGTCACTTGGCGCCCCAACGCACCTTCTAGGGATGTGCTCCTCCTTAGTGGATGCGCATTCAACAAATTTGTCGACTTTATCAAGCTCAAAGCCAGAAAAGACGGCATCATTGTTGAGTATTGGAACAGGCTGATTGAACGCCTCAAGAGGCAGGAGGCCGGTGGTGACACTGCGGACGCTACGAGGGCCATGGCATCGCGCATTAAGGCTGAGAGGTTGGTAACCGAAGCAGAGGAAGCGATGGAGGCGCCGCAGACGTTCCTCAAGACCGTCGACCGGAAATGGAGGACTATCAATAACCGCGTGCTTGGCCCCATCCTCTACTGCCCACCCATCAGCCTCGGTGTCGGTAATGAGCGGTTTACCGAAGATTGGGGCATGTTCCAAATTGACCGCGCCAAGCTTGGCACAGGCTTCCAAGGCAATGTGATGGATCTGGGTGCGTTTTGACTACTTCATTGTCTGACTAGGACTGTCTACTAACTTGAATGGTTTTTAGGCACAAACATGACACTCGACGAGTTCACGTGCAAGTGTTTCCCTCGTGACGATGCAAACTGGTCTTTTACTTATCCCAACGATCGTCTTCTCCCTCTCGTGGGCACCATAACGGACCAGCAAATGCATCATCCGGACATGTTCGACAGCAATCATGAGCCCTGCCTGTTGGTCGTGAAGTCGGGCAACAGTACCGGCACCACCATTGGCCGCGCAAACGGTGTCTTTTCCGTAGTCCGCGAGTACTACGCCCACGACATGAACATCAACCAGACGTCAATGGAATGGGGAATCTTCAGCTACAGCGAGGGGTCAGGAGTGTTCTCAGAGCCGGGCGACTCGGGTTCCATCATTGCTGATATCAAGGGCCGCATTGGCGGCATGCTCACTGGCGGCTCGGGCACAGACAAGGTGGACATGACCTACGCCACCCCCTTCTGGTGGCTTCTTGAGCGCATCAAGGCCAACTTCCCCGACGCACACCTCGGCGTTGATTTTTAAGGTTTGTCTTTCTGAATCGTTTTCTGTCCTTGCAATTAACGAATGACCTTGACGTCTGGGTGTCTCGGCACCCATTACCACAACGACGATTGAAGACAGCCTGCTGATCCAGGTAAGAAATCTATCGGTTCAAAATTCCGACCGAAAACTGATATGAACGGATCTAAACCGTGAACCGTTCACACCAACATCGTACATTAGAAAATACTAGTTAATACATTATTTTGTGTATGCTACTGAACCATTCAACGGTATCGAACCGTTCATGTTAAGGTTAGCCAGAGGAAGCAGTTCTGTGGAATGGATGGAAGAGAGCCATTCAAAGGGGTTGAACCATTCATGTCGTAGGTAAGACATAGAATGGATCAATTGAACCAATGAAAATGATGTAAGGAATGAAACCCATCACATAAAAAACATGTGAACGGTTCAACATCTTATAAGCAGGTTAAAAGTGACCAAGTAGGTGTCACAACGCAATGACTAAACAGTTCATTTGCATAGTGAGAACGAAGAAAGAGAAAATGAAAAACTGTTCAGTAGCTCAGCGTCGAGGGACGAAACACGGAGAAGCCTCCTCCCCACTCAACCTACTAGTAACACCCTTTGCGATCACGCTGAACGATTTGCCAGAAGACTCGTTGCGTCATCTGCGACCTGATCAGCGTGCATTTGAACTCGGGAAATATGAACATGCAAATGACCTGAAGGGGAAACAAGAGGAATTGCAGCGTATGGGAGCCTCTCAGGGCGGGAAAGAGAGGTCGTTTGGAAGGACGACGTGGAGCGTATTATTATATGCATTTGGATTGTCGTCGTCAAGCGGGTGTCCTTGCATACTTATGTTTGACACGGGAGTCTGGGATAACGTATACGCTTTGAGACGCGATTCCCACTGGCGAGGTCATCATGGGACAGCTACGGCTCTCCGCATTTCCAGCTGGTGTTGCTCGGGCCGATATCTGGAGGATAATCTGGGATGTTGTTCAAAACGAGAGTGCTATCATGTTCTTCGCCGGCGGGGAATGCAATGTTTTCGGGTCTCTTCAGGTCCTGGCACTCGCCCATCCGATTAGATTCATATCGCACCTTTCAGACGCTTGCTCCTCCTAAGCTTCACCGCACAAATCACCTTTCTCGCTTCATCATAGCCCGCAAAATGTCCGTATTCAACGCCTCTCGTTTGCTCGGCAAGACCGTCCTCGTCACAGGCGCGAGTTCTGGTATTGGAGCCGTACGTTTGCATACTTACCCTTCCAGATGTACTGAGTCGAGGTTGCCATCCTCATACAGGCAACAGCTATACTCTTTGCCAAGGTATTTTGCTCTTCCATAGTTACTCATAGTCCCTATCACAAACGTGTTCCATACAGGGCGGTGCTAATCTCATCCTTCTCGCTCGTCGTGCGGACGCTCTGAAGGCTATCGCCGACGCCTGCACCACTGCTCACAAGGAATCAGGCGTTCAGCAGGGAGGCAAGGTCGCGACCATCCAGCTTGACGTGTCTGACAAAGCTCAAGTCTCTGGGCTTTTGGACAAAATACCCGCTGAACTTCGTGCTATCGATGTTTTGGGTGAGTTTGATTTTTCAGTTATCCCACGGACTAGTGTTTCATCCAAATGCTCTAGTCAACAATGCTGGCTATGTGCTGGGAGTTGAACGCGTCGGAGAAATAGCCGCCTCAGATATCGAAGGCATGTTCGCCACAAACGTCCTCGGCCTCATTTCCGTGACGCAGCTATTCATCAAAGGTCTGCAAAGTTCTCCGTCAGTCCTCCTGGTATCTATTTTGACCATCCTACCAGATTTCAAGCAAAGGAACACTGGTCATGTTATCAACATTGGCTCCATTGCTGGCAGAGAGGCTTATGCTGGAGGCAGTATCTACTGCGCTACGAAACATGCCGTCAGCGCATTCACTGGCTCTCTCATGAGAGAGCTTGTGGACACGTCCATCCGTGTCACCGAAATTCAACCTGGTAAAACACTCGTGTTCATTATGTGCCCTATACCCAAATAACCTCACTGCGATTACAGGCATGGTAGAGACGGAGTTTTCTGTCATCCGTTTCCGCGGTAATAAAGCTGCTGCTGACAAGGTTTACGAAGGACTTCATCCCCGTAAGAATTCCTGTTCGCAGTTTTCTTAGATAACAAGTCGCTGACAGCACTTAATTTACAGTGACAGCAGAAGACATCGCTGAAGAGATAGTGTGGGCAGCTTCTCGTCCTCCTCATGTGAACCTCGCAGAAGTTTTCGTTCTTCCTGTGAACCAAGCCTCTGCTACCTTGAACTACAGGGGCAACAGATTGTGAATGTATCAATAGAAGCATTGCATTTGTAAATTTATTGCTGTGACCCAAGAATAGTTCAGTGAAGGATATTGCAAGAGACAGCACGATTAATAGAGATACAGTACAGGAGTAGGAGTACAGTACACCACATATTACGATCAGAGCGATAGTAATTAATTTCAACTCTTCGCTTTTTTGCTTTTTGATCTCGTAATTTTCACAGGAATGGTGTCCACCTCAGGTTGAGCTTCCTGATCATTGTCGTATACAAATTTCGTCACGGTAATATTCTCATGAACAAGATCTGTGAGAGGGGTATTAGCATTCATGATATTACCAAGGGTATCCAGACGGAGGGCCTGCATCAATGATGTCAGTCATGATGAGCAAAGAGGCAATTTGTCACGTACTTTGACAGCCGGAGTCAAGCAGCCTTTCCTGGTGGAACGATTCATCGAGGGTGTTTTGGGTTTAGGATGTAGCTCATCGAGATAGATCGTCGTCGAAAGCCCACGGTCCCACTTGACTTGTTTCTTCTGTACTTCCACCTGCCCCTCACCGTCAACGCACTTCAACCGTTTGACAGGCCGTGATATTCTCTCTGGTGTTTCATAGTCTTCTTCGTCGCCTGGTCCTCGACGATGCTTCCCTAAACGTGCGCGGTCACTATTCTCGTCATCATCGCTTTCCATGGCAGAACGATCACCAGACTCAGTCACCGCGTCCGCGTCACCAAGCTCAGGTCCATCCTCACTTCTCCTTGCCCTCCTTGCAGCTCTATCTTTTCTCTGTTTGTCCTTCTCTTCTCGCTGTTTCTGCAGAATTGTCCGGGCTTTCATCGTTGGGCTCTCTGGTCTGATGCCTTCCTTACGTACGACCTTAGTTTCCAGTTTCACGGAAAAGTGCTGGTTCTTTGTTGTGTTAGAAGACGTCAATGCTTTCAAAGCCACTGCACTCATTCCCTGAAAGCCATCGCTGTCAGAACGTGTCGATGTAGGCGCCCTTTTGCGAGGTTGCAAAGGTCGCGTGACAACGGTTCCGAAAACATCAGAAGAAGGTAATGTGGGCTTGCGCTTCCGTGACGTTCTGCGAACTTTACTTGATGGTTCTGCCTCGCTTTGAGGGGATGCAGTTGCATCTCTTATCTCGCGAGCATCAATACCAGCACGATCTCGAGACAATGTTTTGTCATGTGGAACAGGCGAGGAGGGCGGTGTCGGTGATTTATTAGTAACCACCGTGGAGAGCGCAAATGCATCTAGATTAGATGATTTCGCACCACTTCGTGCTCCAAGAGAACTATGACTCGCGCCAGCCTCAATGTTCTGGCTTCCCTTTGTCAAAGGCTCGGGAGCTTTATCGTGTCGCTTTGCAAACATGCCATCCACTACTTTTCGTATTCTGATCGGTCCGTTCGGTTTCTGTGGAGTAGTTCCAGTAGATGCCTGTGGTACAGCAGGTTCTGGCAAAACCTTCGGAGCATACTTGGCACCCAACATTCCGGGAACAACCTGGCGGAAAGTTGGAAGACCGGCTGTAGGAGGCGAGAAGGTCCGGGCACCCTGCTTTCTTGCGAAGGCTGTCGAGGTGGAGAGCTCAGAGCCATTCCTTTCCTTGATTGCACTATTACTGGGACCTGGCACGATGGATGCACTATCATCTGAGCTACCACTGCCTGAATGTGTGAACCTAGACGCAGATTTCTTCGATGGAAAAAAGTATACGACATCAGAATAGCAAGTCTTGAGAATTTAGAATAGTGAGACCTACAGTGCTGCCAACCGTGACTGTTGATTTCACATCCTTACTGGCCTTTAGGCTTGAGCTGCTTTCCTGGTTCTTTTCATTCTTTGGTGGGGGCCTGGTATATGGCTTTGCACCGATCCGTGGAATGCGACTGCTAGTAGAGGGCTGTTTCAGGTATGACTTGGCGGGACTGGCAATTAATGTCGACTTCGCTGTAGTGGTAGAAGTACTAGCTTCGTGAACATTTGGAGGCTCGTTCTCCTCCGGTATAGAATGAGGTAGCTCACTCCCCAACACATTCCCTGCAACTAATGGAAATGGTAACTTGGCATTTGACCGCGAAGGCGGTACCGCGGATCTTTGGAATATCGACCCCAGACTTTTACTCTCCGGCTTTGGCGAAGGGTCTACAGAACGACTCCTTATCGAAGGGGTAGGAGCAGGCTTGGGCTCGACCGATGCGCTCCTTGCTCTAGGCAAAGAGCGGGAGGGAGAGGCTACACTCTGGCCATGATTAAAATGTATGGTCCCGGATACAGGGACTCTCTTGGCTGGGCTACGCCTCGGGTCATCTAATGCAGGCCGTGCAAAGAGTGGAGACCGTATCGATGCGAATTTGCCTCCAGGGGCAGACATATCTGGTCTAACAGAAAGGTGAGTAGTTTTGCGCTGAGACGGAGTCCCTCGGGCTATAGCTTCTTCTATGGGCACCCGTCGTGCTGGTGTGCGAGCGCCACCTTCAATCCCAGATGATGGCTTCTGTGGCGACATAAGACCTAGTTTCACTGGTGAGTGAGGTCTCTGCAATGTAGAATTGCTGAAATTGGGATGTGGTGCGTTGTGCATACGTGATTCCTTTTTGGGAGTGGAAGGCCCAGCATCCTTGCTAGCCTCTGGGACCACTAGCACTGGGATGGGAATTGACTGCTGGGAAGATGGCAATAGTTGGGCCAACACATCCGCTGCCTCTGGTGAAAGGGATCGCAATTCACGTTGAGGTGTTTCTTCGTCCTGCTGATCATTGGTTGTTGGAAGGGGTATTGATGCAGCCAACTCAGTCATAGAAACTGGCATGGGTGATAACAGCTGCGTCAGCACATTTGTCGACTCTGGCGACAGCGAACGCAACTCTCGCTTTGCCGCACGTATGTCTTCTTGTCTGTTAGTCCTCATAGATTTACCCTCATTCTTCGGCTCTAATCGTTTCTCTTGATCCTTCTCCACTCCACTGACCATCCCACCCCTACCCGCACTACTCTCATTCGATTCTTCTGTTGCATTCACGGCAGGAGAGATGGCCCTCTCCTTACCTTTCGACGTTGGAACTTCCAAAGAGTTTGTCGCGTGACCAACACCAAACAGTTGCGGAGTAACACTCCGCCGCGGGGACCGTCGAACAGGTTTGATATCTTGTGTCATTTGCTTGTCACTCACAGAGGGTATTGCATTATCGAATGAATGCGATGTAATACTGTCCTCACAATGTACCTGAGATTGAGTAGGTGTGGGCACTCCAGGTATAATGACCATGTGCTCAAACGAGTTTTCTTCAACTACCGGTGAGAAATGACCATCAGGTAGAGAGTGAGAGTCACGACTGGGAGAAGGTGGAATGTCATTGGAAGATGATAAGGGGATGTCTGAATTTTCGTATAAGTGGGGTGTGGCGTTAGTGTGAGAACCGTTGGCTAGTAGGCTAGTATTGGGATCCAATGGGGCTGCATCTGCACATACAGCGGGTTTGGATGTAGGAGAAGATATATGCGCAAATAAATCACGTTGAAATGATTCTCCTGCAGTATCTGTTTCGAGCGTGGGGCTTTGGCTGTTGGGTAATGGGAGAGCAGGGGAGACATGAGAAGGGCTAGTCACGCGACCAAGTGGGGAGCGTCCATTTAACCGATCCAAAAGATTGATATTCTTGAACGGACCGGGAGACATAGGCTCGTCTGTTTGCGGGAATGGGCCACTCTTCAGTGGTGAATAGTCAGGATTTGGTACCACGTTTCGTTGAGGCGGCGGAGATGGATTATCATGAGCCCGCATGATTTTGCTTGCAAGCACAGATGAAGGTTCTAGTTCTTTGGGTTGAAGGTGAGCTTAAACATGAATAGGACTTGTACACCCACCGTCTTGAGGAAACAGGGTATAATTCTCAGGGGTTCCGCCTCGAGACATACGGGCGGTAAGATCAGCTGCTTCGTCTACATCACCGTCATCGTCAGTCTGAGCGTGTATATCAACGTTATCTTTAAAGCCTGACGACGCAGGGGCTGGAGACAGCCTTGGAGAACGGCGAAGTGGTGAGTCGACAGCGCCTGGATGGAGAGTGCGGCGGCGTGCGACATCAGGCGCATATTTCTTCTCTGGAGACTGCAGTGGTCCAAAGTATACCCTAGCTGATGATGAATTGACAGCATCATTGTCAGACACGGAGCTAATGGATACGGGAGAGCTAGGTTTAGGTTGGATGAAAGAATCCACCATCGCTGCGTTTTCCATTGCGGGATATCACAAAAATCACGAAGGACACGCAGTGGAGATATGGCCGTATAAAAGCAGGAATGAGAACAGCCAGAAGGCTGGGAGACTGAGCCGGCCAAAGATATAAACGAAAGGTGATATCCAGAAAGTGCTGAATTGGGCACTGTCCTGAGCGAAAACAACGTTGAAGTCGCGTTGTCACACGTGACTGAGCGCGTCTTTCACGATCACATATTATATCAGAAAAAAGCAATGCATTCCACAAAACTGTTCTCTTCTTCCTCAAGTATATACTGTCGCAGGGTTCATCAGAACTACAGGTTTATGCGGACACTCAAGTCCAATTATCGATGGATCAATACGTACACCCAAGAAAACGCATGGGATATTTCGGAGTCATAGCCATGATTGCTAGGGTTGATTTACCTGAAAAGAAAACACGAGGCGGCCGCGACAGCATCCAAAAGATTCTGGAAAGACGGATATATCGTTGATTGGAGGAACAAAGGGCACGAGAGAGCCTTCTTGATTCTTCGAAATACCAGCTACAGTTGCAACTTAGGCTATAAGGGCGGTGCGAGGGAAAGATCAAGTAACACGAGTCTCGATAAGATCATCGTGCTGGACTGCGGCTCCGTTTGTATGGGCCCTACAATTCAGTCCCTGTGATGCTAAAATCCTTCTTGATGCGACATCGGAGCGGACCGAAATCAGGGGCCACGCAATCTCGATCGTTCTTGTAGGGTCATTTTCAGCTGCGAGGACGAAAGATCTATAATCAGTACTCGTAGAACTGATTCTAGAACTAAATAAATATACCCGCTCGTTCTCTCTGGCTAGTGTCTCTAACGTGTTCGTCTGCTTGTCCATTTTAGACCTCATATCTTCCAGAATGTCTTTGATGGTGATGTCATCGTGGATGCCCTCTTGCTTCAGCTGTACAGCTTGAGGTGGCATGGCAGTAAGACGAGGTCGTTTCTGTTCCCTAGGACCATCTCCTTCACGTGAAGCACCCGTAGTTATCGAACCTTGTTGCGCATACAGTTGGGTAGATTCCTTTACGGTGCTTCTCGAGGGCCGAACATCAACGTCTGGCATCAAGTCATCAAGTTCCTCCTCATAGGCTTTCCGCTTGACGGGAGTTTGAGATGTAATAACTTCTTTCTCCTTTTTTAGAACCTCCATCACGTCCCGGAGTCCTGAATCGATACACTCGGTAATACGTTTCATGGACATAGAAAGAATGCCTTCCCAGAGAAGTTCCATTTCTTTCAAATCGCAATCCATGCGCTCCTTGTATGTTGCTTGATTGATGGCGATAGATGACAGGGCAGGGACTACTACTGTTGCTGCGGTCGGTGTCACTTTGGAAAGTTCCGAAGATAGCTCCGTCAAGGCTTGCATTCGTTCCCCTTCCCTCTCATAGGCGGAGATATTTTGTAGAGCTTGATTGGATATTCTTCGCATAACACCGAGTTCAGTGACCTTCGTGATATCCGAAAGCACGATCTATGCAAGTGCACTCACCCTGCGAGGCGACGAAATAAGCTGGCAGTATTTCCAGTGGGATTGTCCAAACTGGTAGTCTGTTGTACTGTACAGGGTGTATGCGTACTATCTTGATCAGAGTGCATGGCAGTAATCGCGGGGTTATTTGAAGAATGGTGACGATGCTCGTAATTATTATCATGGTCACGATTAAGGGTACGGTCAACGCCGTATACTTCAGAGCTACTCGTTTTGGCCGACATAGACTGTCAGTGAACATTAGTTGAAACATCATAAGTGGCATCGATATCAGCCTTGCTAACCAGTTCCTCTTTCTTGTACGGTTGCATTGATCTGGGTTTGTCCCTATCCCTAGTCCTTTCGATGTCTAGTTGATTGCGGTCGTCGTTTACGCGCCTACCTTCGTCGCGACTACCCATCTGATCGTCAGAGCGACGACGTTCATATTCCCGTGGATTTCCTTCAGTTACGTGTAGTCTGGCCTCGTCATCACTTTTGTCCCTGTGTCGAACTCTATAAATATCCTCGCGAAGACCAAGCTCGCTCGAAAGATGTCCCTGAGCTGGAGAGGAGGCCTTGACTTTCTTGGATTTGCTAGACCTGCGCTCAACGTCGCCGTAGTAATCAGTGGAGGATCTATCGGCCTTGAGTCTCGAGCTCCAGTTAGAATCATTCGGGTGCACAAAACTGGATGTTCAATGAGCGAGGGATGTAGCACATGTGCATGGCAGACATCACCGGCAGCGGCTTCCTTGCGTGCAATAAGGCTTGATTGGCTTTCCAGAATCGACTTCGAAGTACTAGAAAACGCGTTTTTAGTGTGCAGGCCGAGGTAGGTTTCAATAGGACCAGTCGCGTAGGACACGGATACGTACACGGCACCGTAAAGTCTTGTAAAAGGACATCGTTATTACAGATATCAAACAGCAATGATAAGAGAGACTTTGAAAAGGGCGTTATTTCTGGAAAAGCGCTGAGCTTAAGGTTGCAAGGGATGTGGCCTTGGTGTAGGTGGGCCGAGACAGAGACCACGTGCGATATGAAACGCGTCTGAAGTAGTGAAAAGGGAGTAAGAACACGATTCTTCGAGAAAATTTTGATTGTTCAGGTCTTTCATAGTTTCATCATGAATCCAGCCCGTATGATGTCCACTTAGTAAGAAGCATGCCCTTATGACAGCAATCTGAGAGAACATCGACCTCGCAGGAAACGTGAATCGCAAATTAGATTAGGGCGCATGCCAATGCAATCTATGGCGGGTGGCGGCTAACGCGCTGACAGCTGTTTGACAAGCAGTAATCTTTGCACGAGCAACGTTATTGCCAAATAATAGAATGTCGGATGTTAGTCCTTGTCTGTCAATGGTGACCTTCAGCTTTCTTCCAATTCAGTTGCAACCTGGCGCGTACCTGTAGCCCAGTGCTCAGTGCTCATCCTTAACCAAAGTGCCACGCCCCACCAATCGCTGTCGTAGGACCTTGGACATCTTTTGACTCTGCTGGCGACGTGATCTTCCTGATTGGAATGTCGGTTTTCTATCTGAGAAGATGCTTGTCACATGAATGATGAATCGAAGGAGGTGTGATATCTCCTGTTAACTGGACGGTGTCAAATCCCTAATGGAATCAATAGGCTTGACGATAATCATTTCCGTGGAAAAGCTGCTAGTGAGATGCGTTGAAAGCGGAGTGCATTTCATGGGATGTCATTTATCCCCACATGTCGATGTTTGAGCGGCCCACCAGCCAACATGGGATATTCAGCATTGTTCTGGCCACCAACGCCAATGAGATCGAAAGTCTAAATGCAATGGTACAAAGGCTGACACGATGCCCGTGAAACCTACGTTGAAGGCGCCCTTCCTCCAAACCTAACTTTGCCCACATTATACTCAATATTTTATATTTTACTGCGGGGGCGTGTGGGTTATGTTGGTGAGAAATCTGCAATCTGCAGTGGTTCGGGGTCGGGCATGTCGTTCTCGTGATAAGTGACTATTCGGTTCAAACGTTCCCGAGCGCCTCGTCCATCGAGTTTTGTGCGGAAAGCGATAAGTATATGACCGCTCATATCTATAGAGGTCAATCGTAAACCGCATTGCACGGGTCTGCGCCTTGTTTCACACAGGATCTCTTGTTTAACCCCCACCAAGACTGAGAAAGTCCATGTTCGATGCTACAGCGCTTGTGGGAAGCTCGCTTCCATCTCCCTTGTTTTCCAGCATCACCAGCTATCTGTTGCTTTTACTATCCATGAGTGCGTTTCTCAAGATGTGGAGTGTAAACCGCATTCCCGCCGTTTGTTATCCTCCTACACCCGCTTCTGTCGCCGTCAAGGAACGCAAAGACAGCTCAGAGCGTGTTTCTTTGCGCGAATTCGTAGAACGCAGATGTCCTAGCTTGCATTCAGAGTTTCACCCAGCATGGTGGTTGTTCAAGTCAGCTCATTTATCACAATTCAACACTGTTTTGGCTAGTCCTGACCAAGGTCTCTAGTGGCCATCTACAAACCATTTACTGCGTTCTTGGTGATTTTTCAAAGAGAGACAAAGTTGAGTACAAGAGGTGAGAAATACACTGGTTCTGAAGGCAACATTGAACTCAGTAAATATAGAACATACCTGCGACTTATGGATGGCGGAACACTGTAAGCCCATATCAATGTCTCTCTTCTGCTTTTGGTTCTCTGCTGATCTCGGTTCTTGTGAACAGAGGTTTAGACTTCACCCCCACAGATGACTCGAATTTGAAACCTGACACACCGATCATCGTGGTTACACATGGACTTACTGGGGGTACGAGGATCACAGTTCAAGGATGGCTGGCTTCTCACTATATAGCTTTAAAGGCTCATATGAATCATACGTGAGATGCATTTTAGCGCCTGCTTGCTCACCAGTCGAACAAGGCGGGCTAGGCTACCGTGCTGTTGTAGTCAATTTCCGCGGCTGTAGGATTTTCCCGTCTATCTGAGTTTTCAATACTCACGCGGTTTGTACATAGGTGCCGGAGTACCAGTCACCAGTCCCCAACTCTACTCAGCTGGACATACAGATGATCTGCGTCAGGCCTTATTCTACATTGCCAACCAATACCCAGGTGCACCTTTATTAGGCTTATCGTTCTCTCTTGGCGCGAATGTTATGACTCGATATATCGCAGAGGAAGGTGAACAGAGTCGGCTGATGTCCGGGTGTATATTGGCTTGTGTGAGTATTAAATCTACCGTAAACTCAAACTCTACCATTAACCCATCAGTTCATTTCATATCCGTTGAAAGCCATGGGATTTAGCTGCAAATAACGGAAGGTGAACATCTCTTGCTACCATCACAAACTTAATGTTATTAACTAGATCAGGCTGCTCGAGACATACATAGGACGGAACATCTACTCAAAAGGGATGGGCTCAAACCTACTCAACCTCCTTAGAAGGCATATTGTTCCCCTTACTCAGGATCCAGAGCACCGTGTTGCGAAGGCCATAACATTAACCATGGGACTAGATAAGCCTACTTTGGATGTCTTTGACGATACGTTCACCAGAATTGCCGGAGGCTCTAGCCCTCCTTGGCCCTTTGATACTGCGCACGACTACTATGTACACTCATCCAGTCACAAAGTTCTGGGCGATGTTCGCGTGCCCCTTCTGGCTATTAACGCTGCGGACGATCCGGTAGTACGTGACGTTCCTATGGATGCAAAAGGTAACGGTTGGGTCGTGATGGCTCTGACTCCGAATGGTGGGCACATTGGATGGTTCGAGTCGGATGGAGGTTGGGGTCAGGTGGCGAGATGGATAAAGCGACCGGTTTTAGAGTGGTTACGAGCTGTTGCGGAGGATTTGGTTTACGAGCGTCCTCGGGTTAAACCGCTTCAAGACGTAGATGGTTTCCTGAAAGAAGTTGGTGGTAGGGACGATCTTGGGTGCAAGGTCATAGAAGGAGGTGGCATCGTCGTCGGTAACGAAGGACAGAGCGGGGTACTTGCCGGTTTGTAGACGCCTCATGTATTTCCAATGGCTATCAGCACACAGTTCATGACTAGCATGAACTAGATATATATCTATTATACAATTGCTTTACGGGGACAACTACACGACCGTCATCTGATCTGTATCTAATCGCTGTCGCTAAAGTGCACATGCTGGTCTTCTTCCTCTTCCTCCAAAAGTCTCTCAGATCGATCGTATTGACTGAAGTCGACTGAAACAGTGCCCTCTTCCAGCAGACTGTCATCATCGTGGTCCAAGTTTTTGCTACGCTCAAACAGCTGCCGGCCTTTAAAGAAGATAGCTCAAGGTTACCGAAGACTGCAACGATAAGATATCGCGAAAAGTTACCTGATATTCTTGATCCCGCCTTCTTCCACTCTTCTCTCTCTTTGCTAGTGAGACCCTTGAGCCGTTCGTCTTCTTCGCGAGCTTTTCTCAGTGCTATCTCTTTATCAAATTTGGCCTTCCATGCTTTGAATGATTCGATAGTGACAGGGGTTCCACGAGTACGTGCTTCTTCGGCCTGGCGTAAAAATTAGAATTAGTGAGATTATGGTACATCCACCTCAAAACTCTGGTCGATCACCTCAATGGCCAGACGTTCTTTTTCTGCAGCTTCTCGCTGTTTTAACTCGGCCCTTTCCAATACAAGGGATGAAAGTTGTTCTCTCAAATGGGAGACAAGGGTGAACGTCATGGCCATGCCCAAGTTCTCGTCCCCCTATCATTGAACGTCATCGACTGATCAGACATGTACAGACTGAAGAACAAGCTACACACCACTCTTCTCAAATCCTCCAGCAAAGTTTCGCACTCTGAGTCCTCGAGTGTCCCATCGATGGCTTCCAATGACAATTCAGGGAGCTTGTCGGGGTACTCTTCTGTGTAATGTACCGCAAGCGTTAATTTAACTGTGGTGCGTTGTCAGGAAACGCTCAAACAAGGTCCAAGTAATATGAACTAACGGTCATCCACCCCATCAACATCCTCGTCTGGCTCGACATCGATCTGGATATCCCTATCGGATGTTACTTTATATGAGTCTCAGCAAGTCTGATATGAGGTGCTAGGCCTGTGGGACAAACTTGAAAGCTCGGTTGGGTATATGGCCTCGAGTACCTGGATATATATGTCAGAAACTATGCATAGAATAAACATATAAAATACCAATTACCTCGAATTCCTCGACCAGGACGTCGGAAGACATTTCGACAAAATGTATGAGATCGCTTCCGTATCCGACTTCCGACTGTGTTCGGCCAAGTTTTGGCTCGGGTTCGACCGCATAATTTACTTTGCTGCGTCCAGGTTCACAGTTCCGTTGGTGCAAACTGCTTATTTTCCGCAATGTGGTCTTCGTGTATGCGCACTTCACTCCCAGCAGTACTAAGAAGCTCTGTTGCCTCTAGGAGTACATTTTCGCCAGCGGCTGCATCGAGAATACACGTCCGATTTCTCAATGGGAACTCGGACGCCTATCCACGCAATCCTGGCAGGTCATTGCGACCACCAGCGTCCTTGCCTGGCGACGAGCGCTGGAATGATTTGACCAGTCCTCTTCTCAGCTACCTCAACAAAGCGGAAGACCGTACGCCCAAGTTGACTCCAGAAGAAGCTTGGAGTCAAAGAGTAACAGAAAATTTACCTGCGCCAGCTGACGCTTACACAGGTGAGTATCCTGCTCTTTCTTTCTATGAAACAGCTGTGTACATAGACATCTCTAGGTCGCCGAGTTCAAGTCATAGATGGGGACGTTGGTCGAGCCTATGACGGGCTGCAGCGCCGGTTGAAACGCAACTCAGTGGCCAAAGAACTAAGGCTCACAGCCAGACACGAAAAGAAGGGTGCAAAGCGACGTCGTCTAAGAAGTGAAAGGTGGAGAAAACAATTCGCCAACGAAGTATGATTGCGTGTTGTTTTCCTGCCAACTTTAATTCTGACTATGTGCCACATCAGGTACGGAAGAAAGTACAGCTGGTCAGCACCATACGTCGGAGGGGTACGAGTACTACATAAGATTAATCGGCCTCATTCTACTCGCGTGTATCTGTTTGCCAACTATATTCGAATCTCCTCCGACTTGCGCTTGATCTCCTGCGAGGAGATGTTCATTTATACATTGGCACATAATCGAGTACATGCCGGGAGCCGTCCTTAGCTTCCGTGAACCATACAATTGCCTTAATAATACGCGGGGCTGTGTTTTTCATATTCTTCACTTTGATATGAATCAAGTACTCGTCATGCAATAACTCGAAGAAGGTCAAGAACTCGAAGAAGGACGGACTTATCAGAACGTCATCTTTGATGCTCACTACTGCTTCATAGGCTATACCATGCACATATCTTGTAGGTTCTTCGCTGGCTCTGATGTCACCAGCACCCCGGATTGCGATTCACGATTCAGGGATGCATGATGAACAATGATGCCCGGAAGATACACTGCTCTTCGGCCATCACCTCCTTTGTTCTTGCTTTGTGCGATATTATTGTTTGCCTTGCCATTTGAATTTTGAAATACGTCAATATTACAGCCGTTTAAGGAGTGTCCAAGTCGAGGCAAGGATTCTAGTGTCTATCGTGCTTTAAGCGATCGGGGCGCATGCGGACATGATGTTCCTCTAACGTGAAGACACTAGATAATCTTCTACTCTCGTCGCTATGATATACTAGTGAAGAAGAAAAGCAAAAAGGAGTTATCATCAGCAAAAAGAATACAGTATATACCTTGCTATAGTTATCGGGGGGCCAGGGCAAACTAGCCCATTGTGGAGTTTGCATCCCCAGGCACAGAAATCTTGAAGACTCCACGCAACACGAGGCCTTGGGCACGAACACCTCATGTCGAGCCACGATGGAAATGCTCGTAAATAGTGATCCATATCCCGCATGGCCCAGCCTACCAGATCGCCATAGGAGCAGTCGGGCCCCATTAAACAAAGCTTATCATGGCATATATGGCAAGCAGACCCCAGAGGAATCCTGCGATCGTAGGACAAACGGTTGCTTCTTTGTGCCGTACCCACAACATGATCTATGCCACAAAGCAGAAAGGTCTTCACGTTGCTCTATAGGGGCTATCTTTTTGATGGCGTTGTGAGCAACAAAGTCGCTAGCGGAGCCCAGCCCAACACACACATCTGATCTCGATTATATTTGACAGTAAAAATACCCGTTCTGATCGTTTTGCCAAAAATCTGCCTGTGCACCCATGGTTAGGAGTACGGCCTTGGCTCTAGAAGGCAAAAACGCTACCGTGTAATGCGATTTGTGTGTAAAGCTCGCGGTTTACTTCCAGTGCCATGATCCGGCGGCCTCGCTTTTTTCAGTGCGTCGGAGTAGACAAGAACGAGGTCGACGCACCGCTGGGTGATGCAACTCGACTGGAAACTCACATAAGAGGCTTACGGGAATGGATCAGATAAATCTATCAAAAAGAAAGACTTACCAGACCAAGCGAAACATACCCCCCTTTTAGCATTCGAGGACGCAAAATGTGCCACAATGTTCGTCTAGTCATTATGTGTCATTATTCTTGTCTTACCAAACGAACTGTCGTGTCTAGATCATAGATGGTCGATACCACACAACCTGCGGCCATTTTATATCGATGTCGACACGGTTGCAAGACTGCCTCCGACCAAATTGCCTGTTCAGTCGGCGTCATATACACCCTATAGGTGAGCATATCAGTCAGTGTCAAGATAGGACCATGTTTAACGGGAAAAGCCAGGTTGTAAATCGCAATCCTGTATAAGATTGATGGCTTTACCAGTACGAAATCCTATTAGAATCAGCCCAACAAGATGCGGAGATTGCATTACGAGGGAAAGAGATGGCACCATACTTGGTGTGCAATAGCTGAACGCAGAGGATCACCAATCCGGAGAGATATGATTTTTCAAAAGATAATGCTAATTTTATACCAGCGCCGCAGACCTTATAATTATCAGATTGGCTGCATTCCAGGATATGCATAGTGCACACCTAGACAACTTGAATAGAACATGTAATAATGACCATTCACATCACAGATTTCACAACCAGCTCCTGCAGGCCGATTTGGAAATGTTTATGATAAAATGCAGCTGTGTTTGTGTATGGATAGTCTTACCGACCTACTGCTGCGGTAGTTACTGAAACGAATGAACGCTAAAGCAGTCGAGCAGTGATGAGTAGTTGAAGATCGACGTAGCATGAAAAAAGTTGATGATGGCCGAGTGTGGTAACGACCAAGTGGAGTTCCATTAATCGTCTGATGATGCAAGGTTATCCTGACCTTCAACTTGAACGACACTTGAAGCTTGAGGAGCGATCATGAAGAACCTATGAGCCTGATTCACCAAAAGCTGTCGGGGAAAACATTTCATGGTGGTAGACATTCGCGACCAATATTCAAAGCACGACATGGCTGTCCTGCCATCCGCTAAGGCGCTTTAGTATAAATCATTGACTGTGCAGAGGTAAGCGTAGAAAAACAAACCTAAGAAGAGCTACTAGTAAAAGGTCGGTGGCAGTGTTAGCCACGTGAGGTCACGTGCAGCTTCGGGAAGCTTTTGAAATTTGTTCTTTCTTTGGTGGCCCTTGTAGTTCACGGAGCTTTGTCTCAGTGCGCTGAGTGGCTTTGTCTGTTACAGCGGCTGGTCTTGTTCTTGTTGGTGGTTATAAGCACTGAATTCATGTTACCATGGTGACTTCAGTTTCTCTTATAAGTGCGTTGATTCTAGCTGTTGGCACTTTCGTATTTCGACTTCGTTTTCTGGACTCATTTACTGGCGTCTGTCTGTGTTCTATTCCATTTCTTACTCTGAAAATCTGCAGTATTTACACAAGATCGATAACATGGCCTGGCGAGCAACCGATAATCTTAGATGCTATCTTCAAGAGGCTCGACTGCCACAGATGAAACCCGGTCCTACCGTGCAAAGACAGCTTTCTGAAAATAGCCATGCATTCGACAATACCCTTTCCGTTAGATCGGAGCGCTATAGAAAGCTACAACGGGTGTTGCCTCTTAATAGAGAGGAACTCGATGATTATATATGTGCATGTAAGAATATATGATCCAGCCTTATCTGCCACTTACTGACGATGATGGTAGGGACGGAGGAATTTGTCCCGTGTTTATCACTCGGCGTGGAAGACGAGGATGAAAAAACGGGAGAGCGTTTCAGCGTTCCATGTCAACCGTTTTACAACGTTCCTCCTCTTCCCCTCGGAAGGCCAGCTGATATCGAGCGGTATTTATATTCCATCCCATTTTTCATCGACTTCATTTTAATCCTCTACTTGATTGGACAGCCTATTCATGTGGATGGATCACCTTCCTTTAGAAACTGTCCAGCGCACCGTGCACCTTCTGTATCCCCAAACCCGAAAATGGACATTTATCTCCGGCGAAGACAGCACAGACTACCGATTGTTTAGAAGCCTCATGTGGTCACTGCCTATTGAGGAACCATCAACTCACCCTGAAGTGACCCATCATTCGCTCTGCATATTCTTACAACCACCGTGGATTCTTTCCGTTGAGGACATGGAATACTTCGCAGCATATCAATCAGTGCGTTTGAAAAAAATACATAGTGATGTCTTATTAACAGGCTGTTCAGTTTCATTTGTTCAACTCCAATGGAAGCTCGCCACCACTTTCGTTACGCAATAATGACAAGATTTGGAGCAAGGTAAGCGCCCCCGCCTTTATAACATTATCATGACGTTCTTATCACAACAAGGTCTGGGACACATGCGTGCGCAAAGACTGTCCATGGTTTGTTGTATCTACTTATGCGCACTGGGTATTCGGGGTCTTTTCCACAGGTATGACCTGAAAACGACTGCATTTTCACACCTCACACTAATATTTACTACTTAATAGGATGGACTGCGGCGTTTGTATCGCCAGTGTATAGCTATGATTCACACGACCCAACAATCCTACAAACATTGCTTTTCTGGGCTGTATCTGCCATGGGTTTACCAGGAGGTTGGAAAATCCCAGTGGATCGTACAGAGCCTGCAGTTCCAAGGCAAGAGGTTCCATGCACCGTGTACGACATCATAGATCTAAGAACGGCGGAGAAAGAAGCGTTGGCTCATTTTTCACCCTACGCGTCGATGTCCGGATAATTGCCTTCAGCGTTTCTCACTCGCACGCACTTATCATACGTATGTGGTTGTGACTGCTCAACAGTGACTATCTCAGCAAATAACCTACGTCATTCTCATTTAGGCGCCCCCCTGCACGCCAGGCTGAGGTTGATGGTTGATGAAACAATCACTGCACTGATCGATAACCTCTGCATGCGCGTCAACGAGTGAAATTTATAGTGCCTTCAGCGAAGGCAAACAGCAGTGCGGCGCCCATATGGTTATTATCGATGGAAGTATCATAAAGGTAAGTTCCTCAGAAGTTTGACAGTTCATATTGTTGAAATAATTGCCAGGGTAGATGTACTCCTCACATTACCATAAGGATCGGTCATTTGAAGGGTTGGGGAAGGTCATTCCGCTTTTTATTAAATGCCTGCGGTCGTGCCCACAACGAACGTGCATATATCTCGAAAAGCTTTGTGATAATCAATCCCTATCTGTGCCTTGTTGTTCCATGTCAACAACTCGGCTAAATGTACAGGTAGCTTCTTCGACATGGTATCTATTGTACGGTCTTCTACCCAACTCGCTCTCTGTTTGGTTGATTGTCCGTATCTAATATCTTATCACAGCGAAGAGAAGTCGTTTGATCCACTAATCATTAGTGTCTGAACTATCGCTGTACGGTATCGTGAGATTAAGGCGCACTAACAATACACGGCGTTTACCATGACCACGACATTATTAGCTCAGATCCAGCCGCTCAGTTGGCTTCTTGGAAGGCTCTAGAGTCATGCCCTCGTCGTCTTTGTCGTGTTTTCCTTCCTGTGAAGGTGTCTTGGCAGGAGTATTTCCGCCATAGGACGACTTGGGCGTGTTTCCGTCGGTGGATGAAGTCGCGGCATTAATACTGCCCAAGGAGGGAACAAACAACCGGGAGAAGGGTGAGTATAGCTTGGCGCGCGGCGGGCAAGTTGGAGGTGGCACCTAAAACTACAAAATTGCAACTGGGATTAGTGAGTACGACAGTTTACTTACCACAACCAGAGGTTCCACGTAAGGTGAAGCATTTTGAAAATCTTGCGCGGAGTAAAACTCGAGAAGGATACTCAGTGCTCCTGTATTGATATTATTGTCAATCACTAAGCAGGGATTTCCTTCACTGACCAGCTACGCCTGAAAGTTCCACTTCGTTGAAAGAAAAATACGCAATGACTAGACGGGAAGCGTCTGGAGAAGCGGGTTTATGCGATGGAGGCGTTGGCAGTGATGCTGATGGAGGAGATGCAGCTATGCGTGCGTTTAATGATGGCGAATGAGGACCATCTACGACTCGCTGTGCCAATACATAACATGCAGCCGCAATGATACGAGAAGGAAACAGTATACACAAAGGGGTCCGGTACCTGTAGCGAATGTTGATCGTAGCGAGGACATGAAAAACACGAGCGGCCTACGAATCATGAGCTATACTCCACGCATATTCCTGAACCTGATGATCGTCCTGATGTGCGTTGTACAGGTCTACTAACTCTGCATGTGGGCTCCCTGTCACAAAATCAAAGCAAAGGGCCTCAAGCAAAACTTCTTCTGTTAGTAAGATAGCAGTCTGGCGTAGCTCGACTTCCTGTGGCAGAGTTGAGAAGGCAGTGGAGAGATGAAAGAAGTATACGTGCACTACTATCAGTGGAGATCTGGGAAATATCGACGCCTGTGATTTTTGAATGACACACTTTGGCGACGTCGCGAAGTTTTCTCCCGCATTCTTCCGTTTTTGTTGCGAGAAAGATGCACGAGGCGGCAACATCCTGGATAGAGCATATGTCTGACTGCGAGCGGCTGAAGAAAATAAGTCATACTTGACGATGATAGTCCTCCATGGAATAGCGCATGAAGAAGCGGTGGAACCAGGTTGCGGCGGTGAACATTGCTGAGGAGGGCCTGCACCAAGTGATTCATTGAGAGAGGATGAGCTTAGATGAGACAGGTAAAGACAACATGGCTGACAATCCTAAGGAAGAGCCCAAACGAAAGAGAAACTCGACGCCCCTAGCACGGTCATAGAGCTCTTTCGCGACGGTGTAAGCTGAGGTTGCGATGCTGGGGGTATGCTCCAGTGCTGATACTGGAAAGAGCCACTGGGAAGACAGGCCCGTGTGCTGGTTCGCTGGTGCACCCATGGTAGTTCTGAGCGATAGGCCGGTGTGCAGTAGATAGTCCTCGACCCAAGCCAGCCGCTTTCGTGAAATTCTCAGAAGCGCTTCCCCAACGCCACACTTATGTAAGTCGCAGGAACCTTGGACCTTCCTGAGCAACCTAGCTATAGCGTACTCGTACTCCAGTCATAACCGTGAGTGCCAGGATCGCTATTATTAATTATCCTGTGTTTTCTCGGATGTCCTCATATTTTTGTCTTCATAGGATATATGTGGGGACGCCCCATATCATATCACTGGTGATCGCGGTTGCCACTGAGCACGGACTTGTCTTAATTTCGTTCATCTTCTCCCGACCGCTTGTGGGGATGCCGCAGGTCGAGGGAACGCATTACTGCTGCACTCGAACCATGCCATCAAGTCAGATGCTCTTTTTGTTTCTTACAGCCGCGGACCTGACTATTTCATATAGTTCACAGAAAGCCTCGTGGCCTTCACTTTCGAGACGTCCAGGATTTATTTTTCGTGTTCCTGTTCCGTGAATGTCAATTTTTATCCGCTACCGGGGTCCGGCATGGGGAAAATATCTATTATTTCAGGTATTTTTTTTATTAATTTTATCCTGTGAACATAGCCAGTACCGCGTCGCAAGTAAAACAGGCGTGCTTCTACTTGAGGGTTTCGTGATCATGCGTTGAGGTATTGTTTTCAGCCCACTTGCGTCACACGGTGCCTCAGCATTCTCTCCGTCCCTGATCCTGGAGTAGACACCGTAATCCGTAACCAGCCCTTACCCCGTGAGGCTCTATCTCTCGCCTATATATCGTCCTGGGTTGGAGCCCATCCACTAGAATTAGCCCTTCCTCGGTATATGGGGGAGCGCATCTACCCGCCTCGCCAGCCACTCCGATCAGAGGGCTTTTACGCAATGATTACAACATTTTTATCAATCAGTACACTCTTCTTACTCTTTTCCATTTTCTCAATGTCTTCTCATTCGAAGAACATGTTCAGGCTGTCTCATTCGTCCCTCTTATCAGCCATCTCCCAGTGTAATTTTTCAACAGCTGATCCAACCCCCTCCAGACCTGTTCCCTTCTAGGCATCATAATTATAATAAGCCGGTCCAAGATACCAAATACACAGGTTCGAATTAACCGGGAAGATGCTCCGCATGCCTTCCCGAGCGATGACTATATTCTACACACAGCACGAAGATTACTGTGAGTTTTGCTTCGTGCTTCCTCGACACGCGCCTTCTCCCAAGCGCTGATCCGGCAATACATGCCCCCCCCCTCTATATTCTAAGGACCCAAACCTTGGGCAACGCAAACCGGACAATAGCCATCGATCTGAGGATCTGCAGGACAGTTAATGGCGCTGTAGTGGGCGCATGATGAGCAGCTCACTGTATTGTTGGGGAAACTGTCGGCTAGTGAGGGGAACACAAGGTTTGTCACCTTACATGCGCGGGATTTCGGGAGCACACATCATACTTACTATTGCCAACATGTCGCAGTGCAGCTTGGAGCGACACACGTGCTTGGATGAATCGAACTAAATTTGCAGTAACGGTTGTCGCATTGGATCTGGCAAAAGGTGAGTATTGACATTTTTGTTTGGTATGGGTGTCTCTACCATATCGTCGGGCTAAATATTATGTTAGTAGCTGCACCAAACGACGTCGACGGCTATAATACGGACCAGGTCATATGCATGGCCGCAACGTCGGTAGGTGTTTCGGACTCTACATGAGTGCATGTATCAACGAGCGTCGACTTGCTCGACGTTCGTGTGGCTCACCTTCGCCAGTGACACATTGGAAGTAGAGAGAGAAGGAATGCGGGTTTTTGGGAAGTAAATTCCAAACACTCGCTCTTTTAGCTGCTTGATAATGTCTGCGAAAATTCGAGAACACCCGGATCCTTGATTGTGCTGAGCGGAACTGATTAAGTATCGGTCCGTTCCTTGAGTGTTGAAGGAATACTGAAATGAGGTGTGGCAGGGCGACCTGTATAACACCACAAGGCAATCCTTCCGAAATTCCTCGGCGAGAGTTATTTTGGCCACGCACACCAATTGACCAACCGTTCAGCATAGCACATATCGGGTCACTCGTCAGGACACTGATTCCGGTTACATGGCAGAGTCTGCTAAAACGTCAAAAACCCAAATGAGTCTCCTGACGCGGATACACCCGTGCATCATGATGCCTGCAACGGAACCTGCGTTCATGGAAAAAAACTCATTAAAATCAGCCTCATTGTGCCGACATCAATGTAGCTCTTGAAGTAACGCGTTGCGTTCGGAACGAACATTCCGACGTATTTGTTCCCGCAAGTTTTCATGCCGCTCATATTGCAACGAACCGTCATGGTGATCGGCTTCTGGGAATTAAATATATGTGAAAGCATGAGCCATGCGCTCTGAAAGTGCGGAAATTTAAAGGTTTGAATATATCTCTTGGATGTGGTCATCGTTCGACTGGCCCTCCGTCGTGTCGCTTGGCACGCTCACTACAAAGCTCGTTCCCGCGGAACTGGAGTGACTAATATTTCATTGAATTTCGATTGTTGGGTGGACAGACGGGTTTAAGTCATCACGATCTGAAGAAGTTTTGTTATCTTGAAACGAACATGTTTTATCGAGCCTTGTAATCGGATTGATGCGCCAGTATTTCGGTCAAAAATTTCTTTCTGAATTTCCCGCAGGAATACGCATGTTTTTATATTTGCAGCATTGATACTGTTGAGCAGCCGCCTGTGGTTCATGATGCATCCACTCGATTAACTTGCAGCAAATCACTGATCACAAAAAAAGATCCGCGCACATGACTGAATTTCAACACATCTTCAAGTGATCTCCAGATTACAAAGGTTATCGAAACTCTATCGCGAGGATTGGATCTTCGTTAGGTGAAGAAATGTAACTGGACTACGCGAGTACGGGACAAATAATTAACCGTCACCCTGCAAACATCCCGACGAGATACTGGCTGACCCCTTCAGGAGTAAGACTGCCGACATCCGAGAACACAAGGGAGATCAAGTCCGGTCTTCATATAGCGAATCAGCACATGTCGCCCAACATTATCGCGAAAACCCGAAAATACCTGGTATAGTCCACATTGGGATTGCGGGCAACTTGCTCCTGGGTCATAGATCTTGACCCTTCTGCCGGTGTAATTTTCTGGAGCCCTGAACCAATCACAGCACCCTTTGTCGGAAGTGAAGTCGACACAGACGCCGGAGGGAAGGAGAGCACGTTTGGGTTGTGCGTTGGGAGATCGTATTGCGATAACGGAAATAAACGATGGAACTTGTAACTTCAAGCGAGACAGTCATACTTATAGACACCCTTCTAAAACATGGAAAGGGGGAGAAAATAACTGACCTTTCGGCAAGAGCGTAGAAAGGCTTGTTGGCAGCTTTGGCTATAATTGCTATTTGGTTGCTGCCGACTGCATTGATCAAGCCCCCACTTTCTACCACCGCTTCAGACCCAACGAGGACAAGGTCAACTTTATCCATAACGTACGAAACCGCCGAGTCGAGAACAACAGTACATGGAATGCCGACAGCGGTTAGTTCGTCGTAGGTTCGGAGTCTAGAGTAAACGGAACATCAGAATTTCTCGAAAAGTTGGAGCCAAGAAGATCGAACCCTAGCCCACGGGGTCGGGCTTCTGTAACATAGACTGATATCCGTTTTCTCTCATGAGCGCGTAGTAAGGTTTTCATGACGACTCGAGAATACGAATGAGTTAAGATCTTTGCGCCCGCGTTATTACCTGCGCCTCGGTAGATGTATATGGTATACTCACCACGGAATCGTCTTCGATGAACCCAAGCGCCAGTGCTGCAATCTTGTCACGATAAGTGAGCGCCTCGGTGGCATAATTGCGGCCTTGCTTGACTAGTTCTGTTTTGAGGTCGGAGAAACTCTCCAAGGAATGGATGATAGGTCAACTGCATTGATAAGAGCGTGCGGTTATATACTCACATCAGAGTCGTGTGGAAACAAAGTGACGAAGGCGATAAATAGCTCGCAGCCAGCGTTTAAGCTAATCGGATTGGGCGTTCTTTGCTTCAAGATTTCTGCGCCATCGTTCAAAGCCTGAACAAGCTCAAACATAGTCCCAGCTAGTGGAGAGAGGTGATTAAATTTGACGGTGAAATGAAACGATGAATTACCACTCGACTTTTCGATGAGCTGTGTCAGGGTTAAGATGGCAGCCAGTGGGGTAGAGATCTTGGAGACATGTTCAGATCAATGGATAGGCAATGATGTGTATCGTGTACCTCCTCATTCTGAAGTATGGACTGATATGTGACAAAGACATCGAACTGTGCCGGTGAGCTATTCGGCTCGCCTTGGGACATGCTGGTTTTATGTTTGCAAATGCTAAGAACGATCTGTTAATGAGTGGTCCCAAATTATCTGAAGATTGTAGATTTTACCGGCGTCCTAACCGAGTCAGACTTTCGGAATTGACGAGTCTCGTGACAGAGCACGTGCCATATGACAGTTCCGTTAAAGCACCTCCGCTTCCCAGACAAAGAAGCTCAAAAAACCTCAAAGCCACTGAGGACAACACCCCCTATTTGGTATCCACCATGGCTACAAAGCGGAGCACACATATGGCCAACCCTGTCCGTGCTTTCTCATACAAGACGGCCCCGAGATAACCGTGTATTATGCAGCAGTAAGCAACAAATGTGAATTGTGCAGCTTGTGGCTAATGTGTCTAAGCAACCCAGGGCGTAACATCGTCCCATATCTCACGTTGGAAACGGTCTTACGCAAGTTGGTGGCCCTTTGTATTCGCAAAATCGGGAGGTTTTCGTTTCATGCTCGGGTTCTTACGACCTGGCGCGATATCGTTCTGCAAGCCGCGGGCTCCGTTCGGGCTCAAAGGGTCCCAATGGAATTACGAAAAGAGGAAGCAGCCCAGTATAAGGTACGGTCGGCATGACATGGGCAGTTCTACGAATCTCGAGATGGCGGCCGAAAAGGTTTGGGCAGTAGGAGTGGATTGTCATGAGGGTTGAGCACGAGTGTGTATATTGCTTTGACGTAGTATAGATTGAGACATATGACCCTGCAGATCTAGGTGGTCATTATAATAAGCTATGGACCAAATTTATCCGAGCTGTGTCAGGCTTTGTCAGGCACCTACTAATATGCTGCCGCTGGGGGCAAAGCTTTGAAAGGTTTTGCGGCAGGCAGCACATCTAAGTATACGGATGACGCTTGAGGATGCTCTATGGTAGGCGGTGGGTGGCTGTTTACGGTATGCTGCAAAGAGTGACTGTGTTTGCATTGTTTTTTTATGCTGTTTGGACCAGACTGTAAGCCGAGTTTTGTCTCCGTTGCCAAGGTAGACGAATGTGGAATGCACGGTTATATTCGGAAGCTGAAGGGTGGATCCGACATTGGTATAGGTTGTGAGATAGCGGCCAAAGCTAGTGACAAGCGTCGAGAGCGGGCAGGGAGTGGGATTGTGGTGGACTGGGGAGGAGGAGGAGGTGGACGATTGGGCAGGATTGTGGCAGAAAAGGGCGGAGATTGGGGAGGAAGGAGAGGCAGGCGAGGAGGAGGTGGTGGACGATTGGGCAGGATTGTGGCAGAAAAGGGCGGAGATTGGGGAGGAAGATGCCTAAAAAGGAAGGGATGCTTGTCGTCGAAACACGTTCCACGTCTGGCGGGGTGAAACACCTTTTATGTGCTGTCGCGATCGCTAGGGCCATTTTTATAGTGGCGGACCCCACGCACGCCAACGCTCGTCCCTTCAAAAGGCCACGGCCATGTGTCTCTTCTCCTCATCCTCCTCAACCCCCCAATCTCTATCATCTTCCCTTTACTTCCTCGTATCTGCTGCGCCAACTGCTATCAGCTCCTTCCTGGCACAGGGCAGGCTTTAATATCTTCCGAAACAAATCAGCAATTTAACCCTCGCCCTGGTACGCTTTCCTCTCCCTATAAATCCTTCCCGCCTTTCCTCTATCATGTCACTCATATCTTTTTCTTCGTCCCAGCCCCCTATCCTCCTCTCAAAATGCAGACCCCTCCATCTTCCCCCGCACAGGTCACTTTTTCCAGTGACGTCCGTCACATGGACAACTGGGCAAAACGCACAGGCATCCCTCTCACTACCGCAGAGGCTCTCGGGACCACATATGCCCGTGCACACAAGTGGTTGATGTCTCTCAAGACCCAGCTCGTCCAGCAACATGGCTGGCACGATGTCCTGCCAGCGGACTCTCGCATGCTCTTCACCGTCGAAGCCCCTTCTCCTTGGCGCTCTCCGAGTGGTCTCCCGCTCAGCCCAAATTTGAAGTTGCAGCTCCCGGTCCATGCCAGTTCCTTTTTCTCACCTGAGCGCCGTGTTCAATGGCAGATGGTTTTCCACAGTGATCTCTTCGCGACCCAGCGTCTCATCGTTCAACCCATCACCGACATCCTAAACCTTATGCAGTGTCTTCTCACTGGCCTAGTCACCCTCGTCTATGAGGAGCATATGCCCCAGGGTGTCTACAAAACCACTCGTGGCTTGCCCTCGGTCCAGTGGATTAACACAAATCAAGCCGCGCTTATTGACGTCTTCGGACCCGCGCACTATAAGCAGCTGTGGAAAGCTTGCAACGATCGGACGACGTCGTTTAAAGTCGACTTTGAACCACGCCGTCGCTAATCAAAACTTGTCCGAGGTCTCTCCACCCTCGTGCCTGGGCAGAGGAGACCTCTCCCGCGACGAGCGGTTCGTCGTGCGGTACAAATTTTTCCATGAGGCTCATCCCAATCTTATCAACTCTCCATGCATGATATCTCCAAACTCATGACCTCATGATGCGTTCTGTCAAATGGCCCTCCACTTTTTGTTCCCTGTTGTCACATACTGTTCCCACTACACATTTGCTCGGCCTATATTATCACCACGTAGACCATTATCACCATTATCGCTAACTTTACTGCTCTATACAACATACTCATACTTTCACATACCCTTTAATCAACATACCTTACACTTTCACATTGCACACTTCTCCAGCTCATCACGCGTCTTAATCTTGCTTCCACTTTACTTACAGTGTAGTTTATGGTATTCGAACGCTTCACATATGCATTTTCCAGTGTCACATCTGTCGACGTACATCAGATGTCAAGTAGTAATAGTTCCTTTAGCCCTCTGCCCTATGTACATCAGGAATGTATCCAGTTTGTTCCACCAATGATAGCCTATACTCAAAGACCCTACAGACTGAAATCAGGAGGCCATCGCATAACACATACACGTGCAGACCGTCTTTGATGATGAGAACATAGGAGACTGGTCAGCTTCGGTGTCTTTATCGCTGTCGAGTTTCCTCAACCGGAGCCCCTATGCCACAAGCGCTCGGAACAGATTGCCAAACCTTTAGTGGTAGCCGCAGTATCGATATCGTCAGACGACGCGAAGCCTTGGATGAACTTCTTCCTTGAAGCTAAAGCGATGTTCGTGTACCAATCAATCCCTGGGTTCGGTTGGAGAAGAGCTTCTTCGTTAAGAAAAAAGAGACTAAGAAAGCGCGATAGTTTGACTGTCGTAACACCCGCTTTGCCTCTCCTGGCATTTCACATCTCCCATGTCGCAGGCAGGTGGATCTCTGGAAACACATGTGTAAGGCATGCTGGTGGCAGGACACGCTTGATGGGTGTGGTATGTTCATTCGGCATCACAAGCTTGGAAGATGAGTTGGAAACGACACACCTGAACCGCATGTGCCGTAGGTATTTACGACCGCGCAGGACCCGCCTTATCATGATTGACGCCAGAAACCATGAGAAAATACTAGAAGATGACAGGTTACATGTCAAAGCTAAACTTGTATTGGATGGAAGGAGCAATTATATGATCCTGGATGACTGTAGCCACAGATGTCACGTGCGGATACTCATCGTAGACCACGTGCCACTCGAATATTTTCTGGAATCGTGATGATACGGTTTCTAGACAGAGTCAACCTTACTTATCATGAGTGCAACTGTAGCGTGCCAGAGCTCAAAATGTCCAAATGGAAACCCACCATCGCGAATGGAATGTCCAACATGCAATAAGTATGTAGCCGTCTCGTATCGACATCTTCATATCCTAATCGATGCTTCTTCACGGCAGGCTTGGTATCCGAGGCTCGTTCTTCTGCGGACAAGAGTGCTTCAAGGCGAATTGTACGTTCGTTTTGATACACGAGGAAAGGACAATGTTCTGATCAATATCGAACAGGGGTATATCCTTTTTTCTACCATGTCGTTTGACTCACCAATACAGACATGCGTGTCAAATGCATAGAAATCACACAAGTTCATCCATGAACTTGCACGCGCACCTCCCACCGCTGGCGCCCCTGCAAAAGGCATTTAACCTTTTTTCGTCACCTTGCTGTCGCAGTATGCTCACATCACATACATGCTAGATGGGACTTATAACCCTTATATCGATTACGATTATACTGGATCAATGAGACCGGTATACCCACTTTCACCAACGCGTACGGTACCTGATCATATACCCAGGCCTGACTATGCTGAAGATGGTAGGAGTCTATTCTGTTTCGTTTAATTCTAAACTGCCACCACCGCAAGGGTTCTGAACCAAACACGCCTCTTCTCATTTATCTTCAGGAGTGCCCAGATTGGAAATTAAGCAGACGGGTCAACCGCCACGGATTTTGTCCATTGAGGAGCAAGAAAAATTACGAACCGCATGTCGGGTGGGTAAACCGTTCATGATCTCGATGTAACAAAGGCAGTTAGAATATTTCCGAGTTATTTCGACTGCGTCTGCCGTTACAGCAGGTCTGTAGTGCATGTTCATTCGGCTAATCAACCCTTCTCTTTCTAGCTCGCGCGAGAAGTTCTTGACCTTGCTGCTTCGCATGTACGTCCTGGTGTCACTACTGATGCCATTGATGTCATCGTCCACGAAGCTATCTTAGCAAGAAACGCGTATCCTTCTCCCCTCAACTATCGAAATTACCCAAAATCTGTGTGCACGTGAGTGATTAGTCCTTTTTCGTCCAGAATCTTTCCAACCTTGAGTGATATCAGATCGGTGAACGAGGTCATCTGTCATGGAATTCCTGACCAACGGAAATTAAAGGAGGGCGATATAATCAATATCGGTAGGATAGCATCATTTCCCAGATATTATTGTACTTAAACAATTGATTCTGCTCGTTAGACGTGACTGTTTATTATGACGGTAACCTGGCGAATTACTTTCACCTGCTGCCATCACCGTTTCTGACATAGACGCAGGTTTTCATGGGGACGTTAACGAAACTTACCCCGTCGGCAAGGTTGACACTGAGTCCGCAAAGGTCATCAAGACCACCCGCGAATGTCTTGATGAAGCTATAAAAATCTGTAAGCCGGGGGCATTAATCCGAGATATCGGTAAAGTCATGTGAGTACTGATGCTTTTAATCGACAACCGTCACTGTGCTGACTTTAATAATTAGTGAACCTATTGCAAGAGCCAACGGATGTTCCACTGTACGCTCTTACACCGGTCACGGAATCAATGATCTGTTTCACACTGCTCCGAACATACCGCATTACTCGAAGAATAAGGCCGTGGGCACAATGAAGGCTGGGATGGTGAGTTGCACGAGCAGTTGCATTTTAGTCGATCAGCGCTAATTAGCGACCTTACCAGGCATTCACAATTGAACCTGTGAGCACGGGCGCTGCTCAATCATGATACTGATCCCAACTCTTGTCGGCACTTATATAGATGATCAATTTGGGCCCCAACTGGGATGTTGCTCACTGGAATGACTCGTGGACAGCTACGACCATTGATGGCAAGAAAAGCGCGCAATTTGAGGACACGCTATTGTGAGCTTTTTTCATTTCCGAAATTATGTACTGCCTTTTTGATATCTTATTGTTTTCAGGATTACGGAAACGGGAGTGGAGGTACTGACCGCAAGGACTACGAAAAGAGATGATCTATAGGACCATGTTTTGTCTGTGTGGAAAAAGGAACAATGCATTCGCACTTTGTTGAACTGCCACGGTTGCACTCCGCTTCAATATTGGTCTCAGCGGCATCTCAAAGAGAGCATATCTCAAGATCGACTGAGCTGTTTTTGTGCATGTTCTAGTCATGTGAACTCCTTATCTTTTCTCGCTTCCCTATTCGCAAAAGCGTCATCCATTATGTTACTAACGCTGCTTCTCATAAACAGGGCGGCAATATGTATACGTTATCGCGGCTACTTGCCTTTACTATCCTCTCCCACACCAACCGCTCACTCACGCAAGATCTGCGTTTTTTTTTTTTATACAACTGAGATCTCATTCCTGCTCAATGTCCACCGGTACAGAGTCATTTTCAGAGCCTTACCTCCTCGTAGAGAAATGCGGCTCAACTCGGGGCGTTCCTATTTATGTTATCACCAAGTACACCCCGTCAGTCAGTATCCCTGCTCGATAAATGTACTTTCGCAGCTCAAACCCACTACCTGTTGCCCAGCGCTAATGAGGTATATCCGAGTAAGACTGTCAGTGTAGTTTTCATGATATGGCAGCTCTTTGCAGGTCAGTTGATCCATTAATCAGAGAGAAATCCGATGTATGGATCTGGGGGGCGAAGCCCTCGGAGCATACAAGGCTCAGCAAGGGGGGTGTACTCAAATACAGGTAAGATCGCGATCATACTGCTGCCAGCGTTCTTCACTCATTGCTTGGTTGCGATCAGTTCCATAATGATGGAAACGATCTGAAGTGGGTCAATAATTTGCAAGACTACCTGGTCGAACCAACAATGAATTTCAACTTGTAACAGGTGCACTAATTGCGACATGAGGTTCTCCAAATTCTTCTTGCGACAAAATGCATACATCGAAATCAAAGGCCTGCCCACTTAGGACTTAGACTTGAGTCGTAGAAATGTTCGGAACAATCGGATCTATTACTTGAAAACCAGTATATATACACTTAAACCATGCATATGTTCCGTCAGAAAAGGAAAGAAGAACAAGTTGTGAGAGTACGTTTGAATAGCCAATATGTGAGAGGAAGGTGAGTGATCAGCGAGGAGCTGTACAAGTACAGGTACTAGAGTCCTCGGACCAACTGGTAATCAGAGATGGCCCTTCGTATGTCTCTTATCCCATCTCATCGTTGAGGTCCAAGATTGCAGTTTGCGATGTTCGTCAATGAACCAAGATAGCTTGCTCCACGGAAATAAAATAGACATTTTTATCAGCGGCGATCCGTTCGCATCTGTAAACCCTCTGTAGCCTCGGATGTCTGGACACTCGTTGTCACATATGATGAAGTTTGGACCGCCGTTGATGTCATACGAAGCCGCTGCAGGTCAGCATAGGATCCCTGACGACTGCGAGGTTTGCTTTGATCCTCGTATGAAGGAATAAAGTTGACTACATGGTCATAGTCGCCGTGATCTTCGTTATCTGATTCATCTGGCGTTTGGGGTCTGCTGATTTCGTGGTTCGGCGTGCTCCCACCCCATGCACTTGTTCCATGCTTGCCACTGCGGCTCCAACCAAAGAGTCGTTCGTCGATCCAAGTCTGAGAAAGAAATAAGGAAATAATGAGTTGATATTGATATTAAAATAGACTCATAAAATAACTCACCATAGGATGGATGAGCAGATTACCCTGTGCATCAACTTGGCCAACGCTGCTCTTGCGTCGCCACATCCCAGCATTTCCAGATGAGGGTGGGGCGCTGGCCGATGGAACCAAGATTCGGAACTGCGCATATGAAACATTAGATACGGACATTCCTGAGAAAATACTTTTTTTATCTGCTTACTTCGTCGAAGTCATCGTATAGCTTTGGTCCAAATTCATTTATGACGTCTGCAACTTCGTTGGACAGCTTCAACCTCATGGCTTTGAGCTTGTCAAGTGACTTTTGTTGCCCAGGAACAAGTGCAACAACCAGGGGCCTCAGCGACCTTTAGCCATGTCAGCTTCATCTACTTGTCAGCCTAATAAATACTCACTTTAACACATCCATACCGGCTTCGCCAAATTTCAGAGCAGCGTAATTCATAACAGGTAAGGTGACGATCACTAAGAAGGGAGTCCAAATCCTCGCCGGCCAGGGGGCATTGGCCTTGACGGCAACCATAGTAGCGAGGAAGGCGTAGAAGCCGTATAACAGAGGTGCGATACCTAGAGAAATCAAGATTTTCCATGTTGCGAGTACATCACGACCGGCCACTTTGACAACCGATGCAGCGAGAGCTTCTGTGAACAAGAAGCAATGACGGTCAGTGGGCGTGACCCTGCAGATATGGAACATGAAGCACCTTTGGCCTTCTTCCTCGATATTAAAGATGCCAGGATAAACATGGGCCCATTAAGAATGGTCCCTGGTAAAGCCAGCAACGCCCACACGATAAGAAGACCAAGGCGATATGCAAGAAGTCCTAGGGTTTTCCAGCTTGCCTTTTTGGCACGCGGGACCTAAATCAGACAGGAGGATGAGCGTTTAGCCGTAATCATCTTCAAGTACTGGAAGTCTTACTTGATGATCACGCAGGCCAAGGTCTCGCAGAAGTCGATTATATTTGAGTACATCTGTGCGCAGTTTTTGTACACGTGGTTCTTCTTTGAAGTGCGTGTAACCTTCTAAGAAGCGTCGATTGAGTTCAACGACCTGACCTAAAGTAAGATGTTGTCCAGGTGTCTTGTACAATCTTCGGACAGCTTGTATAAGCTGCAGAAGTCCCGATAAGCCATAGTAGGAATGATGTCAGAAAAGACTAACCATGAGCGTGTCATAGTCTGGTGCTCTGATGGTCACAGTTTTGAGCGCATCATATGTCAGGTCCAGTAGTTTGTTGACGGCCCCTCTCTTCTGAGTACCGCCCTCTTTGAACATACTGACTAACTCAGAAGGAACGTCCATGGCTACACCGAACTCTACCACTGCACGTGACCGGAATCGGTGAGCATGGAAATAAGACAAACCGACAGGTACTATTTTGACTTTAACATTTGGGTCATTGGCCATGGCGCCAAGAGCCATCAATGAGACGCCAGCTTTTAAAGGTAATAGGTCGGTACGATCATGACTGCCGCCTAATTAAATACTGAGAAACAATTTTGGCAACTGAGGAGGAGTGACTTGCCTTCAGGGAAAATGCCAATACAACCTCCTTCCTTGAGTTTCTGGTAAACATGTCGATACATCTCCTGCTGATCGACATATGGCAGAAGCTTATATTCTATCCCTTTCTTTCCCTGTCCTTGATATTCTATAACCTTCTCTCGGAAACGCGTAGTGCTCTTGCCAGCATCACCCCCAAACTCTCGCTTTATCCTGAGCTCTGTGTCTGAGATTACCTCCAGTACTTCAGCTAAGGGGGAGTTAATCGACTTGGGAAGCATTATCTGTGTCCTCAACTTGACTTCGGACGTAAACTTAGTTCCGTCACCCAAAACCAGGCATGGGTCATCAGGAGAAAGGTATATGTATCCTGCTCCAGACTTTGCTTTGTCGGCAGCTCGAGACACAGGGACTTTGTACAGATTAGAAGAGTTCATTGTGAAGGGTTCTGTGAAAAAAAGTACTTACTGCTGTCCATAAGACGGGCGAAGAAGCCTACTGCTTTGCGCTCCAAGCTTGCTGCAGCTGTCAAGAATTGGACGCGACGATGAGTCTCACGGTAGACTTCCAAGCTGAGAAGCAGGGGATCCAGGAACTGTTGTATTGTCAGATTGGAACGGGTGGTAGTGCAACGCCAGAGCACGAACTTGATTGGAGTGCGGAGCTCCTACAAAGATGACCGGTCCATCACGAGGGATATGAAATGCACCTCTTGGACGTATTTCCCTGAAGAAAATCTGAGTCACCATTTTCCAAAATGTCAGAGCGGTGTCGTAGGCTAATGCCGAAGTGGGTTGCATCTTCGTTGAAGCCATTGGGAACGTGAGGTATCTTTAATTGTGGGTGTTCATACAACAGGGCGAAGTGAAAGATATAAAGCAAGGAAAGATGTGGTTGGAACGAGGCTTGGTCAATCCGTTGGGGATGGCTTTTCCGAGTCGAAGGCTTGAATAGGCTCGATGCGGCGCTGCAGCCTACAGCATCCGAAACATGGCGCGGCCTATACGAGTCAACAACACCAAACCGATAGCCCTTCGCGTTATCAGATAGCCTTCCACGTATACATCATCTGACAGCGATGCCTTATTACTTTGGGGCAATCTAACGAGTAACCAGTTCAACTAATAAAGAAATCATTATAAACCTTTCAGAAAGGCGTGCTATCCTATACAGAAGCAGAATTGTTGTAGAGTATACAGAAGTGCAGAGATAGAAACAAGTTAGAACATAAGATGACAAATGCAGAGGAGAAATTTGAGTCAGTTTAACCAGTCCAACGACAGCCCCCAACGACACAGAGCTACCCCTCCGAAACTCGTGGCCTCGCACCCTGTGAGGAACCATTGCTGGTGGTACTGGCACGGTTGTAGCGGAAGATACCATGGAGTTCGTGCAACCTATCGTTAACCGGTACCTCGACATGCTGTGACGATCGAGGAGACGCCTCCACTCTGTTCACAGGCGAACTCGGCATTTCATCTCGCGCGTTCGACTCTAGTTCTACAAAGAAACGTGAGTAAATCAGAAACACCGATGAATGAAAGGAAAGCCTTACTCGATAGCGTGTCGGCAACTGCTACATTTCTCTCTAGATCCTCAGCGGCCCTACTTGCGAGAGCACGATTGATGTACTTGCGGAATGCAGCCCCCGTTGATTCTAGTAGTTTTTCGACGCGAGGACGCTTGTGAGGATAATTCTTGAGGAAATGGTGCAATTCGGTAATGCCTTCCTTGTGTAACGCTCCAGTCGTCTCACTTGAGATATGATTGATGATTGTGAGTAATTGTGCCTCTGGATCAGGTTCCTCCACAGCAGGTGAATATCCGTTACCATTGAGAGACGATGTACTGGGACTTGTCCGATGACTAGGCGTGGAATGTCGATGATTGGCAGAAGTCACAGACGAAGATGTGCCGTGCGGAGATATTGGTCGACTGGAAGCTGGCGAACACGGCCGACCAACCTGCTCATGAACAGCTTCGTTCAACCGAACAACCTGTTCAACTGGCGCTCGAGCAGAAGAATTTAAAATCCGATACACATAAGGATATACTATCGTTGCAGAAGGATCATCAAAAGATGCAGAGAGAAGATCATACACTTCGTCGCCATGGTGTGCTGGGAGCGAACTTGAGTACCACCGTCAGAGAAATAGGCATACAAGCTAAACTCACCAACAACATGCTGTATGATGACTTTGATGGTCCTTAAAGGCATGTCTCCACAGGGAACCTTATTTGTAGCCCGGGCTCGCCACTCATTCGGAGGAATCGACTGTAGGAAGTGTTCCACAGCAGGGAATAATTCAACGGGGTCCAGTTTATCTTCCTTCAAGTCCTGAGGGATATTTCTCGCAAGTTTCCATACACATTTGAGCACCAGCTCAGCAACCTTCGATTCTTTCGATTCTGGGGTTGCATTATTCGCTGGGAAAGGCTTCACGATTTGGAGCAATAGAGCGAATAGAGCACTGAAAACTTTGAATCAGTTTCATAACATTCCCAGTTATGAGCCTGACTTACCGGAAAATAGACATTCTTCGACCCGTTGCAAATAACCGTAGGATAATCATATTGATAAATCGAGAGAGATCCTTAACTTTCGCGACCTGGCTTTCATCCGTCTCGAGGAGCCGTAGAGTAAGCTCCTCTAACAATGATGTAAGAATGTCAACCGTCAAAGACTCTGCAAGGAACGCGTGGTCACAGAAAGTATTCAGGGTCTGTATGAGATGCTTTGCGAGCCTGAAATTATCGTCCGCTACGAGTTCGTCGGGTCGATCAAATATATGAGCCATTTGCAGAGTGATGGTCTCTATCAAGCCTTCAGTATGCTCCGCCAAATCACGATATTCCGGGAGTGATGGTCCATCTTGAGGTTTGACGACCAGGATCTTCTGGATTTTTTTGAGTGCTTCGACACTTCGAAGGGGATCGCTACTTAGGATGCTTGAGATGGTGACCGTGATGTCGTTTGGTGCGTTGTAAGGTGGTGCAGCGTCTACAAGTGTTTCGACATCATCCATGGATTCTGTAACGGGCAGGGCGGGCGAATAAGAAGTGGCGTGGCCGTTTGTGCGAAGCACAGGGGCTGAGGGTTCCGAGTGCATCTCAACAGGGGGCGGGGGATTTGCTAACGCCGCAGAAAAGTTTGGGCGAGTCCTCGGAGGACCTAACCGAGAAGGCATCATACTCTTGGGTCGACCTACTCCTGGGGGGGAAGAAGGACCAGGGATAGTGGATTGAGTAGGCACCTTGATGGTTCGTGAAGGAGATGCTGAACGAATTGTATTAGCCGGCGTTGGGGATGCAGATCTCACAGTTCTTGCAGGAGAGCCTGGGCGAGCAAGCCTCGAAAGCGTTGAAACGGAGGGGCTAGCAGGTCGGGGTATTCCTCCAACCCTGGACATAGTCGATGGAGAACCCGGGCGAGCACTACTTGCAGTAGCCAGTCGAGTCACTTGAGCAGGTGGAGCAGGCGGGATATTTTCCGCTTTACCCGGAGTACTAGGCCCCGCTACACGACGCAGACGTTCTTCCAGCTGTGTTTTGTCCTTCGGCGACAAGGGCCCAACGAGTGACCACACTTTTTCACCAACCAAAGAATAACCTTCACTGTATGGACAAAAAATCAATAACAACACACTTGTTATTAGCGGGGGGACTAACCCCAGTGCGGATAGTGCCGATCTTCGTACTTGCGAGTCCTTATCAGCAATCATGGTTGCAATTACGGGGAATGCCTTGCTAGGTTGGCATGCTCCCATTCCGAATCGTTTCAGGAGGCTCCCTAGTTCATCCAAAGTTCCCTGACGAGTCTTCGCCACCTTTGACTTCAAACCATGCTCAAGCAGCAACTCAAATATCCTACTGTACGCATACACCTTGGGAAGCGTCTGTGTAATCTGCTGTACTCGCACACGAACAGGTTCCCGAGCGTCGCCAAGCTAAATATAATATTTTAGGTTGGATCTCTTGTCAAGTTAAATATTTCACATGCCTTGTAGACCAAAGTCGGGATAAAGCACAAAGCTTCAGGATCAGTGATTTGGCTGTCAACACTGCGAAGGAATGATAAAACGGCATCGACGGTATCAAGGCATCTGGATATCAGATTGGACTGAGGTTCGTGGATCTTTATAGACACATATTTAAGAGCAAGGTCAGAATTCGCTATGCCGATGGCTCTCAGGTCATCGATAGGAACTCCAAATTTCTCATCTCCAGTCTCAGCAGCAGAAAAGAAGTCGCACATAGTTGACAATCCGGAGACATGGTCGTTAACGGCATTGTGGTCGTGACTGAAAAGGCTCTCAACAAGGTCCTTTGAGGCGTGAGGTTCCATTTGATGCTTGAGGAGCTCGGCTAGGTCCTTCCTTGTCGGTCCAGCTTCGTTCACCCAGCGCTGAGCATCTTTCGCCAACCTCGCCCTTTTCGCATCAGGATTCCTACTGGAGAATGGCAAAGAGCTAGCGGCAACAGGGGTCGTCGAAGAGGGGGGAGCTGCCCTCACGCTAGCCATCGATATACCAGGGCGTTTCATATTTCCTGCACCAGCTTTGCTGGGCAAACGTGAGGCGGATGCTTCATCTACCGACTCTGTTCTCGATTCGGGTCTGGAGACAGTGCCCTGAGGCAGTTTCCTGCGAACACCAGTCAATTTACTTGGGATAGCTGACCTAGGGCCCACGGTTGCTGTCGGAGAAGTAGGTGGGGGGCTCGTTGCAGGTATAGAGACTGCAACTGGGGCAGGTTTCGATTTTGATGGGGCAGGTGCGGCGGCAGCTGCACTGCCGCGAGCTGCCTGGATAAGAGGGATAGCAGTATTTCTGGATGCTGGCTTCAGCGAGTTAGTCTGTTGCATGACATAATCAAAGCCGGCGCATATTATAAGGGGAGCTAACACCGCCTGGGCGTTTTTCCGAATATCAGCATTGCGATCATCTAGACAGGTGACCACTGGCGCGGCCCAACTACTTAAGTCCCAAGTTGGCTGAGCTTCGTATTCCTTGAAATAATCTGCCATCCACCCTAGCAATGATGCTTTTTGTGTGGGATTCGTTGATTCCAAAGCAGTGGCCAAACCGTGGGCCATTGAGTCAAGACCTTCACAAGCCGTTGCAATAGCTGTGAGAGTTTGTAGAGCTGCAGCACGGATTGGGGCCTTCTGATCCGCCAAAACGGTAGCCACAGGAAGAGCAAAGAATCGAGTTTGTTTCTCGAATGGTTTACCCATACCTGTAGCTATACGGGAGACGATGTCCAGAGCAAGACTTTGAACAGATTTGTTTGTGTCAGTGACCCGAGCCTTCAAAACTTGTGCGATTTCACCTGACCCGACGTCGACATGAATATAGAATTCGTGGATAATAACAGAACTACAGATACTCACCCATAGAAGGCTTAAGCCTCTTATTTGCTCCTTGGTCTAAAATGGCTTGCAAAGTCTCCAAAGCTTCTTTTTTGGTCTTCCAAGCGTCGCTTTTTGCGTCCGCTAGTATAGTCGTACCCTTGAGTAGTACATCAATTTCCACCCTCGGGTACAAATCATCCATAGCGTCCACAGCTGCCGCTTTGCCAGATGCGCCTCCCGCAGGGGCAGCCATGTTTGCCAAATCAGCCGAAGTCCGACTAGGTTCTGGCGCAGGAGTACCCTCCACTTTGTCAAAGTCATTCTGTATCGTCGCGAGAAGCTGTGGGTTGAGATCTTCCAGGAAGTCCTTGATATCTACCGGATGATTAGTTCTAAGGGGTAAACAAGACAAAAGTACTACGCACTTGACCCAGCAAAGAGTTTCACCGTCACCAATAGCTTTGTAGCACTAGATCGCACTGCTGCATTCGAGTTCTTCAACGCTGATTTCAAAAATTCAATGAGACTTCGCAGCGACAATCCGGCGATTCCAAATTCTACTATTGCGGTATCTATCCAAGTTAGCGCATCTGCCAGGACTTTTGGGGCTTTCTGCTTCGAAAGTGGATCATACGCTAAATGAAAAGTAGGAAAGAGATCATTGAGCCGGTGCTTGCCAAAAACAAAAAAAAAAACAAAGTGAGAATGGTTACCTTGGTTGAGAACAAATTGTAAGGATGTCTTCTCAGCAAATGCTATCAAAGTATCCCCAGCGGGTTTTTTCAGCTTCATATCGCCAAGTTTCTCGCTGAGATGACCAGTACAAAGCGCAACACAAGACCTTCCAAAGGAAGGACATTGTTCGGCGAGGATGCTGAATATTCCATATATTTTGGATGACACCTACGATACAACAGTCAGCATATTTTTGCGATAAAATGTATAGAAAACTCGCCTGGAAGTTCTTTTCAGACCATCCCTTCTTGGCGATGGCACGAACAACAACTTCTGCATCGACTTCATCAACATTCTCTTGGACCCATGTTGTCATCTCCTCACAAGCTGCCAGCCTCGTTTTCCAATTAGAATCACCAAAACCCGACATGATACTCGACGGTATGAGGTCTGCAGCAAGGCCTTCCGCATCTTCCGGAGTGTGTTTGTATTTGAATGTATCTAGTGCACCAGGTGGCGGAGGTGCTCCGCCTTTTAATGGCTTGGCCGCGGCAGCAGCAGCAGCAGCAGCGACGGGTTTTTTTGAGGCAGCTGGAGGGGCACCTGGCGAATCGGCCGCTGCGCCGGTTGCCTTTTTCGCCTGATTGAGATAGTAATAATAAGAGCCTGTCTGTTTTTATTTATTTAGTGTTTGTACATACCGTAAGCCTTGCGGGAGGTTTTGCTACAGGTTTTTTGGGCAGCTCATCGGCGACCTCTGCAACAGGAGCTTTTGGCGCTGCTGTACCCCCACCTTTAGGCGCAGCAACCTTCTTCTTGGGAACTTCTTTTGCTGCAGGAGGTGGTTTCGGGGGTGCTGCAGCTCCTGCCTTGCATTTCACAGTAGCCTTCTCATAAGCTTCCTTCACCTTTACCTTCCTCACGTCCGCCAATCCATCCATCAAGGCATTCAGGGGTCTCTCACCCACCATCTTCATTAAAGTACCTAGACAGACCGCAGCTTCATTGCGGGCACCTTCAAACCCATCTTCTAACAGTGTGGCGAGAGGGTCCGCAAGTACCTTAATCTGAGCAGGTTGTACAGGTGTTGTAGATGTCGAAAGAGATCTGGCAAGGAATTTGAGTGTGCCTTCTTTGACTTGAGGGTTCTTGTTTCCCATCGCTGGGAGTAAGTCTGGTATTATATCGGGGAGCGTCGTCTGTACAGGCAGTTCGAGTCGGTAAGCTGAATGGAAACAGTGACAACCTAGGCTCACAGTGTAAAAAACAGCATCCAGAGCAGCACCTATGGCATCCGTCACGTTTGCTTTACGCTCTTTAAGGCGCTCCAACATTAGGGGTACCACCATCTCCCTCATCCTTGCAAACGATTTCATCATACCCTTTGCAAGCCCTTCTAAGCATCCTGCTGCGACTATGACGCAATTGATGTTAGCATCTTTCTGTATGCAAACCGCTAGTGATTTTGAGAGGTCTGTCAATTCCGAGGAGTCTTTGATACGAGGGGTCCCCTTAACCAATGTGAGCAGCTCGTCTAATACCTCCTTGCGCTCTTTCCACTTAGACGACGTCAAATTGGCGCTAAGGTTAGAAGGAAACTTCGGGACAATGTCAACTGGTTCAGCCAATGCGCGCGGGTCCAAAATGTCTAAGTTCGAATGTAATGTAAATGCGGAAGTCATATTGAAAATAAGTGAATATGTCTCACCTTCTTCATCTTCACCTTCCGCTTCTTGCTCCGCGGTATCACCACTTTCCGCATCTCGAGCTTGTTGCCTAGTGAGTCTGGCTGGCTTCAAACTTCCTTTGCCTTTGCCTTCCTTCTCCATACCATCGAATGCTTCCTGCAACTCCTTAACCTGAACGGGTTTAAGGTCCGCCAAAAATGGTTCTATTCCTGCCCCAATGTATTGATAAAATACGTGTATAAGCTGGGTCCCTTCAGCACGAACTGTCTTGTCCGCGTGCGAGAATATCTTTGGTAACGCTTTCAGCACTGGACCTGGCGGCGTAACATGTGTTCCGAAATTTCTGCAAGATCGATTAAATGATTATGGTTAGTGCTGTTTGATTATATCCACCAAGGAGGCATCGATAATAAAAATGATGTGACGATGGGAAGGACCGGTAGGGAATACTTAGGGAGAGAAAAGGCGTGTGCGGTATAGACAATGTCGCAAGACAGTCCTGTATAATCCAGAGAAAAGGATACATCTCTTGAACTCACCGGATGATTTCTTTGATTGCTAAAACACATGCCGCAACCGCCTTGGGCTGTTTAGCATTCAAGCCAGGGAGGATGTCCGCCTAGTTCGCATAATTCAATATGATATGGTGAAGTCATGAAGCGAATTAAAAGCTCACCGCAACCGCTGCACCTGTATTCTCTACTTCAACGTACTGTAATGCCAGCTCCACAGCTTGGTTCTTGGTTCCGGCCCTCGTTGACCCTAGGCATTTATCTACTAGAGCTGGCACCACTACTTCTCTAGTTTTGGCAGCATTCTCTCCCGCAAACTTTACCAGAGCGACCACACATTCCACACCTTTCTCTTGCGCAACAGCGTTCGTATCTGTTATTATTTTCTTGAGGAGATCGGGATTGTTGATATAGGGCTTGAATGCAGGGTCAGAATCGGAAGCTGTCGTTTGAAAGGTCTTGATTAAAGATTCATAAGCATTAACGCGGGCTTTCCAGTTCTTGTGGGCAAGCCTGTCTGCGACTGGGATGGAGGAAAAGTCCTCTTCCTGAGGTGGAGGACCATCCATAGCCTGAACGTGTATAGGGTATAGTTACAGAAGTGAACAGACTAAAAAGTTGACAAGTCGGAATCCGACTAAGCCACCGCGGATTCAACAGTTGTCACATGTGACACCCTTTTGTACCTGTGTTCCACAGTCACAGCACCCTTCAAGGCTCCCTCAAGCTACACACTGTGCTCATACAACCTGAATACGTATAATTTTTAGCACTCTGGTAATGATTCACGTTAACCGACTGTGGTACAATGCTCCATAGTCTGCCGAAGCAGAATTAGTCAAGTGTCACAAGTGGACACGTGACATCACATGCATAAACGCGTCCGAGTCAAGGTGACTCGAAAGTGCTCACAAAGTTGGATCATGATTGCAAACATGCCCAATATTCATGTTGATAAGCTTATTCAACCCATTGTGTTCGGTTTGTACACGAAGAACTAGGCCTGAAATACATGTGACACCTATCTTTTTAACAACATAAACCACCCAGACACTTTCGTACCATTGATCATGTCACTCTGATCTCGGGACGAGACACTGGAAATTTTGCTCCCCAAGTTGTAGATTTACGCCACCCAGTTCATCACGAACCACCCCGGCAACTAGGATCTGAAGATCTGGATAAAGACGAGATCCATTAAACTTCTCGCTATCAACCTTTAAGCTCACTTACTCAGCGAGAAGCTAGTTTAGCTCCTATCTGCGTCACAACATCCCAGATATTGGAAACCTCATCGTCAACTACGGCTTCCTCAAAAGCACCAAGGATATTTTTTGTCGACAAATGTCGTGCTGCTGCTTCGTCTTGCTCTTTCTGCATATCTAAATTATGATACACAACCGAAAGAAGATACTGAACATCCATTAACGGTCGCAAAATTTGCATCGAGGCGTAATCGGCCTCGGCCATCAGTAGGTGAGGCAAAGCTTCGCGGAGTCCGTCCGCTGTTTCCGCAATAGAGAAATTAGCACACGTGAAAGGATGGTCACTGGGCCGACATAAGCTACACGTACCACTCATCTCGCTGCATGCAATAATGCATTTAGCTAGAGTAAAACAAGCTAGGGCACGGTGTTCAAGTTCGTTTCCAGAGATCACCTACACAATCAATAGCCGTCATTTGCAATCAGTACTTGAACACACTCACCTGGGGTAATATTTCCTCTAAAATCTGGCGACATCTCTTGGTCTGACCAAGCTCTAAACCTACATCTGCCAGTAAGATGATCGATAGCCTATATAAGGGGAATCGACCCTGAAACTCAGAATTCCACAATGATGTCAGAAGAGGCTCTATTGCTGACGCGACCTGACCATGTTGCTTGAAAAAGGCAAGAAAAAAGGAATTAGTTACATCACCTCCTGAGCGTCAGCAGACATACCCTGGCATCCATGACTCGATGCAAGTCCATCTGAATAGTTTGAATAGTAACTGGACTATCATCATACCAATACTCTTTTTCGATATAATTTGACGTTGGACGACGAGGCCTGAGATAGTCTTGGAATAAACGGGATTGACCGCTATAAAAGACCTGCGATGTTCATCTACTGTTGAAAGAGTACCATAAGAAAAAAACAAACCGTCGGCTAGTCCTGAGAGCTAAGATATGCCATATTTGGTCGGTCCACAGAGCATACGAGTCCATCGAAAGACCCCACCAAACATCTGGATCGATCAACATACCCAAAGCCTGATCATAGTCTCCCGAGCGAGCGAGCTACCGTTCAGCCATCAGCGATGGATTTACATGTTACTCATTAACCTGCAAAGCATACCCTATATGCACGGTTGAGAATGACATTGAGTCTATTAGGGTCGTTGGTACCAGATACTGTGAATGCCAGCACATAATCTTCTTCCATTTCGGCCACTCCGACGCAGCCTGATATTTAACGTCAGGTTCATCATCAAAAAACCTAAATTTTTGAAGAGTATTACCAATTGTAGTCCACAGAACAGCCTCCATAGCATGTATTCCCATTTTTTCCTTATCGTTATATGATGCTCGACCTGTTTCGATCCAATGATCGTATAGACCACTCGCTTGTACCAATTTTTCAAAGCAAGCAGTAAGTGGCTGCCCCTAATATTTTGACTTTTAAGAAGTTTATTGACGCAGAATGGGATGGTCTCACACTTCTCGGGTCTAAAAGCTTGCTTATGTCAAACAGAATTTCAAGCGGATGAAGGTCGGGCTGGATTTCGTTCAAGGTCGGCATTTCGGAGGGCTCTGGCAATCGATGTAACATGCTAAGATAGGAATAGAAATACGTTAGCTTCAGTACATTCAAGTTAAAGATCAGTTGAACCTAATGCAATGTTGGAGTGTTATTCTGTCACCACTTGTTCGTGCCACGGCAATGGCTTCTTGGAGAAGCTACAAAGGATGTTGTGAGATGGAGGTCGACATGGATGTACCGGCGTACTTGTCGGGCAGCAACAGATTCGCCTCGAATATAATGCATTCGCACAAGGTTTAGCAAAGCGTGTTGTCGGACTCCTCTAATTAAACTGGATTGGCGAGATTTCATTCATAACAGAAACGAGACTTACGAATCATTATTTTCGTGGAAATGCTGTTCAAAATATCTACGTAAGTTCTCGGCGGCTGCGATGTCGTCTCCGGCAGAAAGTCCATTTTCCCAGCTACATACGATTAGAGATTTACACCGAATTATCAAATTCAGGACGAAGGTACATACTTTGCGAAAGGTTCTGGCTGAGCCCAAGTCTTTGTATCAGACTGCGTTTTGAAAATTAACATATCTGTAGATTGTTCGATACTGATGCTTGGTAAATAAAAAGCTCTGGACGTACCAGTGCTTAGTGGATCTTTCTCGACGGCTGCGTATCCTGCCTGGCGATCACCGGCACACCAAGCTTGATAGTCTTCATGTAGTTTTCCGATACCGAAATATGACAATTTGAGGAAACTGACGAAGCATCGACGGCAGAAATAACCAAATAACGAGCGACGAAGCTAAAAGATAATAAAAATATATAGTAAAAGTACTTCTAACGTTGACATTTCCTTACAAGGATAGGAGGCTTTGAGGCACCATTAGTTTCCAAGTGCGGGATAAACGCACGCTGTAACGCACCTCATCCTCGTTCTTTTCCACGAACATGAAGGGAGTGCCTATTGTGCGCGGATTGTGAAGTCATGGAGAGCATTCATATGTATGGCTTACTTTGAAAGAAATTGGACAACTGCTCTGGCGACCGAAGCTGACCGGGCTTTGAAGAGTTCAAGTTTAGCATTGACAACATACAAGTCAAAATCAATACCCACAACACTCTTCAAGGCAGTAATTAAGTTATGCGACAAGACCTCATCAGCCATTGGCGCTGAACTCAGATCTTGCAACAACTCCTCATGCGATCTAGGTTCCGTTGCCTGCCCAGCACCATGCTCCGATTAAATTAAGTTCACGCGAGTCGAAAGAAGAAAAACGCGCCTCTGCAACTTCGTGTAGAAGAAGCCTGTAGACATGTAGCAAGAAAGGCGGAGGAAGATTCTCTGTAGTGAATTCTTTGAATACAAGCAACATGATGGCGACGAGGTCGATGTGGTGGGGTCGGAGGACATGGTTGATCGGTGGTGGCCCTTCTTCCATGTTGGATGTAGGTTAGAGATGCTATACTTTACGCGTCGTTGTAGTTTTCAGCATTCACGGATGACCAGGAATCGAGTTACTTCAACTTGGAGTCTTGGATGATCCCGCGGGGAGTGGCACCAGTGCTCGCCACGTGCGCAATGCACCAATGAGGAAATCAAGGTATCAAGAAAAAAGTCAATCCAAACGCACGTGAAGCTTTGAAGCTTGCACTGTATGACTGGAATTGCTTTGGAGAAACCATAACAGACATGGGATTCAAGGGCGTAAAACGGTCTGCCCCAGCCACTGAGGTCACTATCTCTCTTTATCCGCACCCAATATCCAAACTTATATCCGTCAAACTCAGGGCTCCTCCAAGAAACGTAAAGTCCAGCCAGGCAAACAAGCAAACTCACAAAAGAAATCGCAGGCAAAGGCAAAAGGCAAAGAAAAGGCATCCGATAAACCAATCATCCCTATTCCCGGTGCAGATATCGACGATGAAAACCACTCAGATGACGCTTTACTGTCTGAAGAGGACGTAGACATTCTTGGAGAATATGGCAACGCCGTAGCATTCCTTGATAAATTGGATCGTACAGGTATCTCAAGGTAATCCAACAACTCTACTATGCCCTAAGATAGTTTCTCACTTTCAGTGCAGAAGTAAAAAGGAGACAGTGCGACTACATCAGCTAAACAAACCTGTACGCAAGGCTCCCGTACACGATGACCTGCCTTCCATCGACTCACATGACGAAGATGAAGATTCTTGGAGTTCTGATGTGGGCGAAGAAGACGACTCCTTACATGTCGACAGTGAATCAGAGGCATCCGACGCGGATCAAAGCGACTTGCCTGTAAACGACATGGACTCTGACACTGAAATGCCATATGAAAAGGTTCCGCGGAAACGAAGACTTTCATGGGACTCCGACAAGGAGCATCAAATTCAGAAGTTACCTATTAAACTAGGCGATGGTCGAATACAACGGCAAGGGCAAAAGGACGTCCCTGTCAGATCAAATCCCGAAGACGAAAGTGACGAAGAATCTGTTACTTCAGAAAAGTCACCACTGGAACCTCAAAGAGACGACGTCGCCACCGGTGCTCGATTTGGTCGTCCAGCCGTTGTTGACGTAGTCAGCAATCAGTCTCGGAAGGCTAGGGTGCAGGGAGCAAAAGAGCAAATAGCCAGTATATGTCAGGAAATTATATCAGAACCTGAAAATAGTGTGAGTTTTCTAGTCCATATGTGCTGAATATTTTGAAGTGGACTGTTTGCCCAGTTAGGGCTTTTGCGACGCCTTCACACGTTCTCTCTCGAAAAAATCACTACACCCACCCATCCAGAACCCGTTATAAACGATGTCATAATCCGAAAACTCGCTATCCTTTCTCAGCTTGCTGTATTCAAAGACATCATCCCTGGATACCGGATCCGTGCTCTTACAGACAAGGAAAAAGCGGAGAAAGTCAGTCAAATGGTTTCGCGCACGCGAGATTATGAGCAGGGCCTTGTATTTGTCTACCAAAATTATCTTCGATCTCTTGAAGCTGAACTCAAAGGTTGGACATCTTATCTTGGATTAGCTTGGCGCGATGCTGATGATAATGATATCCCAGTGAAAAGCGAACTTGCCGACGTCGCTCTGCAATGCATCTGTACCTTGGCCACGGAGGTCACCCATTTCAACTTCAGAAGCAATCTTATCACGTGTATTGTAGCTCGCCTGAGTAAAAGGTCATGGGATCCTGTGAGTCCTTTCCGTTACTACGAACAATGCAAACTAACTTCCTCGATATTTTAGTCTTCTGATCTTTGCATGAGTACGCTCGTTACAATCTTCCGTGAAGACCTCACTGGCGTTCCATCTCTGGAAGTAGTGCAACTACTGAATCGTATGGTCAAGGAACGCAGATTTAACATTCACCCTGAAGTCTTGACTTGCCTACTACATCTACGATTGAAGACGGAACTTGCGGTTCGCTCTTCTGATTCGAAGGCGAATAAAGAAGAGAAGAATTATAAAACTTACTCCAAAGGCAGGGCCGCAGCACGTAGGGCGAAAGGTAAACCCACCGATCAACCCCATCTTAGCAAGAAAGCACAGAAGGCTCTTAAGGAGAAAAAGGAAATACAGCGTGAGTTTCGTGACGCGGAAGCCGAAGTTGACAAAGAGGAGCGAGCAAAAACAGTGAGTAGCAGGAAGCGTTATAATCGGCGATTCACTAGCTTGACCTTCGAACACTAGCACACCGAAACGTTGAAACTAGTGTTCGTTTTGTATTTTCGTGTGCTCAAGAATCCCCGGCCGACACCTCTTCTACCGGCTGCCTTACGGGGTATTTCCAAGTTTGCACATCTAGTCAACATAGACTTCTTCAAGGACCTCATGCAAGTTCTAAAAGGGCTCATTACACGCGAGTCAACAGATGATGAAGACGACGATGACGGACCTTTGCATCGTGATATCAATAACGACACCAGGGACATCCATCATCGCCTACTCTGCATCGTTACAGCCTTTGAGCTCCTATCAGGACAAGGTTCGTGGTTACCATTTTTTTCCCGCGTTCTTTTGTCTTCTGACTAGTTAAGTAACCAGGCGAGGCGCTGAACATTGATTTGAGCGACTTTGTCAATCACCTGTACGCTATTATCTTACCGATCAGTCTTCTTCCAAAATTAGACCTTCCTCCACCTTCCGCATCTTCCTCCGATGTACGAACCACAAAAGCGCCATCGGTTGCGGATATGCTATTCAGGGCCCTGGTGATTGTGTTCTCTCCGCGGACCTCGGGCCTTGCAGCACCCCCCTGGCGCTCAGCGGCTTTTGCCAAGCGTCTACTCCTCGCATCGTTGAACTGGCCACCTGGTACGGTTTTGCGCGCGCTTGAATTTGTAGGAGGGTTGATCGCAAAGGATCCAAAGCTTGAAGCCCTGTTATCGACAGAGGATCGCACATATGATGGAATTTATCTTCCCGAGATCGATGACCCACAGTTGTGCCATCCATTTGGTACATCATTTTGGGAACTTCAGCTCTTGCAACAAACCCACTATGACGCTCGAGTACGCGAAGCAGCTCGTCAATTGTCTAGATATACTAGGTCATGATGATGAAGGATTGGACTGGAATTAACTACGAGATACATGCTTTACAAGTTTCATTATCGATCTACATTGTGAGGGGTAACGATGAATACAATGAACATGAAACAAAGCGAATGTATCAACATCGGAAGAGTGCGATTGTACTATAATATTACCACATGCTGAACGAATCAAAGTACCAATGAATAGAGAGCGAGAGTCGATTAGTCCGAAACAACTGCATAAATAATGGTCCACTATCCATGTGGCATCCAACAGGAAAAGAAAACAAAGTTCTGTGAACGAAATAGCGGCGAATTATTGATACATTGCCGATGTTGTCATGCCCGAAAGTGTCGAAGACGAGACACTATGTGTGCTGCTCCTATTGTCGAAGGGAAGTGGTGCACTCGGTAAAGATGCTTGGGCAGGATAACAAGAGCGGGGAGTGCTTTGCGTATGTGTGGGTGGTGGATGATTGGGTGCATATACACGTTGTGGCTTCTCTGGAGAAGCGTTATATTTAGAAAACCCTGTGAGTTCCGCAGACGGCATGTTGTCGCAGTTTTCCCGATCGAGGTCGTAGACGATGACGGCCAACAATCCGTCATCTACGAAGATTTTTTGCACGATGGACGTCTCTATGGCTGTGCCGACACATGGGGAACATGAGGATGCAACGTGTTGTCTGCAATAAAAAGTGTACTCACAAGCGTCAAGCCACCGACTCCTGCTCAGTGAAGATTCCGGAAGATACGACACAGCGGTTTGGAATGATTCCTGGACCGATGGTTGGACTGTCATAATTGGACAAATTTCGCTTTCTCGAACAATGCAAGCATTGCGGGCGAAAACAGACGTGAAGCACCTAGCAGAAGTCCGTTGCGCTGTAAATGTAATGGAACCGTGGAAACCATGCAGCGTTGGAGAATACATGGCATCTATGGTTGGGAGGTGAAGCTTAATGCGGATTGCCACAGTCGACGACGACTGAAAGAACGGTTGACTTGACTTCAGGGCATCCACTTGAACAGTGAATGGCAGCATACCCTCCGTCCAAAGAGTCAAACGAGCCATTCCCTTGACCAGACGTGATGTCGGTGCTACAGATGGATCTGAAGGGAGGAAAGGCAGCTCATCATAGATGTCCAATGAAGGATCTGGATGTAATGGGAGATTGAAAACGTCTTCCTCAGGGCTTGAAGGCTCTGAAGCACAATTTGAATAACCAAAAGGGTAATCATAGCCGACCTCCATACTTGCGTCAAAGGGGGTCCCCTGGGGAGACATTTTTTCGGGAGGTAGGTACAACTGAGACCTTGGATCCGAATACTGATACGGAGAAAAAAACGACAGCATTTGATGATCAGTGCCTTTCATCCTCGAGCGAGACAACGAGCGAGACCGGCAGCCCTCTTTCGTCTCGGCAGACGGCATCGACCCAGACGGCATTGAGCCTACGGATTGACAATGGCGTGGGTACATATGCTTAGGCCTCGGTGAGAGGAGTGGTGAGTCGGTGATGAATAACGACGCCGGAGAGTGAGATCTCATCTCTTCCAGTTGAAGAGGGGTCAAGAGGTGTGAGTCACACGGTTCCTCTGATTTCACGTGAGCTAACAAGCCAGTTTCGACAAATAATTCTTCTCCTCCAGCAACAAGATGATATTCTGTCCACAAGGAACTGAGTATATGGGAACACCTATTATGGGGGAAAGTGCAAACCTGGTTCTCCCTTCCACATATTTCTTAAGACTTGGATATGGCTGGCCACTTGCTTCTTCGATCGTTCTACACCAGCCTTCTGGAGGTAATCGACCAGAAACTGGTTACGCCATCGACTGCGGCCGCGTGAATAAGTAGCCCATGGAGATTCCCAATATTGGCGTAATCCTAATACGATATGGGGTAATGAGGATCAACAGAGAGGTGGATGGAGAGACGAAAGCAACCTTGAACGAATATCTTCTCTATCTCTTCAGGCCAGACTTCGCTTGTGCCATCCTTCAAGAGTTTGCGATGTTTTCTCTGTGGTGTCAGACTCTTAGTTGAAGCACCATCAGAGTGGAGTTTGTCATTAGAAGTCGTTAATTTGGAAGATCTCATTGTGTCAGCTGTGCTTGCAGGGTAGAGGTGTGGAGACCAGGGAGGCTCCAGGGGATGAGGAGAGCGTGCAAGAAGGACGAGAGACGGAAGTAAACGAACGGGCAAGAGCGCTTTATATATGTGAGACTTGTTCCGAGTGTTAAGTTTTGTGGACCGGACGAAACGAGCATAGCACAGATTCGAAGGCGAAAGATCCGAAATGGCATAAGGGGCCCGTTAAGTCGGATAGTGCGTAATTGAAATTGCCCTGACAGATAACGGATCGAGGAAGCTTGTGACGCTGAGAAAGGGAACTAGTCCTTCTAGGCTCTGAGTCAGAAATATTAGAGTTCAGCAGCCCAGAAAGGAAGGATGGCGCCACCCTAGTGGAGCGAGAGGCTGGGAATATGGACGGTGGATCTAAGCGCCAGGAGACTGGCTATTCGAGGTCTGGGTGGTGCCACCGCCGCCAACGCAAGGCTATCAGACCACCCTCAAAGAAGATAGCAAAGAGGGACACTGGTCTTGACCACAAAATTTCAATACCACACCTGACACGTCCACACGCCCACCTGTCTGTCTCGACCCGTCACGGAGATATGATATTCTGCGTCCAGCTCGGGCGATTTCCATCCTGGGTGATGGGGTGCTTTCTTTCAGATTGCCTATTTCGAAGATCAAGTGGTGTTCAGCTGTTTGAGACACGAACGGGGCGCTAAACAATGGCAGAGCGATCCGGGTGCCGAGACCCACCAGGAGCAGAAACCGCCCGTGAAGACACCCACATGGACCCAACACTCGAAACGCAATCCTGACACCACTCACAGAGCAATGCCTGCCACACAAAACCACCTCTCCGCCGGTATCACAATCTGTCCAGCCAGCCACGGTAGCAGTCCCTTTTTTTGAAAACAAGTCCAGCCTTCATCACCGGAAGCAGATTCCACGACAAGATAGGGTCGAGCTGAAAGAGCAGCTTGGACCCCAGATCACACCAACAGTGATTAGCCCGCGACACCCAGCCACTCCCTCCGAATCGTGCGGAGCCCAAATTTTTATTTCCCGTCTCAGCCGCCACCGCCCAGCCACTGGCCCGCCCTATACTCCTCCAGGCCGAATATGAGCACCGAATCTCTGACACAGAAATGGCTGCGCCAAAATGTCCATCCATATCCACAGAAAGACCGTGTTTTTGTCGACATCGATGCCGCCCTTACGCGCTACAATACCTTGAGGCCAAAGTCTGACGTGTATAGTTCAGTATTCCGTCAGTCGCATCTTTGATCCATCATGTTGACATGTGCATCGCGTCTGTCGCAGCCTACGACGATGGCCGCACCCAGCTTTTGCTCTGCGTGCATGGCTTGCTACCGATATCCTATCGGGGAGCTTCCTACAACATCCCCATCGCCGTTTGGATACCCAGAGAATATCCTCGGCTGCCTCCGATCGCATATGTCGTGCCTACTCAGGATATGCTCGTAAAAGCAAGTAAAAATGTTGATGTAAGTGGACGTTGTCATATTGAGTACATTCGCAATTGGGAAAAGAAGAATGAGGTACGTCAGTATACATGCGCATCGATCCGCTTGTCCGCCAACGACCATCCTATCCAAGGCATGTAATTTATCGATTTTACTCGAAACAATGCAAGAAGAATTTTCCCGTGGGCCACCTTTGTATGCTAAACCGATTAATGCGAGAATCGCTTCTCCTCAGAACCCAGCCCAGCCACCGTCAAGATCATCAATGCTGTCATCGTCTACTACAACTTCTACCCCTTCGTCCATTTCGCCTCCAGTAGCTCATCACGATAGACCCATTTTACCGCCTAAACCATCCTCATCTACACCATTGCTCGGTGTCCCGTCAACGGCGTCCAGCATTCCGTCTAGTAGCTCTACTCTTTCCTCTGCACAGGTTTGTAATACTGCCTTATCACCATCTGTCATATTCCTAATGAGATTTCTTTCCATATCAGGCTGACTTGGGACATCGACCACCTCCTCCCTTACCCCCACATCCATATTCTGACGTGCGACCCCCGCAATACGAGCATTCTCGTGGTCCCCAGTTTACGCGTAGGGATCCATACGGCTCAAACATTCCTCACGCCCATTCCTCGCCTCCGCCACCAACGATTGACAATTACCGGTGGTCTACGCCATCTCATCCAATCTATCAACCCACTCCTCATGACTCCATAATTTCACCACCTCTCAGTACGCGGCCCACCGGTCCGGTCTCAGCCGGCGCTCAGACTGTACCGTTCCCACCTCCGAAACCATGGTCCCCTCCGATGCTTGCCCCGAAACCAACAGGGCCACCTCCCAACTTGCTGGAAGAGGAAGCACCCGACGCGTCAATAGTCGCTCCGAAAGCACCTGTGGTTGCACCGCCCCGCCCCCCAAATCCCGAGTTACTCCGCTTACACGCCCAAGTGCACAGCAAGCTGACATCGGAACTTGCATCTGTGTCACAGGTTATGGCGATCGATGCCGAACGCCTGCGCGCTCAACAAACGGATCTACTTGCTGGAGAGCCCGCCATACGGGATGAGATGGCTCGCTTAGAAGCAGTGCGCGATGTATGCCGTAACGTTGCAGGGCGTCTAAGGAGCACGGTTGAACAAGGGGAACGGAACGTATCCGAATTACGAAGGAAAGGAGATCCGGAAGTGGATGAGCTCATCTGCTCTACAAGTATAGTACACAACCAGTAAGTCTGGTTGGCAACCTTTCCCCTATACGACGTTGGTGCGGCAATGACTGACCGATGTGCCCATGTCCTCTTTTGATTTTGGGGTGCAGGCTCGTCAATTTGGTGGCTGAAGACAACGCCATTGAAGACACGATCTATCATCTGCATCGGGCTCTCAATACAGGTCGTGTCGATCTAGAACGATTCCTCAGGGTTCGTATCGTATCCTTTTTCGTAACCCTTATCTTACAGTTAGCTGATGTGAAATATGTTGGTTATCTATATATCAGACCACGCGTGTTCTTGCTGAAGAACAGTTCACGAAAAGGGCTTTGATGGAGAAGATTCAGACTGGGATGCCGATGGGGATGTCCCTGGGGTACAACTAGTGACATAGTGTGGTTAGCGACGACTCGAAAATGCAATTGCCATATACGATCTGGCCCAGACCTTTGCGCTTTGATCGTGGACAAACTGAAAGATTGCAAATATGCACAAGAACTCTATGCATGAACGAGACTGCTCTTATGCAAGGGAACGCGGTTCCTGATCTGAATCACGGCAACCCGTGCCTTTGCATCACAGCACCGGCCCCGGTTAATCCAATTGGAAGTTTCTCAGAAGCTCACTGAGGGAGCTTTGGTCAAAATCGTATGACGGACGGCATCTTCGACTATTTACAGATAACGTACACTAAGCATTAGAGCTTCCTCTTATAAGACGCGCAAGGTCATATCCGATCAGGAAAAGGGCTACAAGCCCACGACATCGCACGCCAATCACATCAGTCAGCTTTCTCTTCGTCCTTTTGTTCCGCCCCTTGTACCCTCTTCCGTATTTTCGGTTCCCTTCCCGCGGTGCCTACCCATCTCCATACACGCATCTCATCTCCCCCACGAACCTCTTCTAGATTTGCTCTGACATTTGAGTTTCCTTCAACAACACGTTCCACCTGATCCCAGAGTCTTCTTCTGACAGGGATTGAATGTTCATCCTGTAAAATGAGATCACGAAGCTGCAGAGAAGACAAAAATGGGTGGGGTGCCGTAACGGGGTCCGTATGATATGCTAGTTCTTGGTTACGCAAGGTGTCAAGCGCTATTTGCACAAGCTCAGCCACTCGTTTGTTCTCAACTTGGCGGCGATCTCTGCGTTTTCTGCCATAGAGGGCAATGATTATTGTGATCGTAGACGCTAAGTGGGGAATAAGCAAGGTTCAAGCGCAGAAAATGTACGACAGTACATACTGAACAGAGTTGTGCGCCATTGTTCCCATAACTCTCTCGTCTTGACAGTCACCTGACAAGTCCAAGTCAAGTTCGGCGTTTTATGAGCCAAGTACCGATTTCCACTATTGTCAATGTGTTCATTTAGGGCGATAGGCACGAATCCATCTAGAATAAACTTACGCAGAGTCTTCCCCCAAAATGACACCACCCCATTGTACTAGCTGTTGTATGGCTTCATTAAATGTATCGTCAAATGTTTCCAGAAGATGCGGCTGCCGGAGACACATTATGAGAAGCCGCAGCAGACGGAAAACGGGTGTTCAAGTACTAACCGCAGTTCTTCGCTTCATGTTTTCCCGCAACGCCTCCACTTCTAGACCCCATCTAATGGCTTCTCCCCTATCTTCACCTTCAACAGTACCAGGCCTTACTTTTTCGCCAGCACAAAGACGCCGTCCCCGCTCCTGACCCAACAAAGCTTCTATGGCTTTCCCCAAAACACCTATGTTCCTTTTTCTCTTTGGATCTTCGAGACACCGTGATGGAAAGGCCTTTGGACCTAGACCAGGTAGTCCATCAGCGACACCACTGATGAACTTCCATAAAGCTTCGACTGGATCCGGTGCTGTGGCACTAAATGGAGATAGCAGACTATGGAGGGGATGAGGATGTAGTAGATAACCTGTCATGCAAGTCACAGTATGTTGGGTACACTTGGCGTACTCAGGACAAGGCGTACAACTTGATGGATGGGGCAAAGGAATCAACGAAGGTGGCGGACATAAAATCTTCCCTTCGACAACGTTACCCGCAACATCCGACTGACCATAAAGAAGAGTACGATTGTTTCGATTGCAAGAGTCAACAGCCTCCAGATACATCTTGAAGTCTTCTAGAGCGCGATTCGTATTGCTGCCCACATCGCAGTATCCTATCGGTGCTGACTCCATCTTATAATTCACAACTGTACCAGAAACCGCTAAAATAATGATGCCGATTATGAAACGTAGGAGGAAGGACGAGGATTCTTTTGGAGAAGAAGCGCGCGAAGAGATCGCTCCGCCTCCCGCGATGCGTTGTGAGATAGCAATGGTTTGCGCATCTATGTCGTCAAACTCCAAAGCCTCTTCTTCCTGACTATTATTGTAGTCCACATCGTCTAGTTCTACGGATGTTTGATCATTATCCAAATTGTCTGCTTTGACTTCATATTGAATTGAAGGACTTGGTTGATGCTCGATAGGAGTGAAAGAAGTCTTTCTGGTACTGGGTGGTGACTTCTGCGCGGGACGCACTACCTCCGGTGGTAACTGTGGCTCAAACTTGGACTGTGGTGGTGAGCGCTGTAGATACTCCTCGAATTTGGGAGCCTTTGGCGGGGATATCTGTGGCGGGGCAGACATAGAATGACGAGTTCTCTTTCCACCTACGCTTTTACGTGGTGTCTTTGGTTTGACATGGGAAGGACGAACCGGCGAGGAGGACTCGGCACCGGACTGAAAGATGTTATTATCTTCCCAACCACTGTCATCTGCGAACTACAGCAGATATCAGAATTCTAGACTGTTCAGATTTGGACATATTCACTTACAGTCTCAGAAATTCTACGAGCTTTCGAGCCCGCTGCCTGTGACTGAACGTACAAATTTTCAGTAAACTAAAGAGTGAGAATGAAGGACGGTTTTTACACTCTTCTTATTCTTTACAACCTTACGAGCCGGGAGTTCTTCCTCTTCGGGTTCACTCTCCTCCATTAAAGCAGGTTGAGGAGCAACTCTGTTTGTGGAAGGGCCACCGAGGCTCGGTTGCGCAGAAGAACGACGTCGCTTCGGCTGGACACAAGTGAGCTGCAACACAATCACACATGTAAAATCGTGTACATACAGGATCCTGACGAACCGGTGACAAATCTTCATCTTCTGTAGGTGCACGCGACAATCTCCTGGAAGACCGCCTAGCTGGAAGGTTCTGGGAAAGAGAGTAAGTTATAATCACAAGGAGGAAGAAATGTGACAGTTATGCCACGCACTTTTGGTTGCCCAATAGGTCTCCCTGTCACTCCGTCCGTTATTCCGTCATCACTCGCAATGCTATTCTCTTTCTTGAGTCTGTCTTTCCTGAACTTTGCGGCCTTTCGTTTGACTTCGTCGTTAAACAATTCTACGAGCTTTGGCTTCGTGTAAGGAGTTGGAAACTTGATATTATGGTAACCAAGAATTCCCAAAAGTTGAGATACTGTGAGCGACGATGGATCGAAATCAGGATCGAGGTATTCCCCCAGTCCAATCACTTGTGCGGCCGTCAGACTTCTGGACATTGTTGAGGAGCGTGTCCAAGAGCGTGTCGAAAGGTTGGCGCGTGTCAGTCACTCAACGTTACCGTTGCGTCACGCGTCACGAGCCTGCCACAACAATGCAGTGCAAAAGAATTTGTTTGACAAAAAATGTTCTAAAAGTGTAAAGAGAAACATGGTCATATGGCTCCCTCCGAGACTTATTTCTAGTATTGTTCGCCAAGATGTCTATGGGTAATTAATCCAAACCGACGCCAGTCTCGCTCACATGTTTCTTCCTGGGCATCACTGCAACCACTCGGCACAACCGGATCCGTGGAGCACTCCGCATTGAACGGCTTTACGAGAACGTTGGACGGATGAGTCCCGACGGTCCGAACCACTTTCCGTGTACCTGAGAACAACGTTACCGTCAGTGTGATCCCAGTCTAACGTATAGAACACCCTACCATGCGATTCCAGTAAGCCCATGGTAACAAATCCTGTTATCAGCACCCCATCAGTAAACTTACATACAAGCACCACGACCAGAAAGACTCGCCTTCTTAAGGTGATAGTATAATCTAGAATCAAATAGATACCGTAAGTCAGCACTAGAGCCAACAAGCCTATGTAAGTACTAACCTCCTGGGTATCTTTTGATCTCCAAGATAGTTGGCGAAACTTTCCTTAGGCTCGAGGCCGTATTTGAACTCGGCCAGCATTAGTTCACCATATCCCGTCAACAACTATAGACTTATCAGCACAGTCTCCTTTATAGCTAGGTGAAAAACTGACAGGGCAGCTAGTGTACCCATCGTACTTGGCATTACCGACATTGCCGGTGTCCACGACGGAAAACAGATTTTCCGTCAACACTGGCGCTTGCGACGTTATGGCTGCTGCTGTTTTACTGGTAGGGAGCGAGGAACAATCTCCGAGGGCAAAAATGTTTCCAAATTCTGGTTTGACGTGCCTCAGTGTGGCCTGGTCAACCTGAACCCATCCCGCCGCGTCAGCAATAGGAGAACCCTTGATGAAATCAAGTGGTCCCATGGGGGGCGTCACGTGTAAAAGGGTGAAGTCGACATCAACAGTGGTTTCGTCAGCTTTCTTAAACTTCGCTTTGCGATTCCCGGCGTCTACAGAGACCAAGTTGTGCTGGAACTCAGCCCCCACGCCCCGTTCAATACGTAGCGCGGTCAAAGCTTCGGCGTATTTCTTGACAGCAAACATGCTCGGCATACCGGAATAAAAGTCCACTTTAATATTGCTTCCTCTGTTGGTCTTCCGATATCTGTCCCATGCCATCCACATGATTTTTTGAGGGGCTACATATATGTCATTCAATGATTATCCAAGCGAAAGCAAAAAGTGTAAACTTACCACCTGCACATTTTACAACCCCGGCAGGCTGTGTAAAAAGAGCATTGCCTGATCTGAGAGCGTCAATGTCCGACCAAGTTTTGTCACATGTATTGTACGAGTAGATGGATGAAACTCCAGACGACGGGTCTGAAAGAGCCTTTGTCAGTCCTGAAATAGCGTCCCAGTTAATCCCGAGTCCGGCAGCAACCACGAGGGATTCGTATGTTACAGAACGTCCAGACTGGGTCACGACAGAGGAAGTGGCCGGGGAAAACGATTCCACGTTCTCTGGGATATGTGAAATATAGTCTGGAACAAGCGAGGCGAGAGGTCGTCGGAAATCGGTCTTGGGACGAAGGCCAGCACCGACTAGTGTCCTGATAAAACAAAGTAGCATTTAATAACTGCGAGAATTCACCGATAGACTATAACCACTCACCAACCGGGCTACAATTGATGTCCGAGGGTAAGTATCGTCTTTCAGCAAAAGATACCAACAAAACCGTACCTGATAGTAATGATATTCTGCGGCGTCTAACACCAGGACATCACCCTTGTTCAATTGCTTGCCAGCAGCCTTGAAACGATCATAGATTTGGTTGGCAACATTCAACCCTCCAGAACCTAGTCCCAACAGATAATACGTGTGTCAGTAAAATAGATGATTGCCAATGGTAATGCATGCACCTCCGCCCACCACCACGACCTTATATTTATCCCTAATAGTAGTACTTTCTGTAGCGGAGGTGGTCGCAGTGCTCGCGTTTCTGGTAACTGTGACAGTGCCTCGCCGAGGGAATACCGAAAGAGCGCGTCTATGAGCCACAAACATATCAGTGAGATCAGTTAGGGCAGTACGAAAAGGTGCTGAATTAAGAAGAGCCGCTCCCCAACTTCAAACACTATAAAATGTTGTATAGTAATCCTGCAATCATGAACAAGAATGGCGAAATAGTTCGGGCCATGGACCTTACTTCATGGACCACCTGGGTCTCCCAAACACAGAGCCAAATAATAGTCGTAGCCACATGTGGATCCGGAAAAGTTCGGACACCGGATGCAACCGGCAGTAGATATGCTCTTGGACCTCCACAGGCGCAACTAGTGCTTTACAGGTAGCCAGAAATTTATCAAAGGTAAAACAGAGCGGAACGAATATGATTGTGAAATGATTTTATAAATAGCTCACCTGTAACAACAATGGCAGACCTGACACTAAACCTTCCACCTCCAAAAGTGTGAGGGAAAGATGACCAGATCTGGCCCAACTCTGTGCTGTGAATATTGCAGCTGCATCTTAGAGAATGTCAATATATACTCTCCTACAATGCCAGATAATTATCAAGCTAATTAGGGCCTTGAGAGGTCTGCAGAAGGGAGAACAATGATGAAGTTGTGTGATCAGGCAATTGACAAAACCAGATAAACCTAGTCTCAGCTAAAGCTGCTAAGCAGCTGTTGTTTCTCATGGAGCATAGCCACCACTCCATGGAGTCACCCATTGTTCTCCTAGGAGTCATTGTAACTTAGTGAGTAGCACCTTTGACTATACATAAGTAGTAGGGGGCTTAGTATAGGAATACTTTAGTTGTTTCTATAGCCTCTCAGGCAGTGGCTGAGGTATGTTACATTACATTCTATAGAGGTTGTTAGTGATTTGGACCCTCAGAGCATGGGAATAAGTGTGGCAGAAGAATACTTTGGTAAATAAAGGCTGTAAAACGTAAATACAAGATTCCTATATACCAAATATATGTAAATACCATGTGAAATATAGTAATAGCCACAAACAGCTGGTTACAATCATAAGATAAAATCTTTGGGCGAAACTCTGAAGTTTGCTTACATAATATAATTTCTACAGAGATTACCTTGAAACTGACATCTATTATATGTAGTTTGGGCACTCTGTCCTTTCACTTAGGTAAATAATATAGTCATTTCTATAGCCTCTCAGGTGTAAGGACCATTTTATTATTTTCTTATCTTCTCTATGTCTTGGTTCTCGAACGCCTTTCCCATTACACCTATGGCTCTAGGGCTAGAGGTATCATTTGCCATCTTACTTCTCATAGCCCTCACAGGCTTTCTTAACCACCGTTACTACTTTATATCACAGATCAGAGACTGGGTATCACTCCTAGCCAGCCAGCACAATGGGTAGGGACTAGTAGTAGGCATCTCGCCAACCAGCTCCAAGCCCCATTAAGGCCTGGATATACTAATAAACACTTTGATCAGGATCGTACCTCATCATGAGGATACAGTTCCTGAACACGCGTGACAAACATCTATTATTAGTACAATTCTCTCACCTGCTGATTAATCAAGTTAAAGTCGTACAATAGTTGTTCTCTTTTTCTTATTGGACGATTTATTCCTCAGACCACTTTTTGTTTACTCTCCTTTCGGTCTGAGGAACGGACAGTTAGCTATATAAAGCCTTACCTATTCATGTATAGTTCCTTAGTTTTCTATTACTGAATTTACCCGCTTTACTCCTTAACTGAAACCCTTGAGTTTACTCCCCAGTCCTCTACTTGCTATATTTACTAGCATCTGTCGACCTCAAACTCATTGAACCCCTTACTCCCTGCAAGTGCAGTAGGAGACAGGTTTTGTTTTTGTTATAGTTTATCGTTGCCTCACATCAGGCAGTGGTTGAGTTCAGGCATCCTGCCCTTTCACTTAGTTCTATCAGCAATCACACAACAAGATATTTAATGCCTGCTAGCTCCACTTCAGTATGTACTACACATACCGGCAACATCATGACTTGATATGACCTGGTCAAATCCTACCTACAAACTCTGCCTGATTTTATTTATGAGTGCTATTGTGACCTAGTTTGACCAAAAATTACAGAACTGTAAGGACCATTTACTTTTTCTTATTTCTTCGCTTTTATGTCTTGGTTTTCAAACACTTTTCCCGTTATACCTCTGGCCTTAGGGCTGGAGGTGTCATTTGCTATTCTCCTTATCATTGCCCTAACAGGTTTTCTTAACCATTGATACCACTTCATATCGCAGATCAGAGAATGGGTAGTACTTCAAGCCAGCCAGCATAATGGATAAGGGCAAGTGGCTGAGATCTTGCCAACCAGCTCCAAGTCCCATTAGTGCCTGGATATATTAATAGAGGCTTTATTCAGGATTGTACCTTATTATGAGGATACAGTTCCTGAATATGCCTGACAAACCTATTGTTAGCACATTCTCTCACCTACTTATTAATCTCTGAAGTTGTACAATACTTATTCTTTTTCTTAATTGGTTAGTCTCATCCTCAGACTACTTTTCTTTATTTCTCTTTTAGTCTGGAGAGATAGACAGTTAGCTATAAAAACCCTACATACCCATGTACAATTCCTTAGCTTTTTATTACTTGAATTACCTGCTTTACTCCTCAGCAAAAACTTGAGTCTACTCTTCATCCTTGACTTGCTATAGCCTCTAGCATCTATCAATCCAACATGCATCATACCTCTTACTCCCTGCAAGCGCAGTCAGAGATAGATTTTGTTTTGTGTTGCCTCACAAGAACCCATCAGAAAAAGAGACAGGACATGTGAGAAATTGATTTTTCTCATCACATTCCCATCATATTGTGGTTATCCAACTCATTCCCCGTCACTCCTCTCGCTGTCATGCACCAAAGTTGATTGGTAGCATGGACAGGTGTCAATAATGAAGCGAATATTCAAAAGACTCGCCTTTGCGCCACACAGGCACAGTGCCACGTGGAATAGTAATTAATATTGCCTTTTTCAAACTTGTGGCTGATCAGCATCACCTCTATTAGGCAATCCAGTCACGCTCACCTTTGCTTTTCCATCCGGTACTTTCCGCGTTTCGGCATTTCGGCAAATTTTTGCGTCGCCACTGGCTACACATTGCATTGCGCCCGCGCTTTTGTCGTTTCCCTTACTCCCCTTCCTTTGCCTAGCCCCACCATGGGCCCCTTCCTCTCCTTTTTATTCTCACCTGACGGTCGTTTCTGGATCCCCATTCTAATCCACTTGTTCATCACCTCCACCCTCCTCCTCCTCATCTTATTTGCACCCCCACCATTTCTGATGTCACCACTTCCTATCCGCTTCCGTCGCCGATCCGTTGACTACCACGTGCCACTGCTGATATCAGCAAAGCCCCGGCGGCTGGTTCAAATAGGGCAACAGGTCCATCTTCATGATGTCGATCTGCCATCATATACTATCAAAACATCGGTCGCTCGTCTTGCCTGGTTGGAGCGTGGGTGGGTAGTTTTTGAGCTGGAGAAGGTTCATCCCCTTGCGTCGCCCATGTTCATCGCTGTCCCATTCACTTGGGTTCACTTATCTTTTGTCCATCGTCTTCGCTACAGCTACACCTACCACACGCTGCCTGGGACTCACTTGTTTCAAATTGGAACTACTCCTCTCCCTCCCTTGTTTGATCAGATGGTCCAACACAACCAGTCCATTGGTAAGGCCATGGAACTGTCGGATTTGGACTAGGTGGTGGACCGGTGGCTCCAGTTTCTTTTTCTTCAGCAGAACATTCATTTACAGTGCAATTATTTTTGATTTTTGAATCATTTTTATGGACACATATTTTTTTAGAATGCCTGACTGACAATAAAGGAACTGTGTTGATACTGATAGTGTTTTGCCTTGCCCTTTTTTTACTACATCTTCCCATGACATCATGATTTTCCTGCTCTCTTTTTGCTATTGGACTTTACTTTATGGCTGTACAAACCTGTGACATTACTCACAGCATTCATTGTTCTATCTCTTTCTTTTCCTTTTTTTGACAATCTTATCCTGTACTACCTATGCAGGATTTGTCAGCGTACATTCCTTCCTTCATGTTCTTTCTCATTCTTTTTGCACAGCTATACTGTGCATAGCCTACTTTTCTTTTACTATATAAACCCCTGTATTTTACCTTGTAAAAAGAACAAGAAATCCAATCCAGACTTCTTCTCTACTCTCAAGTTCACTACTCTGCTACTTGTGATCCAGTGTGTCACAACACTTCCCACTTCTACCACTGTTAACTGCTGTCATCGTCACTCGTCACTTTTGAAAGTGATTGTCATCCCCTTCGATTAGAGTCCTTCTGAGCACTACAGTTTGTGCGTCAGGAGCCTGCTATCACTGGGAACCTCGTCACCTCGTCATCCTCGTTGTTCTCAAACCTACCTTGTGTTACGATTAGCAAGGTAGTGCTTGTCTATACTCGCCACAAAGCCCCTATCTTTCTATAAATTCAACTATCCCTCCTCCTCAAAACCCACACTCATACACCTCTGGGTTTTACTTTGAAGGATCTTTATACGTACCACCCCACGAACAACCAGACCACTCCACTGTTCTAGGAGGCAAAGCCCATAAACAAGTTCCGTGGAATCTGGGAGGATTGTGTGTTAGTTTGTTTTTGTGTGTGGTTTTCTAACAACAGTTCTCATCATCGACATCGCCCTCGGACTAGAGATCATAGCCGGTACTTGATTACTCTTATCTTTCTTCTTCTTATTTTCCCTTCATACTCACATCCTATCGTACTTACAACAAAGGAGGACCATCATAGACCCTCGAGAAGATATCCAAATGGTATAGCTACGATCTAATGCTATGTTCGGGAATACTTCGGCGAGAGATTTATCAGCGATGTAGGCTATGACTCAGTGTCTTCCCATGGGCTTACTGATACAGCCAATTGTACATCCCTTACCAAGGCTCTCTCTCATACGATTAGTAAATACAATATATTGGACCACTTCCCTTTATTCTTATTGGTTAACCATTTAGTCAGGCCACTTTTGTAGCTTTCTCTATTTCTGGCCTGACTGCTACTATCCAGTATATAAGGGGTAGATATTCCATGTATTATTCTTTAGTTCAATATTAGTTTGGATTTGTGCCTATACAGATACTCTTCAGCTTTCATACTCTGATCTACCGCCTTTTATCAAGAACTTGGCCAGGCATTAATTGTTGTTATAAAGCTTTATATTTGTTGCCTGACAGAACACAACGATGCAGTTTCATGCAAGTCAATTCAATACCAGGCCCCCCGGTCTCACCCAATCTGATCAAGCCATGTGGCAGACTACTCCATATTACCAGTTGACATTGAGATGGTCAATGTAGGCCTTTCTGTTCACACCTTGTAATGCATACTAATAGCTGTTCAAACAGGCAATTCAATAAAGCCTATTTAAATGTTATATTCCATTACAATACAAAAAAATGTATCTAATGGTACTTAATAAATGAACAAGTTATTACAATAAAATATGGCCAACAAAAACTGAGAACAGAAAAGTGCACAAGAAAATTTGCAAGCATGTAAAATTGCCAAACAACAACTGAACTAACATCTTGTTGGCAAGCTCCCAAAGCAAGCAATCATTGTAATTAGATCACTCTTGGACTTCATTCATATCGCTCAGTACCCCACACACAGTGACACCACCCTTGAATACTTATCTGATGCTCTCAAAATTTTTCATCAAAATAAAGCAATCTTTATCACTCTGTGTAAGTAATCATTTTTTCTATTGCATTCCCGCCATGTCATGGCAAACAAAATTATGAGATCTATGACAAAGAGATACTCGCAGTTATGACTGCATTAGATGAATGGTGACATCACCTTGTAGGATCAAAACACCCCTTCACTATCTTCACAGATCACCAAAATCTCCTTTACTTCTGCCTACCCCAGAAGTATAACAGACATCAGGCTTGATGGTCCTCTCAGCTTGCAGATTACAATTTCAAGATGGAGCATGTCAAAGGAGATCAGAACACCAAAGCCAACCTGTTAAGCAAACAGGTTGACCACCCTAGAGGTACCAATAACAACGAGAACCAATTATTCCTCCTGGATGTACATTTTGAAGTGCTTGACACCAATGAAGGATACTTACTGGATATATGCAAAAGCTTCCAGAAACAAGGTGATGTAGTAAAGAGAAACTTGAAAGAGAAGCCTAACACCTGGGAAGTGAAGAATAGGATCATCTGGATTAAAAGTGAGTCTGAGATGAGTTCCTACCCAATCCAGCTAGCTGACCGCATCTATGTCCCCCAAAATGTAAGGACCATTTCATTATTTTCTTATCTTCGCTATGTCTTGGTTCTCGAACGCTTTTCCCATTACGCCTCTGGCTCTAGGGCTAGAGGTATTGTTTGCCGTTCTACTTCTCATAGCCCTCACAGGCTTTCTTAACCATTGCTACCATTTTATATCACAGATCAGAGACTGGGTATCGCTCCCAGCCAGCCAGCACACGGAGTAAGGACTGGTAGTAGGCATCTCGCCAACCAGCTCCAAGCCTCAGTAAAGCCTGGTTATACTAATAACGCCTTGTTCAGGATCGTACCTCATTATGAGGATACGGTTCCTGAACACGCGTGACAATCCTCTATTATTAGTACAAGTCTCTCACCTGCTGATAAATCAAGTTAAAAGTTGTACAATAGTTGTTCTCTCTTTTTTTCTTATTGGTCGATTGATTCCTCAGACCACTTTTTGTATATTCTCCTTTCGGTCTGAGGAATGAACCGTTCACTATATAAAGCCTTACTTATTCATGTATGGTTCCTTAGTTTTCTATTACTGAATTTACCCGCTTTACTCCTCAACGAAAACCTTTGAAGCTTACCTCTCAAAGTCCTCTACTCGCTATATTTACTAGCGTCTGTCGACCTCAAGCTCATCGAACCCCTTACTCCCTGCAAGTGCAGAAGGAGACAGGTTTTGTTTTTGTTATAGTTTATCGTTGCCTCACACAAAACAATGAACTATGTGCACAAATACTGGAGGATCATCACAACAAAGTTCTCGCTGGACACCTAGGAGAGAGAACAATGTTTGAACGAGTAAACTGAGAACTCTGGTGGCCGAGTCTTTGCACAGATATCAGACAATATGTACAAAGGTGCAAAACTTGTCAACAAACCAAAGCACATCAGACAAAGCCAAATTATAACAATCCTCTACCCTTTACCGAGTTAACAGAGGTAGAAGGTGTCAATCTCAAGCAAGTGGTGTTCAAGACAAAGGTATATAGACAAAATCAAAAGCTAGAGTATGTACATGCAGATATAGCTACTTATATATGTGTAGACATGTGTCAGCCTTGAGGCGCTGACTGTTACGCACGAAGTGCTTAACAAAGTCAGAGGGTTTGTCGAGGTTTGTAAAGAGACTTATCCAAAGACAAGTTCGAGAACGTAGTTTTGAGTGGAGGTCTTCCAACGGGAGTTGGTCTTCTTCTGAGTAGAAGTCTGATCTTAGGAGTCTAGCTTTGTAAGCATAAACTGCGTTGAATCGTATTAGAGAATACTACTGCTGTTACATGGTATTTATAATGGAAAGGAATTGGTGATAGGAGTTAGGTCCTATCTAGGGCAGGTCAGTCCATTGAGGACTAAGTACTATAATAGGTACTGCGAATGCGAGAGGAACAGAAGTGTACGTGAAGGAAATGAGTCATTGGTCTGATGGTATAACCAATGAGTAAAAAGAAATGAGTAGTCCTTAAATGTCAAATAGAGATCGTAACATTACCCCCTTACTTGCTCCGAGTTTCACCAAAATTCGGTACCTTCGCCGTCAATATTGTAACTGTCGTCGTAGCTGACGTCTCCATGTAATCCTTCCATCAGAATCCTATCCTCATCTTCCCTGCGGATGGGACACCAATTAAAACTATGTCCCAGTGCACAACGGTCACAGTCGGGGCAATAGTAGGCTTCGCAATAGTATGTGCAATGATCGCTCCAACCACAGTTTTGGCAGTATGGAGTGTTGTTACGAACACCTTCGTGGTATTTTTGTTGGGTGTTGGATGAGGTGTTGGATTGGGGAGTGGTTGGATCGTCATCTCCCAGGTCATACGTTCCTGTGTACAACTGATTGATCATGGCTGCATCGTCATCTACGTTGATTGGGTTGGAGGGAGAGCCAGTCTCAGGCCTGCGCGTTGTCGATGATGAGAACTGTTGTTAGAAAAAACACACACAAAAACAAACTAACACACAATCCTCCCAGATTCCACGGAACTTGTTTATGGGTTTTGCCTCCTAGAACAGTGGAGTGGCCTGGTTGTTTGTGGGGTGGTACGTATAACAATCCTTCAAAGTAAAACCCAAAGATGTATGAGTGTGTGGTTTTGAGGAGGAGGGATAGTTGGAATGCAGAAAGATAGGGGCTTTGTGGCGAGTATAGACGAGCACTACCTTACTAATAGTAGCACAAGGTAGGTTTGAGAATGACAATATGATGAGGTGACGAAGTTCCCAGTGATAGCAGGCTCCTGATGCACAGACTGTAGTGCTCAGAAAGACTCTAATCGAAAGGGATAACAATCACTTTCAAAAAGTGACGAGTGACGGTGACAGCAGTTAACAGTGGTAGCAGTGGGAAGTGTTGTGACGACACTAGATCACAAGTAGTAGTGAGTAGTGAACTTGAGATTAGAGAGGAAGTCTGGATTCGGGTTCTTGTTCTTTTATAAGGTAAAATACAGGGGTTTATATAGTAAAAGAAAAGTAGGCTATGCACAGTATAGCTGTGCAAAAAGAATGAGAAAGAACATGAAGGAAGGAATGTACGCTGACAAATCCTGCATAGGTAGTACAGGATAAGATTGTCAAAAAAAGGAAAAGAAAGGGATAGAACAATGAATGCTGTGAGTAATGTCACAGGTTTGTACAGCCATAAAATAAAGTCCAATAGCAAAAAGAGAGCAGGAAAATCATGATGTCATGGGAAGATGCAGTAAAAAAAGGGCAAGGCAAAACACTATCAGTATCAACACAGTTCCTTTATTGTCAGTCAGGCATTCTAAAAAAATATGTGTCCATAAAAATGATTCAAAAATCAAAAATAATTGCACTGTAAATGAATGTTCTGCTGAAGAAAAAGAAACTGGAGCCACCGGTCCACCACCTAGTCCAAATCCGACAGTTCCATGGCCTTACCAATGGACTGGTTGTGTTGGACCACCTGATCAAACGAGGGAGGGAGAGGAGTAGTTCCAATTTGGAACAAGTGAGTCCCAGGCAGCGTGTGGTAGGTGTAGCTGTAGCGAAGACAATGGACAAAAGATAAGTGTACCCAAGTGAATGGGACAGCGATGAACATGGGCGACGCAAGGGGATGAACCTTCTCCAGCTCAAAAACTACCCACCCACGCTCCAACCAGGCAAGACGAGCGACCGATGTTTTGATAGTATATGATGGCAGATCGACATCATGAAGATGGACCTGTTGCCCTATTTGAACCAGCCGCCGGGGCTTTGCTGATATCAGCAGTGGCACGTGGTAGTCAACGGATCGGCGACGGAAGCGGATAGGAAGTGGTGACATCAGAAATGGTGGGGGTGCAAATAAGATGAGGAGGAGGAGGGTGGAGGTGATGAACAAGTGGATTAGAATGGGGATCCAGAAACGACCGTCAGGTGAGAATAAAAAGGAGAGGAAGGGGCCCATGGTGGGGCTAGGCAAAGGAAGGGGAGTAAGGGAAACGACAAAAGCGCGGGCGCAATGCAATGTGTAGCCAGTGGCGACGCAAAAATTTGCCGAAATGCCGAAACGCGGAAAGTACCGGATGGAAAAGCAAAGGTGAGCGTGACTGGATTGCCTAATAGAGGTGATGCTGATCAGCCACAAGTTTGAAAAAGGCAATATTAATTACTATTCCACGTGGCACTGTGCCTGTGTGGCGCAAAGGCGAGTCTTTTGAATATTCGCTTCATTATTGACACCTGTCCATGCTACCAATCAACTTTGGTGCATGACACTGTGTCATACGGCACTTTCTTTTTTCGTTCTAACTCCACCTTCTCGCGCAGCGTTGCCTTCTTCTTATTTTCAGATACAACTCTCTCACACAGTGGAGCTGGTCATGTGAGCTAGGCCCTATGACATCATCAGCCACTGACTTTACCAACTGTACAGTACATAAGTACAAACACTCTGTATTAGTATATATACCCCAATAGATCCAGGAGACTCCTCAGTGAGTCCTCCTGTTGTTAACCAACAAACTCTTTGCAGCCTAAGGGGTAATCACTCCCCATTCACTACCCTTATAGTGTGTTCTTGTGTGCGCCAGAGTAACTAACTCTTGGTTGTTACATCAGCCACAAGTTCAAAAAAGGCAATATTAATTACTATTCCATGTGGCACTGTGCCTGTGTGGCGCAAAGGCGAGTCTTTTTGAATATTCACTTTGTTATTGACACCTGTCCATGCTACTAATCAACTTTGGTGCATGACATCGGTTTCCTCCAGTGAACTTGAAAGGTAATTTCTTCATCTTTCCTAAAGCACAAGGTTCACAAAACTCCAGGGTTCCGGTAAGGGTGTCTATGTCCTGGAGCTGTCCTTTTGTAACCATTTGTTGCAAGCGGTCCATTCCAATGTGTCCCATTCTCCTGTGCAATAAATTTACATCTACTGCTGCAAAAGCTGACTCCGAGTTGATTTTGGGTTTTGCTTGGATGTGATAAAGTCCTCACTTGTGTAAGGCAGTGAGGATAAGTTCCTTCTTTTTTCCGAACTTCACAAGCATTTGACCCTGCTGGAAAAAGTGTTGATAACCCCGTTTTAGACAATTTGTGGACAGAAACAAGTGCTAAAGTGAAGTTTGGCACAAGTAAGACATTCAACAGTGCAATATTGTAGTCCTTTTTGCCAACAGTTGCTTGTAGGATTACTGTTCCAATGCCAATAGCATTTACAGAGGATTCATCCCCAAAACTGATTGTCCTCGGAGGATGCAGAACATGGTATGTTCCTGGCTCAAACCAGGAGCGGTGAGGGACCATGTGGGATGTTGCTCCGGAGTCAATAATAATTGTTGTTTTGGTCTTATCGGGTTCTGACACAAGGTAAGCTTGAATGCGTTTAGCAAGGGGCTTGGAAATATGTACATGTTCCAATGCAATATGACTCTGTTCCTCCTCGGAGTCAGATCCAGATGATTGCTCCGCTGTATTTGCCTTTTCCTTCTCTTTTCCTTTATCCTTGTGTCTTTCCTTTCCCTTCTTCCTTTGACCTTTTTCAGCTGACTGAAGTGTTCGACACTCCGAGGTGTTGTGTGATTTGGCTTTGTGGAAGTTACACTATTTCTCCTCGGATTTGAGTGCTGATTCAGAATCTCCAGGGGCCTTCCCTGACTGTCGTGCAACTCCTGCAGTGATCCGGATCTCAACTGCATCAAAGGTAAGTTTATTTCCTTCAATCGTGTTGATTACTGATGACAGAAATATTTGCCATTCAGGAGTGCATGGGAGAGATTGGAGAAGAGCGAAAGCCATGAGTTTGGTATCAACTCCTAGTTTCATTCCGGAGAGGTGTGAATCAATTGTCCGGTTTTTTGCAATGTGGTCCTGGATAGGTGATGTCCCATCCCAGGACAATTTGGTGAGTTGCTGGAATGAATAGAAGGCCAAGGCAATGTTGGACATTTGATGGAGTGAGACAAGTTTATCAAATAACTCCTTGGAGCTGGTGAGGTCTCCAGTCCTCATTAGGAGGGCATCAGAGATGTGGTCCTGGATGATTCCATGTGCCTTCTCATCCTTAAGTATCCAGGTGATCTCAGGATCCTCCGAGGAGGTAGGTTTTCCTGGTGAGGGCTTAAGCTCCTCTCCAGTAACAACCCGGAGAACTTTTTCCCGACGTAGCTTTGAGATGACCCGGAGTTTCCATATCTGAAAATTGTTGGGTCCAGTGAGAACTGGACATGCGGATGTATCGTGTGCTGTGGTCATGGTTCCGTTTCAAATAAGAATTATTTCCTGCGTAGCTTTTGCGCCACCAGGGCTCATAACCTAATAAATCTAAGTGAAACTACAATAAATGTTAGTTTAAGGTGGTCTCTAATAAATGTAATGTAACATACCTCAGCCGCTGCCTGAGAGGCTATAGAAATGACTGAGGTATTCCTATACTAAACCCCATACTACTTATAGTCGGAGGTGCTACTCGCTACAGTATAATGACTCCTAGGAGAACAATGGTGACTCCATGGAGTAGTGGCTATGCTCCATGGAGAACAATGGCTGCTTTAGCAGAGACCGGGTTTATCAGGTTTTGTCAAGAAGGTCACAGTTCTGACAGGTTCTGGTCCAACCCAAGACATAGGTGGACTGGACTGGACTGGACTTTGGACACCCTATATCACACTCATGAGCTTCTCATGTCTTAAATATTCTTATCATCTTATATCCAGCTTTACTATCCTGAACTGCTTGGAAGAAAATAAAGCTGTCTTAGCTAGGTCAAGCCGCTGTGCATTTTACTGATGGGCTCTATTGAAGGAATACCTTAGTCATTTCTCTAACTTTCCATGCAGCAGCTGAGGTGTGTTATATTACACTCTATAAGCATTACCGTAGTTGAAATTACTCTAGCATGGGCATTCTGCCCTTTCACTTATATTTCTAACATGATTAACCGGTCCCTATGCCACGGTATACTCGGATAATGCCATCAGGTTGTGCCATGCTGGCGCCAGGTTCCAGTCCGAAGGCGACACTAGTAAGCCACAAATAGTCGCACTAAATATTTACAGAGAATCTTCTGAAGAGGGACATGTCATACAGCTCCTTCCCATGTTTCTTTCTATCCTTATCCACCAAAACAATGACGGCCTTTGACTCCAAACTAACACCAGTTACACTCACATATTCCTTCCCTGTGTCATCATAACCACTCAGGCATACCGGGTTCAAGCTGAGGCGCACTCCTACGTTGGGTTTACAAGAACGTAGGTCTAATAGGTCCTGAAGGTCCGAACCACTTTCCGTGTACCTGAGAACGACCTTCTTGTCAGTATGCCCCAGCCTGACATATTGAATCATCTCACCATGAAATTCCAATATGCCCATGGAAACAAATCCTGTTACCGATAGACATTCAACAACAGTGAAGCTACATCGAAATATCACAATTGAAAATACTTACCTTTTTCAAGTGGTAATAGACTCTAGAATCAGAAATTTATGGCAAGTCAGAGGTAGAACCGACAAGCCCATGCCATGTAAGTACTAACCTCCTGGGTGTTTTTTGATCTCCCATGTAGTTGGCGAAACTCTCCTTGGGCTCAAAACCATATTTGAATTCGGTGAGCATTAGTTCACCATATCCTGTCAATAGCTATAGATTCTTTAGCACAGCCTCATTTAGAGCGAAGTAAAGAAGCCTACAGGGCAGCTGGTGTAGCCATCGTACTTCGCAACACCGACTTTGCCGGTGTCTACAACGGAAAATAGATTTTCCGCCAGCACTGGCGTTTGCGATGTTATAGCAGCTGCCGTTCTGCTAGTAGGAAGCGAGGCACAGTCTCCGAGGGCAAATATGTTTCCATATGCTGGGTTGACATGCCTCAATGTGGTATGGTCGACCTGGAGCCATCCCTCCGCATCGGCAAGAGGGGACCGTTTGATGAAATCGAGCGGTCCCATCGGGGGCGTCACGTGCAAAACAGTGAAATCGATGTCAACGGTGGTTTCGTCAGCTTTCTTGAACTTTGCTTTGCGGTTTCCGGCATCTACGGAAACCAAGTTGTGCAAAAACTCGGCCCCCACGCCCCGCTCAATACGTAGTGCGTTCAGAGCATCGGAGTATTTCTTGACCGCAAACATGGTTGGCAAACCGGAATAAAAGTCCATCTTGATATAGCTTCCTCGGTTGGTCCTCCGGTATCTGTCCCATGCCATCCACATGATCTTTTGAGGGGCTACATATATGTCATTCAATGGTTATCCTAGAGAAGGTAAGAAGTAAGAGCTTACCACCTGGACATTTTATAATCCCAGCGGGCTGTGTGAAGACTGCATTCCCGGACTTGAGAGAGTCTATATCTGACCATGTTTTATCACACGTGTTGTAAGAGTAGATGGATGAAACTCCAGACGACGGGTCCGAAAGAGCCTTTGTCAGTCCTGAAATAGCGTCCCAGTTAATTTTAAGTCCGGCAGCAACCACGAGGGATTCGTATGTTACAGAACGTCCAGACTGGGTCATGACGGAGGAAGTGGCCGGGGAAAACGATGTCACGTTCTCCGGGATATGTGAGATATGGCCTGGAACAAGCGAGGCGAGAGATCGTCGGAAATCGGTCTTGGGACGAAGACCAGCACCGACCAACGTCCTGATAAAACAAATTGTTTTAAAACGACTGCGAGAATTTACTGATAGATTATAAGCACTCACCAACCGGGCTACAGTTGATTGTCAGTTCGAAGGTAATTATCACCTCTTAGCGAATGACATCAGCCAAGACGTACCTGATAGTAGTGGTATTCTGCCGCGTCTAACACCAGGACGTCGCCCTTGTTCAGTTGTTTGCCAGCAGCCTTGAAACGATCGTAAATTTGGTTGGCGATATTCAGTCCTCCAGAACCTGGTCCCATCACATAGTAGCGTATATCAGCGAAAAGTATGATGATACACGTACCTCCGCCTACCACGACGACTTTGTATTTATCCCTAGTAATATCTGTAGCAGCTGCAACAGTGCTCGCATTTCTGGTAGCCTTAGCTATGGTAGTTCCTCGCTGAGCGAGTACCGAAAGAGTGCGTCCGAGTCTAGGAGTCACAAACATTTTATGTTAGAGCAGAGAAATAAAAGGGCTGAGGATGAGAAGGCCAACTTACGAAACGCTACAAATTATATTGTATACTAGTGGTTACCATATCATAGGATAAATCATTGAGAACGACCGCGGGCCATAGAACTTGCGATGCATGGTCCCATGTCATGAATGGGAATGCAGACCTGCCAGTGACCAAGAAGTTTAGTACTTCCTTCCGAATCCGTCAAGTATCTTATCTAAAGTCCGCACCACCGTATTTGGTACGGTAACATAGCAGCAACTTGAAGTACTCACAATACTGTAAAGTTCATGGGGACAGCCTTATAATCGCTATCAACAAACATAGCGCCGTCATCCGTCTTTTTCTTCTCGCCTCTCCAGCTGGTCTGGTTATTTTCTGTCTTCGTTTCTGTACATAACATTTGCAACCGTCGCTCTTTCATTCAATACACGCCCCGCTATGCTGCCCAACACATACGCCAGGCCCATGGCCAGCAAGACTGGCCTTCCGAGCTCTCCAGCATCTGCACGTTCAAGACGACATGAGCATCATGAAAGCAATATTACCCAGCGCACCGCACCTCAATCTCTACGTCAACTTCGCCCTCAGAGGTCTACCCCAGCTATATCAGTCTCTCGTGATTCATCAGCTAGTGCCCCACCTCTTCCAAATCGCTACACAAGGACTGATCCTCGGCTCAAGGAGGCAGTATCCGCATTCAGTGGGAGAAATATCAAAGGGACGAGTCATGGTTCAGATGGCTTCCCACCCGCATCCCGCTCTTTAACCCCTGGTACTACCCTTCTTCAAGTTGAAAGTATGAAAGTAGAAGTGTACGCTAGTCCCCATCATACTAGTGTGCAGGACGTTCGTCCAGAATTTTTGCCAGAGCCTAAGGCTGTCCCAACGCAAGGTCCGATATCTGACAGTCAGTATCTCCCACAGTAACTCATCTTTTGCGGCGGTTTCTAAATCATTGTTTATTTATAACAGCGACAGTTGATGATCATAAATCTATGCCTACACTCGGAGATGAGTACAGCATCTGGAACCGCATAACTACGGCAGCTGCCAGTGTTCTGACCGTCAACGTTAATAAGGCTTGGACCAGTAAAATCAGCACATTTTCCGGTGAAGGTAATTGTAGTTTTTCTATACGATGTTAGAGGTATATTGAGTGTCTATGGCAGAAACCCCGCCAGGACAAGAGTCACGACTATCCCGTGCGATGAAAGCATACCATCTAGAAAAGGCTCGCGATCCGTCCGATCTTCCTGAATGGCTGTTCACTGAAGATGAACGCCGCTTGACCAGCTCTTCCCGCTTTGTTGGAACACAGGCTCCTGAAAATACGGCTATCGATCGGCCAGCTTCGAGTCCACCGCGCAGCACGAACCTCCGCGACATATATGATCAGGCAGCCATGAGCACGCCTTCAAGAATCACAGAGAGTAGCACCCGCCGCGTTCAATCAGACGTGGGTGTTGTTCCGTCGAAGGCCACCAACCGGCTCAAGGCTTTGCGAGACGAAAAACGTAATGCTCTCGGTATTCGCAGCAACGTTCATTTCGGTGAGCCAGATGTAGAGCAGCCGTCCTCGTTGAAAAGGGGTGGAGGCAACAGTATCACAGAAAGCCGTGGAGATTCGGGGATTGACGTATCTTATCGCCCCCAACGAGTGGCACGTCCTGGCCTTCCCTCGAGACCACGAGTGTACTAGTTCTGTTTGAGGTCACGGTTTCTTCGGCAGGTGTGCATTTACGCGTCTGACAACCTGATTATTGTTGATCTCATATAGGTAGCGTTGTAGTGTTCTTTCATTCCAATCTCGGTTCATGTCTATATAACTAGTCCGCTCGACCTTCTTTTCTTTTCTGTATGTAGCCTATTTTTCCAAACCGTGTATTTCTATCGTTTCTATGTGGTCACCTCGGTGGTCACGGTAGCTAAGTATAGTTACCAGCACATGTGCACTGGCACCTCTTACGACCTGTACGTGTATGATGGTATCAACCGCATCTGCCATTTGTCAAGTGAATGTGTGTCAATTCAGAATAGCTGAGGCCAACATTGAATGGTCTTCATTGACAAGGCCTTGAGCGACACAGGGCCACTGCTGAGCCGAACCTTCCCGAACAGGAACGTGAACCACAAGCGGGCCCTCCTGATTGGCTAACCGGTGATTTTAACTTGAATACGAATGCAGCACCTGAAAACATATCAAATACGATCCGTAACCTTTTCTTCTTTCCATTCACGATTTCTGTTGCGAAGAAAGTCTAATGCAAGTCTTAGCATCGCGCAGACCCCACCTGGACCGGTTTCCAAAGGGACAAGTTATGACAACAAAGGACCCGCGGTTTAAGGACGGAGTACTCGGGCTCATTTCAGTCAAAATGGTCGATCATCATATCTATAGGGCACCCTCGAAGTCGGAATACACAAGGGCTGTGGCCGTTTCTGCTGTTACTTAACAGGCTTGTGAATAATGCTCTAGCCATCATGATGAGGGGCTACCGGGCATGCAAAAATAGCTGTCTAATCCAGGATATTTTCCGATACCCAATGGGATTCTTCTCAAAGTCTTGTCATGTTTCTGATGGCAAAACTCAGGTCTTGGAGCCCAAAATCATGATTTGTTAGCAACGGGGGCATGAGAATTTTGCAAGAGAGTATCGAGACTGCGGCTCTCTTGTGCATGTCGCTATGGGAATTTCAAATGCCGTGAGTGCCCATACTACTTAAACACCTCTGCTGTCTTTCAGAAGTCTCCGTTATCGCCCTTTCGACTTCCTCTCCTTTTTTTCTTTTTTCGACCTTCTTTATCTTAGTCGAGTTGATTCTCGACTAATTTTTTTTTCGGGAGTGAGTAGTTTGAAGCTTCCCCGCTTGTCTGTTTACTCATGTCACATTGCAGATCACTCTTTGATAGAGAAAGACATCACCCCACTCCTAGAAGGAGATTCATTGACGTCCAGATTTACCGCGCCCTTTTATACACCTTTCGATTTTTAAACTGTTTGCAAACATGGTTTTCTTCACTCCTTTCATCGGTGCTGCCGCCATTTTGTCTGGGCTCGCCTCCGCAGCCCCTATGATGGCCGACAGCCCAGCAGCCATGTCCGGAACACCCGCAATGGATAATTGGATGACCACGTATGTATCATCTTATTTTTGTCGGTGAATAGCTTTCTCATCAAACTTGCTACAGGGAAACTGCTAAGCCGTCTTGGGCCTCTTCTGCTATGGCGTCTATGAAGACTCCTGCCATGGGTGGTGCTTCTGGAGGTTCCTGGGGTGGTAGTGGCGGTTCTTGGGGATCTTCTGCTGCCGCATCTTCTGCTACCGGTGGTACTTGGGGCTCTTCTGCCGCTGCTGGCTCTTGGGGATCTTCGAGCAGTGCTGATACATGGAAGGCCGCACCTACCGCATCTTCTGCTGCCGGTGGTTCTTGGGGATACTCGAGCAGTGCTGATACGTGGAAGGCCGCACCTACTGCATCTTCTGCTGCCGGTGGTTCTTGGGGATATTCGAGCAGTGCTGATACGTGGAAGGCCGCACCTACTGCATCTTCTGCAGCTGGTGGCTCTTGGGAGTCTTCCAGCCCATCCTGGGGTTATTCGAGCAGTGCTGATACGTGGACGACCGCACCTGCTTCCACTTGGGTGGCTTCAACGGCTACGACTATGGCCTATTCTACCCCAGCATATGGATCTGGTAGCTGGGGTGGTTCCTCGTCCCCTTATGACAGCTGTGTCCAACGTAAGTTCTTCGTCAGCTTGCAACCGAGGTTGCGTGACTAAAAATATTGCTGTGTTATACTGAACCTACTATAGAATGTATCGCATCCTACGGCTCTCCTATGGCATCATATACGCCGCCAACGGCTACCAGCACTATGGCCAGCAGCGGTAGCGGCAGTGGCATGACCCACACCGTTATTGTTGCCCCGACTCAAGGTGTTCTCCGCTACGTGCCATTCGCAATCAATGCATCTGTCGGCGATACCGTCATGTTCGTTTGGAACGCGAACGAGCACACCGTCACCAAGTCCTCCGAGCTCGCTGTAAGATAAACATGTTGACATTTGCGAGTCCTCCTCTCACTTTTTATCAATTAGATCTGCAACGAGACCTCTGCCTCACCTTTCGCTTCTGGGGAGCAAAACAAGAGCTTCACGTGTAAGTGGCTAACTCTCTTGATTAAAAATTATATTGACGCGCTATCACTTTCAGTCACCCAAATGGTCAACGATACTAACTCTACTTTCTTCTACTGCGGCACACCTGGACACTGTGAGAAGGGAATGTTCGGAATAATGTATAGTGTTTTATCGTCGCTTCAACTAGTTGTGATCTAATTCATGGTATGCAGCAACCCACCTAACGCTGCAATGGGAAGCAACACTTCTCTCAGCAGCATGATGCCTGCCATGGTTGCCAACGTCAGTCACAAAGAACTCTTCATTTCTTTCAACTGACAGTCGTTTTGTAGAGCTCAACCATGTCTGCTATGTGGTCGTACACTAACATGATGACATCCAACAACTCTGCCGCTGCAAGCTGGGGTAGTAACATTGATATGTCCTCCATGCCTGAGTGGGCTATGTCACTTGTTGCTGAGAATGTCATGTGGGTCTTGCAGATTTGTCCTTGTCCACGCACGATCTAATTCCCTGTGAATAGGTACTCGCGAACATTCTTAGCCGCTAACCCAGAAACTCTGGATGCTACAGGAAACGTTAATCTCGGTGCAGCAGGAAGCACCCCATTGATGGTGCCCATGGACATCACTGCCGTTATGAGCAACAGCACTAGCAACAGCACTGCTGCTATGGCTGCCGGCTCCTCTCCTTCGACCTCTGCAGGCTCGACAACACCAACCACCACAAATGGTGCCCGAGCTCTTGCATCTCCAAATATGCTTGCAGGCCTCATTACGCTTGCTGCAATCGCCTTTGCACTCTAACAAGGTGGACTGTAGTGGTTCGTTTTTAACTCTGAGGAGTTGCGCTACGTACTGTACATACGTTACATGGCTCAGGACATGCCAAGATTCTGCTGCTTCGTTGTTTCTTTTCTTCCTATCTCATGGACATTTATTAACTTAACCTTTCCGTTATTATAACTTCTTTTGTGTGGAGTCTTTTTTAACAGACTCGCTTACTGGTGACAGTCGTTTGAAGCGATACATGTTTGCTACGAAAAAAGTTGTATCGGTAGTACTACTCACTGAAATGAAAGGCTACGGAGTCGATGGCGAACTTGTACCACCACTTGTTGACATAGGTGCTTACTTCAATATTGCGACTGATCGACAATTTGAAGAAGTTGTGATTAACTAGCAAGGTTATTGATATGAAGATGTGAATAAAGTAACTCGGAGCCGGTTCATCAAAACCGCATTCACGATGCTTTTTGGTACCGCACGGTTGACATCGGCACTACTGAATTTTCACGCCTTGTCTCCTGCACAGCTGCGTTAACAAGTGATAACAGAGGTAGGGGGAGAAGTTAAGGGATAACTGAGTATTGTTTACGTCGAGCTATTAGATGGTATATGCAGGTAGTGGGTCACGGAAAGGATTCGATTCGGCAGTGCTAACAGGTCTGGTGTGCGAGCCTTCTCTACTGATACATGACGGTGGTGGCAGAGACTGGACGGCGGAAGGGCGAGAAAAGCACCATCGCGCCATTCTGGGCAAGCCCTTCTATCACTGAGTTTCTGAAAGGGTCTGGATGAGCAAAGCTAAGTCCCGCGTGATAGTCTTCCCTTCTACTGCTGTCATGTGGCAATGTCACGGAGTACAGCCGAAACAGAGGGTGGATGATAGGATGGAAAGAATCTGATTCGGCAGTACCAGAAGTCTCGGCGCGATACTCTCTTCCGCTGGCATATGACGATACAATTGATGATGGTAGGGACGGGGGTGGGATAAGCGGAAAACGAGGGACGCCGACCACCAACGGCTTGTTCCTTACAGGCTCCTCAGCCCTTGCGTCGTCGAAAGGATTGAAGTCAACGATACTGCCAGTGCTAGCGAGGCGCTCTTGCCTACTACTATACAACGGTAAGGAAGGTGATTGAAGATGAGGGGGATCTGCCGCAGTGCTGCTGGCCCGTGCGGGCTCCCCCAGACTTGGCAGTGGAAGTGCACTAAATGGACGCGGAGGGGGGTGAGATTGAAACTGGGAAGAAGAACGGCGGCGAAAACGAAGTAGAAATACTGAGAGTATAACGATCACAATGATACCAATGACTCCACCAATGATACCCCCCGTAACAGGGCCTGTGATTGATTTTGAGCTATGGGTGGACATGAGGGATGTGGGTGGACTTTGTGTGACGACAAGGGTGGAAACAGGAGCCCCTGATGTAGAAACATTTGGGGAAGGACTGATGACACATGATGTATCAACTCCATCGGCGACAACAAATGCATTGGACAGGTTATGCAACGCTGCAGTGGAGCCTTGTAAGGCATATGTGCCTTGTACATTTACCGCATCCCAGATCCAGAATGAGGACGATGTATTGGCACTAGATAGATAAACGCTGGGCAGGTCGTTCAAAGGTTGTACTGTGTTGTTTATGACTGTTACGTGGACCGCGGATAGTGAAAGATAGGCTGAAGGACCATAGTACATCCACGAAATGTTGGCTAATGTACAAGTGGTCGTGTTCAGGACAGTGTTAAACACCAGAGCAGAGAGCAAAGACTGTTCTGCAGAGGAACCACCAACGCCACTTTGGGAGCTTTCCATAGTTGCTGAAGCTCCTGCTGGTGTGATGAAAAAGACATGAAACTAGGTTCCGCATCTTATAGGGGCGACTGTCAGCTAGCTACAAATTCCCAGAACCTTCTTGAAACCCTTTTTTGATGATCGTATCTGCCCTGAACTAACCTAGGGGATAATCAAAGATGATCATGTGATTCATTAGCCAAGCATGATGCTCACTGCATTGTATAGCACGTTGATGTGTTAATTCCTTAAATGAACGATAGAGCGAGAGCCTCGTGGCACGCACGATGGGTAGACCATCGAGAGCCAAGCAACCTCGTTTTCACAATGATACATACAAGGCATCGAGGAATGCGCAAAATGAGTGAACTGTGTGCACTCACGTCTGCTGCTCTGATGACCATGGATGTGATGTCGCCGTGTTGACAAATGATTTCTAGGAAAACCGGGTTTGCAAAGTTGCACTTCTAAATATATACTGGGAAAGCTAACGGCGAGCGCAACATGAAACTGCGGGCGTATGTGATTAAGGAAAGTTCAGTTGATAATGTCTGAACTTAGGCCGTGAGATGGACTAACGATGATCATAGAAACATAAGTTGTCAGAAACCAAATATATCATCGATCTCGTCTTTTTTCTTTTTCTTAGCTTTTCTTAGCTTTTCTGTATCTGCGGACAGGACCTGATCTTTGTTTTTTCGTTTCGGTTTGTTGACCGTGCTGGTCGGCTTGGCAGTGATCGCATGTTTAAGGACTATAGATGCTATGGATCTGGATAAGAAAGAGACACACGCCACATTTAGGCCAACTTACGCAGAGCTTCGGATACATCCATTGGAACACCGTTATTAGTCAATGATGATCTGTATTCCATGTTCGTTGCACTGGGTGTTTCAGGGTGGGCGATAGGTATTCCACGAGATCCAGGACGCAAAATAGGACGAGCGACTGCATCACCCGTATCTTCTAACAGTAACTCGGGTTCGGTTTCGTTCAAGGAACGTTTAGTGATCTTCACATCATCCAGAGCAGAATCTACCACGGAAACCTCTGTGGCCTTCACGTTTTGCGTGGAACCTAAAGGGTGCTGTGGAGCACGAGCCGGCTTGTGACATGCAAACCGCACGTCAGAAAAAACAAGCTGAACACAATGCAATGCCAGACTCACGTCCGATACTTGCATGATACGAGTGCAGACCATTGCAGCAAGTTGCAAGATTTCTTCCAGTTCGGACGTCAGGGCTAACAGCCTTGAGGTAATCGCCGCTAGCAATAATATGAGCTGGATAAAGGCACCAGTCTGCATCGCAAGCTTGAAATGACTGCGTGACCAATTAGTGTGTGATTCTGCAAGCACAGAACTCGAAGATCTACCGGTAAGCTTCCATAAGTCTCTCATTCATCTGCAGTGGAATGAATTTAGGAACCAATACGAATCAGGATGAAATACCTGAAGCACTAAAGTCAAACAAGACCTCATCTTCCCTTGCACGAAAAGCACATATGGTAAATTTGGGTAGTGGTTCCATGACCCCTTCATAAATTTCTGACTACGATAGTCATGTATTGCACCACAAGTAGAATTACTTCAGACTCACTCCAACAAAGAATTCGCACCAAAAAAGGAGCAACGAAAAAGTTCCAGCGTCTCCCAGAGGCTAGCTTCAGACAGCCTCCGACCATATCGCCTGATTTCGACAACCCGTTTCCAAAAGAGAGCTGAGCGATGTTGGTTCTTTCCTTTGTAGTAAAGCCGTTCAAGAATCTTTAATTCGTCTCCAACAATAGCTGAGACTGTCTGTAAGCGACGGGAACATGTCTTGAGGTCCTTCAAGGAGGCATCGACAAGAGGGTAACTGATAGGATCAATGGAATTCCTTGGGGAGCATACGAGAGGTGGGGGCTTGCAATATCGTTCACCGTCCATACTTTATACCTTTTAAATTTCGTGCGGTGGTAACGGTTATATGGAATAACTAGTGAATGATCACAGACAAGCTTGCAGTATTTGGCCTCGTTTATGATCATTGTAGCCATGTATTATCTCAGTCGGGTTGTCACCGACCGCCATACATTTTACTTCTGATACTCAGAAACACATACGCCTTATCTTTCTCTTGCAGTGATCTCGTCCATCCATTTGACAGCTCACTGGGATCTATTCGAGAATGAGCGGCCAACAGGGTCAAGATGCGAAGTTCTTCCAGCGCGGTAAGATCGAGGTGCGCGACCACCCTGGTCCTGATGACAACAATTGCAGTAATGAACACTACCATCTACGTAGGAATTCCGTACAGAGCTGCAAGCTGCAGAGTCGAAGGACAAGAAATATCAGAAGCGGAAGACAGTGCTCAAGAAAATCGTAGCAAATATCACTATGGGAAATGACAGTAGATATCCTTCTACACTTAATGCGTCTGTACTACTTCGTTCTAACGAATATATATTCAGTGTCTCCATTATTTACGGATGTGGTACAAAGTCTGGGGGCTCCCCTTCTTGAAATCAAGAAAAGTGAGTGTACTGATAGTCTGATGCCTATATCGCTGACAGGTTCTTCTCAGTGGTCTACCTATTTCTTATGAGTTATGGAAGACTAAAACCGGAGCAAATACATATCGTCATTCCAAGTTTCCTACAGGTAGTGCCATATATTAGTACTTATGCTTTGTCTGACTAATGCGTAGGACTGCAACGACCGTAATCCTCTCATTCGAGCGCTGGCTATCCGAACCATGTCATATATACCAATCCCTGTTGTTCTGGAGCCACTCAGCGAACAATTACGACATTGCCTCAAGGACAGAGACCCATACGTTCGCAAAACTGCTGCTATCTGCGTAGCCAAACTATACGTCGCCGATTCACGGAAAGCCGAAAAAGGAGGCTTTGTTGAGATGCTCAGAGACATGATGTTGGACACCAATGCCACAGTGGTCGCGAATGCCGTTGCAGCACTATCAGAGATAGGCGATCGACAAGACGGGGTGATATTTAAACTAAACCTAACTATAGCCAACAAGCTCATCGCTGCACTGGGTGAAAGCTCTGAGTAAGTTCTCTTGAAAGTCGCCCTGTTCCAACTTTGACAACTATTCCTAGGTGGGGTCAAATCTATATCCTCGACTCGTTGCTGCGCTATGTTCCCGAAGAATGTGCTGATGCCGAAATGATGGGCGAGCGAGTGATAGTACAGCTACAACATGCAAATTCTGCTGTAGTCTTAACCGCCATAAAAGTCCTCCTGTATCTAATGAACTATATGGAAAATCGACGTCTTATCGACTACATCTGTAAAAAGATGGGACCCCCACTAGGTCAGCCCATGTTCATGATTTTATATATCACAGCTAACTTCCTTGCCTTGCAGTCACATTAATATCGTCCGGACCAGAAGTACAATATGTCGCCCTTCGTAATATACTTTTGATCATTCAACGACGGCCAACGGTTCTCAAAAACGATGTCAAAGTGTTTTTCTGCAAATATAACGATCCAATATATGTCAAGCTTGCCAAACTAGAAATCATGTATAGGCTAGCGCGGGATGAGAATGCCAAGGAGGTACTGGCTGAACTTCAAGAGTACCTGCTTTCGTTTTATTCCAATGAGTTATACTGACCTTGATTTTGCATCAGATACGCCTCAGAAGTCGACGTCGACTTCGTGCGAAAAGCTGTTCGGTCAATAGGTCGATTAGCAATAAAGGTCGAAGGGGCAGCAGATATCTGCATCCAAGCACTTCTTGATCTCATAGAGACCAAAGTAACATATGTTGTTCAAGAGGCTGTCATCGTCACGAAAGATATTTTCCGACGGTACCCCGGCAAATACGAAGGTATAATCCCTAAGCTATGCGAAAATATGGATGCATTGGATGAGCCAGAGTCCAAGGCCTCTATGATATGGATACTCGGACAATTCGCAGATAAGATTGACAATGCTGACGAGTTATTGGATGACCTGGTTTATACTTTCTTGGAGGAAGCTGTTGAGGTACGTACAGTTTGTGCAATGTATGTTTCATCTGCTAAGTCGTGAACAGGTGCAACTTGCACTCCTGACAGCCACGGTGAAGTTGTTTATCTATAAAGCCGACTCGGAAACCGCCAAAGAACTGGTTCACAAAGTCCTAAAATGGGCAACAGAGGAGGTCGACAACCCTGATTTACGGGACCGAGGATTCATGTACTGGCGGATGCTTGCTATGAATCCAAATGTAGCGCGTGAGATCGTGCTTGCAGAAAAACCAGCCATCACCACTGATTCTGATCGTATGGATCGCGGTGCACTGGATCAGCTGTTGCTTCACACAGGCACGTTGGGAAGTATATATCACAAGAATCCTGAGGTTCGTGATCCCAATCATACCTACTAGCTTTGTATACTAAACAATTTCGAGCAGACTTTCATCAGAAATGCTGCCGGAAGAGCACTGACAGACAGTCCAGCCCTGAATGCAAATTCGCGCTCAGTACTCGTTACTCTCCGACCTCAATTACCGTCCGCAGCCAATATAAACGTTGCAGGACCTGGGCCAATTGAGCCGCAACCAAATGTGCCTGCTGCTGGTTCGTCAAGACCTGCCCAACTCATCTCTGAGGACGCAGGACCTGGCGAGGAGCGCGATCTGTTGGATATAGAAGAGTCGACTGCTGAATCTGGTACCGGAGGTGATAGCGGGGAGGGTAATGTGGATGTGGATGTGGATGCAGACGATGATGATCCTCGCGCAGCCAAGGCATTAGATCCATACGCAAATCTGGCTGGTGCATTTGGAGGTTATGTGGCAGATCAGCCACAACCAATATCTGGGACTTCGCAGCGCGGCGGGGAATTGGACGATTTATTATTCTAGTAAACGGGCACTACAGTACTAATGTTAAATTCCACCAAGACATTCATTAATGTGCATCGTGTTCTTCATCGGTATTTAGATATCAATGTAGATCTGTAATCCACAAAACATACAGGGAGCGATAACGTACATGATCAGGCTAGCATGGAATGGAGTTTATCAGCAACATGGGTCAGTCCTGATTTTGGTCGAAGAGAATTGTAATGCTGCGATATGCATTGAGTTAGCCACCACCAGCTAACCTTGTAAGTTGAAAACCTACCTCGCCAAGACCGTACATTCTCCTATGGTAGCTGATGAGGACAGGGCTTCTATGTGGTGATGCTTCCATTGGATTGTGGACCACAACAGGGGGCTTTCCTCCTTGAATGACATGTATCGGGACATTAAATGCCCTGCTAAGAGCCAATATCTCAGGTTCACCACCCCATGCTCCGGTATCTCTTATTGTTAGGCAATATTGCTCGAATGCCTGCGGAGACATAAGCCCTGTATTGTCTGTGGCACCAATACCATCTTCACCACTAGCACAAGGGAGAAAGGGAAGAAAATCATCGGGATGAGTGTATATATAGCCCGATGCTGCCCGGCGAACAATAACAAAATTTGCTTCGTTTGGAGGGACTATGTTGAGTAAGGAGAGTTGATCAGCAATTGCCGAGAAAAGACAATGTCCGTCTGGATTTATCTTTAAATCGTAGGATCAAAGTCGATAAGCCGGTTGAATGACAAAAAGATGGCGGATATTGTACCTCATGGATCTGTACTCCCAGCTCGTCACAAGTACGTTTGATCTGGACCTCTTCCTCCTTAGCTGCCCTTTCAAGTCTTGCATCCGCTTCAGGATCGTCAGGAGTATAACCTTGTGACATAGCTGCAGCTTTTCGTGCCTGTGTGGTGAGCCAGAAGCTGAGAACATCAACAGAGTTATAACTTGCTGGAACATGCCCACCTGGCGTGCTTCAAAGCGACTTTTTGCAGTCTGTTTAGAGCCTTTTTCCAATATCTCTGCTTCTTTATTGCACTGCATTTCATTTATGACGGAGGCAGATTCGGCCTGAACAACCTCGCTGCGAGAATCAAGTTCTGCGAGGAGATCATTCATGAGGTCTTCATCATCATCCACTGGTGGGGGCGGGTTTGCTTGTGGAGGAGAAAATGCCTTTTTCATTTTGTTTCGCTTTGAACCAGCCATAACGAAGAACTTGAAAGATACTTAAAGGATTTCTAGCAGTGGGGCTCTTACAGAGTTTGAGGGACCAAACACGTGATCATGACGAGCTAGATCTTATCTTATCTTTGTAACGTTTACCCACGTCTGTAATCTAATCTTGGATCGGCAGCCCATGGGCACCCGCTCACAGTTGTCTGCTGACCACAAAATATACTCTAGTTGTGTTTATAAACAGACGTGGTGAGCACAGTCACTTGCCCCCCGATAGCAACATATCTGCTAATCACCACTAAAGTACATCATTTGCTGCAAACATGTCGACACGAATCCCCCTTCTTTTTGTGAGTGCTAGGATCCATTATCTGAGTTCTGGCAACATTGACGTTCGTTTCCTTATCTCAGGGCACCATGACCATGGGTTATGCAGGGAAAGACGGTGTGCGCAACTCGGACGAGAAAACCTGCCAAGAAATCATCGACGTCTTCTTTAAACATGGCCACACAGAGCTAGACACTGCTCGAATGTATGGCGAAGGGACAACACAAGAGGTAATATCAATCAGTTTCGCTGATATTCAAAAAAGAAGTCTGAGCTTTATGGGCACTTTATCTCGTAGATACTGGCAAAGCTTGACTTTAAAAATGCAACAGTTGACACGAAGTACGCCTCGAATAGGTTCCGGGATATCTGCTAATATGCTTCTTTGATCCAACCCAGGGTTCATCCACACAAACTTGGAGGACACGCACCAGCAGATTTAAGAGCAGCTTTTGAAATTTCTCTGCAAGACCTAAAGCGTGATAAGGTTAGAGTATTCTATTTGCACGCGCCAGAACGTAAGGTGCCTTTCGAAGACACCGTGAGGGAAGTCAACAAGCTGTACCAAGAAGGTCGATTGTTAGTTAAAGACTAGGTCTTCCACCGATTCCTTGAAACTAACAGACTTAAATTTGGTAGTGAGATCTTCGGCCTCAGTAATTACGCAGCTTGGGAGGTAAGCGTTTCGTTAGTCTACTATTAACCAATAACGGACTCACTGCTACGAATTTAACAGGTTGCTGAAATAGTAGGCATTTGTAAAGCAAATGGTTGGGTACAACCCAAGATTTACCAAGTGTTTGTATTCGGTATTTTCACCATTTGAATCAATCTGATGGAAAAGTTTTTGCAAACAGGATGTACAATGCAATTACACGTGAGATGGAAACAGAACTTTTACCTTGCTGCCGCAAGTTTGGCCTGAGAATAGTAATTTATAACCCTCTGGCGTAAGTTTGATCGCTTTGTTTTCCATCAGCACAATACTGAGCGCCATTCAGCGGAGGTCTATTCGCTGGAAAAGTCATGTCAGTAGAAGAGTCAGCACCTGAAGGTGGTAGGTTCGATCCCTCGACAGTTCAGGGCGCCATGTATCGCGCGAGGTACCTGAAAGAAGGCTATTTCAAGGCACTGGAGATGTTAAAAGAGGTTGCCGTACGTACTACATCTCATCATCTCTATTGTCTTACATGGTAACATTGGGAACCAGGATAAATACAACCTCCGTCTGACAGAGATCGCGCTACGGTGGTGCCAGCATCACGGAGCCCTTGAAACTACTGATGGTATCATTTTGGGAGCAAGCAGCGCCATGCAAATTGAACAAAACTGTGCAGATAGTGAGAAAGGGCCATTGCCTGAAGAGGTCGTACATGCGCTTGATGAGGCCAACCGGATTGTGAAAGCACATGGAAGTACACCTGCTTATTGGCGGTAATATTTCTCCGTTGATGTACTAGTATCCATGTCTCGTAAAAGCAGCAACGTCGCATTGTCGTGGAATTAAGACTTATTGAGGATATCATGATAGCGACCATCCGGACGTTAGTAGGCGGAAAGTTTGCTTGGAAAAGTCCCGCAAAGTTGCATAAAGGGTTCACCGCCACCTTAAAGTAGATGGCGATCAGCGTAGCCTGAGATACATAAGATCAAGATACCATTGGACAATCACAATCCCGTCCAAAGAGCGTAGTATACAAAGCCAGCTGCACTGGCATATCTTTTGCTCCCGAGTCCTCGTGTTGCCACTACTATCGTGTTTCCTACCAGTCCGTGCGGTGATTTGGCCGGATCCCACTTACTTCTGACGCTCATCTCTCTTTTTCACGTAGCTCCTCGTATGGATAATCCTACGATAAACTGTCGAGAATGTGCTGGAAAGCTCCAAACTCTGCTTGTCCAGCTGCAAACGAACAACGATACCCAGGCATCTGAGCAGACGTGGCACGATGTTGAAATCACTACGCAGAACCTTGCGAACGGTCTCAGAGTCAGGGGTGGCCCAGGTATGTTTTTTGCCGTGTTATATCACCACCAAAAATTTCATGAAGCGCCGAATACTTGTTTGTAGACGACAATCACACTATGCTGGGCTTGACTTCTCTCCCGCAAACCCTTACTGCTCTCCTCAGAAATGCACTCAACGGATCTTCGATTCCAACTGTGGAGCATTCAGCGCCAGTGTATGAAATCCTTCGTGTAGGCGCTAATTTGTGCATGGATCACGGTATGCATATCTTGAACGATAAAACCCACGACCCGATGTCCTTATTCTCGTAAATCTCAAGATCAGAATCGTTTTCAATTACTGGAAGCTCGCTTCCCTCAAGCGATTGTGTCCCTTCTGGAGGGCTATGCAGACACGGTTCCTTCTGGGCTGCAGAAAGACCCCCTGCCGCTGTCAATCCCGCATCTCAAAGTCATCAAAACCGCTATTGGTGTTTTGCTGAATGCTAGTATAGGTTATGGTTGGTTTTTTCGATGAAATCCTGGAAGCGCATGAAAGAATTATAACTTTTGCTTTGTAGAACCTGTTAAATTTCGTCTCACGTCTTTAGAAGTGGCCATGACCCTCATGCGACTTTCCTGTGCTATTTATCCTACTGGCTCGTGGCTGACTTCACACCCGGTAGGCGAGGTAAACTCAGAGGATGACATTGCTGAGTCTTGGAGCCTCCGAAGTGTTATCTCAAACTGGGCATGGAGAACATTATCGGAGCTCAAGGAAGATTGTAAGCTTGCATCTTATCACATTCGCTCAATTGTTTTTATGCGGGTACTTTACGTTTTCAGCACGATCGCTATTCGACCCCGATGTTTTGGCTTATCTCATCCCATCTTTGCTCGCATATACGCCTCCCCTTTTGACGGCTCAGCTCCCTGCTTTCATCCGCTCTTCTCCCCATCTATATACCTCACTCCTCCAGACTGATTTCGATCTACTCGAAGAATCTTGTATGCTCTTAGAATCTCTCTCTCTGGATGTCGAAGACGTCCGACTTTCCCTTGCTCGTGGGTTCAACTTTGAAGCGGAGCATCTTGGTGTACCATGTCTCTCTGCAATGTTAGACTTCATAGAGAAAGGCAGTTATCCACTGCTGTGGTACGACAAAGATGCTGCCCCTTTCGATGTCGCAGAAATAAAAAGCAAGGAGAAGGGCTTTGATATATGCAAAGCTGCAGTGATAAAAGTCGTTGTAGAAGTTGCTGGTGATGAAAAAAATCAGGACGTTCTTTGGGACACATCAGAGGAGGAGATGCCAGGTGGCGAGTTCGTGTCGCGGATGGTAGACTGGATCCGATCCTACGTCGATAGCGAAACTGGAGCAAAGGTTGAAAATCTCGGAAGAGATGATTTGGCCATTTGCGCGTGTTTAGCCTTAGGCAATTTGACGAGAAGAGGTGGGCTGCGTATCTTTATAGCTGTCTCGAGCCGACTAACACGTCTTATCTTTTTGTCAGAATCTTATGCTACGATTCTCCTTTCCCCTCCTCACAGCATCGCTTCTCTCCTCTGCCAGCCAGTCATGCTCTCTCCCTCGACTGACATCAAGCTGAAACACAGTGTCATGGGCCTACTCAAGCATCTCTCTCAATCTTCGTCGCTGTCTGTTGCAAACCGTGATATTTTGAGCAATGCCAAAACGATCGAGCGGGTAGTTGAGAGCGGTATATGGGATGAACGGAGCGACGCCATGGCTGAAATCGTACAGGTCAGCGCTATTGGCATCGTCAAACACCTGTGTAATAGTAGTGGTAAGCTAATCTCGTTGAGTCGCGTTGACTTGGATTTCTGATGTCATCTTTTAAGTGGATAACTCTTTCGCATTAGTCTTTCCAACATCTGAGCAGGATCCTTCGGCGTCGACTGGCCTCTCGCAGATATTAGCACTTGTCAAGCGATCTGACACAGTTGCTGTCAAGAGTGAGGGCACTCGGGTGCTGGTTAATGTGATAAAGTCACTTTGGTCGAGTGACCCCAGCCAGCAGGATAGTCAAGCCGAGGAGGTTAAGGACAGACAACTCAAGCGCGAAATGGCAATCGAAGCATTGCTTACGCCTTCCTGCACTGAAGCTCTTGCGGGTCTCATAGGCAGAAGTATGAAATACCCCATTCTAATCAACGAAGGTGTTGTGGCGCTCAGTCTTCTCAGTACACATCGGAATGGTGGTAAGTACACTTTTCTCCCTTGTTTTCTTTCAAGCTCGGCCTAACGTACTCATAACTATTAGGCCCTCTCGTCCTGCAAGCTCTCGTTGTACCTTTGCCAGTAGAAGCTGCACCCGCAGGATCAAATTCCTTACCACCCTCCGCGCCTCCGAGTTTATCCGCGACTGCATCAACTAGCAGTGAATTAGATTCGCCTATCGTTAATTCTCCGACGCGATCTCGGCCACCAAGTCCTCGGGGCGCGCTAGATCAGCTCATCAATGTACTACGGAATACCTCAAACACCGATCACGTATCGAACAATCACAGGGCTGCTCTTACAGGTTTCCCAGTTGAGGTGCGTGCGAACGTGTGCGCTTTGCTTGGACAGGTGGGAAAACAGCCGCCTGGGGAGGATGTGGAAAGGGTCAAGGATGCCACGAAAGGTATTTTAGAAGAGCTGTCCCGGGGTAGTACGCAGTCTGGGAGAGATGGTATGTTGGGAGCGGCCGCAAAGAGAGTCCTTGACGCTTGGGTGTAAGCTTGAAGGATGATTTCTTGAAAATGTTTGTACGAATATCTTGTCAGTTCGATATGCTTTCATAGATTGGTTTTCTCCCCTTTTTATTCACGCCTCCTCCTTGTCGTACATGTTATTGAACACAAGGACATGACAATTTTTCATGCTATAAGCCGCGGAGTTTCTGCATGAATGATTTCCCGGTAGTCGGTTTCTTCTCAAACCGGTTTCCCCATGTCGCAAGAAATTCCATTGGAGGGTTTTACGTTTGTTCAAACTCTTGTTTTATCGTCACTACATCGAATGAGGTGCAGATGAGTAGTAAAGTCACAGTTGACATCTCACAGGGCATCGCGACCATAACCTTGAACCAGCCCAAAACGCTGAATGCCCTGTTACCTGAGGGTAAGTGGCAGCCCAAGGCTCAGACACTCCAATAACATCATGATTGGCACACATGTCCTCCGAAGAAGGCTGATTCATATGTGTAGATTATGATGCCCTTGCTAACTCTCTGAGGGAGATAGACAAGAACGATGATGTAGTGATCACTGTGTGGCAAGGTGAGTGGTCCTTGCGTTAACTGAGATTCTTGAAGAGAACTTGAACCCACCGTGGCGGTGCCGCAAATTAAGCCAGTGGAAAGTGGTTTTGTGCGTGAGTCCCTTACTCTCTTATGTGCTTGCCCTCAATGCCTTATTCTGTTATGCATATCAAGCGGAACCAATGTAAATCGTAGCGAAGAAAAGGAGATTGAGCCTACTATTCGAGATAACTTTTATGCCCGAGTGGTGCGAGCCAACACAGATTGTGGACATGCTGTAAGACCGCAATGTATCTAATAATCTTAGACCATGTTGATTGAATGAGGTGATGTCAGCTTTACAGCCATAGCAAGATTCTTGTTGCCGCGCTCAATGGTCCTGTCATGGGTAAGCCACCGTTATCAGTTGTACGTATCGTCTCATGGTTAACCTTGGTTCCTTTACGATATTGCAGGTATAGCAGCTGGTGTGTTCATCTGCTCCTGCTCCCCCCGCTGTTATTGAATTGGTGTGACGAATCTATAGCGTTCCTTGGAAACTTTGACTTCATCTACGCCTTACCCAGCGCCTGGCTAGCCGTCCCATTCACCTTCTTAGGTACGTGTCACACTTCCAGTTACGCTGTAGCTATCATCACTTATTGAAAATTCGGCCTACCAGGTATCATAGCAGAAGGGTGCTCGAGCGTTACATTTGTCAACCGAAGTACGTGCGTTTTGCCCCTCTAGTGCAGTTAGGTAGTTACACGTGCACCGGCGCCTAGTGGGCGTCGCAAAGGCGAACGAAGTCCTCATATGGGGAAAGAAGAAGACGGCCCAGGAGCTGCTTGAGTGTGGGTTCATCAAGTATGTATACATCAGTTTCTTGAGGGTGCTGTTTTCTTCTAGAGCGACCACTGACGAGCTCTGACTTCTTTTCTTTCACATTAGCACCATATTCCCAGATCAGTCTACAGAATCATTCCACACCGCCGTGCGCGCGCATCTTCTCAGCGAGCTAGAGGGCCTCGACACAGCGGCTGTGCTAACGGTCAAGTTGCTCATCAAAGCTGGGCTGAGGGAGAAGAACGATCCTAATTCGGTGAATCTAAGGGAGAGTTATGCGCAGGCTGAGAGGTTTTCGAGCGGGATACCCCAAGTGCGGTTTGGGAAGATTAAGAGGAAGGAGGTTAGGCATAAGCTATGAGGGGTGCCGGTTTTGTATTTCTTCATTTATCCGATGATAGGACGTACGGGGATTCTGATGATGTTCGTTTTTCTTCCTTTCTCTACTGAGAGGACGTACAGGGATTCTGATGATGCTGCGATGCATCGTACCGATACCTGACCTTACTATGAGGGCACAATGGGTAAAACCACATGCAATGGATAAATTAACAAGCACCACAACGATTATAAACGAAATGACAGTATGGAAGATAACATCAAAACCAGATAAAGTTACACCTTTTTCAGAGAATCGTACTTCGTGCGATAGCCCAACAAAGGAGCAATAATACCTCCCAGTATGAACAGAAGCTGCAGCCCATTCAGTGTGAATATCCGTACAAAATCGCGCATAGAATAGGACTCACAAACTTCTCGAGCCACCTGAAATCACCTGGCAGTGCCAAGAAGGCGTCTCCGCGGTAGAACGCAGGAAACATCTTGAAGGGATTCTTAGGGAAACCATCAGCGAATGCGTTTCGGAAGAAGAGCTCCTTGTCATCGTCCTAGCCATATCATAAATATTGACATATGCATACCGCTATTCCAGCGATGGTTTTCATATGAGGAAAGAAAGTAATCATACCTTTGGCGTCGTGCGCTCCTCAAAGATAGTTTCGACGCCTTTAAACGTCGTGAACGTGTGCGTTGTCTTCCTGGGGACGAGGATTTCGCCGTCACTTGGGGTGTAGACTTTGGTGACGCCGCCTATAGTGTACTCGACCTGGCCTTTGATGACTCTGAAGATCTCGGCGTGTGTGTCGTGCCTGTGTTAGCTCGTGAGTTGTGAGAGAGGTGGGACCATGAAAGCTATGAAAGAGTTCACCAGTGGGGAGGCGCAGCAAAGGCCTCTGCATCAGCAGCTACATGTATGCGCGTGAGGAATGGCTCGTTACGAAGGAAAGTCTGCAGAAGGATTCAGACAAACTCATCAGCCTGGCTGGTTCGTGCACCACGAGATATGACGCCTCATGACTGACCATGGTATGACCCTCGCCCAACTTGATTTGATCTGGAAGCACCTCGCCGGCAGACATGATTGCTAGTAGAAAAACAAGTAGGCGATGGCCCGGAAACGTTGGGCTCGGATGACGACTTTGAAGGTGTATTAAGTTGGTCGTGCTTTGATTGTTTTATGGCTTAAAAGCATTAGTTTGGAGTCGCGTAATGATCTTAGCTTAGTGATACAACGTGGTAAGCAAGCTACTTTACTGGTTGGAGGACGACCTTCTTTCTTGCCCTGAACGGAACGCAACAAACACCGTTGAGCCATTGGACGTGTTCGTTGACCCATGAATTTACGTATGTCGTCGAAGAAAGAGATTTGTAATAAACCAAGATGGGGATAGTTCGATGTTCAGTCATGCATGATCTATGAATGTGTTTCACATGATCTATGCTTGCAAGTAATCCGACGTTATTCGGCCCATGGTGCAGTAAAAATTGAAACCACTCACAACGACGCGTTACTGCTACGGTTTACTGGATGGGAGGAGTGAAACCGCTGTCTCTTGAGCTGGTTACACATCCAGTAGATAATTAATGTTACAGGTTCTAAAATCTGAGTTCAGGGCAGCAAAAAGAGGTTGGATATGGCAAATAAGCGATTCCAGTGGCAATCAATTTGAGTTGGGAGTGTCATTACGGCCAATTCCGCTCGATCGTGGGTGGCTGTGCATGTCGTCTGTTTGGAGAAGAGATCTCACGATATTTGATGATTTTGCAGTCGCTTGGTGACGTCGAGGGTTCTGCGCACTCGTTATGGACACGTGTGTGTGTAGGCTTTAAGGGAGGACAATAGGGCGAGGCATTTTGGATATACGTGTACCCACGGTGACAGGGACAACTCAAACGATCCTCACGCTACGGACGTTGTCAATGGCAGCGTAGAATAGGACACAAAGACGACAAAAGATATCGAGTTGTTAAAGGGCAACAAGGATGCCAGTAGCAGTACAGGCTAAAGGGATATATGGAGGTTTCCAGTAGAGAAGTTGAAGCACAGCACAGCAGGAAGAGAGAAAGGTCGATGCATAAGGCGAGGGCTGGAATCAAGGATGATAGAAGACATTTACAGCATAGACGACGCATTGAGGTGCATATAGCAGTGTGGGGAGAAGATAAAGCGCCCAGGGAAGCGCTCATGTCCGAAAATGAGAGATAGATTGACAGCATTTGCTGGAATTGATGGTGAGCGCGACGATAAATGATTCGAGTGAGGATAATTTGGGCGATGATTCGAATGCAGCCCGTCGTAAGTGGATACGGACCCGAGATGGGCAGGAAGTGTTGTGTGTGGTGAGACCGCAGTGGGCACGACAGCAAAGAGAGCTGCGGACGTGGAACACGTGAGAGGAAGAGCGATCCTTGGGAGAGAAAGACATGAGGCGGGCTGGACTTGGACGCGACAACATGACGGCACTCCCTCGGATGCAATCCAAAAATGATGGAAGAACCAAGTGGTGACCCGCACGTGACTGGCCTCAAAGTTAGAACCACGTCTGTAGCGAGACACGGTTTCAGAACAACTCGCTCTGTCTTCTAGGAGCAATGCTAGAGCGCGCATAGCACAACCAGGTCCTCTCTATTTCAGCTCGCTATGGTTCTCTCACCTCTCACCTCGACTCGTGGGCGGCGAGGTGGTCGACCCGAGATGCACCCCGGGCAACCCCGGATGATAAGAGCGATCGTGGATCTGGGATTGCTTAGATAAGATTCTTATGTAACGACCTGACGAACAGAAGAAGCCCGTGCTTTAATTTTGGGTGTCTCTAACCTTTGTCTCTATCCACCACCATCCCGTCTCCATTCCTCAACCTCCCCTTTCCGCTTTTCTATAAACCATATAATATCCTTCTACTTCCTGTCGCTGGCCGAGCTATCATTGCACTAGTCTACACGCCTTAATGACTCTCTGTCAATGCACTCTTCCTTCACCCCCCATTTGATATCTCGCCCAGACGGGCACATCCCTCACAACACAAACTCGCACCACCAGTATGGCACTAGGATTCGTCAGAACTCCATCATTAAGCCTTCAGCTCGCCTCCGACAGTCTCCCGACCCTCCTAGAAGGATAAGGCCCGCTCCTTCCCACAAACTTAAGCCGACCGACCACACCCCAAACTCACCACTCACCACCCCTTCCAATTTCCCCGTATTTCCTCCCCCACATGTCCTCCTTCACCCAGAAGATGCCAACAGCAAAGTGTTCCTGGCCATTGGCCGTGCTTTTCTCTCCGTCGTGAGTCTTTCTTCCTTACCCTTGCCACTCTATTACCTTATCCATCACTATATCCTTTTTCATCATCTATCCTTCTTTCTTCGAAACCCTAAAATCCCATCCTAGGACAATCATGCAATGACCATCAAAGATCTAGCAGAAATGACCCTCCACTTCGGTCTCATATGCCAAAAGTATGTTCTCCCGTTCGACCCCTAACCTTACGTCAACACTTTTATCTCATCATTTTTTTCTTCTTGAAGCGTGTCTGCAGCGGGTCAAGCGATAACCACTTACATCCGAACACACATGCAACGTTGCGAAATTCAACAGGACCACCCTCTCCTCCTCAGACACGTGTTGTCCGGTACTATCTCCGACGATGATCTCCTCCCCGCTCTCCATTCACGCACCGGTGGCGCGCATTGTCCTCTTAATTCGGAAAATAGAATCACAAATTTCAGACGAGGTACCATGGTTTGGTATCTCTCCAAAGCAACAGGTATACCTTGCCCCTTCGCAAGAGCAGGCATCAGACTATCGGACTATGGTGAAAATGGCAAGGTGGGCATGTTGAGTGGTCCGAAAGACAGAAAACGTGAACGGGACCGGCAAAGAAGAGCCGAACAATGTGGTCAGAAACGTAAGCGACTACTTAGAGGATGTTTCGACTACGAGTCAGAAACCGACTCTGGTGAAGACGATCAGAGGCCACCCAAAGTCAAGCTTACGCTACGTCTCAAACCTCGTAATTCGCCGATGTCTTCCGAAACGCAATCAGTAGACTCACGGGAGGTTATCGACCTTTCAAAGGATTCTTCCGATTCCGATTCTTCAGCGAGTGGTTCAGGGCAAAGCGCATACTCCGACGATGAGGCCGTGCAAGATACTGCTCCCGCCCGCCCCCTGAAGCCTACCCATGATGTACCCTGGTCACTTCCTCCCTATCCCCGGCGCTCGATATCTATCCCGTCCTACACTCCAACCTGCGACGACTCGACTCCGCCACTCACCTCACCCTCTGTCTCACCCACCCATCACCGGCGCTCTCCCTCTGTTCCACACAGTGTCGCTTCACTGCCACCTGACTCGGAAGACGAGGCCGATGATTATCACATTACGATGACCGGTCTGCGGTCAAGACTTGTGCGAGAAGGAAGTGAACCGAACGAAGTTGACTGGGATGTAGACTTTGACTCGGACGAAGATGATGACGAAGATGGTGATGCAGGCTCGCGATGGGATAGTCCTGGCCCACGATCGCCATCAGCACCATATCCCGATGTTGTAGACACGTCAGCTGTGGTGAAACAGGAGTCATTAGACGTGCGTGGCATGTTGGATGCATGGGAGAATCTTGATAGCTCGATATGCGTGGGTTCGCGAGGCTGTGGGGCTCTGGACACAAAGATAGCAGATATAGTTGCTCAAGCTGTGTCGGAAATGGACAAGAGCCCGTTAGAAGATGTCAAAGTCGAGGATTTGGAGTTCTGGGATTGGGATATGACTTTCAACCCCGGATATATGAATGCGAAATGGCATGATACGTCTGTGGATGAAATCATTCCTGATATCAAACAAGAAGACGAGGGTGATCTCGATTCGCCGTTTTCAGAACCTACTGCGAGCACAATGTCGCCAACGGATACATGCGTGTCACCCTCTTCGTTTTCCCCGCTATCACAATACACGTCCTCTGGATATCCTACCTATGCAGGTATCGCAGAATTCCGTCGGCATAGCGAACTGACTTGGAAAGATGTCGAGCTTCTTGGTCCTGACAGTGTCCATCCTCAAGAATTTGATGATGGCGTTTGGCAGGATGGTGCAGAGAAGAAAGTTCGCGTGAAGATAGAGACTTCGTCAATACCAAGGCGAGATGTTAGTACACCACCCATTAGTGAGCCTCGGCAAGGGTCAATTCCTGCGCGGACAAGAGAGCCTTCCCCTTCGACTGTGCATTCAAGACTACCGTCTCTCTCCTCGGTTCCGTGTAAGTCCCCACCGTGTGATGATAATAACAGGGTGTCGGATGAAGTTGTAGTTGTGCACACATGCGAACCTTGCACGCCTGCTGTGAGTGCAACACAAATCGAAGGTAGGTTGAGTTAATCCAAGTCTGGACGCTATTTCTGACGTTGCCGTGTTTTGGTATAGGCATATCCGTGTACCAAATGACTCTTGGGCTACTTCCATTGGTGAGACGTATCGACACCGACTTCGTTAATCTCACTCCTATCGTCGCTTTCCTATCACAACATAGCTCATCTTCCGACTCGTCATCACCTTCCTTGGTCATCCCAATGCTGCCGAACGCAGCAACTATTACCCGCGGCTCGGCCGCCGTCATCGGTACCTGGGTACCTCTCAGTGCTGCAAAGTCTTTCGCACAGCAGCATATAGAGCACCTCCCCAAAGGTTTAGCAGAGATTTTTTTGTCTGATGAATTGGTAATGCGGTTTCCTGTGGCATTGAGAGACTTCCATCGAGCGAGTGAGCGAGGGCGGAAGTTGCAGGTGTTTGGACCAGGTTTTGGAGGGTCTGTAGGATCTGAAGTTGGCCAGGCTGGCAACGAGGGTGTTAAAGCGGCAACGTGTGTGCAACAGGGTGGAGATGTCGAAGCATATACGAGGGAGAAGGGTGACAGTAAATGTATTGGGGCGGATTGGGACTTGGGAACTGATGGCAATCCGAATTTGGGCGCCCATGATCCTCTTCTGTCGATACACACTTCCTTCTCGCTCGCCTTGGCTGCCTTAAGGCCCGCTTCCGACGATACGATTGTTCCAGAGACCCCGCTGAGTCCCACGGAGCAAGAAATGTTCAGGACGTTGTGTGTAGATCCTGATTGGGAACGCGAGAAGGAGAACGAGTCGGCAATGACGGTAGAGGAGACGGCGAAGATTACGCCATCTGCAGAGCCGAACGTTGTCAATGTCAAGGAGGATGTCCGCCCGACGAGTTCCTCTGGGTCTGAGCGTTTCCTTCGACGGTCGAAGAGGGTGGCGACTGCTGCTGTTGTCGCTTCTCGGCCTTGCACGCGGTCTCACAAGAAGGGTCTGCGACGCTCATAAATGCGATTCATATCCGCGTTGGTTGTATTTTTGATGTGGTTTCTGATGGACAGTTGGTTTTTTTTTTTCGTTCGTCTTCAAGTTTGTGATTTTTATTACATTGCGACCTTCTCTATGAAACCTTTTTTATCCATTGTTCTGATGTTCTGATGTTTAGAATATGTAGCAGATAACGACCATCTCATTTTCGCTATACCTCGTGCCGTTTTGTCGATTGTTTTTTCATATGCATCCACCAACCTTTTTGTTGTTGCTGGTTTGCTTGAACCCAAGTATTGTATTACCTCGCGCTGCGGTGTGCCCATTTGCTTCACATTTCACGCTGGGTGTGCTGCAGCGTGCTGAGACTAAAGCCTTTTTGCGTTATCAGATTCCTCCCCGCTCAGACGTCACTATCGAGTTGATTGAAGCTTGTATACGGTATACATTATGGTTCAACGCGTTGTAGCGTAATCTTGCAAATTTTTACAAATGCAATTGCAGGACTGCGATTTTGATTTTGACCTGAAGTATGTAAATCAGAACACTGTAGCGCTACTCATAGCAGTACTGGTAGCATAGTGTGTGATAGAGGAAGACATCTGATTCTTGTGATGGTGGTCATATGAATAGACTCGAAGTAGGGGTGATTCAGATTGAGTGGTGCAGGAACGATCATGGAGACGAGCCCGCCACGAAAGGGAGCGCTGACGGGCGTCGTGCTTGGGACAGAAAGCAGAAGATCACAGGTCATCCGCGGGAGACATACGGACCGAGGAGATCTGACAGAGCTCGAGGGAAAGGAGGGCGTCCGGTGCCGTGCCAGAATGACCATATGCTACTATATCGTACGTATGAAATTGACGCTGAGAAAAAAAAGGAGGGAGCTGAGAAAAGCGGTAAAATATTGGATGGCGCGACGGGAATGGGGCGTTGCAGGGCTGGGGGGTGTGGGCGATGGCTGGGGTGCAGCGGTGCAGCGGTGCTATGAGGGATGGGGAAGGCCGGTGCTCTGGGGAGTGTCTGTGGAGACTGGTGACAGAAAAGACAGAGAAAAGGGAGGGAGAGCGGAGTGTGAAATGCGGATAACAGGGAGAGGACGCTTGTGTGGGTTTGCTCTCAACCACCATTGCACTAACTAGTTCGTACTATTTTTCTGGAGGCAGCCCTGGGCATTCCTTCCATATAGTATACCGTCGTGGGCTTGTCTCTACCTCTTCACCGCCCACATCAAAATTTTTACTCTTTCAATCGCTTTTGCTTTCACGTCACGACCGCCATATTCTGCTCATAGTAACCAGACGTATTTGCTTCTGCTCATCCCTGCTTTTTCTGCTTCAAAACAGCTCCTCTTTCTCGCTCACAACAGCGGGCAGCCGTCCGTAATCATCTCCATCATCGTCCCTAATCCTTAATTCGCAAACCACAACAAACCATATAATGTCTCTATCCACCTCCGATAACAATGGCTCCTATTCACGAGTTCCTTCGGGCAAAACTCCTCCCCCAGCACCTTCCGCTGCCTTTGCCAAACGGTCTGTCTCGTTCTCTCGCTTTTTACACCCCCTTTTGCTCATTTTTTAATTTTTTTTTTAAAATTACCACAGAGCGAGGGAGATACAGGCCGAAGAACGCTTGGGTGGAGCTAGATACAGGCCTCCTGCGCTGCGCGCTCTAGCCCCAAGTGGCTCTCCTCCTAATGAGCTTTCTCCCTCTGTCACGTCCCCAAGCGACATATCAAGCCTTCCTCCGTCCAACTATCCTCCAGGTTTCAGGAGAGCAAGGGCTGGGACCTTGCCTTCCAATGTACAGCTTGCTGCACAACGATTTGCCGCAGCTTCCAATACCTTGGGAAGCACTCCTCCCTCCACGGAATCTTTTACGGAGCAGGCACAGAGACAGAGTGCAAATACTACTCCGAATCTCGTAGCACCTCCTCGTCCTGGTTTACGCCATACTGCCTCGGTAGCGTCGTCAGCTGTCGTCACAGAGCGCAACAGTCGTCTCAGATCTGGTTCGTTGACCTTACCCACTGGTGGCTTGTCCAATGCATTTGGTCCTTCTATTTTCTCATCGTCCTGGCTGTCTTCGACCAATGGAAGCAATTTTCCTATTTTGGACGAATTGCGTTCGGTGACTTCTGCAGATTCTGGAGCAGAGGATTTCGACGTTCATACTCTCGACTACCTTGGGTTGGATGACGGACATCGTCCGCCACCTGCCGCAACCATTTCGGAGTTACGCACTCAAGCTCAAGCCGCGATCGCCGGAAACCTCGCTAACCCCCCTCGCTTACGTGCAAGCACAGTATCGAACCCCTACCGCACAAGGTCTTCTGCTGGTGCTTCGCTTCTTTCTACACCCAATGCAGATGACGACGAGGAGTACTTTGATAATTATGAAAATCAGGGTTTGTATGAAAGGCAGCATATGGGCCCGTACGATGCCTCCGTGGGAGATTCCAATCTTTTGCACTCTTCTTATGTCGCAAAAGGCTTCAAACAAACCGATCACTTGGCAGCAGCCAACGGTCTCAGTTCTAGGCCGAGGGCCATCTCTGTGGGCAATCTCGATGATCCTATGCGTTCCCTTCAGCGTCGTTCTACTATTGGCGAGACGCAGTCGCCTTACCTCACTGACCTTTCTTCGCCTATCAGCGGCTTAGGGCTTGCCAGTGGTCTTGGTAGTCCCGCTGGTATCTTAAAATCGGACAAGCTGATGGGCTCGCGCAATGGATCATCTCCTACGGTTCATTTCCCCAACGGAGAGCTCAGTCGCTCGTCTTCTTACCTCGCTGCTCCTGGCTCCCAGAACCGCGCTGTATCTCCTAAAAACGAAGGCCCCAACTCCCAAATCCAGACGCCAACACGTTCCCTGTGGATTGGCAATCTTGACAGCGCCGTCACAAGCGAACAACTCATCCACGTGTTTGCTCCCTACGGTGCAATTGAGAGTTTGAGGTTATTGCCCGAGAAGGTCTGTCTGGATAGTATATGCAAGGGCCATCTGCTTACATAGGCATCAGGAATGTGGTTTTGTCAATTTTGTAGACCAAGGGGATGCTATTCGTGCAAAGGACGATGTGCTTAACCGATTAGGAGGTAATATCGGTATGCCCAATGGCCAAACTGTGCGCATCGGTTTCGGGAAAGCGGATAGCGCTCCTGTCGCTCCCGCCAAAGGTACCACTGTCACTAGCCCTGGCACCACTTCTCCAAGTGGAGCAACAGGGAAGAGCACTAGTCCCGGCTTGGGCGGCATGGATGCTCAATTACAGTCTACCCCCACTCGTGCACTGTGGATCGGCTCCATCCCATCCACCACAACCCCGGCGACTATCTTGAGTGTATTCAGTCCGTACGGGCCTATCGAATCTGCACGAGTGTTGACCCACAAAAACTGTGGATTCAGTGAGTGTCTTGGCGACATTTTGGATAATGAAATTGCTGACTTGACTTTATCTATCCAGTCAACTTTGAGCGATTGGACGATGCTGTAAGGGCTAGGAAAGCTTTGAATGGTCGCGATGTTCTCGGTAGCGATGTGGGTGCTATTCGTATCGGGTTCGCTAAGGTACCAGTCAAAAATGGACAAGAGGGTGGCGCTGGCCAGGATGAGAGTCCCAGTGTTGCAGTGCAAGGTGTAGGTGATCTCAGCGTCGGAGCTACTATCCACGCTCTTCGCAGTGTCAAGGGAGCATCCACTATTCCCGCGGACCAGCAGGTTCTTGGAGGATCTGTTGAAAACTATCGTTCAAATCTACTTCTCAGTATGATTGGTTCTGGTTTGCACAATATTGGTTTCAATGATGGCATGGTCAAGCCTGCTGGGTGGACACCTTCGGTGACTGAGCAACAGATGATCATGAAAGAGCTCACGGCAGGTAGCTTAGATGCAGAGGCTGATGTCATGGCCCTCGCCGGTAAGCAATCTTATTCATGTTATCGTGTTTGAGCTTGACGGATGACTGTCAGATTTCCGACCCCCTACTATGTACTACACCACCATTCCGCTCGTCTCCGAGAGGCCGCACAACAGACGTTGGGATGCCTCCAAGCTGCGTGAATTGCGTAAAAGGTTGGACTCTGGAACGATGACGGTGGAGGAAACTGATCAAGTTGCTGCTGACTTTCTGGATGGAGAGATTGTTGATTTGGCTTCTGATTGGCTTGGCAATACTGCAAGTGGTTTATGCTAATGTCTCATAGATCAGGACGACTGACTCCGATATAGGTCGTACAAAAACTGTTCGAAAGGTGCTCAGCTGTCCCGCGGTTTGCAATGTTAGAGAGGATCACGCCCAATCTCGCCATGATTGGTATCCACAAGAACGGCACCTGGGCGGCACAAAAGATTATTGAATGCGTCCAATCTCCTGAAGAAGTCGCATTGATCGTTCAAAATTTAAGAGCCTACGCTCCGCCTCTGCTGCTTGATCAATTTGGCAATTATGTTGTCCAGTATGTTGTCATCGTTATATACATATTTTCACAGGTGATTCTAAAAGTGTTCCAGGTGTTGTCTTCGTTTTGGTGCCCCTGCCAATGATTTCATCTTTGATGCCATGGTTGACCGGATGTGGGAGGTAGCGCAAGGTCGCTTTGGCGCACGAAGCATGAGGGCTTGTCTGGAAAGCCCGCATATAACTCTTAGTCAACAACGTCGAATTGCAACTGCAGTAATTCTTAATTCAATCCCATTGGCCACCAATCCTAATGGCGCACTATTGCTCACATGGCTTCTGGACACGTCTGCTTTCCCTTCGAGGTATAACCTTTTGGCACCTCGTTTCACGCCGCACCTGTCGCATCTGTGCACGCATAAATTAGCTTCTCTTACCGTTCTCAGGATAGTCAACCAGAAGATTGAACCCGATGCCTCGCGGCAGATTGTGCAGGCATTGTTTTCATCTCCTGGTGACCACGTGCTTACCGATGTTTTGGGCGATCAAGTTAATGGTGTTGCGGTTGTACACAAAATTCTCACTAGTCCGTTCATTGATCCTGCGGAAAGCCAGGCTACATGGAGGCCACGAAGCGCGTGCTCATTGAGCTCAAGGTTATCGCGACCCAGGCTTATCGTCGGTTGATCGAGGAGGTGGGACTTCCGATCCCCAATTACCAACCCACGTACACGACAAATGTTCCTCAGACGGGGAAGAAAATTTCATCCCAGAACTCATTTGGCATGCCTGGACTGCCTTCCGGCTATCCTTCAAATGATCAGGGATTAGCTTCCATGATGGCTGCATTGCAGATGGGAGGTCAGAACCCGCAATCCGGCCCTCCTCAGCTTCATATTGATCCTTCCTATGGCCAAAACAATGGACGCAATCGTGGCGCATCGAATCCTCCGTCTGCATTTTCACCTAGCACAGATCCCTTCAACCCCTTTGCCCTTCGATCACCTGATATCAGTAGTCCTCGCTCTGCAATTCGCCGCAACGGAGGTTTACCCGGTCCTCCGACTATGACAAATACTCCTGTCTCTGCAGTTCCTTATGGTACCCAATCTCCGAGCCTCTCGCAGGCAGGCAACGTCCTCGGCATGGGACAGCCCACGTATAATGCTCAATCAGTTCCACCTCACCTTTACCAGGCCTACATGTATCAAGTATACCAACAGAACCCCAACAATATGGGCACCTTCACATAAAAAACATATGCTGCCACGACTCGCCTACGACTTCCCTGTTGCATATCGCACAATGAAAATTATTCCTTCTTGTTCTATCTATTATTCTGTCACAGTAAGGTCTTGCACCAGACACTTCCATTCCTTTCGATACCCCTTTCACGCCATATGCTACACTTTCGCTCTTTTTTCTCGTAAAGCAGGGCCCCAGTGCAGTGTGAATTGCCAATGCAGGAAAACTTCATATATTTTTCTCTTATTCTCCCCTTCTTTCAACGTTGGTCGTGAATATGTATAACTAAGGATGGCTGTAAAACATGGCCTTGAAACTATAGAAGAATAAATTGGTTTTATACGCCTGTCGTTTCCTTGCGTGTTTTTCATAGCAGCGTTCCGAGTGGCTGCTTGCAATTGGTGGCGTAGTGTCGGCAATGGCTTTCTTGCGCTCATTACCACGTCCCTTGCTCTGCACATAGCACGCATACAAGCTGAAGGATGGGAAGTGCGACATCTAAAGCAGCCCGCAAGTTACCTAGGGAGAAACCCAGCTGGGCAGGTGCTAGAGCATCCGACGTTGGTACTAATGCCGCACGGCCAGTAGCAAGTGAGGTAAAGAATGAAGGTATGGTTTTACACTTTTTGGTATGGCTACGCGTATTCCTGACCAGTTGAGCGTGCGGACAGCCATCGACAAAGACTCGAGGGATCCCCATTTTATGTCAAATCTCCAGCGTCTAGGTCCCGTACCCGTTGATCATCATATGCAGACCATCCGAACGGTGAGCGAAAACACGAAAGATACATGTGGACGGCTATCGTTATCTGAAAGTGACATCCCTCCCTTAGGCAGATCATTTCAAACACATGTACCAGACCCGTGCTCAATCGGAGGCAGAGGCGTCGTCGTCGAACAGCGTACAAAATCGAATGCTGGGATCGACGTTGAGCGACTTGCTTGATGCGCGTACTGCAGCATCATCTCAAAAGGAGTTGGACGCTCTTGCAGACAAGTACAATATCGACATGGAAAAGTTTACAGAGCTTTCTCGGTATGTCAATTCACCCAGTATTGACGAGGACACGATCGTCGTCAGTACTGACGGAGATGGTGAGGAGGTTAGGTCCATGACTGTGAGTCCTGCAACCATATGTTAAACAGCTCATTGAGCACGTCCTTCCAGGCCATATGGCGTGGGCCAAACTTCGGGGACACGAGACATCGTTGAGCAGACGCAGTGAATTTGAATATGTACCGCACCATACTTTATCCTAATAATTGATACATCACCCACTTCACTACTTCACTCAATGAATTGCTTAAAAAATGCAAAATGACAATACAAATGTTACTGTACATCTATGAATGTACAAACTATAAAAGATGGAAAGAATAAAATACAATTTACAACACGAGCACTCCTGCATTGAGAGGTAAGCTTAGAAATGCACACGCAAAGCGGTGTTTTGCATGGACTCGGCTGGACAATATGGACATTTGACACGACTGTACCGGAGATGCGTGGGATTGGTATCATGGCGTTCAGATTTTAAATCAAAAATAGTCATTAAGAGAACACTCACCCATTTGCCTTGCTCAGCTTCTGCAGACTTTCCTTTGTAATGACGTGACCGCATATCATCATCATTGGTGGATTGTCTTCAGTGGCCTGTTCCTTCGAGACGGGACAAGCAAATATGGAATGGTAGCGGTTTTCAGGTGGTAGAGGAATTTCGATCTAGCATATACCCCGATTGGTAAACATGAGCTATGCACAACTGGAGGGCACTCAACTGGTAATTCATCCGTTTGGCTCCACTCGCTCTTTCGCTCCCTCATCACGTATCTAGCTTTCTCGATTCTTGCCAAAGCACCTCCACCACCAATATCACCAACAACTCGCAGAGGAACTTGTCTGCTCATGCCAAGGCTTGCACAATATTCCTTTGCAAAGAGCGGCTCCAAGTCATAATGCAAAGAAGGCGACGCCAAGTCAGCGTAAGGAGAGCATTGTAATCGCTCCACAGGGAGGAAGATCACACAAGTCATGAGGCGCTTGAACTCCACGGCATGCTCAGGATAGAATGATCGAAGGGTAGCATTGGCATAGGAGAGCGCAGGTAATGGGTTGGGTGGATGAGAAGATAGTAAGAGCCGAATGTATTGCGAGCGATGTAGGTTGAATTCAAGTGGAGACGAACGCTGTCGTAAGAAAGATCTGTTCTTTCGAGACCACCTGTGTGCCTGTTTAGACTTGAATGTGTAGATCAAAATAAAGACATACTCTAAAGCAGGTCCAATGTCCTCGTTTCTCAGAGCGGTGAGAATACGATGCAACTCGAGGAAATGTGAGCGAAGTTCAGAAGGGATAGTCCTACCAGATTCCTAGGGCTAGGTTTTTAACAACACACATGATGAAAAGTAAAGATTAACACGAACCTCGAGAAACGTCTCAGCAGTGGCAAACTGGCCCGTGCGCAGAAAGTGATGGGCTATTGTGAGATCCAAAGCCTCTCTCGAAGAATCTGAGGTGAACAGAGGTGAATAAGATGGCAACGAGCTTGTGAATTTCTATGAAGACAGGGTCAGACGACTGGCAAGCAGATCACAGCAGTACGAACCTTGTCTAGGGCCTTCCCCAGGCGAGACAAAGCATTGTAGACCTCTTTCTGCTTATCATCAACCTCTTTCTTCTTTGTTTCTACCGTATGTGCCAGTAGCGCAAACGTGTCTTCAGTTGTAGTTCCCGCCTCGATGCGTTCCTTTACTCCGTTAAGCGACTGAAGCAACGTATCCAGTGAATTGTCTATCGACGGTCCTTTTCCTTTGTATGACCTTTCCGCCAGTTTCTCGAGCTTGTTCAGTTCTCTCAGAGGCCCTTCCATAGTGCTGGAGTATAGCTTTGAATGATACCAGTATTCGATGTCAGCTGTATGGCCGAAAGGTGGGGCTCGGAGTGTCAAAGGGTATCGGACGCGGGTCACACCAGCAAATATCGGTAACTTATCATGCCTCGCTTTCTTACTGGCGATGAGCTAGGTAACATAAAATCTCTCCAGTACTCCAGTAAAAATGCAGCCAACGAAGGAAAAACGGATCTGCAAACATTGTTCAAGGGGACAGCTCCAGGTAGAACGAAAAATATCCAGGCCCTTTCCATCACAGCGTCCAGTTCAAGTCATGAAAAACTAGTGTGTTCGCTTTTTTCTACAATCTAAAAACATGCTAAATAGCACACGATAAAAGTTAGCTGCGGCACATGCAGATGGATTTACTTCACTCATGAACTTCAGTCCAGAGGGTCAGCTGGAGTTGCTGCACGAATGGAAGGAAACTCGAATAAGACCTGATCAGACTTTCGTTGGTTTGAGAGCGTTTGAAAAGTACGCTTTATTTTATTTCTAAGAGCTTGGCAATGAACTTGCTATATAGATCTGTCTACTCTTGTACATCTAACGGTGCACTGCGGTCCACCACCCTTTCAGATGATGGGACACATACGTCGAAACTCGCTGCTCTCCCGACGCGTCTTTGTAACTGGCGCATCTCAGATGATCAGGAGACGTTTGCTTACGGAGGTGACGAGGTAGAACTATCCATTTGGAATACAGAAAGAAGCTTTGCACCGACAGAGGAACCACTTGATAGTACTAGCATTGGAGCAGGGAAAAAACGAAAAAGAAGCGATGCATTATTTCCTGGAGAGATTTGGCGCGCAAAAAATGTGGGCTTCCGCTCTCTCTTCTCTGGTTTCTTGTTAATGTATTCAAGACTCGTAGGTTGCAAACGATTTTCTTGGGTTACGCCAACCGGTTCACAATACGGCGTTGACATATCTCTCACCTGCCTCTTTCACGAGTCAGCAAATTTTAGTCGGTACAGGCCTAGGAGACGTGCGTCGGTACGACACTCGAGCAGGGCGTAGACCTGTAGCTGAGTTCAAATGTATCGCAAAAATGGGTGGGGTAAAAATTGTGGAGAAAGGTTTCGCAGAACAGTATGTGCCCACCGTCCAGCAGTTGTGGTGGTCAAATTTTCTTACTGTGTCGTCCCCTCTAGCGAGACATTTGTGTCAGACCAAGGATCTAATTTGTACGCGATGGATCTACGGAACGGAGGCATCATATACGGGTATAAAGGTATGGTGTTCCCGGCTCCCTCACATGCATCTGCTTTACATTTTTTCATTAGGTATAGCGGGTGCAATCTCATCCGTCGCTTCATCTCCCTCCTTCCTGGCATCTACTGCTCTGGACCGTTACTCCCGTATACACAGCACGTTTGCTCCCCCTCCCAATGTAGGGCAGCAGCAAGAAAAGAAGGGTGCTATCCTTGAGAAGGTGTTCATGACAAGCGTACCAACTATCGTTATATGGGATCAAGAACTCGATTCGTCTCATGAAGATGGTGAGGATGATGAAGCGGGTATTGAAGATGTCTGGGAGGGGATGCCGCATGTAGACGATGGCGAGAAAGTGATGAAGAAGTCGAAACACAAAAATGCAAATAAAAGCGAAGCATAAAAATTTCTGAGCAGGTAATCATGTCATATTGACACGGCTGCCAATAAAAGTACGCAAGAAATTGCATTATTACAAGTCGTATACCAACATTTAATTCATTGAATGTCTGGATGCACCGCTCGACTGTCAGTTCCCAATTACACTTTTCCAGGTGTGTGCCTTCTCAAACCCGTTTTGTCCAGTTTGATCTATGAGTGCACAGTGAGTTGGAAGGTGGTAGAACGATAATCACAGCACGAAAAACTCACAGTCAATCAGCGTTTTCTGGATTTCCTCACGATTGGTCATAACGAATGGACCGTACTGGAACACAGTCTGATCCAGAGGCTCTCCAGCAACCTGGTAAATACATAGTATGATTAATTGAGTGAGGTTAACAAAAGTAATGAATCAGAGCGACGTACCAGGATGAACTCAGTTGCATCTTGGGTCGATTTCACAATTACTCCCGCCTCGTCGCTATTGCTTGATAATACTAGGGTGTGGAAAGCATCATTTGAAAGGCCGTCTTTCCCTATGCCCAAACTCCCCTTCAAGACTATCCAACGTCACACTGATCAATAGGGGATCGCAGCGCTCTCTCTATAAAGTACTTACTATAGATGAACGATGTCCAACCAGTGGCTAGACGGATAAGAAAGTAGAAAGGGAGTGAGCTGATGTGTGCACAAAATAAATTAAACTTACGAATATCTTGGAATATCGTAGATCCTTTGTTCTTCATGATAACATGGAAGAACCAGCAACCTCCAAGAGGTCTCACTGGTGACTCAACACCATGGCTCTTTCCACTGATAACCTTGACAGATATTCCACCTTCTGTGCCTTCTGGATAAGCAGTGGGAATTCTGCACAGATGATGTTAAAAATAGGGCAGCAAGGAATCGAATTGTCACATACTGGTCTGGGCCTAACTCTTGATAAGAGGGTTCCTATACGCATGATGATTATCCTTAGTCTCGAAACGACATTTTCGTAACTTACCACCATCTTAAACTGAAATTTTCATTTAAAACTTTAGAAATGACGATGCTTATGTGGTAAAACGGTACAGACCTGCTTGGGTAAATCTACCCAGAGTTGAAGTCCTCTGGGTTCTGGTACGCCAGTTCCATGTACTGGCATTTCGGCATGTATGATTCCCCTTCCCTGTATAATGGCGAATAAATGTCACCACACGCGAATGAATATAGATAGAGAATACTAACGGCACACATCCACTGTACTCCACCCGTCTCGATAGTGCCTTTGTGACCTGCTGAATCTTCATGTCGACTTGATCTGTGAAGGGATATTAGATTCTGGAATCAAACGATGAAGATCAAAGTTTCTCACCCTTCGAGCATATAGGTCACAGTAGCTTGACCACGATGGGGATGGTCGGGAAAGCCCTGTAAAAATCACCACATGAGGGAAATGGAAATTTAGATTCTATAAGAAATACTCACAGCGCCTTTGGAAACATGGAAATGGTCCAACATCAAAAAAGGGGTCAAGTTTCGCAAGTTCATACTCCCGATCGATCGTCGCACAAGAGCACCTGCACCCTGTTCAAGACAACGCTCAGCGAAGTCTGACAAAAGCATGAACTAGAAAACATACTTCTGGAGTCTCTACCGCCAATATCTTCTTCACGACGTTTCGAGATACGGATGCTAGAGCCATTCTGGGCTGTTGATATTACTAGGGATGGGCTATAAGTAAAAGGGGAAGGGTGCCTATGTGAGAGCGCCAAACCAAGAGGCGAAATTTATACTCTCGATGGCGATTGCTCAGCGTGTTGTATGAAACTGAAGACATCAAATTCCAATGCAGCCCTCGGTCATATTCCTGCCATTGCTGGTCAAAAATCCTCACCATCCTCATGCTGAGATAATTCAGATGACCCAGTAGTCGTCTACTGGATCTAAAGAGGCAAAGTTTGCCCACAGAGCCCGAAGGGCTGATTGATGGTTATCGAAAAAGGATAGTACATCACACGCATAGTAATCCTACAAATGTCACGACACTGGAATAATCTAGTTAGTACAGTACCCCCTGAAACTGTGATGAAGTTCATAGCGAATCCCAGACTTTCCGCCATCTCGTCGCAGGTTTCTCCATTTTATTTATTTCCATAAAGTGCTCTTCTTCGTCTATCTCCTCCTGATCAGTGACCAAATCAACTTCCAATGGACGTACCACTCGTGTTCGGTAGTACAGTTTGTATCCAAGCCACAATACAAGGAAAACAGGTATCGCAATATAGGATCTAATCATAATCAGACTCATCCATAATATTGAAACTAGCAAAACTCACGTAATAAAAGTAGCAGTGGTAAATGGGATGAAAGTGTTAAAGCCTGCCAGTGTTTGCATAAGTTATTTGCCAGCCTATCTTGCATCAAATAATCTTACCTTTGAAGATAGTAATAATAGCCGTTGAGATGAACGCGAACCAAGACCCGTAAGGTTGGAACGGCGCTTTATAAGGCAAATCATTTCGACTTATCCCTTGAGCTTCCAAAGCGCTCATAAAGGCACTTTCAATGGCATTAGCCCACGAGGGTGCAAACAAATAAAGAAATTGAGGGCTCACATATGAGTATAAGTGATACACATCCATGTGATAGCACCAAAAGTTGACACCAGATTGACAAAGTAGCCAAAGACTAGAAGGAACAGTTTGAGAATTTTTGCAAGCGATCTCAGTAAGTAATAATGCTAGCCTTGGGCACTCGACGAGCTGACGTTGAGGAAGGTCAAAAAGCCGAACGATGAACACAGCAACAAGGCAGGCCACGGAACACCCATTCTATTCACTTTGGCAAATATACGTGGAGCTTTCCCTTCTATAGCAAGACCATACAGGGTCCTTGAGCCAATATACATATCAGTATTGGCGGCACTCATGACAAAAATGAGGATAGCAGCATTGATGACATGATTTAGGACTCGAATTCCAACTATCGTAGTAGCTGTTAGGCGGGATTAAGTAAAACTCGCGTACTAAATTGCGATACAAGTCTCACCGACAACAAAAGGAGACGCGGCAGCCCCAGTTTGTGACTTGTTTGCGACGAACAGCATCTTTGAGCAAATAAATTTAGCACAAAGCGGAAATATCGATGTGACGATAATCACATTACTGGTACTTGGAACAATCAAGCCTATCACGAAGACGCCACAAATATAAAAAACGAGGATGCGGAAGAAGGTTCTCCGTATAGCTCTTGGTATGTTCTTTCTTGGATTTTGTGCCTCACCGACTGTAACACCCACGAGCTCCGTCCCTATGTATGCGAAGAGGGCATTGGTTAGAGTGCTCCAAAACCCCAGGAAGATTGACAGCTTTTCATTATGGACTTGACTAAGGAGGTAAGTGCCCATGGGGCCATATGGGTGCCTCCAGTATCTGAAGCCAATACGATCGTGACTTGGATTGCCCCCGAGGTCAATGATGATGCCCATTAGGATGAGTCCTATCAAAGATATGACTTTCACAGTACTGAACCAGAATTCAAGTTCTCCAAAAACGCGCACTCCAAGCAAGTTTACCAGGAGGACTAAAGGTTAGACCGTCAGAAGACACGATGGCGATAACAAGTATAGATATGTCTCACTGCACACAACATAGATGACTAGAGTTGTTAACATTAGTGCAGAGTATTGTACCATTAGACCTTTACACTTACCCATCCATGCCTCTGTTGGGACGGATGAGGTCCAATACTCCACAACGACACCAGCTGCATTGATATTATTCGGCATAACTATGAGGTACTTGAAAAGATAATTCCAGCCAAGAGCGAAACCTAGAGCTGGATCAACGAAACGTGTCGCATATCCCGCGAAGCCTTTCCTGTGAGGTATGTATGCTGCCATCTCGCCAAGTGCAACCATAACAAAGTAGCATACAGCCCCCACAAAGGTATAGCCCAGTAGCAAACCTAGCGGTCCACCTTGAACTAGAGCTGTCCCAGAACCGATGATGAGACCTGTCCCGACCGCGCCTCCAAGCTACTTGAATATTATGAATTATAAAGTGAATTAAAAGTCCAGGAATACTGCGTACAGCAATCATAGAGATTTGGCGGGCTTCAAGGCCTCGTACAAGAACTGGTTCGCGGATAGCCTCATTATGGTCGTACTTCTCGCCAGATCGTGCAACGGAAGGGATAGACGATTCATCTCCAGCAAAAGACATAACAGACGTCACGGTGTAAAAGAAGACTCGGACTCGACCAGATAACGAGATACAGGTAACCCGATAAGAAGAAAATCTCACACAGTCGAAATCTGGTTGGGAAACATGTCGTTATCTTTCTACCAGACTGCGATATGAATACGGAAGCTTGAAATTGAATCGCACGCCATAGTGATTGTGAAAGGCGTTATGGGGGTGTTTCATTGGGACGTCAGAACCAGTCAGATGATGTCGATCCGATGTCGTTGGCAGTGAATCAATCGTTGATTGTGGAAATACTAGCACATTGAATGGAAACCTGTTTGAGAACTAGGCTTAAAGTTACATTCTGACGGGTTGCGTTGAGTCGCAGTTGACATTGAAACAGTTGGTAGTGAAATAGCACATCACGTGCAGTGTGACTTGTAGCGTGTCGCGTTGATTACTGGACCGCGCTTTGACCAGAGCCTCATCGCGCATCTTGACTTCGGGCATTACCTCTTCTCCCCAATGCTTATGCTACGCCGTGCGCCTACTACGTCTGACGGGAAAGTAGTGGACAGATTACAAGAAAGTACGCGCGTCAACAAGCCCTTTAAGCCTCCAACGAGTACTGTCATCATCGAGCGTGTACAACCTCAGCGAAAACGAAAACGTGTTTCGTATAAGGATGCTCAGGCTGACGAGAACGATGATGACGAACCAAAGAAGAAGAAGAAGCGAATGGAGGACAAGGACGGACTATACACGGAAGAAGAATTGCTTGCTGCTATACAGAAATTTCCAGTGTACAAACCAAAGCCTTTTGGAGAGGTTCGCAGATTCTCCATGCCATCCATGACAAACAATGCTGGGGAGGTTGTTCAGATGATCCCCACCAATATCTCTCTTGGTATCCGACCTCAAGCCAAAATCTTTCCTCGCCCTCTACACGACCCTATGCAGGACCATGCGATTGTCCTTTATGACCCAACCATCGATGACCGCGAAACTGATGAGGAGAAAAAGGAAAGAGAGAAGGAAGAAGAAAAAGAACGCGCTGCGAAGGAGGCCCAGGAGAAGGTTGCAGGGTTGTACAATCCACATAGAAGCTTGAGAAAGCTTTTGGGTGAAGGGAAAGATAAGAAGCAGAAAGATACCAAAGTGCCTGTCGTCATCGATCCCCGTTTAACTGCCGTTCTTCGTCCACATCAAGTTGAAGGTGTCAAGGTAGCTGAATTATGTTTTTATCTGCAGCTGCATGTGCTGATGTTATCCAGTTTCTGTACAAATGCACAACTGGTATGCTCATGGAAAATCAATATGGGTGTATTATGGCCGATGAGATGGGTCTTGGAAAGACGCTACAGTGCATTGCATTGTTGTGGACTCTACTCAAACAATCACCACACCCTGGCAAGTCTTCCGTAGAAAAATGTATAATCGCCTGTCCATCCAGTCTTGTCAAGAACTGGGCAAATGAGTTTGGTATGTCACTCTATTTTTTTTCCAAAACTAAATGCAGTACTCAGGCCTCCAACAGCCAAGTGGCTGGGGAAGGATGCCGTATCCATATTGGCGATTGATGGTAAGGGCGGAAAGGCCGAGTTGCTGGAGAAAGTTGGCCGGTGGGTTACCGCGCTCGGTCGAAACATCACTCAGCCAGGTATGATGCAAACTTCTCTGCAGCCAGATAACCCACATTTTAACACCATATTGGATAGTCATGATCGTCTCCTATGAGACATTGCGAACACTATCAGTTCACCTTGCTAACTGTTCCATAGGCCTCTTACTGTGTGATGAAGGTCATAGGTTGAAGAACTCTGGTTTGTTATATTGATATGCGAAATAGTTTTCAAACTCATATGAACACTTTAGATTCTCTTACTTTTCAAGCCTTGAATGGTCTCAACGTCAAGCGCCGTGTTATTTTGACAGGCACTCCGATCCAGGTTAGCTCGTAATACTCATACTTGAGGACACATCTGACATGCTGATGGGTATGCAACAGAATGATCTTTCAGAATATTTCTCCCTGCTCAACTTTGCCAACCCCAATTTCCTCGGCTCCAAGAACGAATTCCGAAAGAATTTCGAGAATGCTATCATCCGAGGTCGTGACGCCAATGCCGCTGATGCAGTCAAGGCAGCAAGCGAGAAAAAGCTAAAAGAACTTGGCGGTCTCGTCACTAAATTCATCATCAGGAGAACCAACGACCTTCTATCGAAATATCGTCAGTACACATTAACTAATAAAATTCTTCTCCTATCCTGATCATCTGACCTTTAGTTCCCGTCAAATATGAACAAGTCGTTTTCTGCGGTTTATCTGACTTTCAGCTGTCTCTCTACCGGCTATTCATTTTGTCTCCTGAAATCAAGGCCCTTCTTCGTGGAGCAGAATCTCAGCCACTGAAAGCCATCAATATTCTGAAGAAGTTGTGCAATCATCCTGAACTCTTAGATCTTCCAAATGATCTGCGTGGTTCTGAGAACTTGATTCCCGAAGGGTTTGCATGCGCAGGTACTACAACAGGAAGAGATAGAAATAAGAAACAAACTGTGCGATGTGACTGGAGTGGTAAATTCCTAGTTCTAGAGAGGTGTGTCTTATTCTCCATGTGATGGCCAGTTGGTGAATGTCGATGTTTCAGGTTTCTTCACCAAATACGAACGCAGACAACCGACAAGATTGTTCTTATCAGTAATTACACACAAACACTGGATTTATTTGAAAAGCTATGCCGGTCTAAGAAGTAAAATCACTCGAGACGTATCTTTGATTATCGACGATATTGACAGATGAATACAACTAGGTATGGCTTCTTCCGACTTGACGGTACTATGACCATTACGAAACGCCAGAAACTTGTTGATCAATTCAACAATCCTGAGGGCAAGGAGTTCATCTTCTTGCTCAGCAGTAAGGCTGGAGGATGCGGTATCAACCTCATTGGCGCCAACCGACTGATCCTGTTTGATCCAGGTAAGTTGCTTGCTCCCTATTGTCTAAATTGCTTCTCAGTGTGTGCCAGATTGGAATCCAGCAGCAGATCAGCAGGCTCTCGCGCGAGTTTGGCGTGACGGTCAGAAAAAAGAATGTAAGCCGGAAGAAGTATGCACTCTCTGGTGTACCTTGGTTAATTTCATTGATATCTTAGGTTTTGTATATCGTTTCATCTCAACTGGGACCATCGAAGAAAAGATTTTTCAGCGACAAGCCTCAAAGCAAGCACTTTCGTCTGCGGTCGTCGATGAGAAGGAGGATGCTGAGCGGCATTTCTCCCTGGACTCGTTGCGCCAACTTTTCCTATTCAACGAGAACACTCTTTGTGAGACGCATGAAACATTCAAATGTAAACGATGCAAGGATGGCAGGCAAATCATCAAGGCGCCTGCCCTTCTCTACGGAGATGCCAGCACGTACGTGCCCCGATTATTTTGTCCAGCTGTGAAACTGAAGGGTGCTGTGCCTGTCCATGTAGGTGGAATCATTTTACGAATGCGGAACTGAAGAATAATCACGACGACCTTCTACGCGCTGAAGTAGGGCTGCCTGAAATCTCTTTCGTTTTTCAATATGTCAGTCACTAACTCGGATGCGGCGTGCCTTTCCCCCCCTCTATCATCATCATTCTTTCAATTCCGTCATGAAAACTTTTACAATTCACAATTTGCATACTGGCATTCCCGTCTCCCCATACACTAGAGGATAGATGGTTGTATCGATAAACAAAAATGCATAAATATAACATATTCTGGTCATAATAGTACACGTTATGGTTGTCATATAATCACATCGTCCCAGTCTCCCCACTCTCCACCGACCGGTCTGACTTTCACCTTCTCTCCTACCTCCCCAAAATACGCGGCCTTGAACCATGTCTTCATATCATCTTCACCAAATGGACCGAAAGCCTCTCCAGTCTGTCCAGGGACATCCCATCTATACTCGTATTTCACGTCTGCAGACGTAGGAACCCAATCTGCTCCTACCCGCCCAGACGAACGCACGCTACGAACGAGCTCCTCAAACGTCTTCGAATATATATCCGTGTCGCCGAAGGACATGAGAGTCGAGGCGATGTGGGTGATCTGATCGATGTCGCTCGTGGCTTTTGATTCCTTGTCGACGGCCATGGCACCTTCACTGTTGCCGTTTTGAGGCTTTGCTTGAGCACGTTTCCTGGTAGTGCATGTCAACAATTGTCTGCCTGTAAGATACATAGAACACTCACTTATTGACAGGCCGGCTTTTCTTCGACTTGGCACCCAATCTTTGTAGAGCTTCCAGCACCGTTTCGCCTTTCTTGAGCATCCCAAGTAACTGCCTCTCAAGCTCCCCCTTCCCTCCATTCTCATCAATGTCCTGTTCCTCAGCCTTCATCTTCTCCTCTTGCTGCCTCTCCTGCTGCCTCTTCCGACGCCTCGCCATCTTGATGTCTTTCTCATCAAAGCCATCCATCCAACGATCGTGCACATCATGAGGGTCGAAGGAGCGGACGTACGTCCCGTCCGCAGCAAACTTCCCCTCCTCCATCTCCTCGCGCATATTAAACGAAGACAGCTCGTAGCCCATCCCCGCCTTCTTCCTCCGTTCAGCGTCGTCTTCATCCAGCGGCTCGTCATCCCCCGACCCGCCCGAGCCAGACCCATCATCGAACTCCTGTCCCTCAATATCGCCCAGCCTCAAAAACTGCTCCTCCTTCTTCTTCGCCCCCGCCTCCCCTCCCTTCGTCTCCTCTTTCTCGCCCATCGCAAACATATCCTCGTCCTCGTCCTCCTCCCCCTCCTCGCCCTTGCCCTTGCCCTTCCTCCGGCTGAGCACGACCCCCTCGCCGTCGTCGCTCGAGTCCGACTCGTAGCCCTCGTTCTTGACCCTGCCTTTCCGCTTCGCGAGCGGGTCTTCGAGGGTGGACTCGACCTCTTCGGCGAACTTGGCGGGGTCGTCTTCCGGTTCGACGAATCGCGTTTTTTTGTTGACGTGGGAGGAGGGTTGGGAGGAGGAGGAGGAGGAGGGTTCGCCGGTGGAGAGCGCTGCTCGTTTGTGGGCGGGTCGAGACGGCATTTTTGGGGGGTGGTGCTAATGGTATATGATGAGCGCTGATCGTTGAGTGTAGGTCGTTACAACGTATGTGCTACGTTGTCGTTTGGCACCCGCGGCCGTGGTGTGGTATGGCCGGTCAGGTAGATTCCAACTGATGGGTTAGTGCACAGGTGAGATATCTGACTATCATGACATAACGCGCATGTCTTGTTTGTTTGGTCTGTGGTCTCACGTGTGGCCACTGCGGCATGTCTGCAACTTAGTCCAAGCAGCCTGAGTTGTACATGTTCCATTATTGTCATATTCAACGTTCAACGTCAAACCAAGTCGCACACAGATACAGGCAACTATTATAGTTTACATGCCATCACTACTTTGAAATGCTCAGAATCATAATCATAATGTCGATCAATCGCGCGACGTACATAAATACAGTACGTCCTGATGAAAAGAGGGGGGTTAAAAGAAGAAAAAAGTGACCATAATGCGTTGAATGAAGCTATAGTGTGTCCCATGCCAGCGGTATATCAGGTTCAGTATCGAGTACAGCACATAAGAGTCTTGCCGACGTACGATTTATTCTCAAGAAAAAGAAATAGAAAACCCCGATGGGCCACAATCCACCATCTCATGCATCACGTCCTACTCCTACCAGCATAGATATCCTCCACCAGCTCTCCGCACTTCACACCCACAATACTCAACAGCGTATCGCTCAGCCCATGCGTATCTTCCGTGCATCCCTGCAGATACACCCGGGCCTTAAAGTCATCAAGCGGAGCGTCGACGACGTCGCCGCTGGGTGAGACAGGCAACAGTTGGTAGTTCCGCGAGACGTAGAGTTTTTGAGAGACGGGGGGTGTACGCACACCGACGGATCCGCCTGGTGAGCTTGGTGGGGAGCTCACGGCGGATGAGGTGCTGGTATCGCTGGTGTGGGTGTTGGTGTTGGTGTTGATGGCCTGGAACGCCAAACTGCGCTTGTCCTCCGATAACTCTGTCGTGGATGCCAAGTGGATTTCACCAGACACGGACGAGAGGCCATAGTATTTTCCAACGGGAGAAGACGTCAAGAGGCTCAGCCAAGATCGGCGATCGTACCCTGTAGCAGATATGACGGCGTCATACGTAGCCTCGTACATATCGCGCGAAAGGGTATTTTGGAATACCAGGTTCACTTGCGATTCTGTCGCGTCGGCTGGGTCTACGAGTTCAGCAGTGAGGAGCTCGGAGTACGGCTTGATGGTGATGCGTGGGTGGGTAGACATGTTCGCACGATTGGTGCGTTTCTCCACGGCGTCGTCGATCCTTTGGTCATACATAATTTCATACAACTAAAGAGATAAATGGCTATCAGTCAAAAAGTCGGCATCACGGATCAGACACGTACGTTCTCCAAAGTGTGAGGGCTAACAACTCCATAGTTGGTGCTCTGGTATTCTGTGCGCACATGTTTTCGCGCATGAGCCGAAGGAAGCTTAAACATGACATCGGTAGCTAATATTACGTCAGCACCCGATTCAATAGAGTGGCAAAGTCATTTCGCTCACAATCGGGGTCAAAGATCTCGTTCGCGAAAGGTGAATCGTCGCTGGGTTTCAAGGACCCGTTTCGAATGATCATATCAAGTTGGTGCTTGCCTCGGCCTGCAGTGTCTATGACACTCAGACGGTTATGAAGATCCAACAAGACTTCAGCGGCAGACTGGCCAGAGCCGATGACGGCAATGCGGAGTGGACGTTGTTCAGCACTGCGAGCGGTGAGTTTTGAGAGGATGGGGGGCATCCGGTAAAGATAGACGGATGTATGAAGAAGGAAGGGATTCGGACTAATGGAAGCAAGAGCGGGAGGGACTCGCGGAGATCCTCCAGGAGATATGATGAGGTCACCTGATGTAAATATAAGGTTAGAAAATGATAGGCGTTTTTTGTGAAGTTTGAACTTGCGAGCTCGGCGAACCAGTTGTTCACCAGTGGAGAGATTTGTGCTACGGACTTGGACGGTGCCATCTGGACCTTTGTCGAGGGCTACCACGTCTTGGCCGTATGCGACACGGATTCCTCTGTGCTGGACATACTCGGAAGCCCATGTGAGATAGTCGGAGTACTCCTTGCGAGTGGGAATGGTGCTGCCGCGGTTGATGAAAGAGACGAGACGGCCTTGGTCGTGGAGGTAGGAAGTAAATGTGAGAGGCGAGGTGGGACACCTGAGAGTTGCGAGGTCCTTGAGGAAGCTAATAAAAAAGCAAGTGATCGGTAGGTGATCAAACGGCGTGAATTAGCGGCGCACCTGATTTGCATACGAGCGTCTGGGAGAAGCATGCCTGGGTGCCATCTGAACTGGTCATGCTTTTCGATGAAGAGGACATCGTTTGGCTGAATCGCGTTTGGCTGAGAGATGTGTTAGCGGGTAGATATTAAGTAAGGAAAGGAAGGGGCTGACGAGGGATGATTTATCCAATAATGCTCCGGCGATGGCTACGTTGGCGGGGCCAAAGCCGATGCCAATGACATCATAGACATGAGAATCGAGTGAGGACATTGTAGAGTGGTGAGATGGGGGTAGAGGATGGTTTGATGTCTGTTGAAGGTGAAGGTGAGTATTGAAGGACTGGGGATGGGCGGTAAGACTGACATGGAGAGATAAAATGCTCCGATATGGGATTAAGTGGGGATCACTTTCGAGGTGTGGTTGGGGTGTAATGGCGAAGAGAGAAAGTCGGGAATAGGAAGATGGAGTGAATTGGTGTGTTACTAGTAGTATTTATTGAGACGTGTAGAGAGAAAGTCGGGAATAGGAAGATGGAGTGAATTGATGTGTTACTAGTAGTATTTATTGAGACGTGAGGAGAGAAAGTCGGGAATAGGAAGATGGAGTGAATTGATGTGTTACTAGTAGTATTTCTCTTCGCTGACCTAATCGATATCTCTGGGAGATGAAGTGTCTTGCCATTCTGACAGTGGCTGGCAGAGCAACGAAATTGGAACAAGGAGGCGAACGAGGTTGGCCAAGCACGCCATCCGGGCCGAGGACAGACAGGTCCTTAGATGGCCTTACCATTATCGCGACCTCGGTTGGTTCGAATCACGAGCCTCCTATTTCACTCGGACATTCCCGATGCGGCTGCCTCCAGCGGAGCTATCCTCTGATAGCGATGCCCAGAGACGACAGTCTTTCAGCTCAGCACTAACTCACTCCTCGTATTGGATGGTGGCGAGAGCCACATGGTCGATCCCTGACAATTCCCTGTCCACCCATTGGCGAGTATTCCAGTCCTTCCAAATACAGCCGACTCGCTGTCCAGCACCTCGGGTTGCTCTGATTAACTTCAGATAACACAGCCGGTCTCCTTCAGCGCCGTTTCGGCGTATATCATCCCTGCCACACATAATGCCTGCTTTTCCATCGCATCAGCCCAACACCGCAGCCCTCACTGCCTCTTTCTCATCTACCACTGCCTCCTCCTCTACTCGCAATCTCATCAAGCCCTCCAACCACCCATCATCTCTCCTTTGCACATCGATCAATCGCTCTCACATCAATTCTTCTTCTGACCCAATATCTCCCCTCATACCACCATGCCTTCACCGACGCTGTCTTCCCCGTACACCGACAACACCTCCGCCTTCGACCTCTGCAACAATATCCTCAATGGCTACACCACGCTCGACCTCCCTGATCTCTCTTACACCCGCGTCCACCTCGACCAACCACATTTCCATCACCTCTCACGTCCTCTTCGCCCTACTCCCAACTCTCCCGACACAAATGCGCTCTTACTCGTCGCAATGGGCAGAGTCCTCGGTTCCTATTCTGCTTCCTCAGACATCCTCATCGGTCTCACCGCAGATCAGCCTGACTTTGTAAAACCCATCAGGCTCACATGGGATGAATCCACGACGTGGGCAAGCGCTGTCACCACTCTACACACTTTCTTAGCAACAGGCACTCAATATTACTTCACCATCGACACCATTCGTCGCGTCCTTGGTCTCAATGACACGCAGACTCCTTGTTTAGCTTTCTTCCATCCAGCCTCTCACTCCCAATCAACTCTCAGCAACGTAGATTTCCCACTTCTCCTCGTGTCCAATCTCTCTGAGAATTTCATCTCCTTACGTGCTTCAGAAAACCACGTTCACACATCTATGCTCTCCTTATTATTGTCACAAATCATTGACCTCTCTTCACACGGTGCGACCGACCCTGATTCAAAACTAGCTACTCTTCCCCCACTTTCCGCCGACCTTATGTCCTCTTTCGATCATCCTTCCTCAAAGCATGACTTGATCAGGAAATACGTTTCTCCTGTCGCTATTGCTACCGACTACATCCTTCCTCATCTTCGTTCTTCTCCTAACGCGACTGCTGTGCTCTGGTATCCTAATCTTTCAGACGATCAATCAATTGACTCCAGTGACACTCCAGAAGTGCTCTCTTACTCGGAGCTTCACCAGCGTGCCAATAAATTCGCACGATGGCTGATCACACGAGGTCTTCAAAGCGAGGATAGAGTAGCTGTATGTATGGATCGAAACTTGATGTTCCACATCGTTTTGTTTGGCATCTTGCGCGCCGGAGCGTGTTATGTTCCAGTGTGTATTCCTTGCTCGTGTGCCTCTTTCACCCGTTGACTCTCGTCATCCATATCCAGATAGACCCAGAATTACCGGAAGCGAGGAAATCGTTCATAGCCCAAGACTCTGGTGCTCGGTTTGTATTGGTTTCCTCTCAGTCGGGGTTCCATCTCGAGAATTCTATCAATGTATTCACCGAGGAAGTTCAACAAGAGATTCACGGTATGAGTGCTGACGATGTGCCAACAGTCTCGGCGGATACACTGTCTTATATGCTATACACATCTGGTACTTGGACTTTTCTTTTTCTTTCATCTGTAACACTCATGGTTTCCACTCTACAGGCACCACTGGTAACCCTAAGGGGTGTCTCTTGACGCACGAGGGACTCGCAGAAGTGGTCATGTCCTTGGCTTCATTCTCGTATGATGTGCGGATGGACAATATTCGCGAAGGAAAATTTCTATCTATAGCTTGTAAGCTGCATCGAACAGGTTGACACACTGTGTTCTGAACTAGTTTCTTCTGTTAGCTGTTGCATTCGACGTTCACCTCTGCGAGATCTTCGTCTCGCTCACCCTAGGCATGACGTTAGTCAGCGCTCGACGTTCGCTGCTTCTGGAGAATCTTGCCTTTTATCTCATAAAGCTTGGTATAACCCACGTGGGTCTTGTTCCAAGCTTAATTGACGCTACCATGGGCTCTATGCAAGAGGAAGAAGGACACGACATGAAGTTGCGATATATCGGCAGCGGTGGCGAGAAGATCAGTGATACAGTAAGTGTTTCGTACAGGTGCCTGGTTTGGTGACTGATAAGGTTTCTTATCTCGCAGATCTTGCAGAAGTGGGCCAATCATCCCAAAGTGAGGCTGGTGAATTTTTATGGGTATTAACTTTTCCCCCACACTTTGTCGACCCATGGTTCACAACGTGTCGTCATGTAGACCCAGTGAAGTCACCATCGGGTGTTCTGGCCGCTTTATGGACAAGAATACACCCAAAAATAACGTGGGGCGTCCCTTTGCCAGCGTTTCGGCATATGTCGTCGATCCTGCTTTGAATATCACGCTGAGAGGAGGTATAGGCGAGTTGGTCGTTGCAGGTCCCCTCGTCGGGCGTGGTTACCATGGGCGCCCAGACTTGACGTCGAAGGTGTTTTTGAATTGGCCGAATGCCAACAGCTGGGCGTACAGAACTGGTGATCTCGTGCGCATGATGCCTGATGGTACCATGGAGATCATTGGGCGCATCGATACCCAAATCAAGTTACGTGGCGTGCGGATCGAGGCTGAAGGCGTATCTGCAGTTCTTCAACGCTCTGCACGAGAGTCACATGGACTTAGTCTTGATGCGGGCACGGTGGTTGGGACACATCCAGCCATAGGTGCTTCGGGTGTACCGCAACTTGTTTCTTTCGTCGCTTGGAACGCGACGGTGCCTATCGCCACGCGAAGGACGACAAAGCCCACTGTGGTGTCACCCTTTCCAGGGCTGTTCCCTTCACTGCGAGAGGCATGCGAACGAGAGCTGGCGAGCTATATGCGTCCATCGCATATCATCCCCTTGAGCTTTCTGCCTCTGAATGCCAACGGAAAGGCGGACGCCAAGGTGTTGAGCGGTATTTTCCACGAATTGGAGTTTGATGTGATGGTGAAGTTGGCTCGTGTTGAAGAGCAGGGCGCCAAGTCGTCTGATACCCAAGAGCCGATGACGGAGCTTGAAGAGAAGATCGTATCTGTTTTGAGGGAGCATGGAACGATACCCTTTGATACCTTTTATCCTGATACGAATCTCTTCGCGTGTGGTCTGGACTCGTTATCGCTCATACGCTTCACATCTGGCGTCAACAGCTCGTTTTCGTCAACTCTTTCAGTTGCGGACGTGATGAAAACTCCGACGATCAGGGGTATTGCGTCTCTGGTGCACATACCGACCCCTGCGGCGTCGTCGTCGTCGAGGAATTCGGGATACCCATCATACGTGGAACGGTTCTCTACTACATGGATGAAGAAAGTAAAGGAGGCATATCCGGCTTCGAAGGTAGAGCATATATACCCACCATTTCCCATTCAAGAGGGTGTGTTGTATGGTTCACAAGGGCCGTCGACTATGTATATACAGCATGTCGTCTTGCGTCTTCACAGTTCGTCGATATTGGAAAAACTTCGTGGGGCTTGGGATAGTGTCATGGCGAAGACGGAGATACTCAGGTATTTGGATTTTTGATTTTGTTTACCCTTGGGACATCTCAGGCTTACAATGGTATTTAGGACTGTGTTCTTCTTCAGCAAAGCCTTGATTCAAGTTGTCCTTCGCCCCGACGCTTGCAACTTGCTCTGGGAAGAACATGAGACTCCACTGAAAGACGACTCTGCATTCTCGAACTGGTTTTTCTCAGAAAAAGCCACAAAAGTCTCCACGGGAATCAACAGCCACATTTCGTCAATTCCACCGTTCCGTATCAATGTCTTCCGCGCACCACATGGCGATCGTCTCGTACTATCCATCCATCACGCGCTCTTCGACGGGATATCGTTGCCCATCCTGCTCAAGAACGTCGAAGACGAGTTCAATGCCGTCCCTTACCCATCCGGCTCTCCCGTCGCCGTCGTCCTCGATGAGATGGCGAAAGTGGATCTGAGCAAGGCACGAGAGTTTTGGGTGAAGAGTTTGGACGGGTTCGACTGGTCTGAGGTGGCGTTTAGGTCGCCTTCTTCTTCGAGCCCGACGAGGCGGTTCGCTGTGCCTTTCCAGATATCTCTTTCGAGTCTGAATGCGAAGCTGGCGGTGCACAAGGTGACGTTGCAAGCGCTGCTGTCGAGTACGTTTGCGGCGCTCTTGGCTACTCATATGTATCACAGCAATGATATTATCTTTGGGGTTTGTTTTGTTTGTTGCGCTTTTATTTGGGCACATTCTGAATGCGATTATTCTTCTTAGGTTATTCGGTCGGGTCGGTTGTTGCCTGTGGAGGATGTCGACAAGTTGTTGTACCCTATGTTGACGGTACTCCCGGTCCGCATCAATTTTGGCAAGTCTGGCGATCTTTTGCAAGACGTTCAGCGCAACATATCCGCCGCCGTGGAATACGAGCCTGTTTCGTTGAGCAAAGTACAAAACTGGATTCGCCCTGGAGAAAGCCTTTTCGAGACTCTGTTTTCGGTTGTTTTCGAAGATGAAGAGCGAGCTGAGATATGGGATATCACGCAGAGTGAGCTCAAACAAAGCGACGTGAGTTTTATTTAGGTGTCAGCTTTTTTGACAATGCTGAAAGTGCTTTTAGTATGTGTTATCAGTTGAAGTGGCGCTGAGTCGTTTGCAGGATAGTTTGGTTTTGAAGGTTGCTTATTCTGAAGACATTGTCTCGGCTGATACTGTCCACGCGATGTTACACGATTTCGAGCGCATTGCTGTTGGCCTCATCGATCAAGGAGGAAGGTTCGCGTTGGACGGTCATGAAGCCAATGGAGCATCTTTGTCGCCACCTTCAGTGTCAGGGAAAACGTTAAATGGAAACCACGAAGCGGAGGATGCTGAAGCCGGGGATGATGAAACGATTCAGCAATTACGATCGACTATAGCCGATTTCCTCGATGTATCCGGCGAGTTGATCGCAGAGGATACTTCCTTTTTCGTTCTCGGCCTCGATTCCATCAAGTCTGTAGGGTTATCTCGGACTCTGCGACAAAGCGGCTTCGTGATCTCTGCGATTGAGCTGATGCGCCGGTCGTCTTTGCGGAAGCTTTCTCGGTATCTTACTGCCACAAAGGGCGTCAATGGTGGGGAAGTCAAGGGGATGGAGTCGTTCCAACGACAGTGTGAACTGATAAGAAAGAACCTTGATGTTGAGAGTCTTCAGCTTACACCCGATGACCACATTCAAGTCTTTCCAACGAGCATTCTGCAGGCGGGCATGTTGTCGCAAGTAAGTCGTCTATCTGTTTTACTAAATAATATCATCCTGATTATTTGGCTCAAGACGGTCAATTCTTCTGGGAAATTATACGTTCATGGCTTCCCTGTGAGATTACCGGGAGACGTGGACGTCGATCTTCTTCACAAATCTTGGGAAACTATCGCAAAACGGAGCTCTATCCTCCGAACGTCATTTCATTATCTGGTTAATTTGGGCAGCTGGGTGCAAGCCGTGCATTCGTCGCCACAGATGGATTGGCTTAGCGATACATACTGTCCCTCCAAGTCAATCGACTCTCTGCTTACTGAAGCGATCTCGTCTGTAGACCTGTCAGACGAATCTGCCTTTTGTCGGCCACCTTTACGCTTGCGGTTGCTTGTTCCTGAAGGGGCGAGTGGTCAAGCGACGCCTTACCTGATTGTTATTATGCACCATGCATTGTATGATGGGCTTTCTCTTGCGAAACTCTTTCAGGAAGTTGAAGATCTGTACTACCATCGGACCCTCGCCGTATCCCCACAGTTCAATGAAGTCCTTCCGCAGATATTGCATCAGGAGCAACTGGGCACGACTTTCTGGATCGAGCGCCTCAGAGGCTATCACCAAGTTACTCTGCCCCGAACCCAGACTAGCGAAACGGTTAAAACCCACACTGCATCGTGCGACGTGTCGTTTGACCCGGTACAACTGAAAAAGTTCTATAATCACGTCGCCGTCACTCCTCAATGTCTCGGCCAAGCCGCCTGGGCGAAGCTTCTTGCTGTCCTACTGTCTTCAGCTGATGTCGTTTTCGGACATGTTATTTCTGGACGTACGGTTGAAGGGTCTGAAGATGTGATAGGGCCTATGCTGGTAAGTTTTTTTTTGGAAAGGTATCATCCTTGTTTAACGCTTTTTTGTTGGCATTTCTAGAACAGCATTCCATGTCGTGTCCAGTTGAACGATGTATCGACGAATCGCGATCTCTTGCGTGCTATCCATCACGGGAATGTTACTGCACTACAATGGCACCACGCATCTCTTCGGTCTATCCAGAGTAGCCTGGGACTAGCTAATCTGTGGGATAGTCTATTCCTATTCCAGCCGTTCATCGGAACGAACTCGCAAGATTGGAGCTGGGATGTAGTTGGTGAGCTTGATGCCAACGTTCAAGTAAGTGTTATATCTCGAGATTACCGAGGTTGTCACTTACCCCGCTCAAGTACCCTCTAAATATGGAGTTCTACGAGAGAGAGTCTGGATTCGCTATCAAGGCTGTGTGTCTGTCGAGCCATATGAGCGCAGAAGCACTGGCTAATGCGTTGAGCCGCCTGGAAGGATTTATGAAGACTTTTGTGGAGCGACCTGACGACGAGGTGTCCAAGGATTTACCTGATATCATGAATGGCAAGGTCTCGGAGTTGGAAGAAACCTCCTCGGATACCCAACATGATGAAAGCGAACACATTGATATCGACCAAATACCACCATCTATCCTCGCCATTTTATCCTCAGTGACTGGTACACCAGTGGAAGAGCTCGATTTGACGAGAACGCTAGTCACTTGCGGCATTGATTCCATAACGGCCATTCAATTATCTGCAAAGTGCAGAAGGGCAGGGGTCATGTTGAACGTGGGCGACATCATTGCTAGTCACACTCTTCACGACCTCGTCAAGAAGGTCGTGGTGTCAAACAAGCCGATACCCGCTCAATCTAATTATGATCCAGCGCTTGCTGTGGTACCCCAAGCAGAGCGAGATGCCATCTCCTTGCGAATTCCTGACAAGCTGCGAGATGAAGTCGAAAGTATTGGCGTGGCGACATCGGGTATGAAATGGCTCATTGCTGGATGGCAGGGGAGCAGAGGGACTGGATTTCAACATATATTTCCTTACAGCATTCTCGAAAGCGTAGACACGACGCAGTTGCGTGCCTCCTGGATTGCGCTTCTTGAACGGCATGCCATTCTTAGGTCTACTTTCGCCAGCGCAGAGAGCGTAGGTGAACCTCGTATCGTCACTTATAACACGCGGTTGGTGGACTCCAGCTGGTCTGAAGAACCCTTTGACGACACGGCAGACGACCAGTGCATTTACAACAAGATGCTATCCATCTTGTCTTCGCCTCCGCCCATGTACGAGCCACAGGCAAGAGCTATATTGTTGCGATCCACCAAAAAACGTTATCTCTTTATTCGCCTACATCACTTCCAATACGACGCTTGGAGTCTACGAGTGATACTTGACGATTTCTCGGCTCTTTATTCTGGCATGAGCCCTTCTAGTTCCACGGATTATAATGCATTCCAAGCAGTTTCGTTGTCGTCATTCGATCACCTGTCAGAACAGAGAGCCTACTGGCACACAACCATCCCTCCCTCCACCTCTCCAGCATATTTCCCCATGTTGAACCACGACTGTCCAAGTTCTCAAGGCAGAACCATTTATATGGCAAAGGCTGCTATCTCAGCTGCTACGGTTCACGAAGAGCGAGCACGCATGCATAATATGTCGCTGCAGTCCATTCTTCTCGCTTGCTGGGCCCGACTTCAGACGCTGTATACCTCAAGCGAGTCTGCTACATTTGGGCTCTGGCATGCGGGTCGTAGTGGTGCTGTGGATGCTATTGAGAAGCTGGCTTTGCCCTGCATGAATGTTTTACCCCTGCATGTTCAGGTTCGCAACGACAGCGTACTCGAGACGGCTCGTCAAATCCTGAAAGACCTCCGGAACCGCACGGCAGTTATCGAGCAGACTGACTTGCAGAAAATCGACAAGTGGGTTGGCGGCAATGGCAAGCCACTATGCAACGTTTTTGTGAACATCATCAAGATCGCGCCTGATGCGAATGACTCTAGAGACAGGAATATCATCGAACCATTGAGTGTAAGCACATAATTGATTGTATGCGGATGTGCGCCGTGATTGACTTTTACTTCAGGTGCCTTACTTTGTTCCAGACGTATTGACCTGTGCTGAGGACACCTTCGTTCATGAGTTACCTGTGACAAAACTGGTTCAGGTCAGTGATCAGTATCTTCAGAAGTTGCACAAATATTGAACACATCTTTATCTAGGATGATGTCATGATTGACATCTTAACTGACAAAGAACATGATACAATTTTGATGTCGGTAGAATGTGCGGCGGATACGATGAGCATGACGCAGGCAAAGGAATTGGTAGAACAGTGGTCAAGAATGGTAGAAGGAGAATGGGAATAAAGAAGCATATGAGGACTAAAACTAGATGGATATTTGTATCATTACTAACTAAATGCTATGCCCTCTCCGCGCAGCCTTCAAACACTCCTCTTCCCAGCCGTGAAGCCATATGACCTGAATACCAGCGTCTTGTAGTTTCCTGGCGCCCTCACATTGGACAAAATCATCAGGTTCTCCCACTCCAATGATACACCGCTTGACTTGAGCTTTGATAAGAGCATCTGCACATGGAGGAAGGCCAGAAGTCCTGACGGAACAAGGTTCTAACGTTGTGTATACATCGGTATGTGTGAGAACAGCGGATAGTACGGGAGATGAGATAAAGGGGAGCAACTCTTGAAGCTGCTCTGGTGATAATTCATGAGCCTTTGAGAGGGCGTTTGCCTCTGCGTGAGTGTTTCCGGGGAGCTCGCGAGAATAACCACTGGCAAGGACCACAGGCTTATTGTCAGGAATGCGAGCTACGAGTGTGCAACCAACGGAAAATGCGGTTGGAACGGGGTCGCATTTGTGAGCTTCGAGTAATGCGAGTTTCATGTAAGTTTCATCTCCTTCGCCTGGCATGGCCTATGATAACAAATGGATAACAAGATTATGGATAACAAGATAAAGTCTGAAGACTGTGCAGTGCTAAGTTAAGAGCCTGAGAAACGCTGACCAGATAAAGTTACCTAATGAATTTGTGGCGCGGGCAAAAACTCCGACAGAGGGTACATTTGCAGGGACCACTTACAGTGAACTTATTGTACCTGCTGTTGAACAAGCATGTCTTCTCCGGTTGGAGACCCTGTAAACCCACAAATTGAAGAAGATGATCCAATGGGCTCTACGAGAGACGAGGAGGAGGGAGGTGATGCAACAATGGCAGACGGTAACGGGGTTTCCGACGACAGTTCTGAAGAGGCGGAGGACGACGAGGAAGAGGCAAAAAGGATAAGAGAAGGTTTCATTGTAGATGAGGACGAGGACGAAGATGATGAAGATGATGAACGTCGCAGGCGAAGAAAGCGCCGTAAGAGAAAACATCGACGACGAGGTGAGTTTCCAGGTTTTGCCCTTTTGACCCCTTCGGTTAAATTATCAACAATGTTACTTAGCAGAAGAGGAAGATGAAGTTTTAGAGGAAGACGATCTCGAACTTCTGGAAGAAAACACTGGGACTTCTTTCAAAAACCGTCTGACGCGTCTCCGCCGTGGTCGTGAATCAGGTTCTCCCCCAGCTGCATCTTCGTCAAGGCGAAAAGCTGTGTTGGAATCCTCGGACGATGATTTGGATAATGATGACCTTGATTTACCACAGGTACATGATATCCAGCGTATATGGGATGACGAGAGGGCAGGTGGTCGTGAGGATGAAGAAGACTTGGACGATATGGACAACTTTATTGAATACGAGGACGATGAGGAGGGCGCAGGAGCAATGGACGAAGTTGAGCGAGAAGAGAGGAGGAGGGAAAGGCGGAGGCTTGAAAAGGAAAGACGTAGGGCTTTGGGCTCTCGACCGGAGTTAGATGGGATCGATGCCAAGTGAGTCAATATCATGTACTCGTAAGTTCTTGCAGCTCATGAATGTTCATATAGTGCTTGGAGCGAAATCCACGAAATTTTCGGTGATGGTCATGAGTATGATTGGGCGTTGGTTGATGAAGAGGCGGAGCATGAGGAGGAACACTTGAAGCATGAGATGAAATACCAGGATGTATGTTCTTATCTGTGGGGAACAGTTCACCTAGATGCTAACTGTGACTTCAGGTTTTTGAACCGTCTGAGATCCGTGCGCGTATGTTGACAGAAGACGATGATCTGATACGAGCCCAGGATATCCCTGAACGAATGCAACTGGCAACATCATCTCTATCCCAATCCTCCACTTTGTCTCTCCATACAACCATCACGGAAACTGATCTGGACGACGCGGCTATGTGGGTTACAGTTCGCTTATCATCCAGAAAAACGCGAGACTTCTTCAGTCCAGATGGTCCATACAATAAATATCGTGAACCTCTTGTCATGGCGGTCTCCTACGCGTTAAGGTACCTGTTGATTCAGGAGTTTGAGGTACCTTATATATGGACGCACAAACGAGATTACATAACGTATTTCAATCCTCAAGAAATGCGAACTCAAGTGGAGCTCATCAGCCTTTCCGAACTTTGGCGCATTTACACATTAGGACAAAAATATCGATCGCTGGTGGAAAGACGAAATGCGCTTGCATCTCTGTACGCTCGTCTCGGTGTAGAGGATCAGTACTTCACTGAGCACATACGAGCGAAAATTGATAGTGTCGAAGTGGTAGCAGATGCAACCGAGTGGCTTGCGATGAAGTACAAAGCTAAAAAGCAGGATACATATGATTTCCACTTTCATGATGACGATGAGCATCATGAGACGAAGAAACGTAAAATTCCTAGTCGCACATCTGCTTATGAGGTGGCAAAAAAGAGTGTCGTATCAAAGTTGGCTGATGTACGTATTTCATGGTTGACTTGACTCCAGCTGACTTAGCTCGGTGATGCAGGGCTTTGGTATTCGGCCTCACGAAATAGCACAGAATTTTATGAATGGTGATCACGCGCATTTTGTGGATGATCAAGAACTCAACCCCGTTGCTTACGCGGAGCAGTTCATGGACCCAGAAGTCACCAACGATCAGCCTCCTGAAGAACTTCTTCGCCGAGCCCGTATGATTCTCGCCACTGAAGTGGGCAAAGATCCTCTGCTCAGACAAGAAATGCGGATGATGTTCAAAAATGATGCTCAGATATCTGTCTTACCAACCGAAAGGGGAGTGAACAAAATTGATGAACATCATCCATACTTTGTGCGTTTCTCTCGGTATTTTATCTCGGATATGGGCTTATCGTTGACCTGCAACCTCTTAGAATTTCAAATATCTCTACCATAAAAACATCAATCAGATGCTGGACACATCTCAGTTCCTACATATAATTGCAGCCGAAGCAGATCATTTAGTTACTGTTTCTATCTTCCTCCCCAGTGAAGCTAAAGCACAATTTGAACGCAGACTCAACGATGCATTTGCTTCTGATAGTTATAGTGACACAGCAAAGTCATGGAATGAGGAACGCGCTCGAGTAGTACAAGAGACTATGGAGAATCATCTTATTCCTGTCGGCGTCAAATGGGCTCGGGAATGGGTGAGAGAGGAAGTGGAAGATGCCCTTGCGAATCGATGCGGTGGCATCCTTAAAGATGTATGCACTATCCTTCATGCCAGATTACTACACATGAACTAACTTCCTTTTAGCGCATTGATGTAGCTCCATTCATCACGGCAGACATGAGACCTGGTGATACTGCATCTGTCCTTGCAATGTCATGGGGAAAGGGTGATCCGCAGAAAGATGCCATAACGGTTGTCTTTTTGGATGAAGCAGGTCGGCTTCGAGAGCATACTAAAATCGATAACTTGGTCGATACGGAGACCCGCGACGAATTCGTCGATTTATTACGAAGGCGTCGACCTGATGTCATCGCAATTAGTGGTTTCAGTATGGCCACGACCAAGTTAGCTCAGCGCGTCAAAGACATCGTCCGAGGGAAGCCACAGGACGAAACGGCTGCACCAGACGGATGGGGCGCCGATCCCAAGGATTCGAATGAGCAAGCCTTCAACATTCCTGTGATCTATGTTTCTGATGAGGTGGCACGCATATATCAACATAGCAAGCGAGCTGGGGAGGAGTACAGTGCATTGTCTCCTATAGCCAAGTATTGTGTGGGACTAGCTCGATACACCCAAAGCCCAATGAACGAATACGCTGCCCTCGGCGCCGATATCAGTGCTATTATGTTTGAGGATGAGGATCAACATCTGGTATGTTTTTGGTCATAGGGAAAGTAAACGTTCGCTAATTCAGTTATTCAGATCCCTAAAGAGAAGTTGTTATTTGCGCTCGAGCGTGCTCTCGTTGATGTTACCAACAAAGTTGGGGTTGATATCAATCGTGCCGTCAATGACTCGTACTACCAGAGCCTGCTTCCTTTCGTGTGCGGGCTTGGGCCAAGGAAATCGCAGTCCTTGGTGCAGAAAATTGCTGGAATCGTAAGCTAATTCTATAAACTGTGTATACTATCACTCATTACATTCTTCTTCAGGGAGGACATCTCGTAAATCGAGACCAATTCATCAAGGCAGGCTTGTTGACCACCAATATTTTCCTGAATGCTTCTGGTTTCTTGCATATATCCCATGATGCTGAACTGAAGCCCACGAAAAATCGCCACATTGATGATGACGTTCAGGATCCCCTGGATTCTACCCGCATACATCCAGAAGACTACGAGTTAGCCCGCAAGATGGCTACAGATGCCCTTGAACTAGATGAGGAAGATATTCACGATGAGCACCCATCACATGTCGTCTCTCTTATCATGCAGGACGACGACAACGAAAAGAAGCTCAACGAGCTCAATCTCGTCGAGTTCGCCGTCAATATGTTTGAAGCCAATGAAGATCGCAAAAGACATACTTTGAATGACATTCGCGAAGAACTTCTCAAGCCACTATCAGAGCAACGTAAACCATTCCCAACTCTTCAACCTTGGGATATATTGACCATGCTTAGTGGCGAGACTCGCCGCACATTACGCATGGGCCTTATTGTTTCAGTCCTCGTCTTACGAGTAGTCAAGCAAGATTTTGTGGTCGTTCGTCTTGATTCAGGAGTAGAGGGGGTCATCAACGTTGGGTATATGAGTGATGAAGGGAATATAGCCCCCGCGAGTATTGTCAATAAGGGTCAAACTATTCAAGGTGTCGTCGTTGAAGTCAAACTGGACCTGACCCAAGATCAATTCCTCGTCGAGTTGTCAGCTCGGCCTAATGATCTGGCAGCTGGTGACGGTCTTTTCCGAAAGGTCAAACATGATGAGATGTGGAATGTTCAGCAGCACGAGCGGGATTCAGAAATGCAGGCACGGAAAAAACGAGCGAAGGTAGATCAAACAAGGCGGGTCATCAAACATCCCAATTTCCATAATTTCAATGCCAATCAAGCCGAGAACTACCTGGACAAGCAACAAAGGGGTGACGTAGTCATCAGACCATCTTCCAAAGGTGCCGATCATCTTGCTGTGACATGGAAAGTGGACGAAAAGCTTTACCAGCATATTGGTGCGTAGTAAATCAACTTCAACTTCGGCTATGTATGGGCAAATGTCTGATCTTCATAACAGACGTGACAGAAATCAACATAGACCCCACCGGACAAGGCGTTGGTGGCCTGCTTGTTGTTGATGAAAAGCATCAATATGCTGATCTCGACGAGCTTATCGTCAATCATGTACAAGCAACAGCGCGCCGCGTAGAAGAACTCATGGCTCATGAAAAATTCAAGCATGGGTCTGAAGACGAACTACGTGCGTTAATTTACTATACTTTGAGACCAGGTAGCTGAATACGGTTCACTGTTGCAGATTCATTCTTGAAGAATTTTGTTATGGCTAATCCCGCCAAAAGTATATATGGTTTTACCCTAAACCGCAGGAAGCCTGGCCATTTCAGCTTATGTTTCCTAGCCAACAAAGGTTCTACTGTTCAGACATGGGTATGTATCTATTCTGTAGTCATGCATGTCAAACTAAGCACGTCCCTGCAGCCCGTTCGTGTTGCCCCGGAAGCATATTATCTTTTTGAGGCGACTGCTGCTGGAGTTCCTGAGCTATGCGATGCTTTCAAAGTGAGGTAAGATGGTGTCGCCATTACGTACATTTTATTCGCCCCTGACAATGACAATAGACATCTGCATCAATCTCAAAACTTGGGTGGTGGCGCTGGCGCTGGCGGAAAGACACCTTATGGTGCTGGTGCGCGTACTCCCGCTCGCACCCCGGGGCATGCTACTCCTGGACACATGTCTGTTCGTCAAGTTGGGAGGACCCCAAACCCATACGGGGGTCAAACTCCAGCTCCCAATGCACCTCCTCCTTCCAACTTTGGAATGCCACCATCGTTCGGGTACCAGACACCATCCGCGTTTTCACGGTCTAGCTTCAATCCATCTGCGAGTGTACCTCCAGGGATGAACCCTCAGCGTGCAGCCATGATTCAAAATCAGGGATCCTGGGGCAATGGTAGTGGATGGTGATATGGAGCGACGTGAACGGTGTTATTACCTTTGTTCATTATACATCTAATTAGTCTACCCCATTTTGTTTGTGAGATTAGTGATTGGCGCACAAATGTAAAGTAACCGCACGACACAGACGTTTGAGTTGTCTTACAGCCATAGCTTTAAATTTGTAGAAGAACCATGATGGATTGTGTCACAGGAAGCTGCGCGGACTCGCCTTAGTACTAGTATTATGCCTCCCAGCATTACTGCGCCGCACAGCATTGCCACTACGACTTAAACGTACACGACATCCATGTCTTCAGATATCGAGATGGACGATTTGAAGAACCCTAGTTCAAGACATGCTCACAATGGACAGGACAAGTCTATAAACGAATCCCAAAACGACACAGAAGATCTGAGAGACGGCGGTAACAGTCCTGAGTCGTTATGGGCTTGGATATCAGCCATTTGGTCTGTCTCGTCACTTATCCCACAATAAAGTAGAGTTCGCATTGAATTTTATGGTATTTACAGTCTCTTTATTCTTTCGATATTCTTGGTCCTATTTCCCCGCCTGGTGTTGTTCATGTCGCAAACTTCTTCAGATAGGACCTTGCTTACCCCTTTGGAGTCCTATCTCTCTTTGCACCTCGGTCTCCTATTAGGAGCAATATCAATCACCCTGGTATTGACGGTACGTACTTTCTCGTCCGACATAAGCACTATTCTCAACTACAAGTTATACCTATGCCCCTATAGATTCCTAATTCGCTTCCCTTCATCGACTCTCAGCAGGCGGATAAATCACGTCATCCTCTTTTAGTTCCTATCACTTCTTGCTCCCTTCTGACAGCTTTTCTGTCCTACAACACAAATTCAGTTGGGTCAGTAGCATCTATTAACTTTTTAGTTGCAGCCGTAATAGGGGTGTTTGGGCTATGGACAGTGCGTTTACCATCTACTCCAGTACTTTGCAGTATTTTTCTGAACGTTACCTTTGCTTCATTAAATGTAGATCCTCTTTGGGAGCTCATCTGCTATCTCGCGCAAAACTGGAGCTGATAAACATACATCTTCATTTATTTTCGGTAACGTAAACGCAGCCTCAGTCCAGAAGAAACTATGGAAAAAGAAACGAAGGGGTGCAGCAGAGAAGCAATCTTGAAATTACCATAGTCGTGCCAAGTTAATTATCTTATATATACTCTACGATACTGCAGACTCTGTCGCTGATTACTGCATGAGAATGTACATGAGATGCATTATGACAGTGATGATTGTACATAAGGGATAAGTAAACTCTCCCGTGGGTTACCGCCCTGTGCCACCACCACCCATACCCATCATCTTGAACATTTCGCCCATGTTTGGCATCCCACCCATACCGCCTCCCATGCCGGGTAAACCACCGAGACCACCGAGGCCTCCCATCCCGCTGCCCATTTGTGACATCATTCCTGAAACATGGGTTCAAAAGGCTGCTTACAAGCAAAAATGGGAAAAACATACGTTGCATCTCCTCCATGTCTAGCTGGTCGCCTCCCTGACCTTGCATCATCGCTTTCAACATCTCCTGCATGCCCCCACCTCCGCTCCGTAGCTGGCGCTGCATTTGTTGTAAAGCACCAGGTGGCATGGCACGCTGGACAGAGTAGCGTTAGAATATATTGGTAGAATGTCACCAAACGACACGTACTTGCATAGCCTGAATCTGCGCAGGCGTTGGCATACCATTAGCACCACGACCACGACCTCCAGCAATTGATTGCATTTTTTGCATTGCTTGCAACCTTAATAGTCATTGTTATTTTTAAAAAAAACGCACTTGCAATGACAATATGCCTGCACGTACCATCCATTTTTACCTCCAGCCTGCTTGGCCATATTCGCCATCATTCTATATTGACATAGCAATTCTTCAACCTCCCGCACGCTGGTTCCGCTGCCTTTTGCGACTCTTGTGACCCGCCATGTCAGACCTACTGGCTTCCCATCCTTTGACATATCCATAAATACTGCACCATCAGAATCAAGCTCCGTTGAAGTCATGCTATCAGTTATATATATCATGCGTTTCATGCGCAGGGAACCTTCTTCATCTGAACCGGATAAAAGTTCTTGAGGAAGCCCTGGGATCATAGAAGCTATTTTACTGATTGGACCCCTAGAACAAAGTAATCAGAGCAGGTAAGTAAAAAGGGGAATAAATATACATATTCATAACATTTTGTATCTGCTCTCGCCAATCACGGATGCTTAGTTTCCCCTCTTCGAGTTTTTTTGCCATTTCCTTCTGCTTATCAGGGTTTTGTGTAGCCAGGTCTTGCATGTGTTCCATGAGGCCCTGCATATCTCCTAAGCCCAAGAGCTTGGAAATAAATGGCTGTGGAGAGAATCGGTCTAAATCGTGGAGATGCTCGCCAACACCCAAGAATATAATAGGTGTTTTCGTAGCCGCAACCCTGTGGAACCTTCAGACATGGTATCTATAATAACTATCAAATAAAACTTACGCAGAGATAGCTCCACCTCCTTTGGCGTGGCCATCCATCTTGGTGACAATGATAGCTCCGAAATCTGCACTGTCTTTGAAAGCTCGACTCTGAGCTTCAGCAGCCTGACCTATAGAATCGTAAGTGGTTCCATCGTTACAAAAGATGATCAGAATATTACCAATGCTTGCATCCAGAATCAAAATAGTCATATGTGGTTTAACAGCTTCCCCGATCTGCACCATTTCTCGGAAGAGTTCCGATTCCTGTTTATGTCTACCAGAGGTATCCACTATTATGACTTCGAACCGTTCCTTCTTGAATTTTGCGACACCCTGAGCGGCGATGACAACGGGATCAGTCTCTGTGTAAGAGCCAAAGTAAGCTACTTTGGCTTTCGTAGCAGATTGCCGGGTCTGATCGAAAGCTCCGGCACGGAATGTATCAGCGCAGACGATACATGATTTGAAGCCACGTTTCTGATAGTATACAGCGAGTTTTGTGCATGTCGTCGTTTTTCCGTTACCCTTAGGAGACGAGATGAGCCGAAGTGACAGATACTCGAGGCAAGCAAGCACGTACCTGGAGACCCACAGCCATAAGAATATTACACTGGCCCTTCTTTGGCTTGTATGGTTCAACACCAGGATCAACGAGATGAACGAGTTCATCAAATACAGCCTACAGCAACGAGTTAACTGACATGCAATACTTGCTAGGATGGCTAACCAACCTTTTGGACAAGATTCTTCCGGTTCGCCTCTTTAGACTTGTCTGATGATCCTCCATCTAGAGCTGCTTTGACTTTGACCTTGACTTTCTGTCTGAGTGATGCAACCAATTTGACATTTACATCAGACTCGAGTAGTGCAGCTGTGATTTCTTTGAGAGTTGCATCGAGAACCTATGGGATATAAAATTAACAGAGATTGTAGCAAATAGATCGCAGAGTTCATACCTTTTCGTCGACGACTGTTGCTCTGCTGAGGGATGAGAATGCAGCATTGAGCTTGCGGCCCAGGTCGGCCAAAACCATTATAAGTGTACAAACGATAAGAAAGCGTCGTGAGAATTCCCTCAGCCCAGTTGCAGACCCAGACTATATGCTGGCTTAAATGGCGCACAGTGACTCTGAAGGAGAAACCATAGATGACCTCGAATTCGAGACAAGATCAACAGATGCTGAAGGCGAAGAAGATGCTGATATCGACGAAGACATTTTGGATGCTTTAGAGGGCGGCGTGGAGGAAGCATCAGAGGCAGACGACGTGCGTTTGCATGCGAATTCTCGTCTGGCTATACGACTTGCCTAAAATTTGTCGCAATATCAAGGACTCTCCTTCAGAGGACTCAGACGATGATGGCGACGAGGACGACGAGGACGACGAGGAAGAAACATCCCCACCTTTACCACTAGATGCTGAGTCTAGTGGACCCCCTTCATCCACCCTCGGCCCAGTTCCACCTTCCAATAAGTCAGAACGTGCAACCTCACGATCCTCTCAAATAGAAGGTATCGATTTATTTTTCGTATATACATGCATTCACCTTATCTCGGACGCAAGGGTCGCATACTCCTAAAACTCGGAAACGTTCAATCTCTCCCGCTCAGGTCAGGAAGAGGACGCTACTTTCTTCTGTCACCTCCAAAGCATACCTGCCTCGCTCTTACACGGTCGAGGCGATATGTGCTATCCCTCACCCAGTCCCGACCCATGCTCTCGCGTCTTCATTTTGTATGTCTCATCTTCTTACTGGCTCGGATGACGGCTACATACGCGACTACGATATGTTTTCGGCTGTCAATGGCAAAGTAACTTTGACTGCCCCTCAGAGACATCACTGTGGTGTAGTGGAGGGCAACATGAAAGCAGGACAGATAAGATATTGGTGGGAGAATCCCGACCTACCCAATTACAGCGGAGGTGTTCCGGTAGCCAACGAGCCTTCCCTCTCACCGGTTTATAGTCTTGCCATGCATTCTGATGCACTCTGGTCGATCGCTGGCACCAATGTACGCACCATGTATGATAAGGCCATCTTTGACGCGCATAGCTGACATGCTGTTTCGATCCCTTAGCGTGGACATATTAATATGTTCACTGTGCGTCATGAACCAGGTCGACTCTTCTATGTGATACCAAATGCGCATCGCGGGCCTATATCAGCTCTTTCTTTGGACCATAACGAAAAAGGTCTTTTCAGCGCAGGTTGGGATGGTGAAGCTATTGTCAGTACTGTTCATTATCCATACAGCATCCAGCTCATCGGTTTCAAACTTCCAGCAATGGGATCTTAACACTGGACAACTGGTACGAAAGTTCACAGTCCATGGCGCACAACTTGTGAATATCGCTGTGAGACCGCTGGGTACTCCATATTATGGCATAAGTCCAACATCCTCCGCGGAACCAGATGGGGCTCCTTATTCTTACCACGACGCGGGATACTCATTTCCTTCTGGTCAGAATGATTCCGAGGCTCCGCAAGAGAAAAGTATAGCTCCCGACATTCTACCCGAGGGAGTTTCCGATAGTGCCGAAACAGCTCAACCTTCGAACGCAACAACCGTAAGACAGGCTGCAACTAGTGACCCACAGAATCAAGATGCTGATTCGAAATCTGATGCATCTTTCGACCCCCTGTTCGATGATGAACCGGATGCTGATGGAGAACCGGACAACGACAGTGTCAAACTAGAAGGGAGTGTAGCGCGTGACCAACTTCCACAGAAAGACTCAACGATGAACCCTGCAAGTGTCCCACCGAATTCTAACATAACGGGAGCAAATCCTGTCAATAATTTGCATCCGCCATCGCAGACAATGGGACGGACATCTACGGTATCAGCTGCGCCTCCAAAAAATGCGCCTCCTGCGTTTGATCCCTCGATGTCCGCTACGTTCTCTCCGGACATACTCATGACTGCGGCGATTAACGGGCAGATCTTACTGTGGGACAGAAGGGTAAACTCAGCAGGACAAGGGGTAGGGAGATTGTGGAACCATGAAGCTCCACCCTGGTGTGTCTCAGTAAGTTTGTCTAATTACTTTTCATTGTATTAGATGACATAGCAATATATACGTAGGCGTGTTGGTCTACCGATGGTTCTCAGATCTATATTGGTAGACGTAAAGCAACATTGGATGTATGGGATATTCGGCAGTTAGGTCGATCTGGGCCTGCTGGCACCCCAAGGCTTTTAAAGACGTTACGAAATCCTCCCAGCTCAGGGGCAGTCTCCTGTGTCGTACCTTTTCCGGACGGGCGTCACATCGCCTGGTGAGTTAGGTCACGCTCGAGAATAAAATCATTGGACTTGGTTGAACACATTGGCCCAATTAGTGCATCGTCAGACAACATTCGATTATGGAATGCAGCTGAAGCTGGCGAAAGCGAAGGCATTGGGAAATCGAAGAGTGGCGTCCAATTCAAAATCATACCTGGGCATCATGGGGGGTTTGTGTCACAGATGGGTGAGTGGTTAATTTCACGCTTGGATGTGGATAAAGTGGAGGTGACGGTGTGTTTGTTGTTGAAGTTGTAGATCCGGGAGCTCGTTTCCTGGTGAGTGCGAGCAGCAATCGGGGATGGCACGGTGAATCTACTCGAACGGTGTTTGTACACGACATCAAGGCGGTTCAATAGAAATGTCTGTTGTGTCATGGCGTGTATGGAATGGCATCACGCGCTGGGCTGAAGTGCACAAATGCAGAGGTCATATAGCCAACCATGGGACGCGCTTTGAGTAAGATTAGAATTGTACTATTTCAAATGCAGGCAGATCTGGCAGTAGATCCCACGGTATAGCCGCAACTTAATACAAACGTTGTATGCACATGGGCAAGTCGTTATAGCCTCTCGTTACGAATAGTAAGAATATAAGAAGAACTTGGGCCTAGCTGACAGCACTATGTGATCTGCTTGGCCCTGGCTTCACAGCTCATGCGTCTCAACTACCCAGTCGTATTCCCCCTCAACCAGATAACATACGTCGGTGAAGATGACTCCCGTTTTTTCTGCCACCTCCATGGCAGAAAATTCAATGTCCTTAACACCCGTTATATGCTTCCCTCAGATGAAGAGGAAGTCAGAGTAAGCAAAAATTCCTTTTCGTTCAGGAATCAGAAATCCATCTCTCGCTCTGTAGCGCTCTGAGCTCCACCATCGAATGCTCCAGTTCCTCTTCAATGGGAACAACTACGTCGGTCCCGTAAAAGATGTCCTCAGCGGAACTGCCAGAGAGGCCAGCGGCGGCGCTCCCGAGCGTCGTCGAGTCCTCGACCTAGGCACTGGCGGTGGGTTCTGGTGAGTGTTTTTCTGGCATGTTCCACGAGCTCATGTGAATTTGATGTCTTCTGGGAAATTGAAACGTAAAGGGCTATTGACATCGCTGACGAATTCCCTGAAGCGGAGGTAATTGGAGTTGATCTCGCTCCCATCCAGCCGAGGTAAGTAAGCAGCCAGTATGTGTGCACGACAGCGATACTGAGATATCCTTCTAGAGAGGTCCCGGAAAACTGCACGTACGTCTTCATCCATCGACGTTCTTACCGCACACTCTTGATAGCGTAGCTTCGAGCTTTGTGACTTAGATCAATGGCATCTGCCATATCCCAATGAACATTTCGACATCGTTCATGCTAGGTTTATGCACACGGGAGTAAGTGCATGTTACTGCCTCTGTTCCATCTGTGCTCTCAGCACTTGAGTTTCGCAGATCGAGCATTATCCCCGATTCCTCCACGAAATCGCCCGCATGCTCCGCCCAGGAGGTCTCGTCGTCCTGATCGAACCAGATACTGAGCCTATTGCAGATGGAAAAACTGCTTCTGAATACGCTCGCTCAGGCCACCCTTCCGGAATGCGTGGATGGTTCACATTGTGGGAAAGCTACCGACAGTGTCTGCGTGACAAAGGCATCGACATCAATGTCCCCCGAGAACTTGCTTATCACCTTTCTGGAACGGGCGCGTTTGAACGCGTTGTGTCACAGGAAGGCAACATACCCATTGGATTTTGGCCTAAAGGTTGGCATTCATTTTTTTTCCCCCATAAAATTTCCAATTTATTCTGACATTGTCTTACATTAGATCCTGTTGCACTGAGCATTGGACAGTTGGCATGGATGGACTTCGACATCTTGCTTCCAGCTATGAAACCACTTTTCATTGCTTCAGGCATGCGCGAATGGGAGGCCAAGAAACTAATTGAGGACGCTCATCAGGACCTTTACTATCCCCTTGTCAGAGCTTCGAACCGACTGCATATCGTTCATGCGTTTAAAAAACCTTGAGTTCTAACTGTTTGTTTACGATCTGTCATGAATTACGGTCTAAAATGTACTATTTGAACTTGTAAAAGTATGATATCGTAGAGCCTCACGTTGGAGTGTATAATACACAGCATCGCACATCAATATTAGGGATTCTATTGTCGTCTTCTGCATTTGCTGTGCGGTGGCTTTGTGTTTCATTTATGTCAGAAAGCTGCATGACCCTGATCAAACCCACCAGGCTCAACTGTCAAACTTGTGATGGCGATCATGCGACAGATGTGAAAAGCAGTTGTATCAACCTCCGTTCCTTCTAGTACACAGAGGAGCGGCCACCACCAATACCGAAAAGTACAGCACGAAGTACAACCACATAGCACCAGCACATCATCAAGACCAACATGAATCACAAAAGAACGGACGGGTCGATAACTCGCTTCGGAAAAGAAGTCCACTCTCAACCTCCACAAATTTGACCCTTTCTCTCAGCTTGACATCACAGGCTTTTCACACAAGGTTTCAATTAGCGGCCGGAACCTCATCCTTCGTGAAGTCGTGCAATACAGCCAAAGCCTCGTTGACTTTCCCAGCCATTGAATCAGGTGACTCCAAAAGGTGAAGAAGTTCTGCATTATCCATTTCCAGGAGCATCCCCGTGATCTTCCCGGCCAACTCCGGCTGTGCGCTGCATTATTACGATACTATCAGTATGAATCAAATAGAAAAACCATGCGATGCTCACGGAGCGATCTTCATGTAGATGACCTCGCCAAGCATCTGCTTCTGCTCCATGGGAGAAGCATTTGCAAGAGCGCCAGCGGTAAGCGTAGGCACTTCAGATTGGGTAGCAGGGGCCTGTGCCGGCGATGTTTGGCCTACAGGGGGTGCACCGGCATTACGAGTCTGGGGATTGAGTTTGTATCCTTGTGGGGGGCGATTACCCGGAGCAGGTGCACCCGCAGGAGGAGGGCGATTGGGGGGCACAGATCCCTGCGGAGCTCCACCACGAGCAGCTGCACCGTTAACCGATGGAGGAGCATTAGCACGAGGTATCGGCGCATTCGGATTTGTTGGCGAAGAACCTGGTCCACGAGCAACAGGGGGACGAGGGGCACCACCACGAGGATAGCCAGGCATGCCGCCGTAACTTTGAGGAGGCTGACCGTAAGGAGGAATGGGCATGCCCCCAGGAACCTGACCATTGCCTGCAGGGTAGCGAGGGCGAGGTGGAAGCATACCTGGCTGGCCGTACCCCATCATGTTGCGGCCTTGGGGAGGGAAGCTGCCAGGACCAGGTGGATAGTACATAGGACCGTTGATGTAGCCGCCAGGTATACCAGCTGCCGCTGCCTGTTGCATGCGAATCTGGTTGCGTTGGGCGATTTGGCTCTCTAACTGTTGCCTACGGACCTCACGGCGTTGGGCGAGAGAGACGTACAATGGCTTGGAACCAATCATCTTGTTGTTCATTTCGGCAACTGCCTTAGTTGCTTCATCCGGGGATGAGAAACAAACAAACCCAAAACCTTTTGACGTGCTTTTGTCATCGCGCATAACTTTGCAACTCGTGATCGTGCCAAATGGCTCAAATTCGGCACGGAGTTTCTCGTCATCAACGTCATCCTCTAGGTTTTTTATGTAAAGGTTGACGCCTTGGTATTTGCTGAGCTTTTCCATTTTCGCCTGTTCGTAAGATCTGCGGAGTTCCTCTTCGCGCTCGGCCTTCTTCTGGGCTCGAGAAACGAAAAGTTTCTTTCCCCTGATGTCAGTGTCGTGAAGGGCGTCGACGGCGCTCTGGGCTTCTTCGTGGTGTTCATAGTTAACGAAACCAAAGCCCTTGCTATTTCCCTCTTCATCAACCTGAACTATAGCCGAAGTGACATTGCCGTATTTCTGGAACATCTCCTCAAATTCGTCCTGGGTGACAGAGGTATCGAGATTTTTGATGTATAAGTTGGTAAATTGAGCTTTCATTTCGTCAAGTTTGGATTGGCGCTCCTATTGAATATATATTTTCATCACCTTGTAAGAATAAAGCGCATATATGAACTCACCTTGCGAGATATATGGTACCCAACATATACTTTCTTGTCGTTCAACAACATGCCATTGACAGCTTTGATGGCAGTCTCAGCGGCTTCTCCGGTCTCGTAATGAACGAAACCGTAACCCTTCGAACGACCATGCTCATCAGTGGCAACTTTGCAGGACAACACATTTCCGAAAGCGGCAAACGTATCATGAAGAGCCTACAGGTATTGGTTAGATGTGGTTAGATGCTAGCAAACGTGGTACATGCTTTGTTGTCAATTTGCTCGTCGAGATTTTTAATGAAAATGTTGCCTTGGCCGGTCTTGCGTAAAGCGGGGTCACGCTGCGACCACATGATTCGGCTGAAGGCAATTAACGAGGTGAGTGAATATTTCTAACAGAATCACAAAACGGATATTACCAAGCGCGGTTCTTGATTAACGAGTAGTTGAGCTGCTCTAGTGCACGCTCACCTGATAATCAGGATTTAGTATTTAAAAAAAACACCCTGCTTCTAGCTCGACTTACCATCACTGGTGTTAAGATAGTTGACATATGCATAACCGAGCGAACGACGTGTAACAGCATCACGGCAAACACGGATGCTTCATATACCTCAGTCTACATTCCCCCATTAACAAAACCTGTAGGACAAACATACCTTGCAACAGGGCCGATCATGTTGAATATCTCGAAAAGCATGGCCTCGGTGACCGTCGGGTCAAGTTCACCAACATAAAGGGAAGCGGAAGGAGAAGATGTCACCGAACTCTGAGTGGTCGGAGGGTTGTAAGAGGGCGCGGGGGCTGCAGGAGCAACGGCAGGAGCCTCGGCCTGAACCGGGGGGGTGGTCTCTTGGACAGAAGGAGAAGACATTTTATTGGGATTTTCTGGTATGGGTGGTCGTTACTACTTTGTGGACTTTTCTGCGACTGAAAATTTTTGTCATCTTAGATTGACCCGGTGGCAAATTGATAACACTAGGCAGACGCACACAGGAGGTGACAAGGCAACCGCTTTTATAGGGAGTTTTTTTATGTATTTTTAAAGCTTTTGGCTATGTTCAGTGAATCTTTCAGTAAAACTAAGCAAAAGTAGACGAGACGAGCAGCACTGACCTTTTAAGATGGTGGTTGTAGAAAAACAGCGCAGCCGGCCCAAAGGAGGTTATCCAACCATTGAAACTCCGAACATGCAAAACAGGAACAAAAAAACACAAGGAATTATACATAATGTCGGGTGTCACAGGAGTGCCACTAACAGTTTTCTATTGTTCATCGCGACGCAGCGTATTACATGTTATACGTGGTCATTATTGGTTACAGCATCACTAACACTGTACATTAAGCACACGAAATTGTTCCTGTAGTACGAACAAACATCATTTTCAGCCTCGCGTGAAATACGCTTTGGCGCCATGAGAAGCCAGCTCAGTCTTTGCCTTTTGCAAATTGGTCAGTTGAGGCTGGTCAAGATATGACTGTAATTTACCTGTTCCATGGTATGCCCGGCAGCATTGTGGTGAGACCAAATCTGAACATACCGCGAGTTAGTGATTCGGGGGCCACGAAACAATGAAATAATTTCACCTGACGATAGTAAAAACCGCTGCCTGCTCCTTGTAATACCCAACCGATTGTAGCGATCAAGCCGAGAACGCCTGCAGCAATATGCCCTCCTGAGAACATCTGGATTGTTTGTATCAACCCTGCAGAGCCAGTGCTGGGGATGCCAATAATCCTGTAATAATGGCAAGTCAACCTTCGTGTTGCATGTATTGAGAATGGCTCATGAGTCTCACATATAAATACTGAATAAAAGATGCCAGCCACCGAAGAAGAAATAGAGGTCTAAGGTTACTCTGTGAGTTGTGTCCATGGAATGTTAAAAAAAAATACAAAGACTGACAATAATATAAGGCTTGCTCCTGATTATTCAGGTCAGTGTGTTACAATTACTTCTCAAAAGAACAGATTTACCTTCATATATCCATTGTATATTGGTCTAGGAAGAAAATGGTGAATACAACGTGAAGGGGAAGGAGTGTACGTCAAACAGTTACCTATACCACAACAAGAAAGACAGTGGAGCGATTACGAACATGTACCTATATTTTTCATGAAGGACACGACAATATACAGAATTAATAAAAACGGACCCTATGCTCGCCCCCAAGTCCTTACCTCCATCACTTGAACCGGAAGTGAGAAGGAAGATACAAGCTACCATGTTGATGACGAGCGTTCCCATGAGGACCAGCCATAATTGATAGAGACGAGTTATCAATGGTTTTGACGCTTCTGGAATTTCTTCCTGGATTGAATGGAATATGAGGGGATAAACTGAAATAAGGACTAGAGTCAGCCAAAGTCGAGGGGAGAAGACAGATTCATTGACATGGTGGCCAGTTGTTTCGGCCGTGAACTCTGACGTGTTCGGCTCTTTGATTCAGTTCCTGCTCTCGTCTTTCCAAGTCGCGTTCTCGTCTGCTCAGTTCTTCGAGGTGTGCAGAATTCACCGTTTGCTGCGGAATGGGGTCATCGAAAGGATTCGTGTCGAGAGAATGTGTGGAAGCAAAAGGATTCTGGGTTATGTCACCTTGGGGAAATTAAAAGGATGAGAATATGACAGAGAAGAAGACCTGTCTTGGGGCACATACTCATGGTGGCGTTATGAACTGAAAGGTCGTTACTGGATCGTATTTGCGGTGGTGAAGAGTAGTAACTACCGAGTAGGGCAATCGTTCGAGACAGTCGGGTGTTGCCGAACTAGCCTTCGGGGTCGTTGCCCCGGCGGTACTGGCACGTTTTTCTGCGTTGTACGCAGCTGCACCGCAGTGAAGATATGGTGGCACGGGCAGGGCAGTGTCGATGGCCGTGGCCTGGGCGCAATGTCTGAACACATGGCCCAAGAGGCCCAAGCCTTTGTACTTTCTTTGAGACTGAGCTGGGTTCCAAGACACAATGATCACGGTTACCTTTGTCTGGCACTGACTGGCAGACAGTCTCACTCTTGGGCGCCTAGTTAATGGACGGCCAGCGGATCTATCAACTTTATCGATGGGCCGGGCAACAAAAAAAACATGCGAAAAAAGGCAATGAAAATGCTAAATCGCCGACTCGTTCCTGGCATGAAGCTTGTACAAATCATACTTTATTGACGGTTGCCAGCAAGGAGGCTCTGACAACGTTTCGAACTTATCACTGCCTGATCTGCTACGACGGTGATAATAAGGAAGCATTAATTGTGAGTTGCCCTTGAACGTTTGCGTGCGGCATTGGACGACCGCTGGTCTGTGTCCTCGTGTGTGTGGCGTGGTAACCCATACCCTTTTCGTCAATATAAGTAAGATGCTCCTCGCCATTGTAATTTCCGTTCTTTGTGCCCTGTTTTCTTTTCAAGTTTTCTCCCGTCCGCTCAACCTCTCCTCGCGTTTAATCACGGTAAGCAACTCCTCATGTTATTTTCTCGCTTCTTTGACATCCCCCCTGCAATTTAGCACGCCCTCCTCCCGTCACTCTTTGTGTCATTCCCTTAAATACTTGACTTCCTAGTCAACACACTCTCTCAACCCCACGCACAACACCCCCACATCTCTCATCCCTTTCACTCTTTCAGTCATGTTCGGTGCTCTCCCAGTCCTCTCTTTGGCTCTCGCTGCTTTCTCCGCTGTCTCCGCTCGTGTTGTTCCTCGCGCAAACCCCCCTGCTGGTTGGGACACCAGTTATCTCGAGGTAATTTCTGATAATCGCGTGTCTCTTATGATAAGTGTTTCTGATCTTTTTCACTCAGCCATACGACAACTATCATTGTCGCTATCTCGCTGTTGGCTGTGACACTCAACATGGCACGTCGTTCTTTGATCAGTGTTGCCATCCTTTGTTGGCAAGTGTACTTCTTTGTTCGTATCTTTCTACCATCTCATCATTACCATATAGGCGACCGAGTCCGCCTCCTCTCTCCCTTCGCAGTGCCAGCTCCCTTCCGGTGTCACTTGTTCCAACGGCGAACCTGTAACTGCCTCGGACGATGGCGACTGCACTGAGGGACCGTCGTCAACACCTTCCCAGCCTGCGCCTGCGCCTACAACTTCCTCAGCACCCGTGAACGTTGCCCCGGTTCCTTCTGTCACCCCTACTTCTACTTTCACCCCTACTTCTACCTTCACTCCTACCACTTCGAGTGCCCAGCCTCCCGCTAGTCCGACTTCGGGTAGTGGGTCTTCCAGTGATTTGGTGACAGGTGGATTGTAAGTGTTCCGAATTTCTTTGATCGCATTCCTCGGGACTTACGAAATTTTATAGCGCAACGTTCTTTTACCAAGATGGTACTGCCGGTGCCTGCGGCAACTACAACCCAGACAGTGCATTGATTGCTGCCATTGGTCAGTATTATTTATAGTTGTTGATTAAATCCTGTTTGACGTTATTTTGTTCAGACCAAGACCGTTACGGCGACTCTGGCGCTGTGTCTCCGCTCTGCGGTCAGCAAATTCAGATCACCAACACTCAAAACGGCCAGTCCGTTACCGTGACTGTTGCAGACGACTGTCCTACGTGTGAAAACGGGAACTCCATCGATCTTTCTGTGGGTGCCTTCCAACAACTCGCCGACCTGAATACGGGTATGGTCCCGAGTACGTCTCCCATCTCCACGAGCTTGTTATGGTTCTAATTTATCTCTTTCCGCACAGTTACTTGGAAATTCCTCAACTAGATTGCATTGCCTCTTCCTTGATTTGTTTCATTTTCTTTCCCCGCCGTTGCACATTGATGTGTGGTTTTGTTGCGAGTCAACCCCGTTGTTTTTTCTTGTTGGCATCTTTGGCGTCTGCGGCTTGAAGTTACGAGAGAGGCCCTGAGGGCAATAGATCTTTACGATTTCCTGGTGGTCCGTCGACGCCAACGCCAACTATACGTTTCATCGGCATTTACATTACTTTTTTTGTGCCTTCTTTATATGGGTATTATGGTTGTGTTTATAGCGCGCTGTCAGTTCCATTTCAGTTAGATAGCTAGCTACTTTTTGTCATGGGTGTAGGTCGTGCAATCAATAGATGAACGCTGTGCGAACTATCCCGAGTCCGAGTATACGGTAATTAACTACGAGAGAAGTTCGACATGAGAAAATAGACTGTTCCTACAAATGTTTAAATCGTAATCCGTACAATGTACATGCTCGTAAAAATGTCTAAACGTCTTTGCAGTCCGATAAACTCTGAATCATGATGTAACTGATCTTTCCTAGCTGTTTCCAAGTTCTAAACTATAAATTATATATGAACCAAGCACTATCGTTGCCAAGCCCTGCGGGTTCGTCTTCCCTTGACATCGTCTCCTGCTTCTTTACTTTGAGCTGATTTTGTCGCCAAAGGTAGGCCAGATTGAGTGCGCAAAACACAATCATGCCCACCGACATAATTACAAAGGTGATAGTAGCTTTGTGGTAATTAGGTGCAGGTGATAAGGAACCCAGGAGCCAGGTGGCGAGGATACCACCCGAGTTGGTCATGATGAAGCCGATTGCCACAGAAGTTGCTCGCCTGACGTGTGGAGCACTGTTGTTAGTTATCCATGTTGACATCGCGGGAGCTGCACAGTAGGTTCCGGTGATTGATAGAAAGAGAGACCCGTAACGAATATGATTAGATTGGCTGCCTGCATATTCGGAGCCTAATTAGAAGATCATCACAGCGTCTATCGGACTTGGATCGCCTACCGAGGAACATTGAAAAACCAATAAGACAGCATAAAGAAAAGAATATAGACGTATATCCACGGCAGTGATATCTGTCGGAGATGACGGCAGACACCATAGAACCTGCACAAGACGTGCACAGTTAGTCGCGGGGCGGGTTCACAGAGATCATTACATACAAACGAAAGCAGCGGCAAAGGGAGGAACACTCATCAGTTGAGCACGTGTAGAAGTATACCCAAGTCCTTCCACGATAGTGGGAGCAAAACTAGACAGGTCTCGTTAAGATAGCACAGTTACTGTATATGGAGACGTCACTCACTAAGCGAGTCCATAAAGAGTTGTCCCTATATTTGTGGGCTTACTCAATGGCATATTTCAAAGGTAGCTTTGTAACTTACCATTAAAGAAAAGAGCGACTGCGAGAAGCCCAACATGGGGCTGCTTGAATGATCTTCCGACTTCTGCCCAACTAAAGCGGTCCGCGCTATCGTCACCTGAAACGGCACCATCGCGCCTTAGCCTGGCTAAAACATAAGCTCGCTCTTGTTCAGTGAAGAAGCGTGCTTTCTGCGGAGACCGCGGTAGAACAAAGAACGCAATCAATCCAAAAAGGAACGTAAAGATGCCTTCCTGCAAATTATCAAATTAATTGTGGAACCAAGTAATATGGTCTGATTTTAATTACGAGGATAAAGATCCATGCCCAACCAGGTTTTCCTCCCTTTCCGTTGATATCCATGATGGCGGCGGCGAGTAAACCTGAGAAAGCACCTGACAGGGAGGCAGATGCGAAGAATGTAGCCACTCTATAAACAACAACATTAAAAACAGAACTACCAGGATGGTCACATAGTAGGGACGTACCTTATTTGCAGTCTTTCTCTTGGATAAAAGAAAGACAGGTACAGCACCAGTCCGGGGAATAGGCCACCTACCAGCCATAATCATCAGTAAAGTTCTGATTCCCGCGGTAATTTCAGGCACCTTCCATGAGACCGAGGAAGAATCGACAAGCAAGCAGGCCAGAGTAATTGTGAACAACACCTGAATTGGATATTACATGTGGGTAGGCATATTCCTGCCAAATAAGCTGAAAATATACCTTGTAGGGTGGAAACGATGCCCCAAAGTGCTACCATTGCGGGCAGCATGAGATCCGGTCCAACGTACTATAGTGGCATCAATACATGGTCCAGCAGAGATACATCACGCAGGAAAAGGTACCTTGAGAAGTAGGTTTGAAGGAAACTCTGCTACGATATATGGCCTTTGGGATCGTGTAAATATTAGGCTAGTAATGCAGTTGCTGTAACTCACACGTATGTGACTGTCAGAGCAACACTATACTGGAGTTTAGATTGAGTGGTTAGCTATTTGTTGACTTTAGCCACATCAAGGTAGCACACCTCATAGTTTGACATTTTCAAGTCTACCTGCATACCCGCAACCCGAGCATTGGAGACATTGCTACGATCCTGCGGAGTCGGACGGCGTTAGAATTCGGAAATACGTATGACTGGAGCATTGCCCTACGGCCCAAGTTCATGAACTCACCAGGAAAGACAACAGGTAGAATACCGTGCATATTGGCAGCACCCATCTATCTAATTTTCTCCAGACTGTGCCTTCGAGAGCAGCTACATCAGCTTCAGAAAACTCGTAGTCCTTGAGTTCATGATCTCCGTCGCCCTTCATTGTGTGAACTGGGGACGGCGAGCCCTTGAGAGTGTCATCCATCTTGGAGATGGGGATCGTGACAACGAGGCGAGGTTGAGATGCTGATGACTGAACCGATAAAAAAGGGTTTTGTGAAGGTCACGACCTCGAACACTTTATGTACTCACGGTTATCTAACCAACAACGACATCTGGCACTCACGAACACTCACGGCATCGTAAATATCCTGCCTGAATTCATTCCGAATCAGTGACCATCAATTCGAAGTTTGCCTGTCACCACGTGCATGCTGAAGGCACACTGAAAATGCGGGAACAGTACCAAACAACCGCCCCGGGATTAGTGATCTGCGTGCCAACGAAGGAGTCCCCATTTCTATTTAAATTTGGGACCGTGATTGACAACGTCTCGAGCATTCATTAATATTCATGAACAGTGCTCGTCTCATAGCTGGAAGCTGGAGATAAGTTCAGCATATTCCATGAAAATACAGTGACTGGATAATCACATGATCTCAGTCTGACTTGCACTCATGACTGGGCATCTAATATTTATCGGAGTGTCAAATTTACACCCGGCATTTTTGCGGGAGTTTGGGAAGGACACACCGGTGTTTAGGAGTGCACAGCAGCAGAATTAAAACAACGCAGAACCCGTTAGCTCTCTAACCTGTTTCTCCCGACATAGATTACCAACCGTATTTACCCACTGACCAGGCCCACTTACACTTCACCGCGGCACCACAGCGGACGGACGAGCCTGGTAAGGCAAAGGGTACCTAGCTTTACTTGTACATAGCATCTTTGCGGCATGTGGCTGAGGAAACTCAGCGTACTTTGTTCTGCCTTGAGTTAATTTGCTCAGCCTCTGCGCCATCGTTCCGAGGATCATGATCACAATTAAAGGGTTTGGCAAAACAATCAAGCAGGACTGATATAACAATCAAAGGGCGTGCAGACTTCGGGCCCCTGCGCATACGTACATGATCGTGAGAACATATGAGATAAGCTGTATAGTCGAAAGCCACCGCCAGTTGCTAGTGTATTCGCCACTGCAACACGTCCGAGCCTTACCTCAAGATTTCCGATGGCGCCCTCCACCACGTATGTTCTTGCGTTTTATGATGATTGATTGAGTGCTGATTGTAATACTAGCGTCCCCACAGTTTCGGTCAGTTAATCGCATTTTTGGTTATTTTATGCGTGACAACAGGCACTAAGACGATCTTCGCACATAGGACATTGAAGTGCCCGAGACTTTCCTCAAAAAACGCAAGCAAAACGAGAAGGCCCGGGAAGAGCGCATTGTCGCCGCGACTGCAGCACGCAAGGTGATTATCTTGTCTCGCAAATTGCTTTTGATTTTAGTATATGATGATATTACGCATTTTGTGGGCTAATTGGGATTTTCTTAATTATGATGCCTCAAATAACCATCTTTCGGGACTGACCTTTTCTTTGCATTATCATGCTCGTTTGGTCTTAAAACTGAAGCTCACGATTTTGACTTCTCTTATAGGCTGCCAAGGCTAAACGAAAAGTCATTTTCAAGCGGGCTGAGAGCTATGTGAAGGAGTACCTTACAAAAGAGAAGGAGGAGATCCGGCTGAAGAGAGCTGCACGGACAGCTGGCGATTTCTATGTCCCTGCTCAACCTAAAGTTTACTTTGTCATTCGTATTCGTGGGTATGTGTCGATTTTTCTTCAGTGCTATGACATGGTTAACGTTGGATTGTAGTATTAACGAGATCGCCCCAAAACCCCGTAAAATCCTTCAGCTCCTCCGTCTTCTTCAAATCAACAACGGTGTCTTTGTCAAGGTCACCAAGGCGACTCAACAGATGCTTCGTCTAGTGGAACCATACATTACCTACGGGTGAGTGCATAGGTTCCATCACATTATAATTTTTTCCCCTCTAAGATGATGTATTTAGCGAGCCTAACTTGAAGTCTGTTCGTGAACTGATCTACAAGCGTGGTTACGGCAAAGTTAGCAAGCAACGCATTCCTCTCACGAATAACGGCATCATCGAACAGACGCTTGGCAAATACGACATCCTCTCAGTAGAGGACCTCGTACATGAAATCATCAACGCTGGACCCAACTTCAAACAGGTCGGTGATTCTGTGTTTAGTGGTTGCAAACTGATCTAAAAAACGTGTTCATATAGGCTTCGAACTTCCTATGGCCGTTCAAGCTTTCTAACCCTACTGGTGGCTGGAGGATCCGCAAGTTCAAGCACTACGTCCAGGGTGGTGACTTTGGTGACCGAGAAACCAACATCAACAAGTTGATCCGGCAAATGAATTGATCATTCAATGCTTTGTTATCAGGGGGCACGGTCTCGCCAGCGGTGTCTAGTCGGATGGAGAAAATGTGCGGATGGAGGGTTTTATGCGTGCCTTTTATGCTTATGACTTTTCGCATGGCATGGAATAATTTGTTTTTCCCCTTTGCCTTGTATGCACCATATGACAAGCGCTTCCGAAGAGTACCATGTTGTGTTTTGAGGACCTGATTCGTGCCTGGCGTACTGCAGACACTAAAGTACTGCCGATTCGACTGCTGGATTTCTCACCGGCTGATAAACGTTGTCAAGAATGAGCATTGCACTTTAAGTAGGCGAATGTTGTGCAGTTGGTTCACACAGACGGCCGCCCCAGCCAGCTTTGGGAGAAAACTGGTGAAAAGTGCTGAGATTGGGACATAACTGGACAATATTTATGGATTTGGAACTCCGCATGACCTATATTGCCAGGTGTCACGATGACCATTATTAGTCGTCGATCGGCGGGACAAGCTGGGGTATATAATTGAGGAAATTGGAAAAAGCACACGACGCGCATACACGCAAAAGAATATTGGCAACAATTGCCGGGTACCCGTGGAATCAGCGAGCTGATATCTTTATGTAAAGTGTTCACCTGCTCTCTCATCACCACCGTCCCTTCTACGCCTGCAATCTTGAATCCTTGCTGCTACCATGCGGGTCTTCAAGCCCACAGCAGCGAGCCAGATGGCCTACCACCGTGGCCTGGGGCTGCTGTCTAACGTCGCTGCTACGGGCAGATCAGTCGGTTGTCATCGCATTCTGACACCAAGAGCATCGATCGCAAAGCAATCCAACCGTATTTATGGCCTGCGCTCCTTGCACACGTCCTTACCTCGTCGGGAAGTAGCTCAAACCACGGATGCTGAAGCAAAGAAAGATCCTGGTATGTCCAATCGAACATATACCCTACAAGCCCTGCATATATCTCGTTGATCACATGGCACGCAGGTACCCCTTACTCTTCTTTGGTCGTCGGTGTGCCACGAGAAATATATCCCAACGAACGACGAGTCTCGTTAACCCCGCAGAATGTGGCGCTTCTTCGAAAGAAGGGTTTCGAGAAGGTATTCATCGAAAGTAATGCTGGCGCACAAGCACAGTTCTTGGACGAAGACTACACTGCAGCAGGCGCAACTATCGTGTCTCGAGAAGAGCTATATACCAACACTGATATTATGCTTAAAGTTCGACCTCCAGTAAACGAAGAAGAGGCCACACAAGTCAAACAAAACAGCACCATCATCTCTTTCTTATACCCGGCCCAGAATAAATCTATTGTACAGGCATTGGCATCGCGTAAAGTTAACGCGTTTGCCATGGACATGATTCCTCGTATTTCTCGTGCACAGACTTTTGACGCGTTGAGGTGATCCAGTCATGTAATCTCCAAGCCCTGAATTTGTAGTGACGATCGTTTCCCACTAGTTCAATGGCCAACATCGCTGGTTATAAAGCTGTTCTAGAAGCATCAAATCACTTTGGCAGATTCCTTACAGGTCAGGTTACAGCAGCTGGGTGAGTTTTCCAATCCTACAAATGGCTTATTGGGTCCATAGTACTCAATCTTTTTTTCCATCAGAAAGGTACAAATGAAGTTATCTCACGTCTGATGGAATGCTTATTTGCAAAAAGATACCTCCAGGAAAGGTTCTTGTTATTGGCGCTGGTGTTGCAGGTCTTAGCGCAATTGCCACTGTAAGCATAGTTTATATAAAACCCTCGATATATCCATTGACATATATGATTCAGGCCCGTCGAATGGGTGCTATCGTGCGTGGATTCGATACAAGATCCGCAGCTCGTGAGCAGGTCCAGTCGCTTGGTGCAGAGTTCCTCGAAGTATCTATTCAAGAAGAGGGAGGAGGCGCCGGTGGCTATGCTCGCGAAATGTCCAAGGAATTTATCGATGCGGAAATGGCACTTTTCATGGAACAATGCAAGGATGTGGACATCGTCATTACCACGGTATGCGCACGAATGTCCCATTCTTACCAATTGCACAGCATCTCACGAGAGCTCACCCCTAGGCTCTTATTCCGGGTAGACCAGCGCCTAAATTGATTAAACACGAGGCTAGTCACTGTCAGGGGTTCTCGAGATTGCTCAGCTAACAATAGATATACAGATGATTTCTGCTATGAAGCAAGGATCGGTCGTCGTTGATGTGCGTTCTTCATATTATATAGCTAAACATAAACCTTAGCATGCATTTGCTTTTGCTTTTGCATCGATATAGTTGGCTGCTGAAGCCGGTGGAAATTGCGAAGCTACAATTCCAGGAGAGCTGGTGGTTGATCGCGGTGTTACAGTCATTGGTTAGTGATAGGTATTTGTAATCCAGCATTCAATACTGATACTGAGATGTAGGTTATACTGACCTTCCTTCAAGGCTTCCTACCCAGTCATCTACGCTTTACTCCAACAACATTACGAAGTTCCTATTGTCTATGGGAGAGGATAAACATTTCTCCATAAACTTGACTGATGAAGTAGTTCGTGGATCTATCGTTGTTCATAATGGCGACCTTTTGCCACCTGCACCGCGTCCAGCTCCTCCTCCGACCATGACACCAACAACGCCGGCCAAACTGGAAGAGGCAGCAGCCGTTGTTGCGATAACGCCATGGCAAAAGGCCTCACGTGAAGTGGCTACCGTTACCGCTAGCATGGGATCAGTCATCGCGCTTGGAAAGTTGACTGGTACAGCATTCATGGCGAACTTTTTCACTTTCGGCCTTGCTGGATTGGTAGGCTATCGCGTCGTATGGGGCGTAGCACCTGCTTTGCACTCCCCATTGATGTCTGTCACCAATGCTATTTCAGGTATAGTTTCTATGATATTATATTATGACTTGTGACATTGACATCTTATTAGGCATGGTTGGAATCGGTGGTCTGTTTGTCATGGGAGGAGGGTATTTTCCAGGAACTGTCCCTCAGGTTTTAGGTGCTCTGTCTGTATTGCTAGCAAGTGTAAACGTAGCAGGAGGTTTTGTCATCACAAAGCGAATGCTAGACATGTTCAAGAGTCAGCCACTTGTTTCTTATGTTCTATCAATTCTCATTTGTTTTCCCAGGACCCACTGACCCTCCCGAGTACTCCTGGCTTTATGCGGTGCCCGCTGTTGTGTTCACAGGGGGTTTCTTGGCCGCCGCAAGTACAGGCATGGCAGGCCTCGTGCAAGCAGGATACCTGACAAGCAGTATACTATGTATAGGTTTGTTGGTCTGCCACGACTTGCTGATAAACCACGACTTACGTTCTTGGTCTCAGGGTCTCTCTCGGGTCTTGCCTCGCAGACAACTGCTCGTCAGGGTAATGCATTGGGAATATTGGGTGTTGGATCTGGTATTCTTGCTTCATTGGCAGCTGTAGGCTTTCCTCCTGCTGTTCTGGTACAATTTGCGGGTGTCTCGGCAGTCGGGGCCACAATTGGTTCCATCATTGGGAGGCGAATTACTGCTACGGAACTTCCGCAGATGGTAGCTGCTCTTCATTCCGTTGTCGGTTTAGCGGCGGTCTTTACTAGTATCGGGAGTGTCATTGCTGATCCTTCACACATTTCTACACTGCACATGGTGACTGCATATTTGGGAGTCTTAATCGGTGAAAAAAATCATTATAGTCCTTGTTGATAGTTCTAATATTGTTCTAGGTGGAATTACGTTTACCGGTTCTATCGTCGCCTTTCTGAAATTGGCCGGACGTATGTCATCAAAACCCTTGATGATGCCTGGGCGACATTTGATCAACGGTTCATTGCTGGGGGCAAATGTGCTTACTATGGCCGGATTTGTTGCTGCCGCCCCGACTGTACCGCTCGTCGCAGCAGGCTATCTAGGTGCAAACGCGATCTTGAGTTTCATTAAGGGATTTACTACCACGGCTGCTATAGGAGGAGCAGACATGCGTGAGCACAGCTCATAATACGTCACTCGAGTTAAACTCAAGTTAGACAACTGCAGCCGTCGTCATTACTGTTCTAAACGCATATTCTGGATTCGCTCTTGTGGCGGAAGGTAAGCTTATTATTTGACGTCTGCCAAGGCGCTGCTAGCTCATGAAATGTGACAGGATTCATGCTCGATAATCCTCTTCTTACCACAGTAGGGTCGCTGATTGGTGTCAGTGGCTCGATTCTGTCATACATTATGGTAACGTTTTCTTAGCCTGCCAAGTATTCCATCAAATGACACTGACTTGTCCGGAAGTGTGTTGCCATGAATAGGTCACTAACGAATGTCCTATTTGGGGGTATCGGCACGGTAGCTCCCTCGGAGACCCGCGAGATGGAAGGGGCAATCACAAAGACGACTGTGGATGACACTGTAGAAGCACTTAACAATGCCGACAATGTGATATTGGTCAGTAAATGATTGTGACGTTCTCAATGTGGGCGCCTCACACTAATTTTTTATTTTCAGGTTGTGGGATATGGCATGGCTGTAGCGAAGGCTCAATATGCTATTTCAGAAATATGCACCATGCTCAAGGCAAAAGGCATCAACGTCCGATTCGCAATACACCCTGTCGCCGGACGCATGCCAGGTCAATGTAACGTACTACTCGCAGAGGCGTCCGTCCCATACGATAGTAAGTTCTCCCAAATCCCTCATGATGTTGCAGAAGTAAACATGGTACTCTCATATCAGTCGTTCTGGAGATGGACGAGATCAACGATGACTTCAAGGATACTGATGTTACGCTTGTGATTGGTGCGAATGACACAGTTAATCCCATCGCATTGGAACCTGGATCTCCCATCGCTGGCATGCCGGTCTTGCAGGCGTGGAAGAGTAAACAAGTGATTGTGATGAAGCGAGGAATGGCTAGTGGATACGGTCAGTGTTTGCTTGCAATGCTACACCATGTGTTATTCACTCAATGTTCCTTTCAGCGGATGTGCCCAACCCCATGTTTTATATGCCGGGCACCAAGATGCTGTTTGGTGATGCGAAAGATAGTTGCGATGGTAAGTCTCCAAAACTTGAAACATTTTATGGGGGTCATGATTACCAACTATCTTACAGCTATCAAGAGAGGTTTGGAAGCTAGGGGATGAACCTCTGCCCGGAGGTGTATATATGTGTAAACTGATCGAGGGACTTTGTAATCACATAGGCCACAGTAAATATTGTAATATATCACGCTGCATATCGTGACTACGCCGAAAGTACAATTAGAGGATTGTGGGCGAATAGGAGATCATGCTTTCTGTATTATGAAAGTTCAAATGGAGGGGAGTAAATATGGGCGAAGAGAGGTCCACAAACTGATCAATAATCGTCCAGGGTCTGTAAGGCAGGTAGGTGTGAGAAGAAAGACTGGAAGCTGAACAAGTCGGAAATGTCTGGTGCTAAGCACAAGGGTAAAATTCCAGGGAACCCCACAAACGACAACAGTCCGGTAAGGCCGAGACTAGATGGTATCCCGTAAGTTACTGGAAAAGTCCATACATCACAAAGGGTAGGTCCATCAGGCCACAATGTCGATCGTAACAAATCGGTATTCGATGTGCTAGCATCAATTCTTGTTTGCGCTACCGAGTGCTTGCCAGACGGGGTTTGTGCTGCGCCCTGGCTGGTTATAAAGCCAAGTAGCGATCAACACGACAACGGACCCCAGGATGAACGTGAATGTGATTTGGAAATCGAAAAGCGCAACAGACGCTAGGAATGAAATGACGATACTAAGACTCGTTGCGAAGCCCTTGAGGATATTATCCGAATACTTGATGACCATGGCAGTCACCAAACCACCGAATACTTGTATAGCCACCGTAGCCCAAGCCCAAGCACCGAAATTGACGAAAAGTGAGCCTAGGATTCCAGAGGTGGAAGAACTTGATAGTACGATGGGAACTAGGGCAGGGAGCAAAGAGAAGGCAGATAGTTGGACGTTGCGTATCCAGAGGTCGGCTTGAGAGTTCTTTAGGACCATCTCAAAGTAAACCCCTGCAAGACCCGAAGTAAAGCATGCGGCCATTACGGCCATAAAGCCTTTAAGGGCATTCATAGAGTTCCCGTGGAACAATAATGAAGACGATGCGTTCGCTATATCACCTCCTGTGGTCTGTATTTGCACGATACCGACTCCAATAGCAAGGAAGAAAAGAGCAAGCCATTGACTGGCGCTGAGCTGCTTGCGTAGGAGGAGCACAGAGAAGGCGGCAGTTGTAAGGATTTTCATTTGATAGCTGACTTGAAACGTCGCTGCTTCTAAATTTGTGGCTGCAATATACTGAAGATTATTTTGAATGACTAGTGAAATGGCTGTTAGATGATGACCATGTAAGCTGCCAAATGACGACCAACCGTATAGAATTGCGGGTATGGACAGTTTCCAACAATCGGCGCTAAACACTTCACGACCTAGTCTGCGGAATCGTAGGAGCACCTTGACGGGATGCCAGAAGCGTACGTTGGTGAGGCTGGGCTGTGGTGCATCCGAAGTATGCGATGTTGCGCGGTCTATGCGGGTAAAAGCGATAGCAAGGGATATCGATCCTTTCAGTACTTCATTTAAAAGGACTGCCGTAGGTGCTGAATAGGATTCAGACGGGGGTATGGAGACGCGGGAATAGTGCATTATGAGCGTTAAAAGAGAGTTCTGGACAGCCAATGTCACAAGACTGATAAGAGGGGCGATGTCAGTTCGCAGTTTACACGTTGCTGGGTGAGCAGAGTAACGATTGAAAGCGATAGAAGGTAGATGAAGTACGCTATGACCGCCTCTTCCACTGGACCGTATTGTCAAGGTCCCTTTGTACGAGGAAGACTAGAACAGCAAATAGATAGCATATAGCCACTTACGAGATGTATTTGAGTTGAATACCGCATAACGAGGGGGGAGGAGGAGTATCTGCTGGCAGCAGGCCTAGTTCCTCGTATTCGATGTCGCTATCGCTGGTTGATTTTGCGGTGAGGGCCATGTCGTCGACGCAGTTGACGATGAGCAGAGGGTGGGGGTATAAGAGAACGTGAGGGGTATCCTGCTCGTATAACAACCAGTTGACAGGCCTAAACTGTATAGCCTGCGAGAAAACAATCCGCAGCTCTCTCTCTGCCCCACCAGTGTTCTTTTGACCATTCCCACGCCTTCCATATTAAGAAATCTACAAAAACAGTCTATAGCTCCACTGGCCTCCGAGCAACAGAAACACATCAGGTTTGTTTCAGTACAAGCGCGCGCCCGATAGCACTTTCTTATGAGAATACATGTATGACTGCGTGCATTATACTCCGATAAGCCTCATTGTTTCGGTGACGAGGCGGCGTGTCAGCCTCTAACCAGGAGTGCCATTATCTCTGCGTCGTATATTTAGGAACGGTGATCATGATGTGGTCGGTATCCTTCTTCGGCATATGAATTTCAATAAACACCTCATTTCAAGGCAAGATGACGGGCATATCAATACAATGTCCACAAACCTAATTAATCATCGTCTTCTGAAGCCCCATTGAGTCCGCTTAGCAGAGACCGTCACCAAGCTTCACATCTCTATCCACCTCCTGATTTGTGGAGACTTGAAGACGACGTTGCTCCACCAGCACAGCGACCGTCATCAGCTTGCCGTCAGACTCGATAATTCGGGATGGAAGTGCGGAAATAATTCCTAGAGTATGACAGACGGATCATATGCATAGGGGAAAGCACATCGGGACGAACAGATAAAAAATGGAGGGGATGGCATGTCGATTAGCGGTTTTCAACTAAAGATTTACTTCTGCGTGGTGGCCATGCTCTCATTCGTCAAGAAAACATTACCAAGACCATGTCGTTTCTTCGCCGTGCTTAGCTCCCTAACATTTGGAAACGATCCGCGTACCAAGGCCTCAAGCTTGGGCCAAATCTCGTCCGAGGTTTCACCTCGCAATGAAACAAGGCGTGTGGCGGAGGAGCTCCCATAATACGAAAGTAGTGGAGAAGTATTCACGTAAAATTGTGTCAGTCTACGTGCAAACACATCCTGTCGTTGTGAAACATGTGGTCAACGTCTAATCATCCAATGAAAGATCGGTACGTACAGGATTATCGTCAGGGCGTTTGATTAATGGTTCGCCGGTCTCGTCATCATAACCGGCAACTTTCGGCCTATTATAAGACAAGTTATACACTCGACCTGAAGATGGGTGTATCCATCGGTCTGTGATACGGCCAAGAATAACATCATCTGGTACATCGAGGTGCACCACCAAACTCAGAGGTGTGTTTCGCTTCCTGTGATATCAATAGTCAGTGCTTTCGTTTACTTGATACTAACAAACTGTACTAACTGAAGATGGGTATCAAGAAGCTTCCCTTGATCTAGAGTGCGAGGAAAGCCGTCCAAAATCCAATGCTAGATTGACTATGAGTTTGAGAGTGATGGTGAAGACGAGTCTCATACCTTGTTATCTAATATATCCAGCTTGCTACTAACCACTTTGAGCATGACGTCGTCAGGGAGAAGACCGCCCTGTGCTACGATACTGTCTGCCAAGCGTCCTACCTCCGTTCTAGATGGAAACGTTCGTGAATAGATTTACCACAAGGTGATGAAGATGGAACAGTACCTATCAGCGATATGCTGCCTTAGCAAATCCCCAGTGGAGAGCGTCAAGATATTGAAGTTCTTAACTAGTCGTGCTGACAAGGTACCTTTGCCAGCACCAGGCTTCCCGAATATCAGCATACGCAAGACTTTTTTCTCGCCATGCTCGTTCGATGAACCCGTGTCCGCTCGAACACTGTTATGGAAGAGGGGGGAAGCCTTCAGACAGCTTGCAGAATGCGAAAACGACCTTGCTGAGCGAGAGGAATAGATTGCAAAGTGAAAGGCACGGGGACAGACATGGAGAGGGACCATAGTGCAATAAACTGGACTGGAGAGGGGTGACTGGTGGGGTATGACTTAAAAACAGGAAAGTATATGTCTTTAAGCACTAGAAGCTGTGAAGTATAGCCCCTCCGCGGATTGGATGAGTCAAGAGCTGGTCGTTCGATTTTCGAATATTGATGGATCAATTCGTGATTTATTGGGGAAACCCAACAAAAAGTCAAAAGTCAAAATAAGAACTGGGGCACGGATATGATATAAAGTCGTCGCAGAGGCAGAAACAGAAGAGACGGCGCCAACAGCCAATGTCGGACGACGTCCTCCAGCGGCGTTAGCGTCGAGAGTATGAACAGCGAACCAAAAGCGCACGCGCGGCTTTATGAAGACGGCCGCATACTCCAGTCACTTTTATTAGTGGCTGTGATCACCTGTCATCCTAATTATGCAATTTTGCTGACATGGATGCGCATATGTTATTCTAGGCGAGTCGAGAACGGGCACTTCACAATGCCTCTTTTAATGTACTCTCCCCCTTCTCTTTCCATCCTATCAGCTCTCTCATTCTGCGTACTCCTACCACACCTTCCACGTCCTTAGAAGGATCAAGAGCAACGCAGACAGCCTCAGCTACATGCTCGACGTGGATTGGTGGAATGGTCAAAGCATTCGCCATAGAATCCAAAGGTGAGGAAGAACCGAATGACGTTGATGACGAAGGGAAAGCAGACCCTAGTGATCTCAGGATGTTTGAAGGCGTTGGGAAACCTGACGGCACGTTCGCATGCAAAGTTGCAGACAGGTCGATAAGAGTAGCAGCTGGTGTTGTCAGAGGTCGTAGATGTGCATGGTAAACCAGACCTGTACCGTAGTCAAGTTCTGTCAGTTAACCTTGTAATGAACATCGAATATCATACTTGGTCTTATGTGCACACTCTTGTAATCTGGTTTTCCCATCATTAGTTGGTCTATTCGCTGCTCTGCCTCGCGTTTGGTTTCAATGTATCGAGCGGAAATTAGAGGTCGAAATATATCTATATCTTCTGCGGAAATGTACACAAATGGACGTGCACCAGTGGTTTCAACTGTCGGTGTACTCGAGACGAAGCTTTCGCAAACACACAGAGCTAGTAATAAATGATGATCAGCATATCCTGTACCAAAAGCATCTAAACGCGACACTACGTACCAGAATCACGATTCAGTACCTCGTAACTGCCTGACTGTCCTTGCTCACTGCCTTGTTCGAGAGGATTCGTTGAACCTGCTATGGACTGGTCTAAGAAAGTCCTCACGAGACCTAATACATCTCCATTCGCCATAGCTGCCTTGTAACGAACATCCTCCAGAAGGGTACCCAAAGTATGGACTACAGCATGGACCTCAGGCAGTATATGCTCGTAAGTCTCTGGTCTTAGTGCATCGGCTTTTTGCCATTCGACCTGGAAGAAAAGGTTTAGAGACGAAGGCGCGTGTTGAGAAAAGCTGGCCGACCCTAGATGCCCAAGCAGGAGTATGGCCTCTTGGTGTTTGGTATGGTCTTCCTGACGAACTGAGAGAAGAGAGGGAGGCGTCGATATGAGAACGAAAGTCATTGGTATTGAAGCTTACCTGATGCTCGTCACTTGCATACCGCGTGCAAGGGCAAGTTTGCATATATGGGAGCCTAGTCCATGTTGGTTTCTTGAGAACAGGAACTCGTGAGAGACATTCGAGTGTTTGCATACCTATGAACCCATTTCCCCCGACGACGAGAATTTTCTGTAGGATGGGCTCCATTTGTTTTAGCTTGGCTCCCTGCCTCGAGATGTGTGTTTGGGAAAACAATCGAGATTCTGTGCAAGGCAACGAAAGCCACCACTGTTACCAGCACTATTTCATGTTATAAACGCCGACATCATGAGCTTTTCATTCTATAAGAGCATACATGCGTGATGGTGCACCCGTTCAAATTACAAAACTTGCGTCAGGAAGTTCAAATAAGCAATATTTAATCTTTCAGATATCCCGACATATACTAGCTTAGAATATAGTGAGGTCATCGAACGTGAAGAAGTCTCTAGCTTCCAACCTCCCTGGAATATCTCTGTGGATGATACATCGACGATGTTCGAGCCAACCCACAACCCAGTGGATTTCCGAGTTTTCCCCTCAAACCTCGTAGCCAATATGCTCGCCTACACTCTGACACAATATAATCATTCATTGTGCAGCTTCTCCAACCTTTTGGCTTGCCAGGTGGCCCACTTCCATTGGACTAATGGTGCAAGTCGTCTGTCTGAAGGTAGAGTATTGCGAGGATTCGTTTCGTACAGATAATAGGCAAGGCAGCCGGTGAATACACCCAATATGGGGTCAACTGCTCTGTAAGTCGGCATGAGAGAAAGCATTGCATGAAATCTATATCACGAACCGGGAAACGATAACTGGGTATGCCATTGTGACTGACTATGTATGCCTAGTCTGCATGAATAAATGTAACAGAACTTGAAGAGAGCAGGAAGGGATAAGACCGGGCATTCGGCGTGTAACGGAGCGGCAACGGACATAAAATGTAAAAAATGTGCCGCACTGACGCCAACCCCATAAACCGACCAACTGTACAAAAGTTCATCGTCCTTGGTCGTGCTCAGGTGCACACCACATCCCATCTTGTTTTCTAAATCATCTTTTCTGCATGTCTTCAGCATTTGATCGTCAGGTTCGCCCCATCTATGGTCAGTTTCTTAGCTTTTCTTTTCCGCGTGTTTTATACACGTTATTTGTGCAGATGCTCTCGACTCTGGGTCCAACAAGCCAGCCATCATCGCGTGCACCAAGCTGCTTAAAAAGTATCCAAAAAGCACTTTGCTGATGGTGTGTCTTTTTGTCTCGCTTTTGATGGACACATGTCGAGTCGAGTGACGTCTGTCACATTTGGTCAGGCTCTCAAAGCTCTCGGTCTAGTGCGTTTGCAGAAAGTGGAAGAATCAATGATGCTTTGTGACGAAGTACTCGCAACGAAAACTACAGACGATTCCACTCTCTCAATCATGACTCATGTCCTTAGAGGGCTGGGGAGGTGTAGGTCCTACTGAGTTTTCCTATCAGCAAGTGATGGTCTAGTTAACTTGCTTTAGTCACGGATATGATTGCAATGTTCGACGATGCCTTCAAACGACAACCTCATAACGAAGAACTCGGCGCTCAAACCTTCTTTGCTAACATCAGAACGACTAACTGGAAAGCAGCTCAACAAGTATGTTATCTCTCCTGTGTCTAGACCAAAAGATACGTTTTGCTCGCGAGAAAAAGTTGTGAGCCCTCCAAGAAGAGAGCATTTATTTGACATCACCGTCTCATCACCGTGTATCTCCGTGTTTATCTTCCACGTGTTCTTTTAGGTAGCGAACAAGATGCACAAGCAATTTCAAGAAGACCGATATCTATACTGGAACATCCTTGCAGTTATTCTCCAGGTCGGTAATACCAAGCGTCTTCATAAAACTCCCAAGTCCTGACCTTGGGGACGAAAATCAGGCCAATGACTCCACTACCCCCCCTAATATGCGCAACTTACTTTACAAGCTCGCTCATAGGCATGTCTTGTCTTCTCCCACCCCTTCTTATTTGAGCGCGGATCGATTTCACCTGCATCTTATTATTCTGCAAGAGTTGCAGCTTTTTGACGAAGCCCACACTTTGCTAGAGAGTGAAGTAGGGAAAGCCATCTGCTCAACCAGCCTCGTCTGCAATCACACACGGCGAGACATTTGGCGGCTCCGTGGACTATGGGAAGAAGAGGGTGAGCGTGCACAACGGAATATAACTGAGAGACGGTAGTACTGTTTTCCCGCACGGTGTTAATGGCCGCTCTGACTTGCTTTGCATTTTGCTCCCTTCCTGAAGAGACCGGAATTGGCTAGAGTTTTTATCCGTATTGGATGCTACCTTTTCTACCGTCTCATCTCCTCATCAGCAGGAAGTGACAGAAGCTGTGAAGTCTGAATGTATCGAATGCATTTCAAAGGCGCGACAGTTTTTCACTGAGATTGCCGAGGGTGACGGGCGTAAAGACCGGTCGGGATTTCTAGCACTTCTTGAACTAGAGAAACGGTCGATCACCAATGGGCTGGTGTCAGGTTTGCACTGATTGTCCCAGAAAATTTTCGTCTTCCTCATTGTGCAATTCTCAGACCAAACGGAGCTGCTAACTTTGATGAAAAGATATTACAACACCTTCGGGGATAAAGCTTGCTGTTTCGAAGATACAAGGCCATATCTGGAACTTCCTGATGATAGCCTGTCGGCCTGGACAAGCTTCTTAGAATCACAAACTGTCTCCTATGTACGTATGGATCACTCGCGTAGTAACCATACTCAATACGTTTCCCTCCTTGCAGGTAGATGTATCAGAACTGCAGCGGTGTATCAACATCCGAAAACTAACACGCTACAATCTTCCAGAATCCCAGCTTTCTCCAGAGTCAGAATCTACTAGAGCAGTAGAGTATCTTAGCGACTATCTAGAAGGTCTTCATCTTGGAAACAGTTTGCCTGTGACCGAACTACAGCCTGTAGATGACCTTGCTATCCTAGCTGGTCAGGCTTTCGTCAACTCGTGGAAAACTTCCGGCGATGTGAAGTACCTGTTTAGCGCTGCGTTGGTCTTGGAGTTTGCTTTGACGAAAAGTCGCCTGTCATTCCCCATCCGACTTTTACTTGTCCGAATTTACCGCTTACTTGGTAAATATTGAGTCTTTGTATTTCTTTTAATAGCTGACCTTAGTTACCTCTGCGTCTGTCGTCTCTAGGTGCATCTTCGCTCGCTATAGAACATTATCGTGCTATGCATGTGAAACAAGTTCAAAATGACACGCTCTCTCACTTTATTCTGTCACGCGCTTCAACGTTTTCCTCAGCCGCTACTGGTGATCTTACATACCCTACCGAATGTATAGAAGCCAGTCAAATATACATCAGCAATACACAAGAGGTATTTACACAATCTCTGTACATACTTGGTTACTAACAACTTGTCGTCAGACTGCCGAATTCATAACTCGGGCCTTCTCTGCTGAGAAATACACGCAGGTAAGCCAGATTTCCTTTTCCATTCTTACAACGCTAAACAATAAAGTAGATCCCGGACTTTATGACCTTCGAGGATAGACTTGAGAATTCTCTTCAACGCGATCTTGTAAAAGTCGAGCATGTTCGCATGCGCATTTCCCATGAACATCTTGAGCCAAATCTCATAGACTCTGAACTCGTAGAATTGAAGTTTGTCTTCGATCGCGGTAGGGCATATTCCCTCTCGTGATTTTCCCCGCTCTAATGCAACACCCCATAGTTCATCATGATAATCGTGACTTTGAAATCTTGCCCAACTATCAGCCCCGTTCACAGCCTTCGTACAACGAACAGACTCTTCTATTTGGCAGTTCACCAAGTGTAAGTGGTCTTGATGTTCAGTGGTGATAGTTTTCTCAAGTCAATGGATCTCCAGTACGGTTGGCTAGGGTTGTTCCTAAAAGTATATATCCGGGCATTCCAGCAAGCCAGCGATCTAGACGAAAGCGTGGAAGAAAAGCTGCTTGTTGGTGATAGACCAATCAAACCCAGCGACCTGGAGAAGATTTCATTAAAGGAGCGATTAGCTGAGAGGAAACCAGAAGAATACAACGAGGTACGACCTTAGATGTGATCACTGATAACTGCTGTTTTGACAAAATTTGCCTTCAAGCTAACATCGGATGAACGTCTCTTCGTTGACTGGGCTACTATACTGGGTGACTGGCTTGAACCTTACCATGATCATACTAGGCCACCACCAGCGGTAGTCTTGGCTGAGGCTGCGAAACAGACAGAAAAGGCGTATCCTTTGAAAGGTCATGTCACTCCGCCAGTGAGTGACAGTGCTTCCAACGGTCATAGCAAGAAAGAGGAAGAAGCTCCTGCTGTGAAAAAGGCGCCTGAAGCCGTTGCCAACTTCTTTGATGGTAAGTACACGGTCTAGTGGTGCGAAGCAAACTGTTCATTTATTCTAATGTAGAAATGACTCAACGCTTTAAAAGCCTAGTGGAGAGTCAGAGTCCACCCTCAGAGATATTGCATGTGGCTGCTCTGACCCAGGAGGTGCGGGAGTTGTAACACTTGCCTTTCTTTCTTGAACTTAACTTGGACAAATAGGCCTTCCTTGTGTTCACTATGGGGACGCTAAGATTCAGATCTGCTCCGCTGGTCAAAATTCACAAATTAGGTGCTGTAAGTATTCATATCATAACTTGGACCTTATCATTCAACTGATAGATGGGTGGGTTACTAGCTGGTTCAGATGTTTAATGAAATACGCACGAAAGCTATATGTGTACTACGAGACATGCAAAGTCATCTTGCACAAGTCAGTGAAGGTGAGAATACCGTGGAGAGTAGGAAGCAGTTCCTCGACCTCCCTGTTAGTTCCAAGGTACGTATTGTTATGTGATATTGACGTTCAAAGAGCTCACGTACCGCCAGCTTGACCACGATTTCGTGATAAACATTGCGAAAAAAATACGGGAGTCTCGGAAGAAGACACTAGAAGGAGCTGGGAAAGGCATGTTGAAAATCTGTAGCACATATGAGCACGCATAGAATTAGGGAGATAGGGCAGAGCTAAGTATCATAACGTACGATAGCTAGCGTTGAAGGGCATATTCAAAACAACACACTTCTCATATCATTGATTCCGATCCATGCATGCAAACCCATGATTCTCTCGTGTCGTTAATAAGCTATTAGTCTAAGTCTTAGGCGCCCAATCATGTAACGTGACTTTGTTCTTTACTACTTACCTCAGGCTTTCCGGTTACTGTACCGACCACTTTCTTCATAGCATCAAGTTCATGCGGCATACCTGTTCATTTCACAAACGGTGACACTGACAGACTTACATACCAATGGAGCGTATCAGAGCGTTCTTAAAACGACCAAGTGCTGCTCGAGTTCAAAGACGAAAAGCGTTCGCATCTCAAATCCACCGTCGATTGTCAAGTTTAATGTTCGTTGGCACCCTACAAACATCTTCATTGCTTCTCAGATCATTTATAGAGCAGCGCTCTTTGCTGTTGGCTTCACATGGATGATCGTCATCCCCCACCCATCACTTTCGCAACGGACGTATATAGACGAGAACGCGTTACAACCAGGACAGGTGCGTTTTGTCACGCGTATTTTGGGAGGAATATTTGTAGTAACATCCATAGGTCAATCCTTATTGGAATTGGGTCGATGTTCATAGAGCAGATCAATATCTCTACCAGCTGGAAGCTCTACGTGACGCAAACTCTACGAGTGAGGAGTGAGATTTAATCATACCACCTCCAGTATCAATGGTGCTCTAACGTACATTGCAGAAGAGCCGGGTTTTTCCAATCAGAGTTCAGGAAACTTGGACTTGTTTCGTCAACACAGAATTATGAGATTTCCACCAGCTCTGTACCAGTTGGTGTTTTCTATTGTTTCATTTTGGTTGTACTGAGAACTTGCTTCTCCTGAATAGATGATACGTGGAAGCAATGCTTATGCTATATTATCATCACCTCGAGCATCGGGAACTGAAGCTTTGCTCATCAGCGCTTCGTGGATAAGCAGACAAGGGGAGGGCGATGGCACTTTAAATCTTCGAGGCATTGCTACTGTCCTCTCGCTTGCAGGATTTTTGAAAGGTGAGCGGACATGCTGGTAGAAATATACGGATATCCATACAGATTCTCGATAGGCTACTCGCTTTGGGCAAAGGACATCATATTTGTCATTAGCGATGGTCACCTCGAAGGGATGCATGCTTGGCTTAGCGCCTACCATGGCGTTGTCCAGTCAAGTACGCCCACTTACTACAAAAACACACTACTTTTTCATCATTACTGGCAGACCTTAAAACTGATAGCTTACAATATTCGTCTGGTGTAATATGGACGGCACTAAACATCGATTATCCTGGCCACTCATTCTCTAGGATCGGCATATTCCATGGTTGGCATTCAAGTATATATGTCACGTTTATCGCTAATGACTCCTGGTAGAGGGTCTAAATGGTCGTCTCCCAAATCAAGATTTTCTTAATTGTTTACAAGTCATAGGTCATGTAACGGGTGGTGTCCCGGTGTCTGTTTACGACTACATGGACAGCAGTCAAATCGCACACCGCCCAAATGACCTGGACGATATACTTGCTTGGATACCCGCATTTCTCAGAGAGAATTATGACGTCCGAGAATATGTCTACCGCGCGCGAAACGTAGCTCGCTTTGTGAGCTATCAAGCCCGAGGAAAAGCCAGTGGCTTGCATGGATTACTACATCAGTATGTTTCTAATATACACAAAGGCAATAGCATCTGATGTCATATAGATTTCGTATCGATGCGATCACTATATTCGCTGTTCCTGCGTCTGGTCCTCATGGTTTCCATGCTCTTGGAAGGCAATGATCTTTCTCTTTCATCGTGGCTTCTTCGTTAATTTGTACTTCCCAGAATAATCGAGTCTTCGTTGAGGACTATGAACAATTTGCTGGAACGACTTCACGCATCGTTCTTCTTCTACATCTTAACAAGTTCAACTACTTTCATGAAGATTGGCATGTTTCTTCCAAGTACGGTCATAGTAAGCGTAGCCATGATCTTTCGTGGACTGGGCGAGTGGGTAGATGCGGGATGGGTTCTGGTTGTCGACCCATCTACTGACTCCTCAAAAGTTGATCCTATCATCACTTCACCGCCAGAAAACTGGGTCTCAAGGCGACGTCCAGTGTTGCCTGCTCTGGCACTAATGACTTTCACGCACTTTATTGGCATTCTTCTGTTCTTTTCGATAACGAACCCGCTATTTTTCGAAAATCAGAAAGTGAGCATTATACGTTAGCTATGGCTCGCTCTCTTCTAAACATTGTACGGCAGGTATATGGCCCTCTTGTTTTTGCCATAGCATGTTTGCTCCCTCTTATTACCCCTCATATTTCTCCTTCCACGGCAAATAATGCTGCCATGCTAACAAGCGTTCTCAAGGCGCTCAACCTCTGCTTCGCATCGACGGTAATATCTATTACCTGCGTCCTTAATTTTTCCCTCGCCACAATGGTTGCTGTTCTGTTGGGTATTCCGCTGATCATTGCTGCACCATCCTCAACCGTAGCTACTGGCTGCTTGAAGTATGCCGCCTACTGTCTTCTTGCACTGGGATGGGTGTTGGTAGCTCCTATAACGCGAGATGCTATCTGGAACTGGGAGGTGCTAGGAGTTTGGTTTGCACCGTTTATGTGTATTGTTTTCGCGCCATTGGTATTACAAGCGGGCGTAATATCTCTTTACCGACCGTTAGAATAGTGGGACATATACGAGCTTGGGTCTTCGCTGAGAGTTGCAGGAATGATAGCCTACGATACAACCAATATATAAACTGGGTATAACCATAACTACAGCTAGCTTAACCCAGCTCCATGGGTACTGGGTCTTCAGAGCCAAAAAGATCGCCATCAAGCTGTGTTTCGTCCTCATCTTCTGCTCCATCGTTTGCCCCTTCTTCTGGATCTGTATCTTCAGCGATGATACCTTCCTTCTGGAGCCGCTGTTTTTCTTTCATTTCATCTCTCTGTCCAAGCTTCATTTCGAGGTCAGCTGTGAGTTTCTTCAGAGCATCCTCGAATCGTTTCTATAGTAGCGCGTAATCATAAGCGAGGCTATAACAGAATATCAGAGTTACAAATACCTTGATCAGGGGATTAGCAGAGCTGGCCACCTCGTTAGCCTTCTTCGCAACAGCTGTTTCTAAGTCTCTTATTTCTTCGTTCAAGAGTTTCCTAGCCTGGGCGTCCTCGTCGTCATCATCTTCATCGTCATCTTCTTCACTTTCGTCATCTTCGTCTTCATCTTCGTCGTCTTCGTCTTCTTCATCCCCGAGTGCCAAATCGAGCTCAGCCGCAAGTTCTTCATCAATATCACCTTCACCTTCCTCTTCATCACCCTCATCCGCTCCATCGTCAGCGTTGTCGGGCCCAGGTGTAGGTGCATCCCCTACCTCTGACCCTAAAATTCCAGGAGTAGGGATATCCATTGGTTCATCCCGTTCTACAAACTCGGAGTCTGAAAGATCTGGATTCACATTCTCGAGCACCTCTAGAACACGATGAGGACAGCGTAACTTGAAGATAATATATATGGCATACCATATCGAACTTCTGAAGCAGAAGCATCTACTCCCAGCAATCTTTCTACCTCCTCTTCGACACTTTCAATGGTCTACGAAGCGTATATAAATATGCAGTCCAGCGCTAAATTTGTCTAAACATACCCGTTTATTTATTCTCTTTCGGAATCTCCGTTTTCGAACATGATGCAAAGGAGGCGTGATTCCATGTGGCCAAATGAACTCCTCAATATTGAAATTTCGATGGTGGGAGGCTCCATCGTCGTTGTCAACGCGATCCCCCACTACAAGCATCTTCATCAAAAGTGTGAGCCATACGATTTCAAGACAAACCCAGCACTATTGACCTGACAAATATCGGCTACTTTGAACATCTGTTTATTGTCTAGCGTCTTTTGCGATTCTATGACGCACGGAAGATCTACTAGCTTTGACATGTAAGTCGAAGCCCCTATGTGGAACATTGCGCGTCGAGAGTCTGGTATTGTTCAACATCTACTCAGAAAAGCGAAGACTAGATATGTTCACCTTTGAATTTGAACCACACGTCGTTACTTATTTCCCTCGTTGTAACCATATCCCGAAGTTTGTCAAGATCCTCGCCCGGAGGCATTCTGAGAATAAATTGCTCCTCGAAAGCAAGGTCCTCGTCGTCTGAGTCTAGTTCTCGATCATAAGCTCCAAGAAAGGACATTCCAGGGGCTTGAGCTGCTGCTTTTTCGCTCAGTTTGAGTTTCAGCTTTGGCTGCGGTTTTGATTTTGCGGTCGCAGAGCGGGTGGTCCGCTCAGAAGCCTCCAGATGAGGTATTGAACTTCGCAGTCGAGGCGAGGAGGCCATGGTGGGCTCTGCTGTGATTCTGGTCGGACGAGGTCGTTGGTTTTCGGGGGAAGTTGTCGGTCGTGCACTTGCTGTAGATGGTCCAGCGTGGTCTTCAAAGTCGTCAATGACGATGAGGTCGTCCTCCATTGTGTTACCTGAAGGTTAAATGTTGTGTATTTAGAACAGCCACAATGATAGAATGCAGGCTCCTTATTTGCGGTTATTGATGGCTATGTGTCCAAATGGTGTCTAGATAACAGACTATGACTGAATCTGGACTATCGCTATATCAGCATTACTAGGAGCTATCTAACATGTTCACCGACACACAGCACTCGCCATCCAAAGGTAAAGCAAAGGATGTCCCAAATTCACGCTGGGAAGCTGGCTGGTGGGAGTTCTATCCTTTGGTAGAGCGTTTGCAAAGGTGACTACCATCAAGTCACTTTGGTTCTGCTAATACCTCTCGTTCAGATCAGTGGTGTGGACAAAATCATCTACACTAATCACCTCTCATCCTGTACAACCCCGCCTTATATCAAGACTCTTTTCCTCTTCGAAAGAATACGCGATCGTTACTCCTGAGCCGGTAGCCTCTTCGCCTTCCGCCTATGACCCCCCAAAGATCATCACCGTTTCGCCAGATGATATCTGGCTTTTTGCATATTTTCCTGGCCTTGAGTGCGATGGAGTAGGCTGCCTATGGAAAAGAGGCTATCAAGTGGACAGCTGGGCCATCAAGGAATCTTGGAGTTTCCCCAGAGGTGCAGGAGTTATAGAAGCTTCGTGGGTTGGATCTGAGCGTGAAGTGAGTTCAATCTTACGCGCCATATAGAACCTCACGTTGATATATGTTTTGCAGTGGATCATGACCGCAGATGATTCTATTACCCGCTTACCATCTCGCGGACCTCTTACTCCAGTATCCGACCCCACATTAATGATAGTTACGCAGGAACAACGACTCCAAGTTTACTATCTACGCGACTATGGCACGAATCTTAAGGTCCTTAGTTGCTCCTTGGTACGGCCCGATTCCGCCAACGAAAATCAGAGTGCCGTTCCGGGCGAGACGATACCAGGAACCGCCAGAGTCTGCGTTGGTGCTGCGATAGGACAATGTTATAATGGTAAGGCGTCCTTCACGTTCAACATCCCAAAATATCAATTAATAGCAAAAAACATCAGATGCAGATTGTTCGATACTTGTAGCTATGAGATATAAGTTCTATATGTTGATAGGTCCAGATCCAAACGATGATATTGAGGACCCTGATTTCCCTCTCTTTGACGCTCGAAACGGTATGCCTCGCCCTCCTTCCCCGGAATGGGAGTCATCTGGTGAGGAGGCGGCTATCGAACTGTGTGAAGTAAAATTAAGTTTCGATGGAACAATTTTCAGTATGTTAATTAGGTGTTCTCAAAGTTTGTTCTAATGCTTATTTCTGCCACAGGCCTAAAAAGCAAACCTTTACCATCTATTCACTATTCGACACGAAGTGTGATCCAACTTACGTTCATCTGCCCTCCTGCGCTAAAACCTCAAGCATCCAACCCCTCATTGCAATCCCCCAAAAAAGACGGGAAGTCTCAGGAAAACACTTCTACGGAATCAAACGTGATGTATTTGGTTGCGGGCTACTTGGATTTTGGGAAATGTAGGCTCAGATTCGAATTGAACTTGTTGCATTTTTTGTTCATACATTTCGTTCTCTGATCGCACGCTTTAGACACCGAACCTCCCCAGTCTGAAATGGTTCTACATACCTTGACTCATCAGATGTCACCATCTGTTGCCAATCCTGGACAAATGACCTGGGTAAGGAAGGTCCACAATACACCAATCTGCATCACTACTGATCTACCATAGTTATCCAAACCCACCAGTCGCTCTTTTACTCCAGGCGTGATGTCCTTTTTCACTCCTATCATCACTAAGACTGTCCCAATCAAGGCTATTATATATGCTGGAGTTCTCGATACGTCAGGTTATATAGCCAATACAAAACCGAAACCAAAATCAACGCCTATTGGGAAAGTTATCGTTTTGAAACTGTAGGTTCATCTCTCACCTTGAAACTAGTTGATGGAGTTTTACCAGTTGACAGGCCCGAATTGTCCGACGATACAGAGTGGGAAAGCTCCGCGATATTATCGTCGGTGGAACTCGCTGGCTCAGAGCGTAAGCATTTTTTTCCCGATCGAACCTGGACATATCATTCACGTCCGTCGTAAGTTCCCTTGAGTGTCACCACTTCTCCTAACGGAACACTGTTGGGTTCCATGTCCGCGGTTGTACCAACCCAGACCAGTTTTCATGCATTGCCGAAACGTCATTCCAATCCCACTCTTGATCCAGCGTCTCGTACGTGCTACCCTGTGAACTAAATAACTACATAGACTGAGATCAACGACTTCCGAATCATTTTAGATTTACCACTAAAGTCACTGTACACATTACCTCTCGTGTCAGCTTTACTGGCCAGGAAGTCAACAGCAGATATTAGTTTCCTTCTGTCAAATCCCTCAGTGAAAGCTGACTTGTTAGCTGAGACTTTATACGGCGCATTATCTCTATTCGAAACCAGCGTGCCCGGTGGATTGACGAATTCTTGGATGTCGGAAGTCATCGGTACTGCTGTGGAGATTTACAGGTATACCTCATTTCTTGTAATGTAGGTATCTTTTCTTCACAGAGACTTATAGGAGTAGAGCGTTGCGCTCCAGCAACAGCAAAGATCGACAACACTTCATGGAGCTCCATCAAACAGCACTTGAAGCTTGCACTGTAGCAGCGTGTCTCGCAGCGTTTGAAGACTGTCAAGAAAATGATGCTTACGATCTCGGTAAATAACCCGTTTCTGGACATGTTATCGTTGATTGATATTTATCCTCCTAATATAGAGGCTGTCTGGCAGCTAGTGAGCCTGTCCAATTGGATCGTCGGACTCTTAGAGAGGCTGTTAAGAGAATGCCTGACACTAGATGGCTCCATCGAGCCTAGTGAATCGAATAATGATGATGGTCCAAATGTTCCAGACGTTTGTGAGTGCCGTGACTTTGCACATTCATCGTGGATACTGTATGACGATACTTCTACGCTCAGCTTCCTCTGACTCTCATGAGACGGCACTCCATACTCCTATCTTGCTGCATCTCGCTCATCCATATTTGCTATCAAATCTTCGCAATGTATTGTCTCATATCAACGCTTTTCGTGCGTTCCTGGGGACACTGACTGCACGAGGTGAAACTGCCCAGCTTGCAAGTGATGTTTTATTCGATCTCGTCGATAGCTCTGGCGTGGGCCTTCCTGAGTTAGCGGCCATACTATCTGAATCGCTTCCAGCTTTAAATAGCATCAGTAGTGATAGAGCATTCCGGCAGTGCCATATGATGCTGATCTTTACGCGATTGTCAGCTGAAGATACCAGACGAGCGCTAGCTTCGTGTCACCCTGTTCCCGCACTAATCGCACCACTGCGAACTCTGATTTCAAAAATTAGTTCATCCAGCGCTATCAATAAGCCACACTTATTTATCAAGGCTTCGGATCTGGTAGACGAACTATCCAAATTGTCCAAATTGTCGATAAGCGGACAAAATACCAAGGAAAAGGATATAGACGTCATTACTAAAGGGTTACTACTGAGACACGGCTCTGGGATTACGTGCCTACGCTGTGGCGGTAGATCTGAGGTGACCAGTGAAGTGAATGCTGCTGGTAGGATCTCTCGCAGATGGAGGGCTTGGGAGAAGACGTGGCTGGCGCGGTGTATTTGTGGAGGTTTATGGGTTACTGGCATGGATTGATCGATGTATACGCAGGATGAAAGGCGCCCATTCTTGCGTCGACTATCTCTGTGACTTTGTTTCACGCAGTTCTGATGGTAATGTACGATAGTCTCGACCTTTCATATTCCTGGTCCAAAAGTGAGATGCAATGTTATAATATAGCCACAAATACAAGACGTTGTACGAGTAGTAGTTAAGAGTCATATCCAATGATGCTACGAATGAATGTTACATATGTAATTGCGAATGATCTGGGGTCAGCGTTGCTTATACTTGGCTTCATTCTCATATCGAACGTTAGGATCTAATGTATTGTGAAGACCCATGAGAGTCTTGCTGACCGCCTCAGAAGCGCCGATCATAGGCTTTAGGACCGCAATAGGTACAGCGCGTATAACAGCACGCATCGCACCCTAAGCAAGATTATGTTATTCAGTCATCGATTTGATAGGTTTTGTCCTACTCACCTCATTCCCAGAACGCTCGTACACTTCCATAGGTACAGCTAAAATGGTCTGCGCCGCAGAATTTAGGTTTCTATGCATACTTCTGTATGCAGATCGTACACCCTCTGTTATCCCTTCTGGTTGTTCTGCATACTTACTAAACAGGTCTGGTGGTAATTCATCCTCTTCCGAAAGGCCCTCGATAACAGAAGAAAATTGGACAGTTTCTGCAGTGATAGGGTCATGGAATTGGCCACCAAGTACATTTTCAGCCTGTTCGAGGATAACCTGTGTCCCAGTTGCTAACTGCGCACCCAGCTTGATGGCTTCCATGGCTGTAGACTTGACAAATGCGGTAGTGCCTTTCTGTACACCGCGAATGATTCGACCATCTTTCTTGTACTGTGTTATTGGAAGAAGGACAAGATCTGCGACACCAGAACCGACATTGACTACAGAGCGGATAGGGGACACGCCAGAAATGACATCTACAAGCTGAGTGGCTTTCACGTCAGGTGTCCATAGGTCATTAAGCTTCTCGAAAAGTCGAGGCCAGCCATTTATCTGAAACGACATGGTCAAATGAGACGATTTATAAAGATGGGAGAAGAGGGAAACATACCCCGTATAAGTTGAGATGACGCAGAGTCATTTCTGCACCATCAAAGTGGAAGAAATTCATCAATTCTATAGTTTTTCCTTCACGCAAAGCTCTATAATCAACGCGGCGGGGCTTATAATCCAATTTGATGTCCACAGGAAAGATCTCAGCATGTTCTATAATGTTTTTTGAATTATTTGTATATGTATTACTTTTATAGGGAACTTACGAATATAGGCTTCCGTTCCTTCCGGTTCATCCACATTGGCCGCCGGACTCTCGGAGTCCTTGAAGCTAAAGAAATTCTTCAGGAAGTCTAATGCATCCTGATCAACATACAGCCTCAAAGGAAGTAGTTTAGCCTGAAAATAACGAGTAAATCATTGATCATCTGGTAGCAATCATTACTTACACGCAATCGTGCTTCTTGCGCAGGGTGGGATGGAATAGGCCGAACATTCTGTATTTCTACGCGAACCATATTAGAACCAGTCTCTCGTACATTTCCTTGGGAGTCCGATCGTAGTTCGCACAAAAAATGTCTCCAAGTTGAGGATTTGATATGATCAAGAATCTCCACGTCTCTGACAGTAGCTAGGATCCGGGAGACTAGTGTCTGACCTGGGCGATAATTATCGATTTCAGCATCCAGACCTAGTAGCCTTATGTCAATGCATGAACCATCGGATCTCGTCAAGCGTTTATGCTGTACGCGAGATAATAGTGGTGGCGGATGCCCTGGGGAGCTGGCAGGATGTAATGACTGCCATGAGCTTTCAATGTCTGATTCCGTATCGTGATCCAACTCTTCATCGATCGCGGCAACCAAGGCTCCAGGCTCTAGATCACTGACATCTGCCTGCAGCCCGATGTATACCGAGTTGAACATTAACGCGCTAGTCTCCACTTCTGTGGAATCTTGTACTTGTCCAGTGGCAACAAGCTGCCTGATCTTGGCTAGCCGTCGCCGCATCTCTTTGATTTCTTTTTCAAGAAGCTCGCGCGTACGTGACCAATCGTATCCATCATAAAGAGATAACGTCACGTCACAATCGTAGATTCGGATTCGCATCATGGCCTCTCCAAAACTGAATTGCAGAGTTAGTACATGTGAGAAGCACAGAATATGATGTCTTACTCAGACTCGCCGCTTGCAGGCTCGGGAGGAATGGTATCATAATAGTTTTCAATTACCTTGAAGGGTCTGAGGATCCTGATTGTCTCTCCGCCAATGTCAGAGACTGTTCCTGTCCTGTGGCCAGGAGAAGGCGTGACGGGTACAAATTTTTCTTCGACATCGAAGTCGTCAAGGTCATCGTCTTGAAGCTCACGAAATCCAGCGGCTGTCCCAAACGAAACATCCAAATAGTCCAAATTCGTTGGCAAATCGTCGGATATCATGTCTGGAGCTGATCCAACTTCTGGGTTTCGCGTGAAAGCATGTTCCTCCACGTAGACTAGAAAATGCATCAGCTCTGTAGTAATGACCCCCAGATCAGTTTACTTACTCATATCACTTTTAGGTGATGACGGATCAGTCACTATGGAAGGGCCTTTTGTTGATGTTGGCGCGTTCGTCCTATACAGCAATCAAGGTATGCACAGAACGAGAAATCATAAAACACGAACGGGTCGGGAGGAGATTTAAAAGCGGAGCTGAAGTCACCAATGAATCCTGTAAGGGCAGCAAGTGTATCCGCGCATATATGAATACGAAGGGCAGCCCTGTTTATCAACATCTGCCATTATCGGTGAATGAGGACCAAAAAAGCAACCTGCTCATCCACTGACCTGTGTGTCCAGAGGAGCTGGCGCATTGCGTCCCTTGTACGCAAAGTCTAGGTTTACTAGCTCGGCTATCAGGGCATAACCACTTTCCTAAATTTACCGTCAATCTGAGTGACATATTTCAATCATATAATTCAACGAACCTTCCAGAATGCAACACCTCTCGCTTGGAGCTTGGAAGACTCGTCAGGGACTTCGTCTGGTAAGGCGTCAATCAATAGAACAGAGATAGACGGGACAAGCATTTTCAATGACAATTCAGATGATTTATTGATGAGATCCAACGAAAGAGTTGTTTCTCCAATGTACAGTACTGCAGCTCCAGGATGACCAGGGGCAAAAGCATGAAGTGAACTTTCCATAATCTTGACTGACACGTGTGTTCGCTCGGATGGGACGACGGACTCGAAAACCTAGTATGAATGGAGTCATGACATGCAGTAACCAAGATGGAAAAAGGCACAAACGCCAGGTGGTGCCTTAGCAAAGCGCTCTAACTCGGAGAGCCACTTGAGCTTGGAAAGCAATCGGAAGTTGAAACCCCACAATGACAACTTGATATTAGAGGCTTTCGCAGTACTTCCAGGTATAGAAGACGAATTAAAGCGGACTTCAATCATTCGCTTCGTGGTTGACAACTATGGGCGAAAATAAGCCAAAGTGAAAGCGAAGAAAAAGTGAATAATATACCGAATTTCGTGGAGCTGCGAGAGACAATAAGGGAATGCGGGGACTCTCTGCAGCGAAATCCATGACACTAAGATCCGTGATCTTGACAATGGTTGTGGGTCCATCCTGCAAAAGACAAGTCAGCGTGGACCCGACATGAAAATGATCCAATTACTTCAGACCCGGTCTTCATCTCTAATAAGGCGGACACATTGGAAGCAAACAAATCAAGAGGCCGGGAAATGTAGGCGTCGTCTTCACGTCGAGGTAACATCAATCTTACAAACGCTATAAAATTGATATTAGGAAAGGTCTAATGTTTGAGTACCTTGACGTGACACACCTTGCGACACTACCAACTGGACATGCGTCTCACTTCCTGCGCTGATGGGTTTTGCGCCTGATATTGATCGACTACTCGCCACCTCGCTAGGTTTCCCGATGTCGACCGCGGTGGGTTTTCCAGTACGTTCCATTAACTGCGCAGCATCATCCGCCCATCGTTGCAAACCATCGAAGACGGCCTTCGTGATGATAGCATTTGTTGAGGCTACATCTACATTCAAATACGTGACGGAGGAAGAAGAACTATTGGCCAAATGGGACAGATTGACGCGAAGAGAGGAGTGAGACATGGAGCCTTCGTTGCCTGGTGCAACTTCCTTGTGACTAGACATCGAGCCAAGTAGCAAGAACAAAGCAGCAGAAGATTCGTTCACGTCGGAGTAAGCCAAAGTAACGCCTTGACATTTGACGTCTAGCAGATGTTGTCTCATTGAACGTTTCTGATCATCGGAGGAACCAGGTGCAATATCTCGTTGCTGAGCAGCAGGGCCTGTTGGTGACACGAATAAGGTAGACATGCGGATGCCATGGATATCCACAACAAAAGCGCCAGATCGAGCAGAACGGAGCGGAGGAGGCGGACAACGGACCTGTACTCGAATCATAGGGATTTCAAGTACAAGACTTGGCTTATGCTCAATTTGCGACGACTTGTGCACCTACCAGATGGATGAGAAAAACGCTAAGTCATCACACATAAGTTAAATTAACCTTTCTATGACGAGTGGAAGAACCATCTCCATGAGCTGTTCTCTGCTGAGGCTCTTGCGATGGATAAACTTTCTTGAGGTTCGAACCCTGACCTACATTTCTCGACTGAACTCTGTCAGCCCTCGCTCCCTTCATCTGCCCCTCACCAAAACGTACGCCTGTAAGGGCAAGTGAATCCGAAGAGCCATTTCTCTTGTGAGATCCCTCACCGGGCTGCTCCATAGTACCTGCATTCTTCCTGCTGCCTTGTTCTGAAACACTCACATTACTGCTCGTGACCTCGTTCAAGAAAAGGAGCATATCTCCATTCCCTAGCATCGAACCAAGGTCTATGAAAAAATGCAAAGGAGACACCTTCAATACCATGGGTTTATCTGTGCTACTTAGACCAGCTTCGGGATGTTTAGGTGAAGGTGGGAACGGTTTCTGGTACGACAACAAGAAGGCTGGATGAACTGGTGCCTCCTCTTTCTCGCTACAGTCAGATCCTACTGAAGTGGTTCTCCAAGTGGATATATCTGCAGATTTAGTCCATTGTTGAGGGGAAGTCCAGTCCAAAACGTCAAACGCTAAAGGCTCTGTATCGCCTGTCTGCGACGTAGAAGCGAAAAGCTTCTGGAGATATGACTGCCACCGGGAGACCGAATACTGGCCTGGGAGGCCGGGGTCTGTGATGAGGATGGGTAAAGCACGTAACGCACTATCCTGTTTATCAGGCAGCGAATTGGCTTGGAATGAAAAAATGGACAAGCTGGACAGCATCAATCGACAAGAAACTGCTGGCTGGGGAATGGTAGAATGCAGATTTTCTTGGTCAGGGCTAGTAGTAGGCACGAGACTTGTAGATTGATTTTGGGAGTTAAGTACGACACTCCCAAATATGCCATCCAAGTGTGCACGCACATATCCGTGACGAAGGTCAGGTGGCACCAACGGGCTAGTAAAGAAGTGCCTCAACGATGATTGAACGTCAGACGAGTCATTGTGGCGTTTAGCAGTTGGATCCGGGAGCAGAAGGATTACTACGCCCTTCACTTCAAGGGTGGACTCTAAATCCAGACCAATCTGAGCAGACCCTGAATTCGAAGAAGCGCTAGTTGGCGCAGACCGAGGTGAATGTTGTCCACATATTTCCAAGACGTCGAGCAACACGCGGATATGATATGCGCGAAATGCACATGCCACGACTCCAGATGAAACAGAAATATTCAGAACACCCTTTGGTATGAGTTCAGGAAGCGAGGGCTCAGACTCGGACTCGGTTCCTTCAGGACAATCAGAGGGTTGGCTAACAGGAGTTGTCACTCGTACAACTATAGGTTCTCTTCCAAAGGATAATATAATCTCATCCAGATAACTTTCCTGTCTCCGCTCTTGCTGTGCTGATGTAAGAATATGACGAGAGGTGTCATTGCTGGCTTCTGGTTGACTCGTATGGATTCGAGGGGGAGTATCTGGAGATAGTGATGTGCGAGTACGTGAAAGGTCGTGTGTCATGGTTAACGTGCTGTGATAAATACTACTTGCCACCGAACTCGTAGGTGAAGATGATCCTGAGACGGGACGTGGTGGCAACGTTGCGAGAGATTGTGACATGAGGAACGTCGTGTCTTCATCGAGTGAAGAGGAGGATGAGACTGGGGAGACTGGCTCGGGGGTGTGAATGAGAGAGCTGGTAGGAGATGCATGACGAATAGATATCGGAGATGTAGGAGAAAGGGTCGAAGGAGTAGGAATAGGCGACAAGGTTGGGCGCAAGTTTCTACAACTTACAGAAACACCATGTATTGAGACAGAGCGAACTGGACTATTACGCCCAGGTTCCGAAACGTAAGTCCCTTCTGAAGGACTGCCATTATTATGAGGTTCGGTATGATACCGGATTTCGGCGATTGAAAGAGTGAAGCTCGCATGGCCAGGGTGAACCAACGTTATCTTCGTGTCTACAGCATCAAACTCAAACCTTGCGAGCAGCCGCTCGATTATGGTAGCAAACAGAGATACTCCAGCAGGATCTACATCCCCGTGTTCCACGCCAACATTGGCATCGTTGATAAAAGGGTTCAGACCGCCTGGTATATTCTGCTGGTCGTCATCGGCATCCAACGGTGACGCATTCGAATGAATCGATTCCAGAATAATGGATTCTTCGCGTACTGACAGTTCATCTTGTACAAAAGCTTCGGCAACTGATACAACTGACTCCGTAAGAGTGTTGCTGGGGGGTGATGGGGGGGTAGATGTGGGAGGAGTGACATGAAGAGTGACATGAAGAGATTGGATGGAGCAGCCTACGGTTGATGTGAGAGGCTTTGGCCATGGTATGCGAGCAGTGATACAACCTATTGAGCCATCATGTGCAGAGATAGGGAGACCTGAAAACAAAGTGTTGATAGCCTTGGAACCATTAAAAGATAGCAAAGTAGAATATGTAACATGGGCGTACTGGTGTGTCCAGCTCAAGATCTTTCACATTGACATAGCCAGAGCCTATTTGCGAGTCTATCTGGTATGCATCAAGTTGGCCAGGTTTGAGGAAGCGGCCAAGGGATTTCTTGAGAACAAATGCGATAAATCGAGACTGAATGCTTGATGGGAGAGAGAAATCGAGAGAAGGAAGACTTGAGAACCATGAAGGATACCAGGATGACATGGTGGTTATCTCTTGGGATGCAATACTATGGTGGACTCTTGTTTGATCATGCCACTTGGTGCTGCAGCAGGTCAGCACTGTCGGATTATGTACTAGGGGCCGCACTAATAGGCGGCCCCAGAGTGGCCGAGGTCCCGAGCCGGTTCAGCTATAGGGGCTCGAAAAACAAAGTGATCCTATTGTCCTGCCAGAACAAGATACAATATACATTTTTTGCGTATAGTAGTGCTACATTTTAGTTCGCTACGTTGAAATGAGAGTCGTTTATAGTGCTGAACACATGCCCCTCGTCCATCAACTTATCCAAGGCATCACTGAGTGGTTAAATAAGCGGCACAGAGTTAACCAATGACACGTCAATAGAGATAATTTAGTCCACACCTGATTGTGATAGCGTCACCTCCAACAGCACGGGCAATAGCACCTACGTGTACACCTTCGGTACTAGTTGGTTGGCTGAGAATAAAGCTAATAATGGATTGTTGTAGTGCTGGAAGATGAGCGTATTGTTCGTTGGATGCAGTGGAATGGCTTTGTTTGTACACAGCAGCAGCAGCACCAGGTGCATTTGCTACTGCGCCGAGGCGGTGTGTTTGACCGGGTCCCGGGGGCTGATGCAACGTCAGCGACACAGACAGAAGGTGCAAGTAGAGACAAGCTTACAGGTCCTCTTTCCCATGTCAGAGTTACAGTCATCGCCTCCAACAAATGGAAATATATCTCATCAGGCGACTGTACATTTCGGATATGAGTTGCATTGATATATCGCTTGTTACCGAACATTTTGAGGTTTCCCAGAACGCGAACATAGGTTCCTTCTCTACCAATGTTAACATGGTCAGTGATACATACAAGTTCCAAGAGATAAACTAACAATACACCGTCCCACTTCTCAGAGGATTCAGTCAATGACGAATCAGTCCAATGCCGGGCTTCAATACGTCCAGTTCCATCGTCTAGCCAGTATAGACTGTTGGTAGCTTGGCTTTGTATCGAAACGACCTGGCCAACGACGGTCACCTGTACACTCAATCGATTAGCTTTGTCGACGCTTCAACAATCGCGCGTTGACGCGTACTTGTCCGATTTCCGTTTCGTCAAGCATCCAATCTGCATCTGAGTGAGCTTGGGACGCGTCCTGAAGTTGATGAATGGTCATAGGCCTCAGTGAATGCGAGACCTCGTTTCGCTACGTAAAACCGATATATATATATAATGTCAGTATATGATCATAAAAAGAGAAATGGCACCCAGACGAACGCGTCCAAACCCTCCAGGACTACCACCAGCATAAGGCGAACCACCTGTAAGAAACCCTCCTCCACTTCCTCCACCACCATAGTAGTTGTTATCGGTGTCTATAGTTTTGTCTCTGAACATAGCTGGTCCAATACTGATTGTTATAGCTCACGTTGACTCATGGAAAGTCCAAGATGATGATTCAAGAGGTAAATGATACGGTGGGGGGATTGAATCTGAGACACAAATTCGCGCGTCAATTGATCAGCCACAAGTCGCGACGCGACTCTTTCGTGAGTTCGAATCCGGCGGTTAGCATCCATTCAAATCACAACTCAAAAAGTTCTAGGTGAAATGGAGTGGCATATAGCATTCAATTATACAGGTATATACTTAAGACTACCAACAAAACCGAACACACGCACTCTAGGCTATGCTGTGAGTTGCCGCTCGGGTTTCCGCTCATTGACCACTTCCTGTGGGGTATCCGTCGGTTCTGGCACACTATCTGGTGGCATTGGTGCAGCATGCAACTTATCCACCTTTGCCTGTTCCTCCACCTCCAGTGACAATAGTCTGAATTCTTCTTCTATTTCTGCCTCGTCTAAGCCACCGTCTGCTGTCGCCATATCTCCTCCAAGCTTTATTACATCCTCCACCTCGCGAGCATCAGCGCTGGCAGCAGCCATGGCATCCATTGTTTCGTTGATATTATCCCTTTGAAGTGACGGGTGCGCAAGAATCTCCCGAAGAGTAGCAGTAGACGACTCATATGATTTCATGATCTTAATATCGCAAATACATAGTTAGACAAGCTGAAGGAAAAGCCGACAACTTGACACTAACCTCTATGTCTCCTGCAGCTGCTTCGACTCGGATCATCGTCGATCGTAACATGTCGAGTGACCCCAGCCTTTTCTCCAGAAGATCTTCAAGTTGTTTCTTGGATCGTAAATGGCTTAATGCCACATTTTTGCGCTTCTCTCGAAGTGCAGTTGATATCTTGCTGGAAGCTCTAAAATATGCGTGAGATGAGTGGGAGACAGACAGACAATTCACATGAATTTAAGCGTTACAGGCTGATTTTTTCTTGAATATCATCAATTTGCGCAGATATGTGTTCTACGGCTGATTTCAGTTCAAGGATACCTCGATCAACGGTGGTAACTCGTTTGTCTTTTCCGGAGTGAACGAATTTGATCACCTGAGAAAAGACATTTTAGTAAACATGAAAAGATCAATGTAGAAACGTATCGCACATCGTCGTCACACACGATGACTCCTCTCTCTCTTTCCAGGAATTTGAGTAAGACCTTGGTATCCAACTCACTTAACGATACACCAGAGAGTAGCTCCGCTCGGACATACTTCCTAAAACTATCGAAGGTAAAAAGACAGTCGGCGATAGTTGTGCTCTTTTCCGCGTGTATCACTTCTACGACATTGGCAGCTCGCTCTAAGAGCCATAACACCACATAATCGCCCTCGACTTTCTTCCACATATCTCCATCAGATTTAGAATCCTCAGATTGGACAATATCCAGCTGCTGGAGTGCCCACCACAAAGGTTTTCCGAGGACATAGGATGTGACCTTGAGTGGCGACCAGGTGGACTCATATATCGATTGTGATGCACTCAGATATTGGGACACAGATATCAATGCTTTCTTGGTGTTCAGTTCAGCCTATGCTAGTAGTTATATAGTCAGCTGTAGCGCTAATGGGAAAGGATGGGGCCTCTTACGATGACTGTAGCTAGTCCCGCCGGCTTCCCAACACCCTGTAACCTGAATGTTTCCATGAGATCTCTTCTTGCTTTCAAAACCAGTTTATTAGGTTGGCTATCTAGAATAGGTGAGCTCTGGGTAATTTTGTCATCCCAACTGCGCAACATGAATTCCTCAAGGGTACGGTGCCACCAGTCTACGTAGGCGTTGAAGGACGCGGCATTCGAGTGTTTTTGCCTGGAAATGTCTGAATAGAGCGACTGCAGACGAGACTGAGAAACAGATGAGTAGGTTGGTAAGGATGTCAGGAAAGAAGATGAAGTTGACATCGAGTCTCAATATTCTCAAATTGAGTGCAGGTGCGTATGAAAGTGAAATGAACACTGTGACATTGCAACGAATTTCCTAAATAAGGGATCTCCGACGTGGCTTTATGTAAAAGTGGCTAGCTAGCGTACCCAGGATCCGTCAATGGACGATAAGCAGAACCCACCCGAATAACCGTTGGTCTGGCATAACGCCTCTGATTTCTCTTCCCCTACAACCACCACCACCTTCACCGTCAGAAAAGAAACGTTGGAAAGCATGGGTTTCAGTGAACTTATGGGCTATATGTCCATTGCTTCCTGGCTGGGAGCTCAGTTTCCGTAAGTAACTTCTGTTATCCAGAATTCTTTGCATCGCATCTGAATTGCGTGCTATTGCGTCCTTACAGGCAGGTTCTGGAGAACATGAGACGAAAGTCCTGTGAAGGCCTGGCCCTCCCTTTCTTGCTCAATTGGCTAATGGGTGCGTCAATTATGTCTCGTGCAGCAATCTGGTACTTGATCCTCATCATTGTACATCAGGTGACATGTCAAATCTCATTGGATGTCTACTTACGCATCAGCTTCCGTTCCAAGTGAGTCACGGCTCTCATTGTATCGTTGTATGAACGTTCAACCTGACCCGCTCTCAGACTTATCTCGCGATATACTTCTGCTCTGTGGATTGTATTTTGCTGGGACAATACTTCTACTATGGCGGCGGAAAATCGCACCCACAACAGCATAAACATACCCGATCGCGCACTACATCCATTGCCGGTCGAGCGTCTTCTGAGCGGGGTGCACTGCACTATCGCGCGCTCTCGACAGTCGCAGCAAACGTCGCTGTCGTGGCTGCATTAGCTGCACAGCAAGATGAGCCAGAAGATGTACGATCTGGGAGGTATCACGACCGTAGCACCGACGAACTTCACGAGAGCTTGACGCATCCGAGCCACCAAGAGCCTCCAGCAGACGAAGCGGATAACGAGTTGTCCGCACTCACCGGAAGCTTCCACTCAGAAATGGGCCGCGTTAGCGGCAAACGCGTATCATGGAGCCAAGAACGCCGACGCGGAAATAGTGTGGGACATGGGCAGGCATCTTTCCTCCCTCCTACTCTGCAGATCACTGCTCCACGCGATGCGTCCTCATCGGCGAGGGGACGCTCGTTGCGACGAGAGGTAGACTCGAATGACGAGGAGGAGCAAACCGAGGAACGTAGGTCTAGTGCTCACAGAACGAGCTCTCGAGCGAGCCGCAGAGGGGCAGGTATGGTTTTCTTAGGTGTCTGGGGTTTGTTTGGTGTTGGTACGCTCGCAAGACGTCAATATACGTCCTGGCCTGAGAAGAGCGGTGATGTAGGGAGAGTGCTATCAGCGGACGCAGATTATGTTTCATTCATACCAGGCACGGAGGGTTACGATGGTGCATACGCCGGGGTAACATCAACACCTTCAAACTCTGTCCATGTAGTCTTCCCGTCGACGCCAAGTGGCACCTCAGGATTCTCGCAAGTCACTCTCAAGGAAGAGCCAGCGAACAAAAGGATAATTGGTCGCATTTTTGCATGGCTATGTACTGTGCTTTACCTAACTTCGAGATTGCCTCAGATATGGAAGAACGTACGTGAACCCATTTTGATAAAATTAAGACCATACTGACACGAACTACCTTATGCAAGTACGCTAGAAAGTCAGTTGAGGTGAGTCGAAACGCTTTGTCTAGCTACTTGCATTGACAATGCGATTTTGTTTTACAGGGCCTATCCATGTTTCTTTTTGTTTGCGCATTCCTTGGAAACTTTTTCTACGTGGTCTCGATCTTAACCTCTTCCAGCATGTTCCTACCTCCCCCGGGACCAACCGATTTCCTCAAAGAGACTATTCCGTGAGTGTTACTTTTGATCGACTCTCACTTTACTGAATTTTATATTCTGCAAAACCACTTAGATATCTGTTAGGAAGTGGCGGTACTTTCATGTTCGACGTTACTATCGTTTCTCAGTTCTACATCTATCGATTACGACCTCGATCCCGTGGTCGACGCAATTCCGTACGGGATAGCGAAGAAGCAGCTGGTTTGTTAGCCAGCGATAGCGCACTTGCAGATTCTTGTGACCATAACCAGAATCCAGGTGTAATACCTCATCCTAGAAGCCGGACTTCTGATACAAATGCCGATAGTTAATTGTACAATTATAATACCACTTGGAAATCCCTTGATATTCGAGGTGATACAACATCCAGATCAAATCCATATGTTCAAACGCGACATATTCTATAGGAAAGCCAGTGCGGTATGCAAGGTTGGAAAGTTCATGTAAAGTACCAAATATTGCCTTTTTAGCTTCCGTACCGCGACGCCACAAAATTTTGTTGGCATGCAAGTTGACATTCAACCTTCCTCGTCAGCAAACCACCACCAACTAACTCGAGTTTACCTCCATTGCGACAAGGCCTTGATTTTTGTTGTATTTTAGCGCTGGCGCTATAGCTCACGCAAAGAGCTCAAAACATGTTACTTCCCTATGTTGAAGACTCTTCCAAACTGCGCCGCTCGGTTTCTCCCAGTACTACCAAGCGATTATCTGTGAACGATGACGATGAAGAAATTCACATCATCACAGAGCCATCGCCTTCTCCAGAAGAGCCTGCGGATAGCGCGAAGCACAACGGCAAACGACCTAAACATGGTGGCAAGACCAACACCAATAGACATACTACAACGGCAAAGAAAGGCGTTGATTACCAGGAAATAAAGGAACAAACCGACGTCCCAGGTCCTGTGCCGGATACTGGCTATACACCAACAAAGGCGGTCACATTAGGAGCTCACAATTCGCAAACAATGTACTCGCGGGCTTCAACAACATCTTTTCACACATTTACCCCTCTCCCCCCATTGTTGACGAAGGAAACTGAAACAAGTGTACTGCATCCCAACCTAGTTTATTCAACGAATACTCTTATGAGTTCTGGAATAATTCGCCCTTCTGCTGCCACCTCTAGCGTTCATACTGGGAATAGTCCGCATCCTCCTCGAGCTATGATAGTCGGTTTTTCTGTCGGCGGTGCTCTTGTTCTAATAGGCATTTTTGTCTCAATCAAATTGATCACGCGTCCTCGTCGTAGAAAGACTCCGACGCCGTCATTACCCATTTTGCAAGATGGGATATTTAGCGATAAACCAGACCAAGAAAGTTCCCCTGTCTTTGGAGGGAAGGAATGGACCTCACCGACAAATGAAAATGAAAGTGGTCGCGGTAATACGGGTCTGTGGACATGGACACAATATCATTCTGGGATTCCAAAAGGTGCCGCTGCACTAGCGTCATCGGGGTCCAATATTTCAGTAAAGCCCGCGAGTGGCAAAGCCGTCAAGCAGCCCGCACAGGTCAAACATCAGTATCCCTTTTCTGTCCCAGGCGTTTCTTGCACCCAAAACCAAGCACCGCAACCCACACAGAATGCTATAACTCGCGCCGTTTCGAGGCTTTCTACGATTTCTATGTCACTTTATCCTGGTTCACCCGTTACCTATAATGAAGGTGCTAATGTTGGCGTTGCTATTGACGGTACTAGTACTCCGGGCACCGGCGGGCAGACGCTTACAAACCAGAAACGCATCGTTCCGTCTGGAAGCAGAAAAAAAGTGCTGAGTCAAGAAAGTTTTGACGACAACGTTCGAACTCCACGGCGTCAGAGTTTTGCTTATGGTGGCATGGACATCATCTCTCCTGTATACCCGACTGAAGTGGCACCCACCAACCCGACTAGTAATGGCCGTGCCCGCATCAAATCCACTTACTACACACCAGGCACTTATACCCGCTCGTCTACCGTCTTACCGCTGGTATCAAACTTCACGAGGGATCGTGACTTGCAGCATGGCGTCAATGATACGCCCAAGTTTGACTTTCATCATCAACGGGATACACATGCTCTGACTTCTGCATTGGGATTGGCTTCTCCTGCACTCTCTCTTCAGCCAACATTGTATCCAGATGACTCTTTGAGCGTCATTGGGGAATCCAAAAGGGTATCAATACGTGCTAATCGCTATCAAAAGAAGCCTGTTCCTAAATCCATGGATCAAAGCGATAAGCTGGCCGTCTCTTCCTCAGAGTCGGCAAATCTGGGGAACTTGATGCTTGTCGACTTTTCGGCTTCCAAGTCAACTGCGTCATTAGTCAATTTATGCCCGGCTGAAGTGACAAGGGATGGCGCTTCGAATTCTACAAGCGGAGGACGTAAAAAGCCAATTTTGAAGAAGGTGGAAGATAAGCCGCCCCGGGTCCCTTCTCCGCCTCCTTTGCCTTCACTTGCCCAGATGGCGCTGGCCCATAACAATCCCGATGCATACAATGATTATCACAGTCCAACATATAGCATCTACGGTCTTTATGACGATGACAGGAAAAGTTGTGCTACTTCGTATGGTTAAGGTGCCGCAACTTGGAGATGATTTTATAGTTTTAGATTGGGTGTAGTAGTGTTTGTGTTATTATCATGGATTTGTATTCATTACCTAGTCGAGAAAGCGCATGCATATGTGTTGTATGAGGACGCTGTAGCTTGATGCGCAGAAACACGTGACGATGTTGATACCTTCTTCAACTGGGAACTGTTGCAAATCGGATTAGCAGATGCGGGGCCGGCAAGCCGATTGTCGAGAGAAACGTGCAGCCGGGAACGGTCCGGGCGAGGGAACTGTTCCCCAGGTTCGGGCCGTGACGACCGGGGTCAAGCAAGAGGTCGGTTCATCATATAAAGGCCTCGAGATCATGCAACAGTCATAACTGCTCTGGCTTTCCTTCTCCTCCCACCTGTATTTCTTGTAACATGACAACTAACGGAACAAATGGTCACCACTCTATTTCTCGCCCATTGAAGGCTGGCATTTACGCTCCTATTCCTTCTTTCTTCTTGCCCCAGTCCGAAGACCTTGGTGGGTTCCTTGCGCTGTGTCCAAGTTTCAACAAAAGAGACTGAACATATCGTCTAGACCTTCCTTCCTTCGAGAACCATGTGGTCCGTGTTGCCAAAGCAGGCGTTGGCCTGGTCCTTTCCGGATCAATGGGAGAGGCCATTAATCTGTCGCATAACGAACGGGCGACATTGATCAAGGTGGCTAGAAAGGCTCTGGATAGCGCAGGTTTGCTCCAAGTTCCCATTATTTCTGGAATTGGAGCTGGGAGCACGAGAGAGACCATCGAGCTGTCCAGAGAAGCTGCAGACGCTGGAGCTGATTATGCGATCGCAATCACCAGTGGATATTTTGCTGGTGCATTGGCTAACAATAGAAAGGCTCTCAAGGCTTTCTTCCAGGAGGTGGGTGAGAAGAGCCCCATACCTGTTATAATCTATAACTGTGAGTTCGTAGCTTCGATTAGTTCGTGTTTTTCATTCACCTTAACCTTGCCAGATCCTGGTGCGAGTGGGGGGATTAATCTGGACTCGGACCTTATAGTCGAACTTGCTGTCGACTGCCCAAATCTTGCTGGGGTGAAACTCACGTACGTGGAATAATTCGCAAAGGAGTAATTTTTACTCATGTTTTGCAATAGCTGTGGTGATGTCGGGAAGCTCACGAGAATTGCTGCCACGGTGTCTGACAGCTCCTTCTCGTCGCTGCATCCACGGAAAAATGCAGATGCTCCCTTCCTCGTACTCGGTGGTTTCACCGACTTTATACTGCCTTCAACGTTTGTGAACGGTCATGGTGCTATCACTGGCCTGGCAAATGTTTCGCCGGTGAGTGACCTTTTGATTTCTAAACCCGATACTATACTTACATGGAGACAAAAAGCATGCCGCCGCGAAGCTATTTGAGCTCAGCGTTGCATCTCTCAAGGACCCTTCTCTCCTGCCAGAGGCTCAACGGCTGCAAGGTATTATCGCCCGCGCTGATGCGACCGTCGCGAAGGCTTCGATCTCTGGAACAAAGTACCTGTTAGAAAAGCTTTATGGTTATGGTGGTCGTCCAAGAAAGCCGCTACCTCCGATAGAATCCGGACCAGCCGAAGCTCTATGGCAGCATTCACACACCCAAGATCTGGTGCATCTGGAGCGGGAGCTCAGTGGGAAGGGCCATTAGGCGACGCTGAGCATCCGGTGAATGGAGAAACACGGTTGAGTGATTTTGTATATGCATAACATATGGATGAGATGTACACGTAGGTTACTTCATTGGCTTTGATTTATGTGCTATATATATTCTGAATACTTCGAGGTCGTCCACAGTAAGTTTAGTTTTAGTCGATGTGCCGAAAGCATCTACCGCTGTCACTATGCTTCCTCCACGTATCCTGGTGGTCGAACGAGTGATGAACGATTTACGCATCGAAAGTAGTTTTACGGGCGGATATATGACCTGAATCTGGTGTTCTACAAATCGGACGTGCGATGACAGCGTAAGAAAACATGTTACTGCTAGCGGCCCGGCGATGCCGTTATGCCGACTTACTCAGCGACCTGTCCGATCAGCTCCCGTGACTCGCTATCTCTTGACGATCATGCACCATGGCCTTGCCTTGAGTGTGCCATCGAACGTTGAATATCTGCATAAAAAGTTATAAGGAGAGGAAGAACGTTCAGAGACAGTCAGAATGGCTCCGAAGGATATTGGTCCCCAGAATTCTCCACGGGAGGTCACCCGCCTTCTACACACTTTGAGGTGAGTTCTAAATTCTGGCTGCAAACTGCCCAACTACGTACCTTGAATCTGAATCTATTATTCCATTCATCGTCCTGAAGAGATGAGCAGTTTCGACACATGCGGAATATCCAAAAAACTCGGCCTAAACCACCTTCATTCTACATGCACGATAATTCCAAACCATCGTTGCCGATTGACTTGATCCACCCTCCAATCACACAGGGACATTCTGGGCAGAATGAATTTCCCATTTTTCGGACTGCTGGACCAACACCTCCTCGAAGTTGGACTGTTCGCTCACAGAAAGACCGTATCGATTATGATACACCGGCATGGCGAAGCCACGCTCTCTCAATGGTCCTGTCAAGTGCGGCCACTAGAACTCGAACCGTAGGCGACGGCAGTGACAAATCACCCATACCATCTCTTACCCTATGTTGCCTCAGCATCCTTCGTGCATATTACACTGATGATGATTTCTCGCAAGTAGTGCCTTTCATACCCCCGCATCTACGTCGTAATCTTCTAAACCATACCGCCGTTCACTCGCCTCTCTCTCAGATAGAACTGCGTGCGTTATGCAGCGATAATGGCCATGTTGATGGCGAGTTGATAGTGGTTGGTCCGCAGGCCTCTCTCCGCAAAGACCACTTTCTGCGATCGCATGACGTCAGTATGAGTGACACTGTGGATGTGGAGCATGAAGAGTGGTCTTGGGATGCTCCCATGTTGCAGAGCGATGATCCACCACTGCACACGTTGGCTCTACTGTCCACATCTCTACCTCTTTCAACATACTTAGCGCTCCCTCCAACGATATCTTGCCTGGCCCTCGTGAATATAACGTCGGCGTTACCCCTTCATCGGCTTCATATAATATGTCCTCTTTTAGTGGTGCTTGATCTTTCATATAACAAATGGTTAAATTCCCGCTCCCAGAAAGTTGGCAACACTACCATTTTGGAGGATGTGGAATGGAGCAAGTTACATTATCTTCGATATCTAGGACTGAGAGAGTGTCAGGTTGCACCCAAAATGTTAGCAGTACTTAATAAAGGGCGATGGGATGACGTGGTCGTTATTCAATAAATTATTGACTATGATTCTCAATGTAAACAATGTGGCGGGACTATCGCCGTGGTGGTGCTAAAATTGTATAATACAGGCCCAATGGAAGGTATCGGTAGTGGTGGTTATAAAAAAGTTCTTGATGAATGCTGGTCGTCTCTTCTGAATCAAGAATGCATCATGTCTTGATATCGAGGAATAATTTCAGATCGAATGCGGGTAGGTACTTCACGGGCTGGATGAGTGACCTGTACTATTGAGATATATATCAATGCGCACCTCAGTAGGTTCCTTTGCTGTGCCAGTCTGCTGTTCGCTGGGAGATGTACTGCTTTGGCTTACAGGCGGCAAGCGCAGACCGGTTGGCCTGCTTGATGACGGCGGCGCTTTCACTTGTAGGTCGTGCAAGATCGCCCACAGTGTATGTGTGAACCTTACACCAAATTCCAGACGAGAGATTGGAGGGTGGTTCGTGTGAACTGCTTAAAAGGGGTGGTAAGAGTGTGCACTGAGGCCCGCAGTATTTCGAAGGGAAGAACGGACATAGTATGGCACCATCAATCTGATCTGCAACCCTGCCCCTTCGCTCCTGGCTCATATACTTGCTCATGGGACTTCTCTCAGGATCCTTATAGGCGAGCAAGCCGACAACGTTTTCCAGTTCTTTGAGATAGAGATCTTGATCAGTTGACTTCTCGAGCCTACCAGCCTCTGTGTTCAGCTTCTGGGCACGAGATAGTAGGTCCATCTGATGCTGTTCATCGTCTTCAGCGACGTTCGTTGTGTCTGTGACTTTAGGCACAGATTCGAAGGCCATTTTTGAAGACGGTTCAGGGGGGGTATACAAGAGGGGGATGGTGCGGCAGGCTTCAATGAATGCCAGAATGTGCAAATTGAGGGATAGATGTGCAGGGTGGACGGTGTTCGGTAGGACATATTCAGCTCGCTTGGATGCGGATTCATTCTGCCCAGGCATTCGGGTTTCCACCTCAGACAGATCTAGAACATTGGGGAAATGCTTGTTGAGGAGTGTTATAGCCTCGTCCACTTGACCTGAAAGAATGCACAGCCGAATATCTAGGAGAGACGATATGCTCGTGGGTTTTCATGTGAAAGAGCGACATTGTGAACGCACCGTTTCTGAATTTGATGTTATTGAGTGTACCCTCCGACAAATCTGGGGACATCTCCTTTGCTCTTGACGACGTTATTTCATTGCCATCTGCGTCGAGGTGTCTTACTGCACTATCTCTTGCAAATGCTCTCGCTGTGCTCGTATAACAATTATGACAGAGATACTGGAGAACGAGGGCACGCTACATAAACATGCGACAGGAGCTATTGTCAATGTCATTGTACAAGACACCCTTAAGACTGGTACGCACAAGATCATCCGGTCTGGGATCAGAAAATTTGGAGTTATCCATCAGCAGCTTGTCACTACAGGATTGCTGCGACTGTGTTTTCTGCGAAGAAGTATACGATAATGGAAAGGTGGGATGTAAAGAAGATAGCTCAAGGGGTAAAGCGGCACAACTTGAATAACTAATTATAGTCGCCGGTTTGAACCTCGCGGCAATCCAGTGCAGGGCTATTTCCAAATCAGTTGGCACTGTTAGCTGTGCATGAAACCAGGCTAAGCCTATAGCTCATAGATAAGACCTATATTCTGTATGTATGAACAGTATTTCAATGCATTAAGAAGTCAGACAATGTGAATAATGATACACAGTGCGATGTCACGATGTCAATTAATGAGCTGTTAAGCTGATGTGAGAGTAGTATTGTAGGACGATGACCACGGTACAGTTTCTTTTGAATTCTGGAAAGCGACGTCTGCAAAACTCAACCGATTTGCAATTGAAACACAGCATACGAGAACTGTATTCGGCAATCCTACCAACGTTTGTGGGGTAGCCAACCATTCAGCAGCAGGCTCGTTATTGGCAGAATAGAAAACCAGAGGTTCAGCGCCTGCCATCATAAGGAACTATGAAAAGAAAATAGTCCAAGTTAGTAGGACATGGAAATGCAAGAAATGTAAACCCGACGCACCACTTCCCCGGAGTGTAGCCGATTATAGAAGTGAAGAAACTGTTTTTCCCCTTCATTGCCTTCAGAAGCTTCTGCCGTGACCCGCGCACCGGTCCTTTCTCCTTGCAGTGTATGAATGAGAGAAAGGGCGCAATTCTGCCCATAGAAAGTACCAGGTGGTCCTGTCCGGACGTTATCAATGATTGTATCAAGAGCAGCAGAACCGTTTTTGGTATATATATCTTTGAAGGATACTGGGATGGACATTGAAGTATTAAAAGTCACAGAGAATGCGGGCCGAGAGGCACTTGAAAAGGTCTAATTCAGTACGATTTGTGCATGGGGTAACAATGCGCTGACCTGTCGTTATGCGTCCCTGGTGGGGAAGCATGACTATTGGACACACCGAGATACCTGGCCGATTGTCAGCCGAGCTAGTAAAATATACTGCGGTCGACTTACAAGGGACCAAAGATAGTGGACGACTTCCATGCTGCAGATATATCACGCGACGAGGGCAGAGCAGACGGGCTTGTCTGCTTGTTTACCTCCACAGAACTCCAAATGAAAGCGGCAAGTAAGTAAAAGGAAGAGCAATTTCAGAACAGAGTTAATCACCTTTGCGGGGCTTCTGCATCTGCGGCCGCACTGGATTTTGGGTTTCCAGCAGGAGCATCTTCTTCAAAATCTGATAAATTTGTGGCGTCCTCGTTTATTCCGGCAATATGCAATAACTCATCACCAGAGGGTGCCGGCTCAGAGGCCTTGACCTTGGCTTTTTCTTCCCTTTTGTCACCAATCTCTTCTGTTTCGCTCTCAACACCAAAAAGCTCCTGGTCTATGTCAATAGCAGCGTTGCCAGCAGGATCAGAGTTTTCCAGCGATAGGTCTGCAGCCGGAGGCGGCTTGAAGGTCCCTTTCACAGTCGTCAGCTCGCCTTTATGTGCTGTTAACAAAGAACTCCTGTTCTTAGGACGCCCTTTTACAGGACGATCATGTCTGCTGCTTGAATTGGGCGATTGAGATGCCATAGACGAAGCCATACCAGATGAGGATCCATTTTGAGTGCCCCCCTGAGCAGACCGCCCCAATAAACGAGCCTTCACAGATATAGCACCTTCTCCGCGCGGCACAGATAGTGGGTCATCTACGAATCTGACCAAAGGCTGAGCAGCTCGTGCACGATGAGAAGGCACTCGGGGTGTGGTAGAAGGTCTTGGAAGGGAAGCTATGTCCTGAACGGCACGGTCAACGAACGGCGGAGAACCACTAAACAATGAATTGGGAGATGTGACGCCTTTGGGAGACTGAGATAGCTTTGACGGTTGAATACGAATTGAAGCCTCGTCATTACCAGGGTGTTGTAGGTCGGCAAAGCCATTGCCTGCACCAACCTCTCCCGAGTCGCGAGTACCGCTGAAGCGTCCACGAGTCAACTCCGGGGAAGGTATCAACAGCTCGTCATCGTCCATATCTGAACTGATAACAATATTCCTTTCATCCATATTCGCGCTTGTGCACGAGGGCGGCGGCTGCCTGGATTTCTTAAGGCTGGAAGGTATAGGAGATGAGAGACTACCACCCGCGATTGTATGCTTGTAGTTTTCCTTCGTAGCCCCTTTTGAAAGAGGTCTCTCCTTGAAAGCACCTCCTCGCCTACGTTTTGCCTGGGGTTCTTCTACAAGAGCAGAAGAACTCTGTCCTTGCTTCTCAGCTGGCTCTAGTTCTTCAGGCTCGCATAATAGAGCGCGGCTTGCTGGAGATTCCTGGTTCAGCGCACCGCTTTGTCTATTCTGTGATCGCTTTCTCTTCCTTTGTCCTTGGAGAGAAGGATCAGTACCAAAGTAAGGGAGGATAGGGTGGTACATACTTGGAGGCCCAATTGGAACAAATTCCTCTCCCATTTTAAAGAGTTTACCATCATTGAAATCGCGACCACCTGTATTAATTCTGTCCCAAAATGCCTGTAACATATGTTCTGAACCATCAACAAATGATTCCTTTGGTTCCCATCTAAGGACCAGAACGGACGATCCTCAGAAAACTGAGAGTGAACTAGAAGAGAACATGCTCACGTGTTATCGCAGTGATCATAACCTTTCCACTGTGACGCCTCACTTGAGCACGAGCTCAAGGACTGTTTACACGATGCCACTCACTTTTATAAGATATTTCTGTTCAGAGAGAACCAAGAGGCAGTCAGCATGATCTATCCCGAGTGAACGCCATGAATATATTTACCCAGTGTGCTTTGCCACCTTTTTTTGAATCAAGACGAGCCCGTGTGATAGATTCTGCGAGATATGGTTAGCTCAAGCTGTGGCGAATTTAAGAGCAAAGTTCCGCAATAACATACCAACTTCGTACTCTTCGTCCATGGTTGTGCGTGTCTAAAGAGCAGTCTGAAAACGAGGTCACGGTGTCGGTCACGGAACCTCGCACATCGGAACCGGATTCAAAAACTCTACACATTCGGACTCCGGAGCGCGATCGATACTTTTGGGTGACTGGGGTCTTATACAGATCTTACCCTTTCACGCACCAATTGCAACTTCGAGTTTCAAGAATAAATTTGCCTACAGTGACAAAATATAATGTTCAAGATTTTGGAACTGGAATTACATAGACAAGATGCATATACATTACGTGGAGAACTTCAAGAACGAGGAAAGCAAATTCAAAAGTGTACATCACTATGCAGTTATCAATAAGATAGTGTCAGTAATTTTCAAGGTCGTGGGGTAGATGTCCGTAAAATTTGGGTGTAACTGAAGGCTGGATATACCATCTTTAGGTATCAAGGATCGTCATTAGCCTATTAGTGCATGGACAACAATCTTCCTGCAATAAGGCAATCTTTCACCCATGAGAGGTGAACGAGTTTCACACCGTCCTGGCGTAGGGACACGCCCGCTTCGCCATTGTCTTTAACGACAACATAATCAAAAGAGGCCAAATCGCTTTTCGAGGCGTATTTAATGTCGGACACAGCCTCCACACGGTCCGCTCCCATGGCAAGTATAATATAGGGTACCGTCCGACTTGCTTCTTTAGCTCGTTCTGCATCTGAGTTGACCTGTCGGAGGGGATACGTCAGTACAGGACATGAAATGTCAGGGTTAATTGGCATACCTTCTTGGCTCTTGGCAACGGCACAAAGTCAGCACCAACACATACGACCGATTTGAGGCTGAACAACTTTGAAGCCACTGGGTTGTACATGATTTCGCTCAGATGCTCGGGACTGTTGCCCCAGTCCATATCTATAAGTTGTGACACCCGTGCGTGCAGAACTTCAGAGAAACCTGCAGGAAGCAAATACGACTGCCATTCCTTCTCTCTTTCCCCTCCCTGGGGACATCAGCTGGAATCTAAATAGATAAGATAGCAAATGTTCTTACCATTTTGAGGCCTCGAAGAAGCCAATCAAAAGAGATACATGGAATCCCCAGAGCAAGAGCAATGAGAAATTTTGGCTTTTGATTTGCATCATCAGACAGGAGGAAAACACGTTCTATGCCATATTTCGGATTCCAACGGATATCGTCCTTCAAAGCGACCCAACGCTTGTTGCCCTGGCTATGCGTGCCATTCATAAGAAAGATGTTCGACCATTCCTCGATAACAACCCCGCCATGACTCTTGATCAAGCTCGTGACGGTGTCTCTGTCTGCATCCCGATTGGAGTTGGTAGCACTAAGAGTAACCACTAAGCCTGTCTTGGCCAGTACTTTGCTTTCGCTTTTGGTAGACGTGGTGCTCTGAATAGACACCTTAGATGGCGAAGGAGTTGCTTTGATTGGTTTAGGTTTGACCATGGCGACGATCAACTCTGCAGAGAGCATCCGATCTTTCCATTGGCTTGCGAGCGTTCGGCTGGCGATTCTGATGTCGGCGGTTTCGACTTCTGAAGTGATGACTTTGGACCCATTGTCAACTTCAACGCGAACCACACCTTCGGTTTCAAGTCCATCGGCGTAAGTCACTTTTCCTCTGAGACCTCCTTCAACCATAATGACATTATCGCCAACCTTTAGCTGGCAACGGCGCATTCGTGTGATATCTACCACGTCCTCGGTGTTGTCGTCGAATTTAACCAAATAACGCGTAGATGACGGACTTTGCAAGGAATGGACAGTACCAGAGTAGTAATGTCCATCCTGCTTCCACAACGCGAATACACGTGTCGGAGGTTCAGACATCGTTCGACTTGCTGATGCTACTGACCGCAACCGTTTGGCAGGTCGCATTGATGGAGCTGGAGTGACAGATTGTTTACTGGTCCTTGTCGAAGCCCTTGAAGCAGCCCGTAATGGCTTAGCGTCTGCCCCACGTTTGCGTTTGCGAGAACCTACATCTATCTCTTGCTTTGGTGAATCGACATCCATATCATCATCAGCTGTGGGCTCAAAGTTGTCTTCCTCCTCTTCCTCCTCCTCCTCTTCGTCGTCTGTAACAGGTGCAGATTTCTCGCGATTGTTAACACCAGAGTGGCCATGATGCTGATTAGATACCGCTGCATGCCCTGGTCCAGCTCCTCGGGAAGGCACTTTCTCTGGGACCTTTTTCACAGCCCGACTGCGCTTTGCTGAAAGAACGGCAGCAAGTGGTACTTCTGTCTCATCTTCATCCTGGGTCTCTTCTTCAACAGTATTTGTTGGCTCAAAAGAATCGTCCACAACCTCTCCTGGTGGAGAATTCATACGACTTTTCCCTTGAGGCACCTGCCGTTTCACTGGAGTTTGAACCTTGGGCTGCGAGCGATGTGTAGGAGTGGATGCTTGTTGTTCTGCACGGGTTGGTTCAGAATCGGGGATAATCTCCGTTGTATCGCTGTGTACGTGAATTCGGCGAGGTCGGTGATTTGTTATTGGCTGATTTCCCTCGTCTGCATTAAGTTCGTGAGCGTCATTAGGACCAGAGCTTTGAACAACGACTTCAGCTGTAGCGTCGAATGATGGAACACATTGTGTGTCTGCGCTACGAGAAGGAGGTGGAACTTTACCCTTATCCCCGTGCTCCTTTAACATACGATCCAGCCGCCACTTCTTATCTGGATTCACCATGGAAAATATACTACGTGGAGCACTGGAGGCTACAGTTGGGATCGCAGCGGGAGTTAAATGGGACGAGGCCATGTGACTACCTCCAGGAATTGCGTTGTCCTCGACGTTGGGTTCGACATCGTCAGGTTGAGTAGCAGGTAGCTCCGTGGGCTGCGTGTCTTGAAGTGGTTCGGATGGCTGAGTGGGCTCAGAATCTCTTTGAATATCACCATGGCTCGATTCCCGATCGAGAAGCCTCTCGTAGGATGAGTTGAGCTGGCTAAATTCGAACGTCTGTGTCGATTCCTGGTGGTCATGATTTCTGCTATCACTATAAGACTGATCATGAAAGAAGTCATTCCTAGACTGAGATTGCGCAAACTGTGAGAATTGCGACGACTCTGAGGAACTCGCTGAATAGGAGGGAGTACCGGCGATTTTGGTGGCGTCGGCATTAGAAGAGTGAGTAGTAGACTCGCGGGCCTTCTCTGCAGAATAAGCTAGCATTGCAGCGCTCATGAAGGACATCTCTTCTTGGGGTCCAGACGTAGTTTCTTCTGCAATAGGAGCCCCTTGCGTTGACACTGTTCCAAGGTCGGAGAGTGGCACATTGAACTGCTTATTAGAGGCAAGAAAATATTTTTCGTCATCTTGTGACACAGCACCACCAAAAGAATCCTGAGACGAAGAAGGTGGAGGACTATTAGGGTATCGGGTGGTAGGAGCTGCCATAGATTTGAGGTTAGTGATAGGGATAGGTTGATTCTTCTCGATTGAACGAGACAAGTGGGGAGGAGCAACTTTTGAATCTAGTGGCAAATTTACTGTAGAACAACGATGATCCTTTGTTGACCACTTACCATAATGTTTCCTTTGAGGATCCTTTGTGTTACTAGTCGAGACAGGCCGTTCGTGGCGTATAGAAGTTTCATGAAGTGACGTTATGCTGGGGGGCGATGATGATCCAGGTCGCGTGGGTGCTTCGTGTCTACTCTTGCTCGATGTTAACCCAGATCCTTTCCGTGCGCCACTGTGGTCAGGTTGTGCTACACGCTCATTCTGACTTTGCGTTCCCGCTAAACCATGGAATCGATATTTTGGAGCAATATTTCTTATTGGCGGTATCATAGAGTCAGATGAAAACTCCTGCGTTTCATTAATGTCGTTTTCTGGTCTGTTGGAAACACCATCCTTCGACCGCCCCACGCGTCCTGAGTCCACAGCCGTGACCTTGGATCTGCTGGGAAGCACATTCTGCAAGATTTGTGTTGGCTGAGACTCAAAAGGATCACTTTTCGTATTCAAGTATATCGTGAAAAGGTGAGACCATGATTGTGAAGCCAACAGAACGCCGCATAAAAACGCACCTCAAATTGTTGAATAGGTCCATGTCCCCTGTGGTCACCAACGCGCTAGATAAAACTTGTCTAGATAATCCTTATCCCCGACCGAGAAATATTAGTTCACGCTGTTATACTTGGACGCGATGGCCAACAAATAGCGGGTAGTATGTATGCCCCACTCAGGTGTGGAACGCGACTGGTGCACAACATTCAGGCGCTAAGCGTTTTACTCTCGGCGAAAGGTAGGGCTGTGTATCTGTATTTGCACTGTGGCGACTATATAGCTCTCTGTAAGTAATCCACCGTGGTTATGTTCTTTTGTATACATGAAGACTTGTTTCTTAGGCTCTGATTCCTTCACCATCACAACTCGGAGATTGCAGATCATCTCTAATCAAATCATAATCAGGTTTTGATAATGGCGCCTCTTCGACTACGGCATCCTGAGGGTGTATCTACTATTCAGCTTGATCTGAGCACTTCAACCGTGGAAGGACTGCAGGAGGAGATATACAAACTGTCTGGAATACCTCATTATCAGCAAGAGAGTATGTCTTATCATCTGACAAGTCGCTCCGATGAGTTGGAAACGTCTAACCTACACTATCCCTAGTCAAATCGGGATATCCACCACGAGCTCATGTTATCGTCCCCGAACTTCCTCTTTCAAGCCTGGGATTGAAAGCAGGAGATCAAGTCATTGTTAGTAGGAAGGCAGGCTTTACCGTTCAATCTTCCGCAACGACAACCGGCAGGTCCGATGCTATATCCTCTGGCTCAAAGCTGGTTTCGGGTATCTCACCAAGGCCAGAAACGGTCTCTCAGCAGCCACAGATATCTTCGAAAGCGACCGGTCCCGACTCTGTCGCCACTGATGGCGGTTTCCTGATTCATAGAGTGCGCATATAATCCAATCTCGATTATTCTCTAGGGATTATAACGCACATCTTTAGGTCGTACCAGATGACAATTCATGTCTTTTCTCATCGGTCGCCATTGTGTTCGAGCAAGACATCGCTAAAGCCACCCACGTCCGCAAAAGTAAGGATATGTAGACAATACCCGTCGAGTGGAAGTTAAACTGTGCATTGCGTATCCGTAGTTGTCGCCGATGGCATACGAAGTGATATGGAAACATACAGCGAAGCTATTCTGGGGTATGCAAAATTTGCATATATCCAAGTAACTGGATAATGCTCGCATAGTCCTGACTTTCCTTTGACATATCTGATAGCTGTCCTCGCGACCAATATATCGCAACCATCCTTAAACCATCCACCTGGGGCGGCGCCATCGAATTGTCGGTCCTTGCCAAACATTATGCCACGGAAATAGCTTCTGTCGACGTGGAAACTGGTCGGATTGATCGATTCGAGCCTCCCACAGACATGCAATCAGGAAATCGGTCAGTAATTGTCCAGAAACCGGGACTTATGTACTCATGCATCATGTACAGTTGTATCCTGGTGTATTCCGGCATCCACTACGATGCTGCATCTTTGTCGCCTATGGAAGATGCACCACCAGAATGGCATCAGACGGTATTCCCTATTGTATGCGTAGAGACCTTTCACACACATTTCCTGTGCACTAAACAAAAATCATATAGGTTGCTGCAGATGCCCAAGATCCAATTCTAGGAGCTGCGAAGAAGCTTGTAGATATCCTACGTTCCAAGAGGGCATTCACGAACACTTCTACCTTTGATCTCAAATGCCAGGTATCTTTTCTCAGCATCATGTTGATATGTTCGCCGTGCTAACAAACTCCTGACCATGTAATCAGGATTGTGGTCAAGGCCTGAAAGGAGAGAAAGGTGCAAGAGAACACGCACAGCAAACAGGGCATGTCAGATTTGGAGAGTATTAGCTACGCAAGCAGCGGGAATGAATTGTATAAACACCCCAAGTCACAACATGTGTATAATATGCAGAATTCACTCATCGCTAAGTACTTTATGTGGGTGATGATTACACACATGCTATGTTTGTATTTATTGAACGTTAAGTATGTATATAAATTCTTAGAGTACTGTATGCCATGTACTCACTAGTATTTTGCGGGAGGCAATACAGAATGCGCTAACTTGAAGGCACAAGCACAGCTGAACTCGCGAGCTCCATAACTACTGGAACATGGTCAGAGGCGCCGTATATTTCGCTGCGGATCTCGCACATCTTGACGTGTTCGGTAAGACGCTGACTGAGCACAACTGTTATGTTTGGACAGAGTAAAATAGTTAGCGTATACTGCACATCTAATACTGCACATCTAAGTTTGAGCGACCTACATGTATCAAGTCTCCAGCCAATTCCTTTGGTCCTGCAATTAAAGCGGTATGAAAAGTAGGTATAATGACGATCCTCCGGGTGATTGTGCCTCCAAACATCGACGAATTTCCCAGCGTCCACAGCAGATTCAGGAGGGTTAAGAATTCGTGCAAAAGCTTCAGTTTCATCCTTGGTGTAACCGGGCGTTTTATTCCAATTCGACTTTGCATTTGCCAGATCTACCTAGGTATTAGCAGCGAGAGCGATGTTATAGCAAGGACTTACCTATTGCTGTTGGTGCCACATTTAAGTCACCCATCCATATTACGGGTTTCTTCTTGTCCAAATCGCGAATATAAACTTCGAAATGATGGTTCCACACATTCTTTGCATCCAATGTCTTTGACAAGTAGTTGAATCGCGTTTAGGCTCTTGCTAAGAAGAAAATACACTTACCTTTAGACCTTGCCCAGCATTTACCACATAAGTGGCAATTAAGTAACAACCCTCGAATTCAAGGGTTATAATCCGGCCCTTTACCTGATCTGGATCTGGATGCCCAGGAAGAGTCATATCTACTGACAATGGTTTATGTTTCGAGAGGATCGCAGTCCCAGCTACATATTCGTTTAGTCACTGAGAATAGGTGGTACATGTATGAATGAGAGCTGACAATATGTTTTCTTTGCAGATATTGACCAGGTTTGAAAAGGAAACCGTGCTTTCAATGATGGATCCACCGGGATATCATTCACCTTAACAAGATATAAACATTTCAGATTGTGGTGCACGATATAGGTCACAACCTTTGTCTCCGTTAGGACAAGGATGTCAGGATCTTCAGCCTCAATGTAATATCGAAACCCCTTTCATGGCGAATTCGTATGAACTTTGATACCAGTCATAATCCACATACTAACCTTTTTCTGACTTGCTGCTAGTCCACAGATATTCCATGTTGCAAGCTTCAAATGTCCTTCTGAGGAGGGAGGAAATGTGATAGTCACTGGTAGCACTTTATTGGTTGGTTGACCATTGGGGGCTATTGACGTTTCTTTTGAGGGTTCAGGCTCATCTTTTTTCGTCTTCTTTGAAGAGCGCGTTTGTGATGTCTCTTCGTCATCAGACAAAGGCGCTTTGCGTTTTGCTTTTCCTTTGGGGGGCATGATGGGTGAAAGGCAAAGAAATGTGGACCGTAACGGAGTTCTGGGTGTTGCTCGGCTCTAAAATGAGCAAAGTAAGTCACGTGGAATTCACATGATCGTGTCAATGCACGTGAGTTTTCAACTTGCTGTCAAGTTTTATAGTGTCCTACACTTACATCGTCTGGAGACTGGATCGCCTTGTTCGTCAAGCTAGAACTTGACTATGTGTTATTAGTTTTCTATCCTCTATCCTCAGCCTTGCAATTCATCTTCCAGTGCAGTTGAAGGGAGCTTATTTTTGGCGAGTTTTGTCACCCAGGAGTTAACCGAAAGTGCTAGTGCTCCGAGTCCGATCTGCCGTTTGTACGGTCGCATACTTCCAGTTAGTGTTTTCTTTGAGCCACATCCTTAAACCATATAAACTGAAGATTTACTTAAACGTGGCTTCAGGTGTACACTGTTTCTGTTCTACATCTCCTCTTAACGTCAATCGAATGCTCACACATCGCGGTTACTCTGCCTGGATTGTATCCGAAGGCACATCTATAGAAGAACATTTGGTTGCTGTCGACTCGAAAGCCCATCGAGTATCTTGCTGGATACCTTGTGAACCAGGAAAGGTAGACCTTAATTATTGACGCTATTGGCATCAGGGCTTACCAAACCACCCCAAGACCTTTGCGGTTCACTGGAGTGATGAAGGGTCCAAAGTCACATCTTGCGCTTTCATAATTCTCGATGGCTTCACAGTTCCGGGGCGGTTTTTGTTCGGAGAGGGTAGTGCATCGAGGGAAGGTATCAGGACGGGTGATCTAACCGAGAGACCATTTGTGTTTGCAAGACATGACAATAGTGGTGAGTATGTTCCACTTTTCGGAGAAGCACCACTCAGCTCTCTATGAAGAAACCGGCAGGCCCGAAGAGGCCAACAGAGATGTCGGTATGATTGTTCTCAAGGTCAAACGGGTTCATCTCTGTGGAAATCGCCCTGCGAACAAAGCGTTGAGTATCCCAGACTCCAACCAAAGTCGAAACCAAATTGGAGGAGTTTGCGTTAGGTGCCACAATCCAAGCTTCGCAGGTAAACTGTACTTACACTGCACGGTTGATTGAAGGTACGGTGATGAGAGAAAGACGTTCGAGCAACATCCCACGACCTGGCAAGTCAAGCCTTATGACGAAGACAACAATCGTTCCTACGTTACTTTCGTTTTCCGATACAGACCACGAGGTATGCCGACCATTTTAGCCAGATTTTATGGTACTCACGGTATATCTCAGAATTTCTCCAAGCGCAAGGTATAATGCCCGACGAGAAAGAGTCGAAGTCCGCACAGAAAGCTATCGCACCAAAACGACGAGTTGTGCCTGCTGCAGCAACGCTGACACCTAGTCCAAGTCCTAGCCCAATTATGAAAAAAATGGAAGCCAAGCTTGATCGCATGGTGAGTTCCTCTGAAGATGTGAAGGTGAGACACCCCAAACGATTTACGCACGTAGAGCCCCTCGTTGCGACAAGCATTTTACCCTAGCCCGACCCGCCCGCGAACAACTCATCCCAACAACTATCGAACGGTCAGCACAAGAAGTACTGATAGTAGCGATCGGTACCCTGGGGAAGGCTTGATCTTGTTCGATGACTCGTCTCCTCCCAAGGAAGCGGACACACCGCAAAGAGAGTCTACGACTTAGAATAGCGTTGAAGGGATATCGAAGAAGATGAAAGTGGAGCACCAAGAGAGAGGAGTTTTGAGATGGAAGGCGAGTTGAGTCTAATGTTTTCGGTTATATTTGAGGATTTGTTATCTCTGCTATTGCTTGCTCTTATTCCGCAATCGTGTTATCGCATTATCGTTGTGTCAATAAATTTGCTGTCCTTGTACTGTTTTCTTAAAGATATCAGAGCGATTCTGAGCGAACCATGTTTGATTTTGTCAAAGCAAAGCTGGAGGCGTGGGGAACGCCATTGCATTGTTCTGGAGAACAATGATCTTTAAATGTGTTACGTAAGGGGCTCAGCGGCTATTGCATCGCTGACTTCAACAGCCATTCCGAGTCCCTTCAAGCAAGTTGCCATACGTTCAGGCTATTTCTAAGCTTTTCTCGCCCATCCTTATCTATCACGTTTACGCCTTTACCAAGCACTCGACATGGCTCCAAAACGGAGGCGACGACCCTCACCATCTTCAAAAGGTTTGGCTGCGGGCGAACGTCTCAAGCGAAGCAAGCTTGTTGGGAACGAGTCTTCTGCATGGGGCTGGGTGGGCACAGAAGTTTCAGACCCTTCCCACATCACCATGGAGCACCGTTTGATGACATGCGGTCTTTCGAGAAGAAACAAGAATCCATGCTGTCCTAATAAATTCGCACCTGATCAGAGAGACCGTTCCAAAGGTCCCAAGCACCCCAAACACGAGGAACAAGTTCATGGAGAGCCAGAAGATGTGATCGTCGTTTCTGATGAAGAAGTTGCGGAATGCAGTAGCAGAGCTTGCAAAAGCAACCCGAATTGTTTGAATTACCTCGGTCAAGAAAAATGGGAAGATGAAGGTAGAGTTCATAATATATGGGTCAACAAATGCGCGCTAAAATATAAATATACTTTTCTTTTCTAGAAAAGGCCAGACGATCTTTCTTGCTGCTCTCCGACCTCGGAGAAAACCCAGCTTATGATGCCCGAGATTCGAATCTTCCTGTAGGATTGAAGGCAGGTGCCCTGGTTCCCTCGCCAACAGCTTTCTGACCTTTCGGCAGAACTTAGGAGCCACATGTTATGCAAACGCTTTCTTGCAAGTGAGTCCAATCTTTATCATTCACTCACTTTGAATCACCAACCATTCTAATCTAGGTATGGTTTCGGGACCTTGCCTTTCGCAGCGGGGTCTATCAATGTCAACCTTCACAAGACACTGAACATGAATATGAGGTGCGTCGATGACGGTGCTTCTTACTATGATGCGCTGATTATGTGTCGTCGTTATTTTCCAATAGGATTCACCGATCTTTCAATTGCAAGTAACTTTTACCGCTTTACAGGAGAGTAAGCAGAGAGTTTTCAACCCTAGCAAGTTGGTTGAAAGTCTGAGGCTGTCTACCTCCGAGCAGCAAGATGCTCAAGAGTCAGTTGCCCCATCTTTCTTTCAAAGCCGTATTATCTCACTTGACGTTAGGTTTTCAAAGCTGTTTATGTCACATCTTGACTTTGAATTCCAAAAACAGCTTACGCCGTCGCTAAGGTCGCTCGTTTCAGATCAGGTAATCGTTGTAGCATCTTTGATAAAGTATTTATGACGAGCTTCAGACAGTTTCAAGGTCAACAAGTGTACGGGACCATTTGTGATAAGTGTCACAAAGGATCTGAGCATGTGACAGATTTCTTGGAAATCGAGATAAACTTCCAAGTGATAGCCATTCAATTACATGCATGTCATCCCGCTCATCGTTCATGCACAGAACAACTCGAAGCTCGAAGGATGCATAGCGGGCCTTCTCCAACCAGAGAAGTTAACCGGTGATAACAAGTTCGAATTTTTATCGCGGTAGTTTCATTGAATTAAACTACTTTCGTGTCACAGATACCTTTGTTCAAATTGCACAAGTCTTCAAGATGCAGCTCGATATACCGAGTTACGACGGCTACCCCCTGTTTTACACTTTTCCCTGTTGCGTTTTGTGTACGACATTTCCTACATGGAGCGTAAAAAGTCGAAGCACAGTATATTGTTCCCCGCTTCCTTGAACATGGCTCAATTTGTAGGCCCTGCTGCAAAGAGGAAGGCTTCAGAAAGTACTAGCGATGACAGCCAAGATATCTACGATTTACGAGGGGTGTTACTTCATAAAGGTGCCAGTGCTTATCATGGGCATTACGAAGCACAAGTTTTCGACGTCACGTAAGTGTTTCGGCCCCCTGAAGATCATACAGACAGTTATACTCAACAAAATGATAACGCAAAGGACACAAACGTGGTACCAATTCGATGACGAAACTGTGACTAAGCTTGAGTCACTAGGGGACCGTGGGCTGATTGTCAATGGACAAGGCAGAATGTCGAGACTCTATCTTCGTGATTGTGTATATTCTAACAAGAGTTTCAGTGAGGACCTTAGCAAAGCGCGTATGTCAAAGACTAATGCGAAGAAAAGAAAAGTAGTCGATGGCACTGACGACGAGTTCAATGAGTGGGTCGTATTCGTACGGCTGCATAATTTTTGTATTTATCGTGGCTTATTTTAGGGTCCCAACTGCGGTCAATGGCGCCAGGCCTAAAGACGTAAAGAACTGGTAACTTTCATGTAACCTTATAACGAGGCAAGGTTTGACGCTATAGCTTCCAGTGACATTTTCTCTTCAAAGGATGCGTACATGTTGATATATGCTCGAAGAGGTGTAGTTGCATCTGGTCATGTCTCCGATATGGATGCACCATCGTCGACCACAGAATCAGATCAGGATAGCTTTAATTTGACACCTCCATCCCGAGCTCTGGATGTCGTCAACACTCTAAATGCCGAGCATGATGAAGCATGCAAAGTCTTCGCTACAAAGTAAGAATTTTCCTCAAGCAGTCAACTGTAACTTAACTTAAGTGCCAGAGAGGATAACCTAAAACTCGATTTTGCCAAGGTTCGAGACTTTAGAAGAGACATTTATTCGTCTTGGAATATTGATACATATGACGAAGTACTTGTATCGCTATGCTACTGGGACATGTCTGACAATCTTTCTAGAATTCCATCGTTGTTTGTCGTCAAGTTCTGGAAACTTGGCTAACAAAGCCTATAACCAAACAGAAGGAGGCATCACCACAGTCACTACTCGACAATGATGGCGTCATCTTAGTCGATACGCCTATAGATATACTTTGTAAACATGATGCTCTTGATCCTCAAAAATCCCACCGAATGAAACGCATGAACGTTGTTTGTACCTTTTCTTTTTGTACATGCACACAATTCTCACATTTATGCTAGGCGGCATTTCAACAAATAGAAGCTACTGCCGAGCCAACTCGTCTATCTGCCCGACATCCTAAAGATATTTGCGAAATATGTGTTCGGGAAATTTTCATAGGTATTCTAGGATTGCTATTTCACTAACTGTCATTGCTCAAGTCATTCCTCAGAGAAACTGTATCAAATTGAACACCCTCAAGCCGTTGCACAATTCGACGAAGTGTGTGATAATGAACTTGATCAGATTTCTTATTGGATATCGAAGAACTGGCTGAAAGGTAATTTCATCTCATTGATCTTTGTCCATATAAACTTATCCGTTGCTGCGCTTAAGATTGGCGGTTGTCGAAGCCCAAGATGCATACTTCCCTTCGGGGTGATGTGGCACCCAATGCACCCGAGTTCATTGCTCACGTAACATGCGAGCATGGAGGTTTGTCATTGAATGTAACCGCCCGTCGCCGTATTTCGGCTCAGGCAAGTGCTATCATAACAAGTAATAAGAATGTAAGAATGACCAATGTTGCAGGCTTGCGAGATACTACAGAACTTGTTTCCTCAATGGCAACCTGTGGCGACTACTGAACAACTATGTTCTGTTTGTGAATCTTCAATACAAATGTCAAAAGAAGATAAACGAGAAATTCGCAAACGGGTAGAGAATGAAAAGGTTTGCATTTTGAATCCTATCGATAGAACAATGCTCATTCTTATGTCATTAGGCTAGACTAAGACACATGCACGACAATGCTCTTACAGGCAACACTCTTCTTTTAGAGAATGTTCCTTGTGCAATTGTCCCCGCACAATTCATTCGACTATGGAGGCAGTGGCTAAACAAGCCCACTGATGTTGTACGACCTAAGACTGTTGACAATTCTCAGTTTCTGTGTGTCCATAGCAAACTTGTCTTTGATCCGAACTGCCCAAGTGATCTAGACAACTGCATCGCTGTAGTCCAACGTAGCGAATGGAATATCTTGGAGGAACTGTATGTCCTTCATATTCTACGAGCTAATCAATAACTTAAGGTCTTTAAAGATACACTTGCGGGCCTACTATCATACTGGAAAAGCGAATCGTGGAAGGTCCACATAACAATGCCGAAGTTAGATTTTTCCATGATGTCCCAGTCTGTGATGAATGTCGTTTGAAAAGGTTCGTACATTCAAGAGTCTATAACAACGCTCTTCCTCATCATTTCCCAGACAATTGGACTACGAAGCGACAGAGCTCACTGTTCGAGTATTGGGTCCTGGAGACTCTGCCTCGAAAATAGGCAAGCAGGTAGATCAGCTCGATTCTGAAGAACAAATGGCCTCAAAGGGCCCTCGCAAGCTCAGCGGGGTAAGGCAATCCAAACGTATCCGACAAACTAAAGACCGCGGCGAGACGAGGAGACTTACAATATACAAGTCGACCACCGTGAAAGAGATCAAAATTATGGTGAGTACAGGTTCGCACCAACGAACTCGACACTGATGGAATTTTCTGTAGTTATATGAACAGCTGAAGATCCCCACAATTTATCAGCGGCTTTTTTATCGAGGTCAAGAACTGCAGGATAACCTAGCTACAGTCCAATCACTTGGCATTCTCATCAATGATATATTAGATCTGCAAGAGGAACTTGAAGACGATAATAACCTAAACGTCTCCAACGGCGAGGCCAAAAGAGGTTTCGCGGAAGAGAAAGGGTTTGGCGGTACGCTACTGTCTGGTCTGCCTACAGACAGGTCTAGCAGTTCGGAGCGAGAACAAACGCCTTTAGTTACTGATGTCAAGTCATGCCCTTCTTGCACATTTTGCAATGATCCAGACGCTGTCGTTTGCGAAATATGTGCGGAAGCTTTTACTTAGAATATCTTAATTATTTTTTATGAATGAGAGTTTTATTGGTGATACATATAATGCTTAATCAAACACTTATTACAGGTGAAGAACCGCAAAGGTTAACGTGATGATTCTCTAAGACGCGATGAGATAGTGTGACAACGTGCAAAAAAAAGTAAATAAGCGAAGCAATGAAACCAAATAACACGCCAAAAGTCCCGATATTATACTACCGTCGATATTCCAAGAAGCGCTACGAAAAAAGAAGACCTTAAATATGAGACGCATATTCCGATATACCAGCGGAAGGCACTGAAGGAGGAAAAGTTACAGCCGCAGTAGATGGACCCATGGAAAATGGTGGTAAATTGCCAGTAGAATGAGATCGAACAGAGTCTAACATAGGCATGCCAAGCTGAGAGGGATCAAGTGTGCCTGGAGGTGGGGAAACCGATGCTCGAGTTTGTTGCTGCAAAAGAGAACTGGCAGTCATGAGAACATCCACTTCACTAGACAGCGGCCCCGTTATTTCAACGGCTTGTGCAACCGCTGTCTGTGTTGCAACAGAAACTTCGTTCACCGTAACCTGAGTGGAATTTGTCGAGGGAGAAATGCCAACAGACATTTGTATAGCAGCTGCGGCAGACCGATCTGCTGCTACTTGACGAGCGGCTTGAAAGACGACCTGTTGAGCAGCTGCGGCCAGTACGTTGGAGTTTTGGGCGGAACCTTCTGAGCGTTGGCCAGTCACTTCTTGGTCAAATGCCTGCGCTGTAACAGTGAGAACGTGCTGTTGTTTGGCAAGCGCCTGTAATTCAGGGCCAGGTTCACTTGGCGTCCGAGACGCAACCACTTGAGATTGCGCCTCTTGAGCTACACGCTGAGCAGCTGTAGCCAATACCTGTATAACCTGGGCATCTTGAGCAGCAATAGGAGACAAAAGATTGCCGCCATTCTGCGTCCGTAATGATCTGTGGTAGAATATAAGCGCTGTGAGCATATTTTCTTCTCCTTATTTCGCACCTTGGGGACGTTGATTGGGGCACTACAGAATCACTTGCAACCCGACGAGGTCTTGGAATATCACTAGTTAATGAACCTCGTCGTGATGCAGAAAACGAAGTATCAAGCGTAGACATAGGAGCGATATTAAGATGCAAACACTGAGAGAGGAGCTCCTCTTGTCCATCCTGCACAAACTAAAAGAATGTCATCTTGATATGGTCAATCAAACTCAGGCAACAAAACCCACCCTAGCTTCGACGAAAATATCACAATTCTCAGCGTCAGGGGTTGGCGTTCCACATAATACATCATCTTCCCATGAGAGCCATGAAGGAAGTGACGGTGAGCTGTACGTAACGGGAAGGTTTGCCCTGGATGCTTGAGGATCCCAAATGCGCGGGGTCCACGACCAACGTAGGCCCACATAAGCCACGCCAGGTGGTGATCCTGCAAGCCTACGATGGAATGGGCGGAAGGTCCACCCACCATCGGGATGTTTTTTTGCGTCTATGTTCCATATATGGTTCCCCTTTGACTTGGCTTTTTTCCCATCTTCATTGAAGCGTGAGATGTATGGTTGACTCCACAAGTAATTACGGATCTGGATATAAATGACTACGGATTAGTTCCGGAATGCAATAACATGAAGGTGAGATTTGCCTTTTTCATGGGAATCTTTTCTTCAGGATAACCTTGCATAGCCAACTAAGTGGGCACTTTAATATGGTTTCATAGAGGGACAACGTAGTGCACTTACTTCTTCCAAAAAAGCGTTTGTGAAGGCTTGTATCCTGAACTTGAACGGCCTGAAATCGGGTGATTCGTCCAGACGTTGCATTTTTTTGGCCATCAGGGTCTGATGTATAGGTTCACCTTTAGCATCAGTGGCATCCACTACGGTATAGACTTGTCAGATCTGCAAAGGACTGGGCAAATAACTAGGTGCCTTACAGTTGGAGCATATCTTATTCAAAAAATCAAAAAAGATACGATCCACTTCTGTTCTATACTCCTGTGGTACTTCGTTGCCGTGGTTTGACGCAGAACCAGAGACATTTTCTGCAGAGTTGTGTGATGCAAGTGTATGCATATTCCCAACATGACTAGCTGTTGGGTGCGACATAAAGGAATTGTTGCTATGCGTACCATTTCTAGGTCCATGACCTGACGATGATTCAGGTGTTTGCGCCTGTGATTGGTCTCCACCTCCATCCGACTCATGTTCATTATCATAATCGCCATCCTGTGATGAAGACGGGCTGTGCGGTGCCGAGTACGAAGGGGGCATAGGACGTGACTGCAAGAAATCCAATGTCCCGGATACGGAGGTAACGTCAGGGAACCCGAAGGCAAATGGGTTCGTACTACCGTTTGTAAACGAGCTGGAACGTGAGACACGGCCGAGTGGTGGACTAATCGCCGCACCAGCGCTTGGTCGTGACTGTGAGGATGGAGGTGAGCCATACGTTCCTGAGGCAGTGAACGGCAATGATCCTGGCGCGGAGTTGCCCATACTATGAAGGTTTATATTGGCACCGAGTGCACTCCCAGAGAGCGTGTGTTGATGATGGGGCCGATGAGGTAAAGTTGTCGGCCCATCTGACCATGAGGAACGCACAATAGGGGGAGGTGGATGAAATGGACCAAGGTGATTGATAGGTGTCGATAGATTAGGCGAAGTCGAATTAAAGTCGGGCGGCGAAGGTGCTGAAGACCCGATTGGGTGAGCAAATGTTAAGTTCGGGTGAGATGCGGCAGGTAGCGGTTGAGATAACATATTGAATGCTCCTAAACCAGCAGAGCTTGTAGGACGTGATGATGGTTCAGACGGAGGGTTAGATGGTGCGAAAGTGGGGATAGAGCGTGTGTCAACTGCCGTTGGTACTGCGACGGAAAGAGCGGATGGAAATGACTGGTGACTTGATATGGAAGGAGGAATGTTAGGTAAAGAAACATGGAGGGGTGTATCTTCGGATGGTTCAAGTTTCAGAGCTTTGATGACTCGGTCGCCAACTAAGGATGAAGCGCAGCGTTTCCGCGACATATCTGTGGGATCTAGGTTGGATTGAATATCCATAGCCGTTGTCTCTGTACCAGGATTTGGGTATTGCAGAGAGAATGAGTGATGCTCTTGTACAGCACTAACGGAGCCTGAAAGAGTAGGAGGTGAGATACTAGCATTCGAACTAACCCCTGAGTAACGACGAGAAGGTTTCCTCTGTAAGGAGGAGGGGGGGTCTGTTATCTGCGTCGCAGCGATAAGCTCTGACACCAGAGCTATCGTCTTCCTGAGCTCGTCAATTCTTTCACCTGCCTCTGTACTTTGTCCCATAGAGCAGGCTGCACTTGCCGAATGCGCAGTGTGAGCTATGCTAATATACATATATGATATTCAGCAAAATATATGAAACGATGAGAATAGAAATTTTACTTCTTTAACATATCCCCTACAACCATGAGGTGGGAGTCGCCTGGTAGGTCCGGAGACTCTTCTTTTCTTCCCAGGAGGCCATTACTCATGTCCGGAGGAGGAAAAATGAAGCTGTTATCGTGACTGGAAGTTGGAGGTCCGCTACGTAAAGGGGAGAACCCTATCTCAGAGTTCGAGCTCGCCACATTGCTGGGTGACACCGACGATTCCAGTTGGGCATGTGGAGTCATACCCATGACCGACGCCATGGAGGAGCCTCCAGGCATAGAGTACGCTGACGCCACTCCGTGGATGACAGAAGACGGGTTACTGGATGTTGACGTAGTACTTGGGGACGAGTTTATAGTCAAATGACTGTCGTAGCGGGGCAAGCCAAAAGACATATTCTGCGGGGGGAAGTCAGGAAGAAAGCCTGGAGCAGGAGCGCGAGCGGAATTGGTCGCGTTTGACGTATCCATGGCAGATATAGTGGTGGGGGAAGTAGATGAGTCTGACAATGAAACATGCAAGGAAGAAGGATTTGTATTTGCAGAATCCACTTTGAGCGGGAAGAGTGAATGTATGTTGTGTACAATGTGTGCGGCAGAATTCTGTGATAGTGATTCATCGGGGTGGGAAGCAAGTGATGTAAAGTTAGTTGAGAAGTCACCGGGCTGTTGCTGATGAAGGGATGTGTCCATAGACGTATTTACGTCCTGTCTCTCCATTGAAGAGATCATTCGATCGCGGTGGTTGCCTAGAAAGAGGCGGCTGCGTAACCGCGCAGAGAATCAATACCACAAGGTGTTCTGGCCCAAAGGAGAGAACTGGGAAGCGCACCGAGATGGTGACTCGAATCAGAAGAAATCGAACCGGAGATACGAGGATAAGAAAGGGCTGGCGCTGACGATATATCGCAAGACACGAGGAGAAATGGAGGCAGGAAAGCCAGCAGGTTTGCTAGCACAAAGATTGCAATATTTCTCCCGAAATGTAACAGCACCCGAGTTTATTGAGAGAAAAGGACTGTCTTAGCGAGACTTGCTGATGAGCACACCAGGCGTAGGTGGGCTCCAGAGCTTGGGCTTGCTGGTACCTTTTGGTTACCCTGAGCCTGCAGCTTTCGTTTTCCGAAGAGATATCCTGCAACGATAAAGAAAAAATAAAACAGGATGAAAGGAGGAGCTGCACAAGAACATGCAAGATGCCTGCAGGCGTCACACTATTCTGTCACATGTATATTTGACGTCCTCTGGTCCCAAATATCCACAAATATTCAGAATATTTTGCGTAAATTGAATAATATCCAATCTGGGATCTCCGTCGCGACTTTTGTCCTCACGCCGACCGTCGGCAGCCTTTCCAACTCAGCCCGATCTTATCGAAAACCCTAAAGCTGTTTTCTGCCGAATTCCCAGCTCTTTGTCCGTTTCCTCATCGCGGCAGCTATCAGCTGATAGGCACAATGGATAAGCATTCTGCACAAGAATTATGTCCTCTTTCTATATCTTCAGCGGATCATGTACACGGACGCTTGTCGGTCTCACTCTTGCCAATCCACAAACGCTAAACAGCCATTAGTCCGGATCCCAATTCGTCCCAATGGCTGTATAGTATCTGATGTTTATAAAAGCGGATTAGTGCTCATCAATTACGACGTTCTCGTACCCGGTAGTTTCAGGTTTGTCCTTGGTTTCTGTTGACGGTCCAATGCGGTCTTGATTCAAGAACCCTGCACAAGGTAAGTTCTTATCACGTTTGACCTTGTAAGGCTGTACTGTTTCCTCATACTAGCACCGCGCCTCATATGTCAAAGATCCTTGATGGGTCGGTATTGTTTCCATTTCCTGACTGGTTTAGGTATCGACGGAAATGAAATTCGAGTCAAAAACCAACCTGTGACATGTATCCTATATATTTCACATCCAACGCATGTATACCTTCAGTCTCAACATGAGTTATAGTTACGGCATAAACGTCATATCATCTGACAAGACATAATTGCTCATCATCGCGTATAAAAGTTCACAACAGCGTATATAGGTCCTCGATGTACACTTAATAGTCATACTCCAGAACCGAAGTATCCCCAAGAGCGTACACCAACTGCACCTGCCTTCAGGGCTAGCCAATAGCACAATTGACAAAAGTTATAGGGCATTTTGACAAGCGATTACATGACACCAGTAGAATTCTGATCAAAAGGCTCAGGTGTGCTCTCAGTACCTCCTTCGACCAGGTGACCGCGAACGCTCGCGATCTCTTCGTCGATCACTAGAAAGACATGAGTACGAACACCCGTAAGTGGTGACAACGGTAAAAGAACCACGGGAACTTACTCGTATCGCGAGGTCGAATGCCGTTCGTATCCTCTGTCACGTTCACGATATTCGTCACGAGAGGATCGGTAGTCGCTTCCTCTTTCGCTGCCTGCACGAGCAGGTGCACCAGGAGCAGATCCGGGTGTCAATGAAGGAGCCGATGGCGGAGGTGCCATTTTACGTTTTTCACGATCCTCTCGGAACTTCGACAACATGTTCCGCAACTCGTGATAACCCAAGTGCATCTGAAGTAAAGTGGTCAACAGGGATACACAGCCCCATTTGGCTCGGTAAGTCACTCACTTTGCCTCCGAAGTGATCTGCAAGACGGCGATCGGAATCCAGAACTGAGAGGTATGCACCACATACATCACAGACACGCAGTTTCTGATGGCCAGACGCTCCAGAAGTGTCTGTGAGCTGTTGGAGCTCTCGCTAAATAATTCAAATGGGAAGAGGTAAACACAGGGTCAAGATCAAATAAACCACTAGACAAACAGACCTCTTTCTCAGACTTCTCGCTTTTAAGTGCTTCAATAGCAGCTAATTCCCTCAGAGACTCGTCCACCTTTCCTTGCTCTCCTGTGACCTAACATGAGCGTCCGATGATTGCAGTGGGGTATAAACTCACCTAGAACTTCGATCTTTTCTGTGCCTCCTTGAATAGCGAGCTCAATTTCAGCAATTTCTCTCATCAAATTTGTCGTCTTCGCATTTTCTTCCGGGGTCTTCTCCAACCTTCTGTGTGCCGCCCTTATTCTCCTGTCACATTCATCCACAAATGCGAATATGTTTGACTCGTATTCCATCTGAAACCTGTTAAAAACCGGATCACTAGGATTCGCTTCTTTGGCGGCCAGAAATTCCGTTTTCAGTCTCTCTGTATGAGACTTGGGACAGGCGCCGAGATCCATTTTCTGTCGACAATAAGTCAGCAAGACAAAGCAGGAAAAAAAAGTATCGGTATATGCACTGTATTTGTGAACAAAGCATGTGGACATGTTCCACAAAGGAAGTTTCTGCACACTTTCTCATCTGACCAAACCAGGTTGGCGTTCGCAACTCCCATGGCTTCCGGTCCCATCATTTGCTATTAAATATGATGAGAAAAGTTCAGTGCATCAATGTGAAACACACCTCCAAGAGCTTTCTCTGCATTTCAGCAAGACGACCCATGTTTACTGAAGTCTTGGTAATCAGTCAGTGGCAAGGTGGTGTATATGTCGTCGGTCGAGTTCAAAGAACCGAAGGGGTTATTTGCATCCCTTTGGCAAAACCTTCTAAATTAAATAAGTACAAATAGCACCTCATCTTGCCAATGAAGTTTTGCCTTTTTGGGAAAACCAGAGTGGCGCAAAGCATAAAAGCATATCCATATATGAAACTCTGATTTTTTCCCCAGCTATTCAGTTCATTAGGATCTGACACTATTTTTTTTTGATACAGTGTACTGTGCATATGATAAACATCGAGTTCAAAAAACTGTGGAAATATTGCTATGTATGGTGATGAGACATGATCAATTTTGACGCTGCGGTATTCATTGGGAATAATTCATAAAGGTGCCGAGGGAGTATGCAAACACAAGCCGAAGAGATGAGCTTCGGAGCGTAGGATTCGAACGATGGAATGATTTTGAGTGGCTTGCGAGGGTATATGTTTATGATGATACAGGTCCACCTCTTCCTCGACCGCGACCACGACCACGACCGCGGCCGCGTCCCCGATCGGAATTAAAGGAGGATTTTGAATTTGCGCCTACCGGAGCACCATTGCCAGTGGGTGGAGGAAAAGGTGGTATAGTAGATGTAGCAGGTTGATTAGGGGGTTTTGACTGGGGTCCCTGCTGGCGGGGTTCCTTTTTGTACCGCCGCTGATTATTCTGATTTTGCTTCTGCTTTGGAGGAGCATCCTTCATAGGTAAAGATGATCCGTTCTGGCGAGAACTACTCGGAGAGAGCGAGCCCAGTTTCTCGCTTTTCTGATCAGGTGCCTTTGGGGTAGGAGGTGGCGTGAACCCACCATATGTCATTAGCAGATTCCTGATTTCTCCCAAAATGTCATCGCGTTGAGTCCCAAGTTTTTTCAGCAAAGATTGCTCCCCTTCGCTGGAGGATACCCAAGCCCAAGCATTACCAATGTCCTGCGTACTGGCCAAACCGTTGTTGAGAATCATCCAAATTACTTCCGGTTCAGCCGAATCCAGAGCAATGAAAAGCACTGGTTTAGAAGATGGAGTGGCATATATAGATGTATAGTCATCTGACTTCGGATCATAAACCTTGAAAAAGTAGTTCAGAACCGGGATACATCCATGCTGCAGTGCAATGTGGAAGGCTGTGAATCGTGACGAGTTGCGTTCTTCACAGTCAGCGCCTAGAGATGAGGACCTCGCTATTAGATGACCCGCGTTAAGTGAACAAGCACTCACTATGTGCGTCAAGCCATTCCACCATATCAGCATCCCCATTGAAGGCAGCAATGTGTAACAAAGTTTCTTGAGGATCTTTGGGATGCACGTGCACAAACTCTTCGCATCCTGCCTTGATCTCGCCGCCAGAAGGATCGACATTATCTTCCCACACGCCTTTCTTCACTTTTTCGGTATCTTTGCTGCGAGCAGCAGTAAACACAGCCGATCTTAACATTTGAACGCGTAATTGCTGATTTCGCGCGGCATTCGCGGCGTTCTTGCGTTCTTTCTCAACTTGTACCTTTTTACTAGCAATTTTTGCTTTCTGTCGCACTTCGGCAGCTTTCCGTTCTTAATAAGAGAACTTGATGTGTGAGCGAGTTATGCAACATAATTGATAACAGCTGGACTAACCCTGTTCGCGTTTGCGTTCCTGAGCTGCCTTGCGTTCCGCTTGTTCTATCGCTCGACGTTCTTCTGCAAGTACTTGTTGCTCTCGAGCACGAGCCAAACGTGCTCGATATTGTTCTGGAGACTCAGGGGTAAACGAACGGCGTCGCATTTGATGGGTGTTACGATAATCTGTCAGCTCATGAGTTACGTTTTGGCACCAAAAAATAGTGTGCTTTACGAGATCGACTACTGAAGAAACGGCCTTGCAGAAACTGCGAAAACATATACCTAATTGACTTGAATTGAGCAATGTTAAGTAATGGCAAGCGGAGCATACAGATGAAAAGCAAGCTCTTCTTCTTCTTCGTGGTCGTAATCGTCTTCATCGTCGTAGTCATCATAGTCGCTGTATTCATCATCATCAAAATCAGGATCAAACGGCGAAAACCTGCGACGAGATGAAGGTGCAGAGCGATCAAGATGTTTTACGAGAGCACTGTAAGCTTCGCTGACTCTTTGAAATTGGGCAGTGGCGTCTTCATTTCCAGGGTTTTTGTCTGGGTGAGTGCGTAGAGCAAGCTCCGCGCGCAAACATAATTTTAACGTTGGGGTACGAGTTAGTGCGTCGAACACGCGGCACACACCTGTCTGTAGGCTGATTTCACCTCTTCTAACGAAGAATCCTACGATAGAGGGATGAATGTGACTAGTTCTACTTTGAAAAATATCAGAAAACATACCTGCTCGAGGCCGAGGATAGCATATGCCTCGATGACGGTGGAGGGCCTCACCATGGTGGTACCTTCGCAGGAAAGGGGGATCCAGCAAAAGCAAACAAGACGCGACTAAAACGCGTTCCTAGTATATATAATAGGCGCCCGGCCCGTGAAAGGAAGACTCATTGCCAAATTTAAAGCCACCTTTCTTTTATTTCTCTTTGTGACCGAGGCTATATTCTTTGGAGCCACGTCTTATTCAAACACCTGAATTGGCACAATATTCAGACGAAGAACAATCGCGATACTTTCGCGTCTCTTCTTTCTTTCTTCAACATTCGAGTATTATGAGTACCCCACCAACAGGACCGTCAACCAGTGCGGCTCTTGACGGACAACTGGTCAATACAACCCTACTTCCACCTAATATCGAGAATGCGGGAGCAAATTCGCCGTTAAATGCATTGTTTGGTGACAAGTACGTTGGGATGCATTAAAGTCTTTATTGGATCTCATGCTCAAGGAGCAGCCCGTACTTTCAAGCCGGTTTAGGACTAATGGTGAGCTACGCCACTATCATATACCAAAGCAGTGACACAACGTTCGCATAGGGCTTCGGTGTTGGTCTTACCGTTCTTCGTCAAGGCTCTATATTAGGCTTGACAGCACTCCGCAGACGGATGCTCGTCTCTCTGGAAATCAATAACAAGGATCGGTCGTATGCCTGGTTCCTTGCTTGGATGGCTCATCAAGCATCTGCATCTTCTAAGGGTCTCAAAACCACGCCTTGGGTGAGGAGCCATCAACTAAGTGTTGAAACGGCTTTCGAGCAACGTAGTAACGGCAGCTCTTCCGTTCTCTTTAACCTTGTTGCAGGACCTGGTACACACTGGTTCAAATATCGTGGAGCCTGGATGCAGGTATGTCCTGATTATTATGGTAACAACGTGTATCGCAACTGAACACGATTGATGCCTTTCAGATGAAAAGAGAACGTGAAACACGCTCAACACAGTTAATGTCTGGAGTTCCTTGGGAGACGGTCACTCTTACTACACTCTCGCGAGATCGAAATCTATTCCCAGGGCTTCTGTCAGAAGCAAGGGACCTGGCAATGCAAGGCCAGGAGGGAAAACTCGTGATCCACTCTGCTTGGGGAATCGAATGGCGACCTTTTGGCCAACCTAGACGAAAGAGGCCACTATCTAGCGTGGTTCTAGCTGAAGAAGTGAGCCAGAAAATCAAGCAGGATGTACAAGCATTTTTGAAGAGACGGCAATGGTATGCTGATAGAGGTCCGTGGTCACTAATCCAATTGTAGGATTGATCGGAACATCTTTAAAGGAATCCCCTATCGACGTGGTTACCTTCTCCATGGGCCCCCTGGATCTGGCAAAACGTCTTTTATTCAAGCACTTGCTGGCTCGCTATCTTACGATATTTGTCTACTCAACCTATCAGAAAGGGGCTTGACTGACGACAAGTTAAATCACCTGCTTTCTAATGCACCAGAACGCAGTTTCGTCCTTATAGAAGATATTGATGCTGTTTTCAATAAACGTGTTCAAACCAGCGAGGATGGGTACGAAACCTCTTTTGTGTCTGTTACAGTGCTAATAATACTTCATAATCTTGACTAGCTACCAGTCCTCTGTTACGTTTTCGGGATTTTTGAACGCCCTCGACGGTGTTGCATCAGGAGAAGAACGTATCATCTTCATGACGACGAATCACATTGAAAAACTGGATCCTGCACTAATCAGACCTGGGCGAGTAGATCTTATTGAACTTGTTGACGATGCAACTCCGACGCAAGCAAGAACTCTTTTCGAACAATTTTACGGCGGGGACGATCACTTTTCGGATGTTACACAGGAACAGCTACGGAACATCGCTGAGAGTGTACAGCAACTAGTGGAAAAAGAGATGAAGGAAGGGAGACGCATAAGTATGGCAGCGCTACAGGGTCTTTTCATTAGAAATGGCCCTACTGATGTCGTTGCAGCATGTCAGCAGCTTTTAGTTTCAAGACAGGAATAGGATTTATGATGGCATGGGGTTAACTGACGGATACCAAATACATTAAAATGTTGCTTTCCGCTTGCGTCCAGTAAATTTCGAATCTCTTGGGACGCCCTCTTTGCCACGTTGACGATATAGCTAACCATGATCAAATAAGAGCCGGTCCCAATTAACCCCAAGCAAACAACACGCACCTCTTTCTTCTTTAAAATCCATTCCTTGTCCATTACTTTCTTTCGCTTGCCACTTCTATCTCTAGCGCGTTCCCTCTGCCGTCTTCGCTCAAAGCGCACGCTATCATCATCCATAGCTTCTTCATTCAATCCTGCAGGCACCTGCTGTTGTCCTCCACCTCCCCCTACAAACAAACATAGGTACACTTTTCTCGCCTTCTTTGAGTTTGGATAATCTACAACAATGCCTCCACCAAACCCAGCTTTCTGGGCCGTGGATGTAATAAGCTGGATTTGATCGTCTGACGTGGGGTAAAATTGAAAGACGGCACGCGATGGATTTCGTAAAGCGGAATGCAAGGTAGTAAAAAAACGATGTAGCCGATGGGGTGGTGCGGACGTATGATGTGAAGTTTCTGCATTCAAGAGCCATTGTAGCACTGATATACTGTAGACACAGCATAAACAACCCGAGGAAAGGGTATGACTAAAAGTAGCCGCACCTGATTGCACCATCAAAGCTACCTGGTCTAAATCCTAAACCTTGCCCAATATCCTGTAAAAATAAATCACCTTCTACCTCCCTTTCCAAAGCAACCTCTGATACCTCTGCGTTGAATTCTTGTGATCCTTAAAAGTAGGAGTGGGCGTACCTAGCATGCTAGGAGCAATATCAACACCTGCCCACACATATCCTTCTTCGTCTAATATTTCTCCAGAAAGTCCTGAACCACAGCCGATATCCAGCAAGAAAGCTGACTGATCTGGAGGCATGTTGAGCAATTCTAATGCGCGGTAGGTCAGATCGGCCTGTATCTGTTGATTGCGAGTGCTGAGCGATCGTTTGAGCCGGAAACGATATACGGATCATACTACAGCTTACTTTTTGGTGTATTTCACGGCTTCTGAATCGCCATAGTACTGGAATGACAACATGGTTAATACATTAACCACTTCGAAAGTGATTCATCATACAATCTCTGGAGGCGCCTGAAGTTCAGGACGAGACATAATATTTTTTGGTGGTAAAATATATGATGCAGGAGCTTTAGATGGATTTGCTAAAGAAAAGACTGGATAACATGAGGATTAAGTGTGACGGCTTTACGCGTGACATGTACACGTGATATCTAATTCATTTCTAGCCTTGGACAGCGACGACGATAATGGCGACGACTAGCAAGCAATACAAGGCCATCGGTGAAGATTTATGGAAAGGTCGCACAGAGAAAATTGTAAGTGGCTTGATCGGTTAATGCAACATCTCTCAGTGACAAGTTCCTGACCTCTCAGAACAGAATGCAGAGCTTTTCGCTCTAACCTATGGTGCATTAGTCGTACAGCTTATCCAGGACTATGAAGATTACGCCGAGGTTAATAAGCAGCTTGAGAAAATGGGATATAATATTGGCACCAGATTAATCGAAGATTTCCTCGCAAAAAGCTCACTCGGACGGTGTTCAGACTTTCGAGAAGTAGGCGAAGTGGTGGCAAAGGTACGTACAGATCAAAAACCAGTGAGTATTATTGCTGCTATTGACCTAGTTTGAGAGTAGGTTGGATTCAAATCATTTTTGAACGTTACCCCATCTGTTACACATGCCGCTCCCCCACCTGCTGTACCTAATCGACCAAACAGTGCCTCGCAGCAGTCCTCGTCATCTTTTACACTAACCCTTGACGAGAATCCTTTGGCTGAATTCGTGGAACTTCCGGAAGAAGCTCTCGAAGGAGGTTTGTGGTTTAGTAATGTGTTATGTGGGGTGCTCCGGGGTGCATTAGAAATGGTAAGAATATTTTCGTTTTGCTTGGTTGTGATATTGAGTCAGGGGCAGGTACAAATGCAAGTTCAGGTGGAGTTTGTATCCGACGTACTTCGTGGCGATGAAAGTACAGAAATACGGGTGAAGCTGTTGAAATATATGGAGGAGGAAGTCCCGGTTGGTGATGACTAGGTACAACGATGAGAAGTATATCCACGGACGACGACAAAATGGTACGTTTAATCAATTTTCATCCTCTTTGACAACTTTGAGGTTACTGCATTGCTAGATATGCGTGTTGTGTTAGGGTCATTCACCAGTTTCCTCGGTGATCCCCGTTACCCTCAGTTGATAGAGGAATTTACTTGTTCGGCATGACATGACAGGAATGGAAAAGCAACACGCGAAGTATTCTTAGTGAACTATGAGGCGACTTATTCTATGTCATACGTCAGATATGTTAAACCAGGGAGATGAATTAAAATGTATAACTCGTATATATATGCGAACAACGTATATGTTAACCCCAACGGTCGACCCTGTTGAGCTTTCTTGCCGTCTTGGCATTCGTTTGTGTGTTCTGACCTCTCACCGGCAAACCCATGGCGTGTCTCTTCCCAACATAGCTTCCAATCATCCGCTGATGTGCAATATTCTCCTTAACCTGTCTCTTCAACTCTGACTCGATCTTCAAACTCCTTAGCGGATCGCCTTTCCCGCTACCTGTAGCGTTTGTACCAGCAGCAATTTTGAGCTGCTGAAGGGGAGTAGACGGTGTCAGAGGTTTAAATCTGGGATCTGCCAGACGAAGACGGGGCAGTGGTGCAGATGTTGATGGCGAGGACAGGAAAGAGGCTAGCTCTGTGATTTGGTGCGGGGTAAGGCTGCGAACTTTGCACTTGTCGTGGATTTGGAGACGTGCACATAAACGGTGGGCAGTTTTATGCCCCACACCATAAAACGAAGTCAGTGCATGCTGTAAAAACGATGTAAATTAGTAGGATATATAGTTGTCAAAGCCTGACGTACCCTGGCCAGCTGAGTATCCAGTAACTGCACCCCGAGAACGTGCACCATGGTGGAATAATACTACAAAGCCAAATTGGTCCTGGCTTTTACTCCGAGTAAATTTGTCTTTGTTTTTTTCACACCAACCTTGTACCAAATCCAGTGTGATACGACACCTATACTTCCCCATCAACTTCACTACTGTATTCTCTCTAACTACACCTCCTTTTTACTCACAATGTCTGCAAGTAAGGCTGAAGGGCGTCGAGAGGATGCACTCGCAAAGCAACGCACCCAAATGCGCGAAGAGTTTGAACGGCAAAAGCAGACTCTCATAAACGAAACTGAGAAAGCTCGCCCTTCATCAAACAAGTTCGTTGGTCAAAATGATTCCATGGAAGAAACTCTCAAATACAGCACAATTGGCTTGGTCAAGTTAGAGGAATTCCAACAGAGGAGGAAAGAGCTTGAGGAGGCGAAAGCAAGGGAGGCAGCAAAAACCAGTGATCTCAAGTATGTCAATATTTCGTCCCTAGTCCATCATTATCTCCCTTCGCTGTATAGCGCGATTATTCTTTCCCTTTCGTTCCCTTTTTTCCGTCAGATGGCTTACAGTATGTGGAGAAATTGCTTAGGGAAGAGACAAGAAAGGTGAAGAAACGGAAAAAAGCTGCCAAGGCCACGTTATCATTTGCCATGGATGATGAAGGTGATGAAGGAGAGGGAAAGGATTCTGGTCGCACATCTGAGGATGATGCTGGTGAACAAACGGCAAAGCGAATGAAGTTTCGTAAAAATCCAAACGTGGATACCTCCTTTCTACCAGACCGGGAACGAGAGGAATCCGAGAGAAAAGAAAGGGAGAGGTTAAGGCAGGAATGGCTGAGAAAGCAGGAAGAAAGCAAACAAGAAGATATCGAAGTCACCTACTCATACTGGGATGGCAGTGGCCACAGAAAGAGTGTCACGGTCAGTAATGGTACCATGTACCCTATGGTTTCGTTTATACTCACTGTCTTTGGTCCAGTGCAAGAAAGGTGATCATGTCAGCACATTCTTAGAGAAATGCCGGCAGCAATTCCCAGAACTGAGAGGCGTCAGTGTCGACAATCTCATGTATGTCAAGGTACGTGTAAGCGATAGTTGCTATAGAGTCAACATTGCTCATCCTCGCTATAGGAGGATCTTATAATACCACATGTAAGTCTTAACAAATCTGTTGCCGTCACTGGAAGTCAATGTATTCCAGCATCACACCTTTTATGATTTCATTATCAACAAAGCTCGTGGCAAGTCCGGCCCTCTGTTCAACTTCGACGTCCATGACGATGTCCGCATGTTGGCTGATGCCACGAAGGAAAAGGACGAATCGCATGCAGGAAAGGTGGTCGAGAGAAGCTGGTATCAGAGGAATAAACACATTTTCCCTGCGTCCAGGTGGGAGGTAAGTCGTACACCACGAAAGCCACAAGCCAAGTCTGACATATGTCTCAGGTGTTTGATCCAGAAAAAAGCTATGGAAAGTACACCATTGCTTAGTTTCTTTGACGAGAAAAAAATATGATAGTTTATGTACAAGCTTCCATACCCGTTGTGGCAATATAAAATTGCAAAACAAATGCCAGGACCGTGGATTGAACACGGGACCTCCAGATACCAGATTTCTTCAGTCTGTTGCTCTCCCAGCTGAGCTACCCCGGCGATACTAGTCTATGAGTCAATACCATTCAGACCTCCCTTACTTCCTTTTCATTCACACACCTAATCTTTCCAGGTGCAGTGTCTAAGTATTTGATAAATCATCTATGAGCTGGATTATATATGTATATTTTTTTGACCTTGGGCAGAATGCTACAATATGTATGTATCATGATTATCTAAACTAGATGCAAAGGGATCATGTGGTCAGTGTTGTTGTTTTGTCGTCCATAATATTGCACCAGCTCTCTCATGGAAGGCCGTCAATATAGCTCGACGTCATATCGAACAAAGTCCAAAGTAGCCCATGGGTTGTGATGCTTCTCAAGGCACTGACACCGAGGCCTCGATATATGCGCGCAACCCCAGCAAGCATAGGCTTGGGATCTCTAGGATCAGGACCTACTCTAATGTAAGAAACTCGAGGCTCAATCGACGAATTACGATGATCTTACCGCGTACAAGACGAAGGAAAGTTTCTAGTACACCTCTAGGGGGGTTACCAGCCAGAGCACGCTGCTGAACCTTTGTTTTCACACTATGGTGTATTTTCAGATGAGCACGCGCGAACTTAATTAAGACTTCACTCACACGTCAAGAGGGTAAATAAGGGCCCATGACGTTACACCTGCCAGCGAACCACAAACAAAGGGAATTAAAGAAACGGGTATTGGTAACCACGGAGGTGTCGATCCCTGTTCGCCAGAAGGCCGACGTCCCAGCAGATGCCGCATTGCATCATACTCGAAAAAATATAAAGCCGTACCCGACATGTCGCGCACTGCAGGATGTGAGCTGTCAGCGAGAAAATAACAAGGTTGAACACTAACAAAAGTGCAGACGGAAGCCGATATACAGCCCTTTTATTCCGTTGTTTCTGAATATATCCCGAACAGCGTCATAAGTACCGGGGGCTTTTACTAGCTGGATGCCCTTGCTTGCGGCGATTGTATATTCTAACTGTCTTCGAACCTATCGAGGCGAGGTCAGCCTCACAAGTTCAAGGCAGAACATAAAATTACTGCAGACCTTCACCAATTCAAAAGCTGGTGTTGAATTTTCAGTAACTCGATATCTATGGAGTAAGAGAAAAACATACGTGCACTCCCGAACGATATTAATGATCCAGACAAAGCCCCAGCAATGCCTCCAGTTATTGCAGCATCGAAAACCTTTTGTCGATCAAAGTAGTGGTGACCTCGGCAGTATTCCTTGGTGCTACTGTATATTGTGAAAGACGCGGCACCTACAGAGAATCTGTCGCGTTATTTCGATGCTGAGATATAATTTGACGTACGAACGAAAGATATAGTCATAAGTGGTATCCATAACCCGCGATAAAACCCAATAACGCCTTCCTCGCGATAAATTAAAGCAGCAAGCCTCGGAACCGAGATCCGTGTTTTAGTTGTCTGAAGTCTCGATTTGAGAGAGTCCAGCTGGATGAAAATGAGATAATGGAGCATGAGACGAGAGGTCACCAAGCTTACTGGATAACCTGCGAGGGTAGAAATGTAGCTCGCAGAGAGTGCACACACGACTGGCTTATGACCTGTATTGACCAAAGATTAAGGCCGAACATCAAGTGTGAGTTGGATTCTGCGTACGTCGTAGACTTTCATTAAAGGAGGCCTGGTCAAAGAAGGGATTGGGTGGCCTGCAGAGAAAACATGTGAATAAGACAAATTTTGGGTATCTGCTAACACGATACGAGCTTGCCTTGTTCCATCCATGGATGTTGTTTTCTGGACCGGCCGACGAGTCCAGGTTCGTGCGTTTGGCACGACAGAGCGTCGGTTTCTTACAGGCTGAGGAGTATTGGTGGTTAATGGAGCTTTTAAAAGAAGAAGGGCAGAATAAAAAATAGGGTGCTCCGCTCTAAGGATTTACTGGAGGAATTATTTCCAAATGCGGATACCTTGTAACGCGGGTGTCAAACAACATTCAAGTGACTACGGCATGCTGCAGAGTTGCAGAACACTATCTAATCGTATCGATAGAAGGGATAACCACATATAATATCTCATTAAAAGCCACCCAATCGCTTTTTCACGATCTTTTTCTTGTTAGTAAATGGCCGACCACCATTTGCCCCAGGAAGTACCTGAGTACTCGCAAAATGATCTTGCGTAGGCAGTACTTGGGTGCTTGGACGGCCATGGTTGAGTCCTTGCGGCTGGCTCCCGTATTCTGGAAACCTGCTTAAGGCAGGGGCCAGTGAAGTGACTACCATAGGAGGACGCTGGGAACGGACAGCGACGGTCTCCGTGGCAGTCGTAGCATTCGGGCGGGCCTGCTTCCGATAGCCTAAAGCCGTTTTCCCTGTCTGGCCATAAGGATCGTGGTAGACGTAATCCCCAGGAGCTATCCCAATATCCCATTCTCGCAGCAGAAGTCGAACACCAAGTGCATTGCTCATGGGTTTTTTGGAGGTTTCTGCATTGCCGTTGAGACCCGCGTAGTGATCGGTGTTATGTTTGGGTGTTGGATGCAAATATCCATAGTCAACTTCGCGTGGTTCATCCATCAGCGACATGTCGCCATGATTAGACGACGATGGCTTGACAAATGGCCGCGCCGCAAAGATATCAGATGACAGAGCTAGGTCAAGAACCAGCTGCTCCCGAGCTTCAGACTGCCTCCTCAAGGCAGGTCCTGGCATCGCAGGATCGGAAGTCAAATCCAAGCCACTCAAGCTCTCATATAACGCTTGCCAATCGCCCGAGGGACTGGTATGAAACTGATTCGTCGAGTTACAAATTCGATAGTGCCAGGGCGCCCGTTCCACTAAACTCTGGGGTGGAAGGTGGCCTTGCAAGAGAGCTCTGTAGCCCCTACGAGAATTGACTATGCCTGCTGTCAAGAAATCAGCCCGAGAAACTTCACCAGGTTCATCACCAGATCGGAATGCAATATCAAACCTAAGGCGAATGCGTCTATCAGCGATGGAAATAATAGAAAGGAAGCGGTAAATATGTACGTGTTTAGCATTTGTTCGACACCTCCACCAGTACGTTGCCAGAACAAAGGTATATTCTCCACCGTTTCGTGATAAGGTTCATTTTCATCTTGAAGGTTTGTGACTGCGTCCATAAGGAATAGTTCTATGGGTAATCAGTATTTAGCCAAAGTATATTTTCTCTCAAAAAGAATGACAAACTTTTGTATGCATCATGGAGATCGCTCTCACTGAATGCTCTCGCTCCTAGTGGGCCAGGGTCTGAGCGAAGCTTCCGTGCTTTCGTATCTAACTTCTGCACTTCTGTCGACCATTCAAACATTTTATCTCCGATGGTCACGGGTGTTCCGCCAGTATCACGTGTATTTACCAACCTAAAATCTTGACGATGGATACTGCCTCGGGAGCTTAAATGAAGCATAGACATGTCTGTAGTAGAAGGAAGGACGACTGCCGAGTGTCCTGGTCTTGCAGTGTAGTACGTATGAGTAAGAAGGGAGTGAGGGGAGGCACCAGAATATAGTAGGCCATCTGTGCTGCGAGAGACGTCATAAACAGATATTAACCCATTTTTCCGTGAGGTCAAAAGTGTGAGAGGATCTGCAAAGATTTCATGAACCACCCATACGAAAAAATGATAAGTACCTACTATTTCCAATGCGTACTGTCACAGTCTCCAGTGTCCTGTCGAAATCACGGTTATGCTTGTAACTTAGCAGAGGTTGACGGCCAAATCGGTCGTCTAACCAGAGGATTTCATTCGTCGTGGACAATCGGATGATATGATCTGGCTCTGGCTGTTCTATGGCTGTTACGAATGTCATTAAATCTCGACAACGAAAAAGTTCTATAGGTTCGTCACTCTAAACATAACGTTAAGATTTATCGTTTATATACGGGGAAGCAACATACCCGAAAATCTAGACGTGCCAGGGAGTTTTTGTCAGCCAATATACATCCATCATGAGACTTGGACAATGCTAATTTGAAGAAGCTGTCATTCGCATTAGGTCGAAACCGTGTACTCGCTTCATTAAGTTGGCTGCGGGGGTTTGTTAGGCAATGTGCATCCCACGAGACCAGCTGAAAACTACGTACAGTGCAATGTTACCGTCGTATACGTCGTAGTGGTAAACGTGTCCTTTCTCATTGACCATGACGACTCCAGATTGCGCCGATAACAACCTGGCATCGGCTATGGAATGACCTCCCGCATCAGAACTACCAAAGTTAACCACTTCGGATACTGATATGCCAGATGATATGCTCGGGGGTGTGACACTCATCAGAGAAGTGGATGCGAAACTGCGAACAATTGCATATGCAGCTATCAAAACGATTAGGCCCCAATCACTTTTGAAAATGAATAAGAAGTACCTTCGTCCGTTTCACATGGAATTGACGGTGTTACGATATGTTGAATCGGCGTGTCAAAGGTATAGGCAGCACGTGGAGACGCCTCAAAGACAACATCACGACTATGTTCACCATATTTCATACAAGAAATGTCTAGCACCAAAAATCAATGGTCAAAAATTAATTTTGGAATCAAAAAATCGCACTAAGGTCCCTATTTGCCTCGCCCATGGGAAATAGAACTAGCGAGACTATGTCGTTTGGGCCTTTATTACAATTAATTGTATCCAACAAGTTTCCACTGCGAGTATCGAAAGCCTCCAAGTCACGCATAACCTTAGTATCTTCCTCCATTTCATTCCTGATGAGTTCTATATGTATATCCACGTCAGGAAAATATGTTCTCAAGAAATGGGCCTAGATGATATATATATATATATATAAGAATGATCGGTATGATGTAGGATGGACTCACACCCTGTTCGGCACGGTGAACAATAGAACTTGATGGGACGTACAAGGGAGGTGGACGTGTTTCCGGAAAAACTTTGACAGAATGGCCCATAGGAGACAGACTTCGTCCTATATAGAATACCTTAGGAGAAGTTCCCTGATAAGAGGGACAACTTACTGTTAGAGTTCTCTGCGAGGATGGTCCATTGTAATCTCCCATTTTGTTGCACCAGAGTGGCAGCACCTAAGGATCCATGGTCGAGCCGAGGAAATTGGCATGCGATTTCCACTTCTTTGCTTTTCCCTTTTCGTAGCTTCTGTGGATTATCATACTGGAGCTGTCTTTCATCCGCAGGCCAATGATCCATTCCATTCGAGCATGAGCAATTGGAGGTAAAAGGCCAAAGGTACCGCAAAGGCCAGTATTGCGTTTTGAGACTCCGACCACTTATAATTTTGTCTGCACTTGTCCGAATCCACGGGACAGAAACACACTATGCTCAGACTCTGGACATTCTCTCAGTATCCATCTGGTGCAGTTAAATGCAGACAACTGCACTGGACAGCCGTCAATTGTGCAAGAGTAGCTAAGAATGCAGCTCCTCCAGCCCCTCCAGTAAAATGGAGTCCAAGTTCACTACGTACTGGTCTCATTGCTCGGAAACGCGGAATGACTGCTATGTGGGATGACCATGGAGCGCGTTTTCCGGTTACCGTGCTACAGGTCTGTTGATGAACTTGAAACGTTAATAATCAGAGCTGAAGCGCCTTTTTCTAGCTTGAGAACTGTCAAGTTACAGCGAATATTGTCCACGTTCGCCCCGATCGGTCAGAATACCATGCCGTGCAGGTTGCTGCTTCAGATAGGCCCAAACGTACCACCACACGACAGATGCGAGGGCATTTCGCAAAGGCCCGTGTTCCTCCGAAATACATTGTGAAGGAATTTCCTGTGACGCCAGATGCTCATGTTCCAGTGGGTAAGTTGTGACAACCTATCATCGTTTTATGGGGAGAATTTAACGTGGACCTATTCAGGAACGACGTTTTCTGCAGTCCATTTTGTACCCGGGCAATTTGTAGATGTAATTGCGAACTCGTACGTCCACAGTGAACACTTTAATGGTCTCTCCTACCTTTTTTGTATTTTTCATAGGATAGGGAAGGGCTTTCAAGGTGTCATGAAGCGGTGGAACTTCAAAGGTCTTCGAGCCAGTCATGGTGTATCAGTCTCACATAGATCCGCTGGTGCTACTGGTGCCCACCAGGTTAGTTTATCTGGACCCTCAAATTGTGATTAAACCAAGCTGAAGTGTTCTCTCTTCGAAAGGACCCTGGTCGTGTATGGCCTGGCAAAAAAATGGCTGGTCGTTTAGGTGGTGAACGAACCACTGCTCAGAACCTCACCGTTGTACGGGTCGACTCAGCGTTAGACCTGATCTTCGTCCGCGGAGCTGTCCCTGGTGTCGACGATGCACAAGTGTTGGTGCGTGATGCGAAGAAGAGGCTGGTGAGCGCAGCCAAGGTGAACTACCAAAAAGGATTGGATGAGCAGCTACTACCCAAGGGGGTGGATGATTTACCTTTCCCAGCAGGTACAAAGGAGATGGCAAAAGGTCTTCCACCTGTCATTGAAGCCCCATCTAAACGGAGGAGCCCCTTCATTCCCAGAGAATAGGTACATTAATATATTTCTGACATCGGTGTTCTGTAGTAGCATCATCCCTAGTTGAGAGATCCTGTTTTGTTTTCTTTTACCAGCAAATGAACCCCATTGACAGTAGACATATGAGGTTTTCGGTCTGCTTGAGGCTGAGCGAACTTTGTATGTGCCTCGCATTGGCCCTGGCATGATTGCACCCGCGACCACGCCTAACTTGAATACGATGTATTGCAGGATATACTAGGCCATCCCACACCAACTAAACGTTTTGGCCATTCTCTCCCGCACCTCTTCAAGTTGAGCTGGTCTCCATACCTATATCTTGAAAAGTGTTCCTGCAACACTTGTATATCTCGCTGTAACATCTTCTATCGCTGACGTTGCGAGTGTATAACAATTGTACCGGTGATCGTGCTACCATGGCCACCACCAACGAACGCCTATTAGTCCAGATTGGCTCGTACAATACGAATCTACAGGGCGGCGCTGGAGTACCCCAGGATCTCGTGGACTGGTTGGCCCCAACATTGCAAGTTTCAAGTTTTCTCTCGCGACAAACACGAGCTCCCGACATCGTTGCTGTGGGATTCCAGGAGTTGCTACCTCTCCACCTTGGATGTACGTGCAGGCATCTTTCTCCACGCATCCCCATTTAACACTGCTTTCCTTGGGTGAATAAGTTTCTGGACTATCTAACACTGTACTGAACCACAGAGCCGAGCATATACGCTCTCAGATTGAGGCCCATGCACCCAACAAAGAACGATACTCGCTGGTTGCGAAGGTCGTTAACGTGGGGGTCGCGTTACTTGTATATGCACGAGATGATAGTGTAGCTCGTCATGTCTGCGACGTACAAACACAATGGACGGGTTGTGGACCAGCCTATATGGGAAACAAGGGTGGTGTGGGTATCCGCTTTCGTGTCAAACCCGAGGGGAATATGGCAGGGGAAACCTTCACGTATGCTTTAACTCTTTATGTTATTAGTGAATTATTAACTAACTCCTCGATTTTGAATAGCTTTGTTTGCGCACATCTGGCTGCCCATGAACCGAAACTTGCTCAACGTGTCGCTGATTATAACCACATCGTCAAGACACTTCTCTTTCCTGCGCTCCCTACATCCGGCCTCACCGGCCCAACCACCATGTATTCAACCTCTCATCTCTTCTTTCTCGGTGATCTCAACTTCCGAGTGTCGATACCTCCTTCACACCCTCTTATTGCATCCACTAAGCGCGACGAGGCAGTGGCTTATATGAAGACCCAAACTTTGCGAGCAGAATTGAAGGAATACGACCAACTTCTAGTCGAACGTCGAAAAGGTCGTGTTTTCATTGGCTTGAAAGAAGCTGAATTCTGGTCGTTCCAATGTACATACAAGTACCAGCTCGGCGAAGTCGATAAATACAGGTGAGCATGCACTTCTACACATCTTTGAATCAATCACGCTGACATATCTATAGTACGAAAAGGACGCCCTCATGGACTGACAGAATTATGTTTGCAACTCACACCGATTCACCTGACACACCAGAGAAATCTAACATCACCAGTTTGCTATATACATCCATTCCCTCCTACACAACGTCAGATCACGTATGTCTCTGTCTACTTTTATCTTTTAATATTCAAATTCAAATTTCTCCCGCAGAAACCAGTCGCCAGTCTCCTGCTTTTACCTAGTCCTTCCTTACCTGCGCCCACGGTCCCACTTCTTCGCCTTCCATCTACCTTTACCCCTACGCCTGATCCTCTTGCCACACTAAAGCGTTTCACAGGGCGAACGTTAGATCGTATAGTAGGTTACGTCTGGTGGTTTCTCGTGCTTGTTGGTGCAGGCTCTGCCATAATCGGTGCATTCAACTTCCTCCTCGGTTTTGGTGCGTGGAGTTGGTATCGTTCGTCGTCTGATACGCCCGCATCATCACCTGTTGTTTGAGAGCCATTAAACTGGTCTGGACATGATTGTAGTAAGATATAGTCTACAGATACGCGGGGGTGGTGACATGTGCTACTACTCTGAATTTAAATATCAATCGTATCTAATATTTGGTTCTACTTATATATTATGTACCAGTGCAGCTCTTCTGCCCAGATCCCAGTATTGAACGACATTACAACGTTACAAGCGATGCGTATACAGATAGTATATATGTACGTACACTTATACATTTTGTTCTCTACTAGTATATCAGTCTGTCACAGCAATTGCCTTGGTGCTTTGTGTTTGTTCCGTTCATCCTCATTGACGTCCACTAGTGTCTCTTCTCTGGTTATTACCACAGTAGGAACCTCCGCTTCATCCGTACCTACCTCCCCTGGAGACTCCTCGATGTCACCCGACCGTAACTCAGGTATACGGACGAATGCAAGTAGCACGAAAGCCACAGCCACCGAAGTGGAAGATAGGAGAAATATTGCCTGCGGGAGAATGGTGACTGTCTTGAAGTACAGGAAGCCATAGGCGGCAGGACTTATGATTTGTGAACTGCGATAAATGATCAGTATACTATTCAAATACAATCTCGAATGGACATCTCACCTGAGTGCCTGCACAACGCTAAGAGCACCAAATAATCTCCCTGATTCGCTTCTGCTATTCCCCCCACGGCGTATATACAGCTCGAGAGCAACGCTCTGTACAGCGGGAGAAAAGCCTGCGCCCATCGAGCCTAAAAGTGTGAAAGCGACAAAAAGACTAGGCATGTTTGAAAGACCCATAAACAAGTACGCGATTGTATCAAGAACAACCGAGACTCGGGCGAGATTAAGGTCAAATTGAGGTGAATGAGATGGCGAAGGAGTCGCTGCCGAGATAGCTGAATTGTTGGTTTGGAGTGGTTCTGAGGATGACACAGGGAGCTGGATAGGCGTAGGTGGTGTGCGTTTCAGGAGTTTGATGGCGACTGGATAATAATGTGAATTGTACAGCACAACGTCACTCCATGAAATACTCACTGGGTAAAATTACGGCCAAACACAGTGCGCGGGCAGCGCCGGCGAGGGAAATATAGTAGCTTATCTATAGCTTGAACTTAAGTGAGGGGTTACTACCCAAAACAAGACCAGACACGCACTATTTCCGAGGACCAACCAAACGTTGCTGCAGCGTACTGGAACTTGTAGGTGAACGACCCCTAATAGTTCAACAGAAGGTCATAATTATCATCATTATGACGTGGGGTCTCAAGTTTTACCGTGATGGATATAGAAAACCCGTAGCTTGCAGCGACCAAGCACAAACTCCAGTCTCTTCTCACCCTTTTCAGCGGATTTGAGCTAACACTCACAGCCTTGCCGCCTTCAGAGACACGCTCTGGAAATAATATTGAGATAGGCGTGAAGAAACTCGCCACTTGCTTCAATCCACGTGATGTCCAATGGCCGGATACTTCCTTATCTTTCTTCATAGCGTATCTCCGCTTCGCACTGGTACGTCGAGCTAGCGTCACCGACTCAGGGACAATGAAGAACAAGAAGATGGCATATATAGTGTGTAGCACTGCAGCAAAATAGAATACCGAAAGGACCTGTTGAGTAGCACGAATGACCAGGCCACCGAGTATGGGTCCTAAAGCCATACCCGTGAAGATAAGCCCAAGTGTGGCGGAGAAAACTCGGGAGCGGGAACTGGGGTCGACACAATCCGCAAGATAAGCGTGGAGGCCACCAACTGCAGATGCCATCCCTCCAAAAAAGCCTTCGAAGATAGAGCCGACGATGAGAAACCAGTATCCTCCTGGAAGTCGGTCAACAAAAAATGTAACGAAGATAAAATTGAGATCTGTGATGAGAAGGCCAAGGATAGATAGGCCCAGCACAAGTGTGCGGCCATAACGATCGGACAGCTAACGGATATAGATATTCAGCGGGGATATGAATGAGAAAGGCAGGAACATACGGAGCCCCACCAAGCAGTTGTTAGACAACTGAGAATGCCCATGGATGTGGTTATCACTGTGAATGAATGATGAAAATTCCGGTCGAGGGTAAATTATGAAAGAGGACGAACCGGCGGCAAGCTTGGCAACAGCACCTTGAACGACGGGATCTTTGGCACATTGTTTCTGGTCTATCGCCTCGAGTTCGATCTTTGGGATAGACACATTTACCATGACGTCACTCTGAGAAGAGTACTCGGGGTGGAACCCGTTAAGCACAGACGATGGTACAGATGCAGATGTATCAGTAATATTTACTGCTCGAGGAACTGGCTTCCACGAAGGTAGAAGTGAATGGATGCTCGAGTCCGAGTCGGAAACGTATTCAGGTCTGTGAATACGACACGCCAGGATGGTGTATATCTCAACACGTGGAGCAATTGTGGACGTGTATCCTACCACGCTCAGTGGGATGCCAAGATATATCCTTTGGATGGATCGTATCTCGTTAAGCGGTAAGCAAAGCACGTTTTAGCACTAACCATAGGGACGAAGGTCGCCTCCACCAGGGCAAATTCTGCCAACCCGCGAGCTCTTTAACGTGCTCCTCGTCGTCATCTTCGCCATCGTCTCCGCCGACGCTATCAGAGATAGCCTGAGGGTCAACGAGCGTGTCCTCCGTACCGTTGTGAGGATGCACAAAATTATGCAGCAGCTCACTGGCACGCTCGCCGATGGGGCCGTCTGGTAATATGAGACCTTCTGGCTGAGAAATGTATCGAACAGGGGACGCTGGAGAACGATTGCGAGAGCGAGGATGGGAGGACGACATGGTGGGGGGTGGGTGTATGCGCGAAGAGACCGCATCGTGTTTTGAATGTACCTTGCGGCGGCTTAGTTAGCAGAGTAAGCCGGAATGACACCGGAATTCGCTTTAAGCTTTGCTTATCTTATCAAGAACTCACATATCAATTACACATCGATCTAGTCCCTCATCGTCGTCTGCAATGGTGAGCTATACCTCCTGCTCGTCGTCTTCCACAACGAGCCCGCGTTGACATCAGCTCAGTCACACACCGTCGATATCCCCCAAACCATCAAGGACTCTCTTCGCAAGTTCCGCTTTGCACGACGAAATGCAGGGAGTGCTGCCCTTGTCATCAAGATCAATAAGACCAAGCTTATCATGGAAGAGGCGGATCTATTTGACAATATATCCATCGACGATCTCGCCGAAGGTATGTATTTCTCGATGCTCTACTTCGCGATCTGATGCAGATGTGTGCCTTTGTAGAACTGCCGGAGAATTCACCGCGATATGTCGTATTGTCATACGAATTAAAACATCGCGATGGGAGAACATCGTTCCCGCTAGTCCTCGTTAACTGGGCACCATCTTCAAGTGAAATTGGCATGATGACTCTCCACGCAAGTGCATTCTTAGATTTCCAGTCAACTGTGAGTATTCGACGTATCATCGTCTTCGCAGTAGTTTATTTAAATTCCTGGGAACTAATAAAAATGGTGTCATTCAGGCAGACGTGAGCAAGGTCATCGAGATAAGAGATGGGGCTGAATCTTTGACCAAGGCGGCCATTGATGCTCAGCTCCTTGGATAGGTATTGTAAATGCGGGTTAACCGTCAACCTGTGTATTCTCGTGATGTTTTCGTAATCTTGTTTTCCCTTATGCTGTATGATAGACTTGATTCAGCGATACGACCGCAGTATTACAAGTAAAAATCGGGCTATGACCAAACTGAAGTGAAGTGACCCCTGGCGCTATCATATGGCATACGTTGTGAGAGTGCCGTCGGCTACGCGGTTGCGCGTCACAGTCCCATGTCTGTTCCTCACTGGTACCACAATTCGAAAGTCCCGTCTTTTCGTGCCCTCCTTATCGTTTCTGCTATCCTCCGCATCGCTCTCATCGTATACAGCGACTGGCACGATGCACATTCAGTGGTAAAATACACAGACGTCGATTATCGTGTTTTCAGCGATGCTGCCAACTTTATCCTCGACCCCGGCCCAGTTCACTGGAAAGAGTTTGACAATGGTGCAAAGGGTCCACTAGTTGACTGGCTAGGAATAAAAATCGGCGAGTGCGTACACATTTCCATTTCGTGTGAATAGACCCCAAAAGACGTGATTGACATGACTTTGTTATAGCCCATATGCGCGTGAAACGTATCGCTACACACCGCTGCTTGCACTTCTTCTTACTCCCAATAGATGGATACACCCATCTTTTGGAAAATATCTCTTTGCTGCATGCGACCTTCTGAACGGTGTCCTTATCTACAAGCTCCTCATATCTGTCGTACTCCCTTCTACAGTTCGTGAACCGGCCAAGGCTGAGTCCGAGTCCGACAATCCCACCGTAAAGGTCACTGAAGCTCTACACGCTCGCGCAACGTTATTCGCAGCTACTCATCTCCTTGATCCCCTCGTATTCACCATATCCACCCGTGGCTCCTCGGAGTCTCTCCTTGCCACTCTCGTCCTTCTGACCCTTTTCTCCACGCTCACAGCACGTTGGGATGCAGCTGCATTTCTCCTCGGTCTCAGCACCCATTGGAAGATATACCCCGTAATCTATGGAGTGGGCTGTCTGGGCGTTGTTGGTGTGCAGGGACGAGAGCGACCAACCGGGTGGGGGTTGGCATATATGCGTACTCTCGTAAATGCTCGTACGATAAGGTTCACCCTTATAAGTGCTGGGACCTTCTTTCTCCTCGGTGCAGGATGCTACGCCATGTAGGTTTACATTTCGTGTATAAGGCTTATTCTATCTAGCTGACGCACAACACCTTAGATGGGGATATACTTTCCTCCACGAAGCCTACCTATACCACCTTGACCGGCTCGACCATCGTCACAATTTCTCTCCTTATTTCTACCTTATCTACCTCACTTACCCTTCCCACTTTCCTCCTTCCCATTCCACCGAACTCGCCGTCCCTCTCATCCACCACGTGCTTCGCTCTCCGCTCACCTCCCTCGTCCCGCAACTAATATTATCCCTTGGCACGGGCCTCCTCTTTGGTCGACAAGCTCGTCACCTCCCATTTACATTCTTCGTCCAAACCACCGTTTTCGTACTATTCAACCGCGTTTGCACATCACAATACTTCCTCTGGTATATCACATTCCTACCCCTGCTCTTCCCGCGTGTCGTCCCATCAATAGCTTGTGGTGTTGTATGGGCAGCCGTACAGGCGCTATGGCTCGCGGAAGCATATAAGCTGGAGTTCCTCGGAGAGCCAGTATTCCGCGCCGTCTGGCTGAGAAGTCTGTTGTATGTAATCGGGCATGCTTGGGTGTTGGGAGAAGTAATGAAAGGCTATGCAAGGGACATAACAGGGCGTGTCTCTTCCTAACATGAAGACAGACTGTACCTAGTTATCATGAATCATAAGAGGAGCTATCTCGGGATAAAGCCGAAAATATGTTGCATATCGAGAGGAACCCAGTTGGAAGTAACTTAACAGGAAAGCTTTGGTGTAACAGTGCAATTAAGACAAAAGGAATGACAACATGACTAAAGAGAAGTCAACTGAGGGCCAGGCGCAGTAGTAATAGTGGATCACAGCTAGTGAGAGGGGAGACAACTAAAATGTAAACTCGGTAAAAGGGTTGGGAGATAGTGTACTGTAGCGTCATTGTCCCTCATCCCTTCATGCCAACCACCGCCGATAACAATATACCAGTAAGCGATTTAAATCTACAACGAGTGGAATAAAAGCAAAATCGTCAGTAATGTGTACTAAGGGTACGTGTGAGGGTAGGACATACGTATTGCGAGATCCATCGGAAACCTTGTAACGCGTGAGATGAATTAAGTTAGCATGATAACGCGGAAATAAACTTTAACCGCCTTCACCTTCACCGTAGCCTTGCCTCTGCACTACCGAACACATGAAGATCTCGATAGGTCGAATATCATTCAGGGGAACCTTGCCCTGTAAACATCATTACCGTTAGCAGTCATTTATAGCAAGGTCGCCATCCAACGCTATAGTACTTGCCTTGCCTGTCGTCTGATAAAGCCCCAAATGGTGTCTCAGTTCTTCCTCACTCACAGCGCCGGGTGCATCAATCTTATTTCCGAGGACAAGGAAAGGAACCTTGGACAACTCCTCGATGGAGAGGAGCGCGTCGAGTTCGGCTTTAGATTCGGCGAAGCGCTCAAAGTCGGCACTGTCAACAAGGAAGACTATACCATCAACTTCGGGGAAGTAGTCACGCCAGAGACGGCGAGCTGTTGGTTAATGATAAACCGATGAGCGTAGGTCGTGGCGCGAGAGAATCGAGCAGTGTGACAGACCTTGTTGATGTCCGCCCAAGTCGTAAGTCGTGAATTTAACGTTACCAATGGCCAATTCCTCAGACGCTAGATAAATTTGTTGTTTGAACTCGAAAGGTCTACATCTGTAAGAAAAGAGAAATGCGCACTGGGATGAAGGGTGGGTTGCAACGTTGCCAGCCTGTCGTTTTTGAGCATGTGCAACAAAGTCTAAGCAATTATAACAGAGAAATTAGTGCACCGGACATGGGAGGTGGGTATCGACTTGTTTGCTCACCGTCTTTCCAGCATTGTCTAAACCCAAGAAAAGGATTTTGGCATTCTTATGCAGGAGGCCTGGTGTTAAGGTTGAGTATTGGCCACACTAATGAACCAGCAAGTAACATACCGAGCTGAGCGAGAACGTCCCAGAACCAGTTGATGATAAACATGGCTGTCGTATAAGAACAGAGCGTAAATGTAAAGAAACTTGAAGAGAAGGCCCGGCAGTTGTCTGCGTGTCCTGTGACGCGTTACAACTGTCGCAAATAGTCGCGAAACGGTCACATCGTGACATATGTAATTTCCTGTTCCTTGGCTTTTCTTCTCATGCATTCACTGGAGGTCGTTGCGGTCGCAACGACCTCATAACACAACAGCACTTGCAAAAGATACAGTACCTTTACAAAAGAATTTTACTGTTCGCAAAGGCATTGGAACTCTTGCTGATCAACGAAGCTTCAGTCTTTTCAAGAGCAAACTAACATAATGCTAACTGGACTGCTATCGAACTCTAATCACATTCAATTTTTAAACAAATTTTGGTACAAGTGTAGGAAAGGTCTGACGCTCTCGCGACCATGGGCCCTATTATAACAACAAAGCGAGTGCGAGAGCTCTTTTTCCCGTCCATGCATCCCTCTCCGCATCGCCGAATCGCCTTCGTCCTTCCTAGAAGTCAGTAAAGACACGGTAGAACGGGCACTGTCTAATAGGCTGCGATGAAAACAAAACAAAAGAACAGCCATCGCATTTTGTAGTCGATTCATGTTTGGTGTTGTGTGGCACTTGGCCCATGCGCACTCTCGCATAATACTGACTGTACGCAATATGTGTGATATATGCATGATCCATTGGTTAGACTGTATATGAGAGTTTCAATGCGACTTTTATCGTGCAACTTGTGTCAACCACTCTCTCAAACCATCTAAACCATCGAGACCCTCCTTTTCATCTACACCTGATTCTGGCCTGCCCGCTGCCAGCCATGTGCCTGCAAAACACACCTCGCCACCTTCCCATTCCTCGAACTTGAATGAACCCGCTGCAGGACCATTGCACACCAGTCCACCCGTGTCCGACTTCTCCCCTTCCTCCCCAAGTCCTTCAATCCCAACATTTCCTACCTGCGACAAGCGCCGCTTTTCAAGCTCACGTTCGAGAATGACTTTGACGCGTGAAACAGCTAGTTCGGTCGACACGCTCGATGAAGTGTTCGATTTGAGAAGATCAGCTTTGTGAGCAAGAATGAGTAATTTAGGTGGCGACTGTGAGGGAGGGAGGGATGTCAGGGCGTGCAGTATGTGATGCAGGTGCCTGGAGGAGGGGCGAGTTAGCAACTGGGAGACGCCTTCATGGAACCATCACGCACTCTGCCACAACAGCCCCGTTTCGCGAAACGGTACTCGCGTCCACGACAAACGCGAGAGCTCGGGCGTCGGATAGGTATTCTCGAAACTGACCCCTGATACGGGGATGCCCAGGAATATCCACTACCCTTAGTGCCTTGGCAGACGAACCGGGGAGTGTTATGACTGCAGCATTAGTCTGTAGCGATGTGTACGAAGGAAGGGTTCGCTGATATGCTAGCTGTACTTTTGCGTTATCAAGAATGCGACAACAGCGTCTAGGTACGAAGCACAACTCACTGTCGAAAGAATGGCCGTCTTGCCAGAGTCAGGTGGTCCCACCAGGAGGAGGCTGTTACCTGCAGACCTCGATCGCTGCCGTCTAATCAGAACAACTACAGCGGATTCAGCCAACTTCATACAGTGGAGAACATTCAGTCTACGCACCGGCTAAAAGAATGGCGGCCAGCGAAAGAGAAGCCAGAACCAATATTGGAGTCGATACCAGGTTAGTCAAGGAGGCAACTTCAGGTTCAATACGTCCTGGAGTGTGTGTCGTATCCTCGATTGTCATGGCTGACTGAAATAGAGAGATTTTACTAATGAGAGAGAGAGAAAATAGTTCCGTGAGCTGCCAACGGCACAAACTTGTAAGTCGAACGCAATAGGTGAATGCTTTGTTTGTCCTTGTTAGATCCGAAAGCACTACTAGTACATGACTGATGATGCACCGATTTATCTACTCGCATTATCATACTTCGATAAACAATTTTACCCCGACAAGCAGCTTCAAGGACGATGGCTTTGAGGGTTGCAGCTGACAAGGGAAGATGATATAAATCAAGTCAAAAATCAAGTCAAAACAAAAAGAGGTGAGTTTTTGGACCTAATCCCTCTTAAGCTGAATGGGCATGTCTGATAGAACCAATCTGCAATGCACCGAGCTGGAAACAGCTCATTTTTCGTCCAAACTCCTGCATGTAAAATTTGTTGCGGTCCTCTTCAGGCCATGATAAAAGTGCCTTGACATCCGAGGCAGTAACGATCCCAGCCTCGATGAAATCGGCACAAAAACTCTCGAGGTTGGGTTTCAGGTGACGGAGAAATTCTCTGACATCTGATGATCCCTTTTCTGTTTGGGGACTTCTGGGTAACGATGGTCCTGAAACGCCTTCTCCCGTGGCGGTGCTCGTGGATGCATTCACATTTGCGCGAGACCTACCCGACCTCCTCACAACAGACGATAAACTGGGTAATAACACATAAGGTTGCGCGGTCGGGACAGAGGGTCTTGGGAAGCCCTAGAATAGTAGATAACTTCCTGTCGGCTTGATGTATACAGTGCTGGCGTTGCAGGTGACTTACGGACAAAGTGGCCAATCGCTCTTCTTGACGGACATAGTAGTCAGACTTGTCTAGAAGTAAATATTCGCCGCCGCAAACAATGAAACCCGAATGACGCACTTTGCGGGTTTCATTCTTTGGCGCTCCAACAACTTCAAAATCCCTCCTTGGACCCATTTTCCTTACAGGTCGACCATTAACACTCGGACGCACTTTACAGGTGTACATCCTGCGCTTAAGATACTGTGCCATGTATACTTCAATGGGCCACGCAGATTCATAGTCGGTTTTCAAGATAGGCATTTTGAAAGTGACCTATACGCAGATCAGATAGGCATTTTAGAACCACTAGAGATGCTTTACCTTTTGTTCGAATAGACGGCGCCGCTCTTCGTCTTGGTCACCATAACAAGCATCCAGATCCAGAAATTCAGCAGCAGTGTACCTTAAACATGTCTGGATATCATAATAGTAGTCGATACTCAACCTGTTTTGAGGGTGATATATAACTTACGCAGAATTGACAAAATTCATGCACTCCCATGGACATACAGATACGCAGCTCGGCGGTCCCAATAATGGTGACAACCGGCCTGGGGACAGGCTGGGAGGCTGATTGGTCCAACATGAATAAACAATCATCTATCAGGGAGTTTCAGTAGCATTACACGCACTGGCCATGATCGATACTGGTAAAGATGAATGATAGGACGCGATGGATCATTTACGGCTATATATTGTAAACCAGTGCCTTCTCTTCTTCTCTTCCGTCCATGATAAGACAATTGACGGAACCTATTAAAAAAATCGCGTTTTGTAGGGGCGCATGAAGACCACCACATCACGAGGGCACAAAATTATCTCCTATTCGTACACATGTATAGTTTACACGGTGGCTGAACGAAAGACGCTGATATTCTGACATCACGTTGGATCAGCAGAATCGATCGCTGTAAAAAGGAGATTAAGGAGCGATAAACGAGAAATAACTTAATGGTCCCAACCTTTTCAGCTTAGCTCGACGATCTAATAAAGCTTCAGCTAGGCGTCCCTCCTTTCGAGCACGCTTAAGCTTTGCCCAAAATGGCGAATATCAGATAGTGTGCAAAATAATATATGGTATCTACTTACCTCCTTCTTATCACTTTGTGACACTATCGATCGCCCAGCACCCCAGGCCTGATATATCCGACTATAAAATTATATAACATTAGTTACAAATTCTAAAAAAGGTGTAATAATCACTAACTTGGTCCCTGCTTCATCCGCTTTTCCTACATCAGACATGCCCTCCTTTTTCTTCTTTTCCTCATGGGCTTCCCTCTTGTATTTACTCTGAATTTTTACCCAAAACCGCTCACCGAAACCAACTTCCTCTGAGTCACCACGGAGCTGAAGCGAGCCGCCCGCAACTTCATCTACGCTGAGGTACTTTTCGTAGACGTTCATGAAAGCAATCATGCCATCAGGCATAATGACTGGGGTCCATTCCTCTTGCGGCCCGCGAGCTTCCCTATCTGCTGATACTAAGCCATGTTTGTCACAAGAAAGGAACTTCCCGTCTCCCGTTCCAGTTCGCAAGTTAATTGTCGGTGACCCTGAGACCCGTGTAATCACCCAAACTTGAGAAACGTCAGTAGGAGTACGCTCGAGTATGTTTGGAGGTTCAGCCCCTTCTTCCGCCTGGTCCTTTTCGAGCGAGTGTAGAATGATGCGGTTTCTTGTAGAATCAAAATTGACGGATATGGGGAAAGGGTCTGAGGGATGTATGATAAATGTAGGACCACGAATTTCCACTGGATCCTCAGGTACCACCCATGTTTCAGGGTCTTGGTCGTCTTGATCTTTTCGCCGACGACTGGAACTTACTCCCTCTTCATCGTCGGAATCTCTTCTTCTTTTCTTTTTCGTCTTCTCCCCTTTGAACTTGAGTTTTGTTGAACGAACCTTGTCTGTTGACATTATAGAGTAAGAGTGGAGAGAGGAAGAATCCTTACCTGCCAGTGTGAAGTGTACGATGACAAATGCTGTGTCCCTCAAAGCGGCAAATGCCGAGTTTGCAAACTTGGTACCAAACAAGGTGCTCAATACATCGAATATCCACGCCCGCCGCCACCGTTATCGACGTCCTCAAGATCAAGATGAAGTACAACCCTGGTTAGTTTGTGTTCCAAAGGCCCTTTCTTACGCCCTTCTTCTGTCTGGTGTGATAAAAATGGCGGAATTATGCTCCAGTCAAGCTGGATGGGCATATTATTGCGTGGATGATAGAGTCTCGAGAAAATGCGTTTGAGATGTATGTGGTGCTAAAACAATTCATTGCTTATGTCTAGACGTTACCTCCTCACGGCGCAAGAACCGCAAGGCGCATTTCAGCGCGCCCTCGTCCGTTCGCCGCAAAATCATGTCTTCCGCTCTTTCTAAGGAACTCCGTGGCAAGTACAACGTGAGTACCAGAAATCAAGTAACTCTGTTCGCCGTTTAATTATGTATTCATAGGCACGATCATTGCCAATTCGTAAAGACGACGAAGTACGAATTGTTCGTGGAAAATACAAGGGTCGTGAGGGCAAGGTTACTCAGGTGTACAGGAAGAAATGGGTGATTCACGTTGACCGTGTTCAGCGTGACAAGTCGAATGGTGCTACTGCTCCCATTGGTGTGCACCCCAGCAAAGTTGTTATCACCACCATCAAGCTGGACAAAGACAGGTACAAACCTTTCGATGGGTTTTGGTGTATTGCTTACAGATTTTTTGCATTTTCAGGCGTGCAATTCTCGACAGGAAAGACAGGAAGAAGAACCCAAGACCAGCAGGTGGCGAGGATGTCGAGATGGTCGATGTAAGTTGCAGCCTATTTTGCCAATTTTAACGTACTGATCAACGACCCCCTAGTAAATACTTTGGAGTTCGTCATTTCGTTAGTTTCCTACACTGCATTATCCAAAACTACCCATGTATCTATGCGAGTTTACGCACATGATATGCACCATGATCAACTTGCCGCTCTCCGTCGCAGAGGCGGATCAAGCTTTCGCAAGTTCACGATGAGGTTGAATTAAATGATGACGGTTGCTATTATGAATTAGCAAAGTACAAAGTTCTGTGATTACTTCAGAAAATGACATCCTGGTCTTTACTACTCAATAAATCTGCACTACCATCTGGTTCATCGTCGTAAGTTTCTAGCGGCTCTTCTGTCACTTTCAAAGCAGCTTGCTCTGCGTTGGATGCGGCATCCCTCTTTTTCTTCCCTTGGACTTTCTTCAACCTAATACAACCATCAGCACTTCGAGGTGTACTTGATTACTCAAATCAACACTCACCTAAAGAATTCTTCTCGGTCCATCTCGTCGAGCTCACTTATAATATACTTGATCGTGTTGTCCAACCGTGGAATGACAACGTATTCGATAGCATTCACGCGGCGGTTTGTCGCTCGAATGACCTCGTCCAGTATTGTGAAAGCTGTCTGCAATGAAGCGAGTTCCACTAGTGTTTCTATAGCTTTGGCATAGACTTCTTTCGCTCGAAGCACCTGCTGCCCACCACGGCCAAGACCAGTCAGATTGAAGTCTGCTCAAAGATGAATCAGCCCTAGTTGAAGAGAACGATTGCACAATATACACACCTGATCCCGATACACGATCAACTTCAAAAGCGGGAAGAACAACACCTGATACGTTTTCCTGTTTGGCCTTGACACGGAAGGTCGCCAGTTTCGCTTGCTCTTGTACCAGATATGAGATATCCCCAGTTGCATAAGTAACCTCGGCCATCGAGAATGACGCCAGCTGCATTACTCTACCCATCTTCCGTTTGGCCTAATGATATAACGCTAAGGAAATAAGTAGATGAAAAGAACCCCTCTGCGGCTACGTACCTCATCGACTTTCTTCAATATTGCTCGGAACCTAGTGGTCAAGGCATCTCGTTTCTTCGCTAGCAGCGAGTGGCCTGTCTGGGCTCCCTTCAGGCGTAGCTTGGTATTTGTCAATGCCATCCGTGTCGCAAATACATTTTCGCGAGGGCCAGTACCCGACATCGTTGCAGCAGCGATGAGCTAGAACTTTGAAACTGGATAGTGCGACGGTGACTGCCAGTGGAAAGCTTCTAAACTTGAAGACCCTACATTTAGTGAACGTTATGTAGAATAGATTCTGATGCGCAAGCGGAACCGGATCACAAGAAGCCGGGATAGCTCAGCTGGGAGAGCAACAGACTGAAGAAATCGTGCTTTCTGGAGGTCCCGTGTTCAATCCACGGTCCTGGCATTTCTTTTGTAAAAATTTCCTCCCTCCCACAGCCCTTGTTCTTACTCTATTCAATATTCAATTACACTAACCATCTCCTGTCTTTTAGTCAACAATCAATGATTGGAGCTTTCATAGTTTCTCGAACACAGAACTGGCATTCCATGTAGACTAATATTAAACAGATGGTTTTCTACGTATCTTTCTTGTACTACACCTGATTGCATCAGATTCATTGTCTTCATCGTGCCTGTACATAATCGTCGATTTTCAATAGCAAGCACACAGTCTCCGTTGATAGCTCGACAGCGCTAGTTGTGACCAAAAGAGGCTGGACAACATCCTCTTCCAGGATGTTAGATATGAGCCCCTGCGAGCAAATGAAGATTCAGCTAATGAAGTAACACGATCGTAACCATGACTGGACTTACCGTTCTGACATTAATGCCAGCGTTGCGGTCACCAAGAGCATGCCGATTGCGGAGTTCAGTGACGATAGATATGGGGTTCAAGCCAGCGTTTTCAGCCAGAGTGGTCGGAATCACTTCCAGAGCATCAGCATACGCCTGGAAGCAATAAGACTCCATGCCCTTTAAGGACTGCGAATATTGTGAAAGAAGACGGGAGACATGAATTTCTGGGGCTCCGCCACCTCCAATAAGGGCACTGTAGGATACATATGAGGAACAGCCTACATGGAAAGCACGAAAACTGACCGTTTCTTCACCAAGCAGCGCACTACACAAAGTGCATCATGTAGACTGCGCTCGCATTCTTCCACCACAAGCTGATTGCCTCCCATGGCAAGTATGCTGACAGTGCGACCTCTATTCTTGACTCCAGTAATTTTGACAACCTTTGCGCCCGATTGAGAGGTTTCTTCGACCAAATCAGCGTAGCCAAGCTTATCTTCAGTAAATGCTTCGATGTCTGCTACTGGCTTACAACCGATACTTTTTGCAAGGAATTCAATTTCATCTCGTTCGACGTCCTTGATAGCCAGGATATTCAGTCTCTTCAGGAAGGAAAGAGAAGTGTCATCGACAGCATCGCGAAGGATGGATTTCTGGATGAGAAGGACGTTGCAATTCGCCTTCTTTATCTTCTTGCAGATGTTAAGCAGATATTGGCGACCTTCTTTGATGACCTTATCCATTTGGCGATAATCGTTGATGACAACTGTGTTATCCATCTTGAAGTTATATTTTTGTGTTAAAACATGTGGACAACAATTCGAGAATAAGACCTACATCTGGTTTTGGTGCACTAAGCTGGAACTGGATAATGGCGATTTTAGCCTTCTCGATCCGCGTTGGTCCACCAGCAGATACAACGACATTTTGGTTCAAAACGACACCATCGACAAGTTCAGTGTCTTCAATAGTTCCGCCAACCTTCGTGACTACCCGAATATCTCTAAGGTCAACGTTCGAGGACTGAGATGTGACAAGGCGAGTGACTGCAGCTACTGCAATAGGAGCAAGCGTTGAAGAGTACTGGGAGACAATCTAATAGAAAGGAATAAGCATGTGACATGTCCTGGAGCGAAACTGATCACTTTGGAATTAAGAGACGTGCTGGCTGCTCGCAAAAGACTGGCTTTGTCATTCAAATCAACGGGTGTAGATATTTCAGTAAGATATTCAACAGCTTTGGTAGAAGCCTTGAGGAACGCCTCCGCAATGATCGTTGGATGGATGCCCTTTTGGAGCATCTTTTCAGCAGCGCCGAGTAAACTGCCAGCCAGAACAACGACAGAAGTGGTTCCGTCACCTGCTTCGATATCCTGTGCTGCAGAGAGATCGACAAGCTAATACGATGTTAACTTTCCTGTTTGTCGTGAAAATGATCTAGATTACCATCTTGGCAGCGGGATGCAAGGCCTGGATACTTCGAAGAATCGTGGCTCCATCATTAGTGATAATGACTTCTCCTTTTGAAGTTTGAATCTACAGTGCGACAGACGAACATGAGGTTACAGAACTGTGGTGCAGATGATCGATGCTAAACGCGTACCATCTTATCCATTCCTCTTGGTCCTAAAGATGTCCGGACTGCATCGCTGATGGCTAAGGTGGACCTCGATTGATTATACTGGGGGGACGTAGGAATATATAGAAATACCTTTAGCTGCAACCAAGTTGGATAAGCGCAGTTCCATTGGTTTTCCCTGTAAAACGAGGTAAAGGTCAATTGGATGTGATGCAGATGGAAATGAAACTGGGATCTATGCCTTGTCATTGAAGGCAGCATTTGAGCCAGACTGCTTTTTGTTTGAGATTATAGGTGCTTTTGTTGCCATCTTTGCCTTGTTTATCGAAGGAGGGCGTAGATAGAAAAGGGAGAAGATGGATCACCAAAAGACAGACACAAAATGGACTCGGACGCGTTCTGCAGTATTTCCCGATTAGGCACCCACGGACGTTGCCGTAATGTGAGGGACTGGATTGCGTATGCTGAACAGCCAACTGGACTGTGGACAGTCCAACTCTAGTTTTGTTACACTCATCTACACATGGATTTCGTACGTATCGTTAAATATTGCAGACAGCCAGGTATACTGAAGCTTCTTTTTTCAGTTTGGAGACCAGAATGGTATGGGCCCTGGGCCAGGGGGTCTCTTTGCTTCGCTTTCTCAGTAAGTCGGCGTATATTCTCAATATGGGACGATCTGTGAACGATAACAACCTACAGAGGCTTTGGTGGTGGTTTTGGACCCCCTCGTACAGGCCACCCAAATCCTCGTGCATATGATGAGTATCTGAGGGCATACAGTGTGGCCATGTTGCCAGGGCGAGAAAGGGAGAACCTCTCTTATGGCGGGAAAAGTATGTACCCACTTGTCTTGTCCTGAGATACTGATGCGATGATATCATATCTTCATATCAACAGTTATTATGCCACCCTCAGCACTTGCCAATCTCACCAATCTAGATTTGGAGCTGCCCTGGATGTTCCAGCTACGCAATCCCAGCAATTCAGCAGCACTGACCCACGCTGGTGTGTTGGAGTTTATCGCAGAAGAAGGGGTTGTCCATCTTCCATATTGGATGATGAAAACACTGCGACTGAATGAGGGAGACCCAATTCGGATAACCGGTACAGAACTTCCTAAAGGGAAGCTTGTTAAACTGCAAGCCCAGTCGACACATTTTTTGGACATATCCGATCCTAAGGCTGTGTATGTACATTCTCCACTCGCTTCCTTTCATTTTCATTAAGCCTTAGTCTAGCTTGGAACAAGCCCTCCGTAACTTCTCAGCACTAACGCAAGGTGACATCATCGAAATATCGTATAATTCCATTGTCTTTGGGTTGCTTGTGATGGAAGCAAGCCCTGGGGGCGGGGGTATCAGTGTTCTTGATACAGACCTTGAAGTGGACTTTGCACCCCCTGTTGGATACGTAGAACCTGAGCGCCCGAAGGCTGCTCCTCCATCAACGATGGCATCGAAACTCAACATCGACCTGAACTCTGCCACACCTGGATCTTCACGCCCATCGTCTTCCCTGAGCGGCGGTTTTACTGGTCCAAGTGCAGCTACTGTCAGCAAAGGCGGAGATCATTGGGAGAGTTTCAAGGGCAAGGGAGAAACGTTGGGGGGGAGAAAGACCAAGGGCAAGGGAATTAGTCACCGAGGTGTTGAGCATGTGCCCGAAGGCAGTAGGATCATCCGCACAGAGTGAGTCCTTTCGCTATGTCGTTTATTCGTTCTCAACTAACGAACTTCCTAGCAAGCACAAGGTGATATCAACCGAAGCCCTTGAGTCTGAGGCCAAGGTTCCCGCTGCACTGAATCTACCCTTTGGTAATTTGTTCTTTGGATTTAACGTGGTGCAATATACGCCTCCTCCCGACAAGGCTTCCAGCAAGTCTCCTGGCTCACCTCCCTCTGTAAGTAGCCGTGTGTGTATATCAGGTTCTTTGATTTATATGCCTCGCAGCAATCTTCATTCGCCTCACCTGGCAATACCCTTACTGGCCGCCCTACCTCTTCGGCCACTTCGAGTGGCAAGGGGAAGGAGAAAGAGCAGACGGAGAAGGGTAAAGCGAAGGAAGATTCATGGGGCACCGGCCAAACTTTGGGCTCGCGCTCAACATTTGTCCCTCCCAGTTTCCGTGGACATGAGTTAGGCGCTGGAGGGGCACCGGTACCTGCACAGCGAAGACAGACTTCACAGGCAGCACCCCCTAGAAGTCCTTCTCCAGACTGGGGTGTTGATGATGATGACGTGATTGACATCGATAGTGACTGATATGCAGAGACATAGAAGAACACGGATAATAGGTATAGAATATTTGCCGTGGTCAACTACATTGTACAGTACATTTGAGACTTTCCGTTGAATGTATACTATCGCGTGAATCGAGAAAAATCTTATATTTTTATAACATCACCACACCTACGCCTTTTCCAGCACTCACTCCGCCTTCAGGGTTAACACCTGCCAGAGGGGCAGTTCTCCAGTTAAACAAATAAAAGTTGAGTAGCCCATCTCCAGCGCCGAACTATTTTCCAACTTAAGCCACTGTTTTCCGATGATGTAAAGGATAGGAATACGAACCTTCAAGTCCTCCAAAAAGTTCATGTTGTCCATCAACGTCAGCGCGTTGAAGACATCGAATTCGGCCTGGTCCGCAATGACTAGAGCATCACTCGTTAGCTCAACAAGCCTCTTTTTCAACCCTCCTTCGACTTCTGATGATGCCTCAAAAGCTACATCCGTTGCATAATAAAACAGATAGGCAGCTTCGAGGACACCATGTTTCTGATTGTTAATGATCGTGGACGGAAGAGAATAGAACGAGAAGAAGTCGGTAATCTTGTGTGTTTGAGGATTCTATAAGGACGAAACAAATTAGTTATGTGGCTTTCAGTGCTCAGCTAATTGAGATTCACCTCTACGACGTAAGTCCAAACGACTTGTCCTAGACGGCGGTTGTCGTCGGTCCCTTTCTCTCCCTCACCCCTCCCACTTAGGAACTGGTGACGCACTTCATCGAGGGTCATCACGGGGGCCATATCAAATCTCTGCATGTACCTTGTAAACAGCTCCGCGACTTCAGGAACATCTTTTTCTTCCATTTCACGTAAACCTTTGATATGGGGAACAGAGGGAAGCTTGTTTACTCGGATCATCCGTGCAAGCGTCATGTTACGAGGGACGTAAGTAAATCGCACATCGACGAGTTTTGGGATGTTTATAGACCGATGGTAATATCTGGCAGGAACGTTGAAGTGAGACATGAATGTAACAAGACTATGTATACTCACCGACATACAGAGATTGGTGTTGGTACGACCACTCCTGCAGTATAAATTGCTTGGAAGATCCCCAACAAGTTACACTGACGAGTGACCTCTTTAATCAGAACTGGAGTCAGACGTTTAGAGCGTAGCTTCTTGTGAACACAGAGGTAATTGATTTCGCTTGCCCTCAGGACGCTATATCATGCTTCAGAAATGGAAATCGTTGATATAAAAAAAGAAACGCACTTCCCGCGAACACGTATTGTCACAGGGACTCCAGAGATAAACGCAACCAGTTTTCTGTTAGAGACTACACGAACGCCAAGATGCCATTCCTTGTAATAACCTGGAGGCTTGAGTGCCCTAACTTTAACATTGAACTTGCCCTGTACACACTATACAAGATTGAAACACACCACTCCAGAAATTCCGCACTGTACTGGAAACGGAATGAGGCGTCATCGTCCTCTACATAGTTCAAAGATAAGAGGTCGTAGACTTCCTTGATCTTTACACCCAGTGATCAGCATGATTCTTGTGCATTGAGCTGCAACCTCGGCAGAATTTACCTGCTTAGAGTCGTTGAGATCCAAAAAGGACCATTCGAATTCCTTCGGAAGAGGATACGGTTCCTGGCGTACTTCTTCCCTTGATTTTGGAGGTTCAATGTATCCATCGTCGTGATGAGGTCCTTCACCTATAATTTATTGTCTGAATATTCTCAAATCTTTAGTAGGACGATGTGAGGCATGCCACTGACCGATTTGTGGGACGGGTTGCGTTGCCCAGAACTGGGCAATATCAGTGATGGGCTCGATATCTCATAATGATAAAGTGTACGGACTGTGTGTTCGCCCATAGCCTTCTTTCCCCGCCCACCAAGGCCTGCTTTTCCTTTGACCATGTCCATGATTTTCATCTGCTCTAAAGCCTGTCTGACGTTGTCGTCGTCCGCAACGTGCCCGGGCCCGTCCTCTCCATGCGCAGCCTTCACCTGGCCAAGCACGGCATCCACAAGGGCTTGCGGAACTTGGTTATTATCACTTGAAAAGCTGTTTCTGATAGCGTTCAAAGCTTTGACAGCCTTTGACTTTTTCTTCTTTTTTTTACGCTGCGACGACGAAGCTTGGAGCGTCTGTGGTACATCTGTGTCCTTGACTCGATCCTCAGACTCAGAGCCAGACTGTTCCTCCTCGTTCTCCGCGTCCTGTGCGGTGTCGATGATTTCTTGAATGCAAGCCTTCTGCGAAGAAGAGGAAGACATGCTTCGTGCAAAGATTACTGTATGTACGGATAGACGTTTCCAGTCAATGATAGCATCGATCTCCGGCACCAACTGACAGCCATAATGGTCATAGCCACTGGCACGTGGCTGATAAGAATATTAAGGTTAAGTACAAGTGATTGTAATAGCTTGGGTATAGTCCATTCGACCTCAGGCAACTGCTGCTACACGTCTCCGCCTTTTGACCCGATCAGCCAGACTTGGCTCAAGGTTCAAGTCATTATGCAACTGTCTCACACCCAGCGCCTCTACAACATCGGCTGTGGCCGTATCAGTCTCGGGCTGAGCTGGACTTAGGCTAACCTCAGGATGCCTCTTCCTCTTCAGTTTAGAGGGCGAAGGCGTGAGCGGGGGTGTGGGTAGCACCGTAATGTTGCCTCGTGCCTCAACCCGAGATGTGGACGGAAGACCATAAGAAGAAAATGATTTCAGGTCGGCAGTAAAAAGTACCTTTCAAATGGAGTCGTCATAAGCCATGAGAGTAAATGTAATATGCCATCGCTTACAGAGTGAGCCCAACCAGCATAATTACCCCAAACATTGACTAGCTTCACGTTAATTTTTTCATAGAGTTTAGGGGTCATAGATGCTTTGGCCTTTGCACTGGAGCTCGAAGGGAAACCGTAATGTTTTATGGCGATCTGGTGGACATGCGTATCAACAGGGATGACGTCCTTCTACGGGTACGAAAATAAGTCAGCGAAGAACCGCATCACACGCACCCACATTACCTTATCCATACTCATGAGTAAGACACAGTCGGCAACTTTACGACCAACGCCCATGAATTTCAGGAGTTCTTCTCGTGCTTCATCGGTAGTTAAATCCCTCAGGGTCATTAGCCATTCTTCAGAGGCTTCGAGTGAGCTGAGAGAAGTATGCCCATGGGTATCCACTAACATTTTTGCGGTTCTCTGGATGAAGGAGGCGCGATAACCGAAACCCAGTGATCGAAGAGTACCGACGACTTCTGGGGCAGCGAGGGCAGAAGGAGAAGGGAAAGGGTGGTAAGACTGACATTGTTGCTCTTCTGTAGTTTCATGCGGAGGAGGAAGAGACAACAGGGGAGTAGAATATTGCTTGCACAATGATTGTACCATTTTCGTGATACGTGATATGTTATTGTTGGAAGAACATATGAAGCTTAGGGGTAAAAAATATAGCTAAGGGCGATAGGAGGAGCAAACAGCGAGGACTTACGATATAAGGTTCTCCCAAGGATCCTGCCTCAGCATCCTGATGCCCGAGAAACGCGACCGAAGATTGTCAAAAACTGCATCGCGTGCACTCCATTGGTCGTACAGTTCCACAAGATCCACTTCCAGCTGAAAGTAATCCCTGAGCCAAGCCAGTGTTTCTGTTTCCTTAACTGCTTGTTGCGTAGGGGAGAGCTGCTTTGGAAACACAGAACGGTAGAAGAGGAAGTTGGGCGTTTGTCTGAGACATACTACACGATCCCGTAGACATAAACGATACTCGTGTGTCGGCGTTGAAGCATCTACTGTCGTGACATGTAGTGGAAATGCAGACCAGCGGAATGACTGCCCGCATTTCAATACAGCGGCCAGAGATAACTGGATAATGGGAAGAGGTAATTCACAGAAACCTGGGATCATTGCCAGTGAAGGAATGCGCATAAGAGGGACTCGCGTCGGGTTCATCCGAACCACCACCAGTCCTCACAAAAGTCCGTAAATCCCACTAACAGGTTAGCGTTGTCGAGCTCGGGAAATACTGACATTCATATTCGTCCTGGTACGCCTATTGTTTAATTTTCATTACATGTACAGATGCCAATGATATCGATATTGTTATTGTTACCATAGTCCTAATTCACCCAGCGTGATAGCGAAGATGCCTTCCGAAGGAGATACTTTCCTTCCTCGGATTCAGTCCGTTTTTTATGCAGTATTTGACGACCAGCAAGGCCCCAAGATCGTCTTTCAAGTGCCTGAAGGTCTTATAGGCGTGTCAACAACAGGGCCAACATATGGAACAACACCAGTTTCTTCTTCGCCAACTGTGAATGAGAGCGATGTACCTCTTTCAAGACGTTCCAGTTCTTCGCTGATATCACTTGCCGGACAACGTCCAAACTCGCGGAGTCTATCATCGCCTCAACATCGATCTACTTCTTCCAATCGATGCCTCTTCAATTTCGACGACATATCCAAATATGTCATCCCTCGGAGTGACTTCTGCGGCAGACTTATTATCTGTTCCACGAGCAACCATCGAATCATTGGCTTTCCAGTCGCTCTTAGAGGAAGAAACTATCAACGAAATTATTTTCGTTATAACCTTTGCTTTGTGTTCGAGCGGTCAGCAGATCTTAGTTGCTATGAGCCCGTCGTTCGTAAGGTCAGCCGTGTCTTAACAGCATGCGAGGTCCGCACTTTCGTCAGTGGATTGTGTTGCATCCCATGTTCATGGCAGTCTTCCAGGAAGAGTCCTTGTTTCTCTCTTCCCAACAGGCGCCACATGCGCTGTATGCTATCCTGGAACAGTTATATGAGGACCTCAATTCATACTCAGAAACCTCAATACCTATAGACAAATTCAACTCCATCGAGCTGAAGATTTTCCCTTTTTATCCTAACCCTCCTCCTGTGAAAGATTGGACAGTCCCTTTGGCACTGATAAATATTTCTAAAAGAACGGAGGAAAACTGGGACCTGACTGTTCTGAAGGTGATACAATTCGCTCACTTCTGCCCATTAAATTAATTTCATTTCGTAGGTCATCAAATTCATTGACGGCGTTAACCATGTGAGCAGGATAGCTCAGCTTGCTGACTGCGACCTAGAGCTTACCCGACAAGCTATTTCTCATCTCCTGTGAGGTCATTCGCTCTTAGATTTATCTTGAAAGCTAATATAAGTGCAAGGTATTATCAGGTTATAATGATCATCGACATTTTCCAATATTCAAATATGTATACTCTACGAAAGAACGTGCAATGGCTCGCCGACGAAGCTCATGTAAAAGAGGAATGTGGTCCCTATGTAACCAAACCAGGTCTGTCCTCACGCTCAATATATGCACATGATTTTGACACTCCTATAGGAAGACCAATACCTGATTGGCCAAAACTATTGCACCTATACTCGAGACTAAAACCTGGAAAAACGATCTACGAATGGATGGACGCGTACAAGGTTCATGAACTAGGAATAGATGTAAGGCGTTTCGCAAGTTTTGGTGTCATCAAGGTATGTATCTTTCCTCCTCCCCTCTGTGCATGCATTTGGTTTACCGATTTCCTCTGCTACAGGGATTTTTACGGCGGGTACATCGCTGGCCAGTTTTACTTCCCGTGGAAGCGGGGGCAGGGGCGGAAGTATCACCGACTCGCAGGCGAAGGCAAAGTTTCTCATCGTCAGCTATGATACAAGGCAAGATCGCTTCATCACCAGAAGATACTCGGCGTTCAAGAGGTCAAGTACCTGAAATATCTGTCACTCCTATGGGCTCGCAGACTGGGCTCAGTTCTCCACCAAATACAAAGGACAATATGTTGGCTACTCAAGCAGTGCGCCGAACAAGCGCTGCCGAAACAGTCCTTGAACAACTACGGTTCAAGGCTCTTCAAAGGTCTGACTCCAGCTCGCCACTGCGCACGAGCGAAGAAAGTCAAGAAGGTCGCCTTCAGAACGGACATCCCATGCGCAGGCATTCAATAAAGCAGCAAGGTCCACCGTCCAATCTTCCAGGTACAATCAATCGCAGCAACTCTTCGAATGGCCAGGGCACGATTAACGGCAATCCATCACCTCTCCCGTCCCGCCCCCGGCTATCAAGGTCGCCTTCAGCTCCCCTTATACCCCAAGTGCAGAGCATAGGTACACAGCTGCCTTCGCCTGTTCCTGCTGTTCCTTATCCCCCAGAATTTTTGCCTTTACTCGATGGAGAACATCATACTGACGAATTGTCGACTCTTTTTGAGGCCGGATGGCCAAAGTTGCAGCAATGGCTAGTTGCTGCCGGAGGCGGGAAGGGAGATGGCGATTTTGGTAGGGTGTTGATCATTTATCGATAATATGCTAGGCGTTTGTTACGTATCAAAATGCTAGCAGGATACCTCCAATTTAACATCATACACAAGAACGCTCAAGTTTCTAGCCCTATTAGTGTATTGGAATTTGCTGATTCTCCAATTCTCCAAAATGACTCTCTATTTGTGGTGTTGCATAAGCCGCTTTTCAGGACAGCAATAAATGTAACATTCAAAGTAATCTACTTTTGCAGCTCCATGGTGGGTTTTCCAGTGGAGAAGATGGTGCATCTTTTGATAATGATGAGTCTGAAGGCCTGATGTTAGGCCCAGTGATAGTGAATATGTCGAAGGTAATCCGCGGTAGACATTTAGGCAAGGCCTCGATTGATGTTGACGTAGCCAGATCCATAACATGAGAAAAGTAACTGCGTAGAGGAATCGTCTTCCGAAGCTACTGGAACGATCTTGAAAGATATCCCAAAAAAGTCCTTGATGTCACGTAGGAACTGTATCCTGCGAACGAAACACTCAGTGACTCTGCCATAAACAATATAGATTGCCACTGACGTTCGTGCGGTTGGCTCTCCCATTCTGCAACGTCCTACATCCTCACTACCTAATATCATCATCAAAAGCACCAAACACTGATGATTCCTATCTATGCACCCTCCACGACGTATTTCAGCCAGAAGAGCATGCGTCGCCGTCATGGCTATGTCCTCTGGAGGCACGCCAGGTTTAGATATGGCCTCGGAGCAATAAAGTGCTGAAGTCGTAGACTCAGCCGTGAGGGTCAGACCGTATCCTGGAGACCTAGTAAAACAATAAAAAAAGACTCTAGTTCGCAAACACCCGGTACTTACTTCCCACTTTCTTCGCCTTTATACACGTCCGAGTACAAGTAAACATCGGGGATGTAGCGATTGAGCACCGAACGAGAGGCCTCTATCATGCGATTCGAAAATTGGGGAGTAACACGTACAGCATGTCTAGATGAACGATTTTTTGATTTAAAAAGATACGTGAAAATACCAGAATGGTGACGAACGCTATTCCTCTTATTCTCTTTATTTTTCCAGGATCCACGAAATTCAAAGTTTTCGCTTGTTTTACAACAGGACAGAGAAATTGCACTTCTCCACCACCCTGAGGCGGAGAACCGCGTTTTTTAATCTGCGACAGCTCAGAGCGACTGGAGTGCCTGGAAGATATGTTTGCTTACCCGTAACTCGAGACCATCCGATATGCCAAACAATTGAAGATGTGGTAAGGTCACTGTGCGAATCAAGTCGGCCTATGAGCCATAGTTATGACCTTTTTCACTGGTTTGGTGTAAAGTTTGCTTACAGAAAGGTCATTCTCATCAGATGTAATCCCACGAAGTGTGAGCTCAAAAGGCTTCTTCGCAAAGGGTGAAATCATGACGAGAGGTTCCAAGAAGTAGCCTATTGATCGCGACAGTGGACAGTCATGTGAAACTGGTCCTCCTAGAATGATACCTGGCTTGATGAGAATGGCAGTACCTTCATAGGTCTCGTGCATGAGAATAACTCGTTGTTAAAAAGATCGAACACGTACCGGTTACAGATATCTCTATGACTGTTCCATTTGTAGCTTTCTCGAGCAGGCGCAAAAGACTCACTTCATAGTCTGTGGACAGAATACGTTGACTCTCGAGAGTATAGCACTATATTTGCAGGACTGACCTCTTAAACCCGGATCCTTATCATCTGCTCTGATTTTGTCAATCCTAACGGCTTTTCCGCTGAGTATGGATAGAACAAGACGCTGTCTCAGAAACTGGTGGCCGCTGAAGTGTGGTAAAGATCCTATGTGAGCCATTGAGCGCAACTGCAACCTAGCCTAAGTGCAAGCTTGTCGGTCGATCTCTCCTATGGAACTTTTTGGTCACGTGATATATTAGCATCTTGCCTCTCCGCCACTGCATCGGGACACGATCACTAATAAGTGAACTCGCCTTTGAAACTGTTCTACCATTTCATTGTTTACTTTTATCTTATATGGCTGCAGCTGTGGTGTCAACGAATGGAGTGGCGACGCCTAGCGACTGGCAGGATCGATATCATCACATAGACCAAATTCTCGATAGACCAGGTCCCCGTACAGATCCTTCATTCTTAGCAGGTGATGAGGTTCGCGTTCGCGTTACTAGACCTTCGAAAGTATAGCGGAATCTCATGTACGGTCAGGTCAAGGATTTTCTACGTAACAGTTGCAAGATTCTCGTTATCGGGGCTGGTGGACTAGGTTGTGAGATATTGGCGAATCTCGCTTTGTCAGGGTTCAAGGACATCCATGTCATTGACATGGATACTATAGACATCAGCAATCTTAATCGACAGTTCTTGTTCAGGTATGTCTTCCGTTCCGACCAAGTATGTCATCACATTGGTCGATGACTTTCGTAAGACCAGCGGATGTGGGGAAAGCTAAAGCGATCGTGGCGGCCGAGTTTGTTATGAACAGGGTACCGGGCGTCAAAGTTACACCGTAAGCCAGTTGCAAAGTTATCTCTCATGTGTCCAATAATTCTGGCTTTCTCAGATATTACGGGAAAATCCAAGATAAGGATGATGACTATTACGTGCAATTCAATCTTGTGATTTGTGGCCTTGATTCCGTCGAAGCTCGTCGCTGGATAAATGCCACTCTTGTCAACTTGGTTGATCCGGAGAATCCGGAAAGTTTGAAGCCTTTGATAGATGGCGGTACGGAAGGTGAGCATATAGAGTAAATAATTTCCGGGTCAGACCTTTCAGACCTCATTGGCGAATCAGGCTTCAAGGGTCAGGCTCGTGTAATTTTACCCACCGTATCCTCTTGCTATGAATGCTCCCTGGATATGCTCAACAAACCCACTGCATTCCCTATATGTACCATCGCCAACACTCCTCGTCTGCCGGAACACTGCATAGAGTGGGCGTCTGTATTAGAATGGCCCCGTGTTCATGCAGGTGAATAAATATTTATTCCCATTACCCTCTTGTCCCTTACTTAACCAGTCTGGATGCAGATAAGAAATTAGATACCGATGACCCAGAGCATATATCATGGCTTTATACTATTGCTGCGGCACGCGCAAAAGAATTCAAGATTGAAGGTGTTACATGGTCTCTTACGCAAGGAGTTGTCAAGAATGTCATTCCTGCTATTGCGTCAACCAATGCTATTATAGCAGGTATGTTGGTCATCTGTTGCAAGCTTCCTTTCTAATGTTATCTCAGCGTCATGTTGTAACGAAGCTTTCAAAATCGCAACTAGCTCAGCTGCTTACTTGAATAATTATTTCATGCTTATCGGTACCGAGGGCGTGTACTCGTATACCTTCGAACATGAAAAGCGCGATCATTGCCCAGTATGTGGAAATGAATCGCTCGAAATATCGATCAACCGCGAGTGGACCGTTGAACGCCTGATTGAAATGCTCGTAGAGAAGCAAGATATGTCAGTACCATTCGAATGCGGTATTCAATTGAAAAGTTAACTTATATAATGTTTGCGCAGCCAAATTAAGAAACCATCGTTATCAACACCAGATAAACCAATCTACTTCCAATCTCCTCCTCAACTGGAAGAAGCTACACGACCTAATCTTGAGAAAAAGGTGGCAGACCTCGTTGCGGATGGGGGAGAGATAACTGTCACTGCGACGACCTTACCATTTAATTTGTCATTGCGTATCACTTACACATAAAAACGATAGGGCAACACCTAGTGCTACTATTTCTTCATAAATAGCATGATTTTGTTGCTACACACAAGCGTCAAATAATCTACATCAGGTCGGACATGTGTACTACTCTGTTATGTTACCTCGAATACAAATCCATCATGGGCCTCTATGAAGCAATGGCGGCCACGGTACTAGCGGTCGTCGTCGTGGCATTGGGTTTGGTGTTCTTGCTCCTACCCCATTTGATGGTCACTCTTTCACCATCTATATCTAGACCATTCGCCCAAGCTTCCGCCGCACGCTCAGCTGATGAACGGTCTTTAAAGTTGACGAATGCACATCTAATTCACCATGTAAGATGACGGGAAGGCTATGAATTTAACCAATCCTTACCTGGACTTGGCTACATGAACCACGGATTTAAGCTGCGTCGACGGAACTTGAGGTAATGAATGTATCACGCGAGTGCGAATTGATAATTCTGTAGCATCGGCTGGAAGAGAGGATAGGAAGATAGAAACCTACGTCATGCAAATTAGAACATGTGCAAAGAAAATCCGTCTTAGTTACGACTTACAATTGACTGGTCTTCTGGTGGTTTCAGTCCTTGAGCATCTGCGTGGCCGGCCATAATCTTGCGGGCCACTGGATCATTCCGGCCGTAGTAGCGATCTTGCATATTTTGATGGGAAAGTTCATTCTCAACCGGCTTTTCATGCCTTTGCGTATTCGTCAGTAAATCGGGTCTCAAGACAGGTGAGAGCCGACCCATTACCTATAAGGACACTCGGTTCCACGGCTACACTCTCCTTTCGCGAAGAACGAGCAGACGTGTGGTCGATTCCGCTTGTAGTAAGGATTTGTTCGAGCAAGTTGTTTCAACATCTCTTTCCCTGCAGATTGGGCACGAGTCGGACCCTCCAGCGCTGATTTTGTCCCATCTGCCATCTGTAACGTACATTGTCCATTTCACAACCATGCAGGCGGAGAAAGCCACAAAAAAGACGCACATTGCTTTCCATGTTCTGAGCATAGTATTCCCGATTGATGTCACTCGTCGGTGCTTCACTCTGTATCGCCAATGCTGTGTCTCGAACTTGAGTGGGCAGTCCGTACTCTAGGTCAAGCAAGCAAGTTTGGCAGACGTTCTTCACTTTTGCACAAGTCTGACATATCACTGTTGCTTTGTAACGCATGCCACTGCCTGGATTCCAGCGAAAGACAGTGAATGGTCTAGCACATGTACCACATGAACGACCGAATTCCTGCTTCGACTAAGGAAGAGTTGGTGAACGAACTACGGGCATTGAAGGTGAAGCAGAATTACCATTCGGATAAAAGGATTGTCTCCCAAACAAGTCTCGCAGAGTATAGGAAACTCGCTTTGCTCCCATCCGGCTTTGTTGATATCTGCTTTAGGCGGCATTGTGAATAAGAGGGAGGAAGGAGGGTAATTGTATCTGGCTGAAGGTGATGTTCACAGTTCCAAGGATAAGTTAATGGATTGTTGAGACACGGATACGCTCGGACTCAACCGAAGGAGATACCCCATATGGATATCGGCCGGAGTACCGCCTTGTCAGCGATCATTCTCAACTGAACTTGCAGTGCTCGCTTTCAAAGTTTCATAGTACTGTCGTACGGAATCAAGTCTTGTCCTTGGAATTTATATTGTAACTATATACCATTATCATCATTCATTAGTCAAAAAAAGTCCACTGAGAACAACGAAGAGCGTCATGCCATGAATCCTCATACGCGTAGATATATCCAAATAGAGTCCGCAATGATATCAGGACCTATGAAAAAAATGTGCTATGCAAAGAATAGTCCGCTAGTCCGGCGCATGAGTAATCTAGCTATACATATGCTACGCTATAGTGTAAAGGTCAGCAGTACCACGCCCAGTAAGGCCAGGTAACAAGCCCTATTGAAGCAGATTTCACTCAGTAAGGGAAGTCGTATAAATATTTTATTTACGTACCTTGAGATCACTTGCTGACAGCGGACATGGGAAGCTTACACTGTTACTGATCACCGGTGACACTGTGAAGAACAGTATTCGCAATCCAAGCTGGAGACAAAAGGTTGGATCTAAACATCTACAAAAATAATGGAAACTCACAGTAATTTTGTAATCAACGGTTATGTCTGATGTTGTACCGGAAACACCACATTTGTTGGCCAGGTCGGTTAAAATCGCACTACTCGAGGGCATAGTCGTAGTATATTCGATAGAAAATGGGAATGTGAAGTTCTTCTGACTATGCGAAGGGAATGTAATACTATCCTCGGTACCATTCCCTATGAGGGTGTTGTTGATCGGATGAAATATCTGTACACCCCAGTCAAATTCACACATCGAGTAAGACAACCGACAATACTTACCTGTGCATCTATCTTGCTGAACGAAACTTGAAAGTAGTTCGGGTTGGTTACTCTGTCTCAAAGTTATTTGAATAATTAATTTAAAGAAGGATGAGATTAGGACTGACGATATGTTTACGCCAAGGTTGACCTGAATCCCATTGGACACGGATTGTATCTGGGCATTGATATGACGATAATCAGGTTATTTATACAATGGGAAAATGACTTGGAGACTTACCTCGCTTCCCCCGGCAGTACTCTGGGGCGCCACGGTACCGACCACGATGTCGGGTGGTGTAATCCACTGCACAGCTCTCAGTATGCGAAGGGTATAGAAGATATCAAGGAGCTGACCATGGCAAGCGCTAGCAGTATACTGATCACAAGGAAAATGATAACTAGTAATGTGCAACAACAAAATCTACCAATGCATCTACCGCGGCCCCCCTGATGTTTGGAGATTAGTATTATACTGAGTGTTTCATAGAAAATTGTGATCACCTTCGTCCACAGAGCACCTTGATGGCTGTATCTCCATTGTCGCACACTTTGCTGTCCCCTTTGCGCAGTAAATATCGTTAATGGCGCAGTCGTAACCACAATGGTGCAAGAAGACGACTCACTTCCCAGAAGTTCCAGCACCGAAATCATTTCGGTCCATCTCGTTCGTCTGATTTAAATGTTGCGGTTCATAGATGGTGTCTGCGCCTTGTCTTGCAAAGTTTGGATCATCCCTGTAACCGCCTGGCGCGGCATACGAGTCGTAACCCCCTTGGTCGTAAGTCTGGTGAGGCTGACTGGTACTGTAAGGATTGTATTGAGGACCGTCGTTAGAATGCTGCTGTGCCCCCTCGTATCGCTCGTTATATGGATCTCTGTAAGACATGGTGGACAAAGCGACTATGAGTTGGAAGAGGTGAGAGCAAGAGTTTGAACCCGTTGGGTATCCGCAGTAGCGTTCCACTCCAGTACTGCCACAATGTGGCGGATGTATTGCAATAATTTGTATTGCTCTCACGTGGAACTTGCACTACTTCCCAAGCACTGCAGCAGCTCCACTTTGACACATTCTGTTAGACATCCCTCACTTACACATTGACAGTACTGCAGCATAAGCAGCAGACAATGGACAGCGAAACAACGAAGGATGCTAACTGTCGATTTTAAAATGATGAAGTTTTCATTCGAGCTCAGTATGAACTACGTCAATGATCTATATAATATGCAACACATGGCATCGGGAGGTGCAATAAACATCCATGATAACGAGATACAGCATCTCAGCACCCAAATACATCAATTACCCAAATCCTCCAGAGCCTCCTGGAATAAATGGCATTCGCTGGCTCCCTTGAGACGTTCTACCGTTCGGTCCTGGGGCCGCATTCCTCGGAGCAGGATCGAACCTTGTAAATCTTGTCGAATTACCTGTTTGCGCCGTGGAAGCATTATATGCGTGGCGACCATGCGAGGAAGAAGGAGGAAAGAAACGATTAGAAGACACATCCATAAGGTTAGGAGCTCCAAGATTGTGATTGGTATTATTTTGCATGTTCCCTGGTGGGCAAGGGGTTGACACCATCCGCCGTGATGATGGCGTCTGCTGTGTTCGTGCTTGAAACTGAGGGAGACCTCGAGGAGTCGACGGAGGACCCATGCGACCATGACTGCGTGTAGTAGACTGATCTAGACCCTGACGAGATGAGCCTGCAGACGCGTCCATATTCATCGAGTGAGATTGTGTAGCAGGTTTGAAACCTCTCTGTCGGTGACTTGGTAGTGGTACTGGCGGCGGTGGCATCAGAGAGCGCTGCATTTGATCTGAAGCTTGCATTGACATATCTTGAGGTCCTTGCGGCAATGACTGATCCTCGTTATATGAGTATTGCCTGGTATCAAGGCACTTTACACGTGTATCTCATAGCGCCAAAAGTAGCGCCATACGTACTGGATAAAGTGACTATTTGACCTATTTGGTTCGTGACTTGACGCCAGGTAACCGGATATATTATTTGAGGGTTGTGCATTGTTTTCGTTTGGGTGCCGAGTAAATGTAGGGTGTTGACCAGGAGGTAGGGTAAGTCTATTTGGAGTCATGGTGGACCTTGGACTCGAACTTGTTTTGACGCTATTACTGGTTCTGGGAATAACGGAAAGTTATAAGCCGAGACAAGAAATGGAAGAAGGGTACACACCGTCGGACTTCTGTCATTGGGCGTTTCCCATTGGAATTGAGGAGAGGAGCGGGCTCAGCTCCGTGTTCTTGGTTGTAATGCAGGACTATGCGATCATTATCTTGACGTGCTTCTTGTAGCTCTCTGCAATAGTGGGATAATTGCATGATTTTCATAAATTTATAAGTTTTATCTGCACCTTTTGAGTGCATTTCGCTCCGCCCTCAGACGCGCGATGGTGGCAGTGAAAGCCGCACAGCGACGTTGGTAGAAGTTAATGAGAGAGTATAGACTCTCTTGTTGAAACTGTTATCGAATATATGGTAATTCAATGTATGCAGGAACGAGGAACAAGTTGTGTCCACCTTGGCAGTATTTGCGACACTATCGAGAGCATGGGGAAGAGAGCGAAACCATTCCGACATAGGCGGATCCATCTGAAAACAAAAATTCTCAGTTTCTGGACCCACCGTGAGAGTCGATATATGGATGCAAAGAAGCATACATCGCGTTGCAAGGGTACAAGTTGGATGCCTTGCGCACCGCACTGTGAGCAACTCTGGTCTGGATCTAAAGGTAGGTTTGAGTTATCTGTTTCCTGTTGTATCTACCAGCCAAGTAGACGATGATAACTGACTGAGGTGGCTGTTGCAGATAATATGCCCGCATTCAGTCAACCAGAATGGAATTGGGGGTAGACCACTGGAATCGGTCGAATAGGAAAGATGGCATTTAGAGCAGTGCACGAAATCCCAAAAATTGTGCTCCGTTGGTTGCGGTGTTGATGGTATGTTGGCTGTTGCAGACATCCTTCAAGTTGTCAGTATGGCCTGTCGCGGCTGTAGTTGACTATCAGTGCTGTGCAGTGCCAGTGAAAGGCCTTTAGGCACTTCGAAGGGGTTAATAGTATTCGGACGTGCCAGACGAATGAGAGATGGGAGTGGAATACCGATGTCTAACATTAAACGAGGCGGTTGCCTCAGGACACGTGACTCAACCACAGATTTGCGGCAGCAATGTCAATAGGACGATCTATACACCCACCATGGGCATGAAAGGGTTCCAGCAGCATAATTTCAGCCACCTGGCTGGGATACTTCAAATATTATAAATATACACTTTGTGATAGATTAACTAAAATTTTACCAATATTTTGAGAAATAGCTGTGATGGTTTGCACCCAGTTTGAGGCTGACATGTTGCTGGTTCTTTATAAACTAAAGTTTGTATTGGCTGAGCTGGTCACTTTTTCAAAGAACTAGCAATGTGTTAGGCACGAACGATCAGAGCAATTTCTGAAAACATTGGGAAA